CCGATGTCGCTTCGATCAAGTCCTGTGAAAGAGCGTGTGGGTTTCGCTACCTACCACCCACCTAGTTACCTATGCAGGTGGATCTATTGCCCTTACACGGCCGCCTCTCTAGGCACGAGCACTAGTCCCTTGGCCGTATGTATGTCTGGAAGTATTTCGCAGACCCCACCACCATCTATCGATGGCCCATAGACCCGTCTTACAGTCCACACGTTGGCCGGGCCTGCTCCTTCGGCTTCAAACCCAAGGGACGGAAAAAGGGCCAGTTGATTCGCGCGGCTCGTGCGCTGGGTTCGACCCTCAGGAAGGATTGGGGGGACATTGGGACGCCGACCTGGGGCTTGGCTGGTTGTGGACTTTGTAAACATGTCTCTTGACTTTTTCATTCTAATTATCGATTGTTTGGATATCTCGGTTGCGTGCTGCTCCTCGCTGAAAATCACCCTTTTTGTGGGGGGTGCGTCGGGATCGCGAGAACAGAAAGCATGGAGTTCGACCTGATTGTGCGTAACGGCAATGTCGTGACGGCGTCGGATATTTGGTACAACTGCGATATTGGAGTCAAGGTGCGTAAACTCATCCAGGGTGGGAAGAGAGGGAGAGGAAAAAGAGTGACGAAGATTGAGAAGCGGGAGAAAGGAAATACAATTCTACCAGTTGTTTCTGCCTTTCTACCAGCCTCTTCATCCCTAGTCTGGCACCCCATCCATTCCGCTGTTTTCTTGCCCTTTCACAGCGTTCGAGTCCCTTGGGCATAGACTTTGCATATACAAGACCTAACGCCTCTCTCTGACCTGTTAGGATGGCACCATCGTCGCCGTGGCCCGCGACCTCCCCGTCCGCAACGGCGACCAGGTCTCCATCCTCGACGCCGAGGGCGCCTACATCACGCCCGGCGGCATCGACACCCACGTCCACCTGAGCCAGCTGTACGAGGCGTCGGTCGACAGCCTGATGCGCACACAGATCACCAACGGCAAGATCCCCGACCTGGCCAACTACACCAACGACACGTACGACACGGGCACGCGCAGCGCCGTGGCCGGCGGCACCACCACCGTCATCACCTTCGCGAGCCAGCTGCGCAACGACGAGAGCCTGGTGCCCGTGCTGGAGGAGTACGCCAAGCTCGCCGACGGCCAGTCGTACTGCGACTACGGCTTCCACATGATCCTGTCCAATCCCACCAAGCACATCCTCGAGGTCGACCTGCCCATGATGGTCGAGCGGTACGGCATCACCAGCGTCAAGATCTACATGACCTACAAGGCCTTCCAGCTGAGGGACTATGAGATTCTGGATGTGATGCACGCGGCCCGGCGCTTGGGCATCACCACCATGGTGCATGCCGAGAATGCCGATGTGATTGACTGGATGACGGAGCATCTGGAGGAGCAGGGCATGACGGCGCCGTATCATCACGGGACGTCGAGGCCGCCGATTGTCGAGGCCGAGGCCACGGTAAGTGATCTTCTTCACTAAACACATGGAATGTGGAACGTGGAAATTGCCAGGACAAAAGAGGGAACTAGACGGGCCGGCTGACGCATTTGGGGGTTCTCTTAGAATCGAGCCATTGTCCTGGCCGAGCTCATGGACACGCCCATCCTCCTCGTCCACATCTCGGGCGGACATGCCACCCGGGTCATTCGCGACGCCCAGACCCGCCTTCTGCCCGTCCACGGCGAAACCTGTCCGCAGTACCTCTTCCTCCTGGCCGAGAGCATGAAAAAGGAAGGCTTCGAAGGCGCCAAATGCGTCTGTTCGCCACCGATCCGCGAAGAGCCAGCAGACCAGGACGCCATCTGGACGGGGATCAAGAACGGGACCTTCACCACCTTGTCGTCGGACCACGCACCCATCAAGTTCGACCATCCACAAGGTAAACTGCGCGGTCTGGCACACGGCGGCGGCGAACAGGGCAAGTTCCAATACATCCCCAACGGGCTGCCGGGGGTCGAGACACGAGTACCGCTGCTATGGTCTGGCGGCGTGCTCACGGGACGAATCACGCCGCAGAAGTTTGTTGAAGTCACGGCCACAAATCCGGCCAAGCTGTACGGCCTGACCAACAAAGGGACCATCGGCCCGGGGTTCGACGCAGACTTAACCATCTGGTATCCGCAGGATAAATTCAAGCCGTTCAAATTGACCAACGACATGTTGCACCATGCTATCGACTATACTCCTTTCGAAGGTATCGAGTTCAAGAATTGGCCGAGGTACACGCTGGTCAGAGGCACAGTCGTCTTCAAAGAGGGCGAGGTCGTCGGCAAGTTGGGCTATGGCAAGTACCAGCGCAGGACAAAGAGTACCCTGAGCGGCCCGCGAAACGAGTTTCTGAGTGAATGGCGGCCGGTGTATCCTATGAATTAGCGCCAGATAGTGCAATAGACATTTAGAGAAATCAATAGGCCGGATTTCGCATCACAAAGCACCTCCTTGCACATTAGATCCATATCCTGAGAGTGCTAAGATTGGAGTCTAGCCGAAATTTCGAAATCGGATTTGACCGTTTCGCATACCGCCGGATGATGGATTCGTTCCGATCAGTAGTGCATGCTATCAGGCGTGGGGCGTGGACAGAGGTAAATGACCCACAGAAAGTTGCCTTCAGGTAGACTCTTGCGGGGAGCGCTTTGGGACAGCGATTTGGAGACCGTTCGGGACGGTGTCAGTGGTCGGTGCAACATCTCAGCCATTCTGGACTCGTTCATCTCAAGCAGAGAGACTGTTTCCCAGGCATCAGGTGCGAGGCCAACTCCGACAACCACAAGCCCGGCATTGGATATCAGCTGCCAACATGGTGCTCAAGTCGTGGCTGGATGTGCCTGAGGATCATGACTTTTCCATTGAAAACCTCCCTTTTGGCATCTTCTCAACAGCCGACAATGTAGGTTGCCAGCAGTGCCAACATCCTAAGAATGTCTTAGCCCTCGTGAGAGGTCTGGTGAGCTAACAGGAAACAGACGACGCCGCGGCCTGGCATCGCGATTGGGAGATTTATCGTCGACATGTCAGCATTGGTTGATACAGAGGCATTCTCCATGTACTGTACCTGTCAATTCCCGTACGCGGTGTTAAAGGAGGTATGAAGCTCGTTGCCACGACTCCTTCTTGAATGTCGTGCGAACTGCAATACAGAGTCGTCTTTCTGACTGGGCCAGACCGTCTTGAATTCGTTTGCAGCCCTTGGCCGCGAAACGGTCAATGCGGTGCGGATGTTCGTCAAGTATCTCCTCGTGGAGATGACCCCAATCATGCGGGACAATAAAGAGCTGAGGCAGAAATGCATCGTCGACACCGCCCTGGTCAAGGTCGACATGCATTTGCCCATGAAGATTGGAGATTTTACGGATTTTCTCAATTCACGAACGGTGAGCAGTGATGATCTTCTGCTGTTGCAGGATTAGATCCGTGGCCAGTTGGAGTAAAGCTGACAGCTCAAGCATGCAAAAAATACCCATTCAACGAGCAGCACGCCAGTGAACATGTTAGTGGACAAACCCTAGCTTGACGACACCGCCTCATATAGGATCCAGGTTCAACCCCCCTCGTGCGTTCACTGGTCGCGTGTCCAGTATTGTGGCTTCGGGCACGCCAATCGTTCGACCGCTGGGACATTTGATTGACTCGAATGGTAAAGCATACGTCGGACCGTCACAGCAGATGGACGTCGAGATGGAGTTTGCTTTCTTCCTCGGGGAAGGAATTAAGCGTTTCGAGCGGGTCTCGATCGAGGAGGCCGAGAATCACATATTCGGGGTGGTGCTTCTGAACGACTGGTCAAGTATGCCTGCCTCCTGCGGTCCTTTCGTGCGTCACGCTGATGGTTGAAATCTCCAGCACGCGATGTCCAGGCTCCCGAAGACCATCCTTTTGCCGCCTTCAATGCCAAATCCTTCGCCTCGACCATCAGCCCCTGGGTTGTGTCGATTGACGCCTTGGAGCCCTACCGCACGAAGACCCAGCCTCAAGAGCCATCAGATCTATTGCCGTATCTGGTCGACAAAAGGGAGCTCGGGACCTTTGACATCTCCATCCACATGGAGTGGAAGCTTTCACCCGAGGGCGAAGTGTTCGATACCGCCACCAGTAACTTGACCAATGCGTACTGGTCCTTTGCGCAAATGTTGACCCACCATGCATTTGGAGGCTGTGAAATGAGAACGGGAGACTTGATTGGAACCGGTACAATTACAGGAGAGGTAGGTACCTGAGTAGCCTCGCTGGAGTTTGTTCAAGCAGCCTGACTCGCGAATTAGGGTGCGGAATCGATTTGTTCTCTGGTCGAGCGTACACGGAACGGAACAAAGGAGATTGAGACACCTGCAGGGAACAAGAGATTTTATGTTCAAGACGGAGACGTCGTCATGTTTACGGGCTGGGCGGGTGACAAAGGCGATCCAACAGTGGCAGGGAAGAGGGTGGGCTTCGGGAGCTGCGATGGAATCATTCTCCCAGCGAGGCCGTTGTGAATAGACAAAGCGTAGTAGGAGGTGTGGGAGAGAGAGAGAGTCAATTTACGTTACGTGTATGTGAGAGAAGGGAGAGACTGAGAAGAACAGCACCCAGAATGGTTCAAAAGGAGATTGATACTGAGCTAGCCGTAGATGGAAGCTATGGTCATGTGACCCAAACTCCGAGCTATGCCTCAAATGGAAATAATGTCGTGCGACGCCCTCTTATCACTTCCTGCGACTCATGGACGAACACCGTGAATTCTACCACGTCCTTTAAAGACCGTTGGTCTATAGTATATACAAGATAGACTGTCAGTAACTCTCGAAGCGCCCCTAGCGCTAGCCCGAAGACCTTTGGCCGAGGCCTCGCGTGACAGTCATTAGTCGGTAGTCCCTTGGCAGCGCTGCTAATACTCGTAGTCACATTCCTGGCGTGTGATTGGCTGAAGCAACGTCCATCCCGTCCATCGCGATAAGAAACTACGGCGACAGACTCTCGAGTCTTAGACTCTTGATTCGACTCCATCGTTTGCCTACCTCGTATTGTCCACGATCCTCAATCTCTCTACACGGACTCTCTGCGACTACTGCTATGTATGGCTCCTTTGTTCTGTCTCTATAACTATGCTGCGCTCGAATAAGTCACTGGACATGACTTTCCGCCATGTACTCCACCGCCTTTCAACCAGTGTCTCCCCAGTTTCATGAGCCTCCGGCTCCACTCACAGCCCCCGTAAGGCTCCATCGCCCTCGCACTCGACGGTCGTGTGACTTTTGTCGCTCTCGCAAGAGTGCTTGTCGGCTCGACCAAGGGCCTCCATGCTACGCCTGCCGTCTGTACGCCCGGGAATGTATCATCAGCGAGAGACCGCCACGGAAGAGGCAAAAATCGACGAGCGAAGCAGGAAGAACCACTGTAGTCTCAGCCACCACTCACGACACGGGTGCTGCTAGACCGGCACACTCTGATGGACCCAGATCATCGAACTGGACGCAGGGATCCCAGGCCGCGGTACTTGCCAACAACGACGCGGATCTCGCCGTCTTCTCCCCTCAATCCAATGGAAGCTCGCAGCAGATGTCGCCCACGCAGGGAGCAGGCTCCGTAACTTCACAGGTTTCGGTCGAATCAGGTCGGCCGACAACAAGACACGCCGTCGTGGGACGAGAGCACGATGCGCCCACCGAGTCATTGGACGCGTGGCCGACCAAAACCACCTTCCTCCTAGGAGACACAGGCGAGTCGGACCCCTACCTGCTTCGGCACTTTTCGTCGGAATATCTCGACTCATCGGTGGATGACATTGCCAAGGTGACACCCAGACATATGCTACGTGCATCAGACCCAGACGTCATGCACAGCCAAGGAAAGCCCTTGATCATGTCGATCGCCGACCATTCGCTCTACGACCGAGGAGAACCGCGACTGGACCAAAAAGTCCTTGACCAAGCGGCATGCGAAGTCTCCCAGATGATCTCGGATGAGACAGGCGTCCGACTGGTCAAGCTCTTCTTCCGATACATCTACCCGTATTTCCCCATCTTGTCTAAGACGCGTCTTCTGTACCCGCTGGCCGAACTGCCCTCGCGACTCAAGTCCCTCCCGCTCTCTCTCAAAGCAGCCATCTATGCATCAGCTTTGGCCTTCTTCACCTATGACGACGTGCTGGCGACCACGATTGTCCATTCGCCTCCGTCGAGCCAGCGATTGTACCGCATCGCCTGGGTCGCTGTGACGCACGAAGTCCACACGCCTCACCTCTCCACTTTGCAATCATGCTTACTGCTTCTCCAACGGGTTAACGACGATCGGTACGTGATGGACACCGTGTTTCGGTGGAGTTTGCTCGGCTGGACCGTAGCTCTGGCACAGACCTTTGGCTTGTCCACCGACTGCCTCGACTGGACGGGGCTTCCAGAGTGGGAAAAGAGGCTGCGGCGGCGTCTTTGGTGGGCGGTTTTTGTCATGGACAAATGGGCATTCATGTCGGCCGGGTTGACGAGCCACATCCACGATGACAACTACGACGTCGCGCCTCTGACTGCGGCCGACTTTGTCTATTCTGGCGAGACAGAGTCGTCCCAACAACAACAGCAACACAACGGCAGTGTCGAAGCCGCGAGCTCCGCTGGCGCTACCGAGCCTCCCTTATCCCACTTCTATCATCTGACCCGCCTCACCGCGATTCTCAGCGACATCCAAACCGCGTTCTTCACCATTGCCGCCTCCAAACGCACCGAACGCGACTTTCAACTCTCCATCGATCTGGCCAAGCCCATCCGCCGCCGCCTCAAGGAATGGAAGACGTCGTACGACACCTATCTTGACTCTCCGCACCTCCACGGCCACCACCACCACAACACCACCGCCATACGTTCCCGCTCGTCTGGTCTGGACGGCAACGCCTCCCTGGGGCTAAGCTACCTCGTCACCAACATCATCCTCTTCCGCGCCCTCCTCCGGCCCATCGAATCCAACCTCCCCTCGTCGATTCCGTCGTCTTCCTCCGAAGCCGGCCGTGACGCGGTCCGCATCGGCGCCAAGACGTGCTGCATGGAGGCCGTCGAGTTCGTCGAGTCGCTGCGCCGCAACGTCTGGGACGCGTTTTGGCACTCGTGGTCGCGCGCGGGGTTTGCCATGATCTCGTCCATGACGATCCGGCTGCTGATCACGAGCGAGGAGTCGGGCGAGGTCGACGAGATCAACGCCCTCATCAGGCGGTGGCGCTGGGCGTTGCGCACGGGCGGGGGCAGCGCCGGGAATGTCTTGATGAGTTTGGCGCTGTTGAGGCTCGATCGGTCGTTGGTGACGAGGGGGATTCACGAGAGTGACGAGGAGTGACCATCAAGAGGGGATGGATATAAATGCAATGTCCACTAATCTTTCCATCTCCGTACGGATTTCGACTTCCAGATAGCGACGACCGGGAAACCGGTGGTATTCGTCGGGAATATTGCTAGGTATAACGATTGATGAATGCGATCTCTGTGGTTTCAAACACCGGTACATACTGCCCTGTTTGGTAACCACGTACTGACCAGGTATCTACTCCTCCTCGTAGTTGTCCGGGTCGTATCATGCAGTACGCAATTCGCTTTCGCCCGCATCAGACGGCTGAGCCACGCTGCTCTAGCTCACCCAGTAACGATATCCTCTGGCCCCCACTCGGCCCCCACCCAACCATGGCTGATTGGCTCCTACTTAACCCCCTTTTGGCGGTTCTTCGCCAGGGTTGTTATTGCGTGGTTGCGCCTCAACGGCCCTGGCCTGGGTTTCAGCCACTCGTTCTAGCCGCCGACCGAACTGACGCCCGCGTGAACGCCGTGGGGCGATCCATGACTGTGCCCTGGCACCATCAGACGATGATGAACCAAAGTATCGCATCGAGGAGAGGGTCTAAAGACCGTTGCTATGCCACACTGCCCGAGTCACTGTGCAATGGGCATGACTCTTCTGCGACCACGACATTGTCTGTCAGACTTCCTTGCGGAGGACGAGATTGCATCGACATTCTTTTCCAACTCGATGTGACCCCCTGGCCAGCCAGTCCTGCAGGGGCGTTTCCTGAGACCCGCTGAGACACAGGCATGGTCGTTACCGGGCCAGGGATCCTGTATCAGAACGCGGCAGATTTGCTGCTAATAATTGCGGTGGCTGTCCGCCTCCTCTGCGCGGTACATCAACAGGTTTCCGTCCAAGATGGGCTATGCACAGGGCAGACACAGCAACCGATATTCCTCGCCATACAATCATTGACAACAACCTCATCATCAGCATTATATTCTTGATCGCTTGAATGTCGCTGGACACCAACAAGAAGTCACTACCCAAGCTGCCGTGGGACAAATCCCCTTTGCTGCTGTCAGTCAAACATGCAGAGCGAGCCCCAGCCAGAACCCAGCGCAGCAACCCGCGCCTCCCGCCTAAGGATGTCTACCTCAGCCTGGCCATGCTCCTGTGCCTGACTCTCTCCCTCCTGACGGTCTTCTACACGCGCTTCGCCATCTTCCTGGGCCAGATCAATCAGCTCGTGCTGATCGGCTTCCTCGTCGCCGTCATGGGCATGTGTCTTGAAGGCCAGGTCCTCCGCACGGCCCTGATGGCGTGCGGGAAGCGTCGGGGAACCACGCTGCAGGACCTCGATGCGCTGATGCGCAAGGACCCATTCGCGGACCACGTCTTCTGGGCATACCGGCTGTTGCTGCTGATTATCTTCGGCCTGCCGCTGCTGCTCAGCGTCGGCTACAAACAATTCATCGGCGGGAGCAGCACGATCCTGGTGCACGAGGGCCCTGGGTTCTTCGGGTTCGCGGCGCCGCCGGGCATGCAGCGGATCGGGGACGGCCTCTCGCTGCTCTCACAAGTCTATGTGCCCTTCTGGACGGACCCGGGCTTGAACCGGACGTACGGGTTCAACGTCTTCATCGCGGCCGACAACAAGACCGCCGCGATCGTGGACTCGCCGTTCCCTTCCTACCTGACGGCGATCCAGAGCAGGCTCAAGGACGGGGAGACACTGACCATGTCCACCACGGTCAACGCCACCGTCTCCGAGATCCACGATATCTCGGACGAGGACCGAAACAGCGCGGACTTTTGGACCGACGTGGCCGCGCAGTTCGGGCACGACTTCACCGTCAACGGCGGCAACGTGCGCGGGGCGAACAACGCGCTCTGGGCGGGCATGAGCGGCAACTTCCTGACCAACTTCACTACCATGTACTTTTCGGCGTGGAACACGACGCGCAACGAGACGTTCGAGTCGGAGGCCATCCGGACCGAGCAGTCGCGGCGCATCGCCGACGTGACGTGGGTGATTTCCCCGTCCAACATCACGCTGACCGCGGCCAGGCTGGTCGTCCAGCCCGACGCCACTGTGAACCAGACGGTGCTGCAGAACAACGCCATCGGCCTGCAGGAGATGTTCAGCAACTACCTCGGCGAGTACGACTGGCACAACCGCGCGGGCGCCTTCGACTACCCGTACCCGATCTCTCCGGAGAGCGGGCCGCTGGTGTTTGCGCAGCCCGTTAATACCGTGCCGGCGCTGGCGGCGGCCATGGCGTGGGCGCGCACCTCCAGCCTCGACACCATCGTCCGGCCGCAGGGGATCCAGAACGCCGAGATCCGCGCCCTGACCGGCTACGACAAGGCCGCCGCCGACATCCTCTCCATCAAGACCGTGCCGACCCTGCGCCGCCATCCGCTGCTGATCCTGCTGCTGATGGTGAACCCGCTCCTGTCGTTCATCTGCGTCGCCGTCAAGGCCCTCGTGCTCCACGACAGTCCCGTCCGCGACGGGTTCAGCACCCTCTCTCTGCTCGCGGCTTCCTGGGAGGCCGATTTCATCGCCTCCAACGACGCTGCCAGTCTCGCTGGCGCTGGGGGGCGGCTGAAGCGGCCTGTCATCGTGCATTTCGCGCCAGAGAGGGGCTGAACTAATAATAATCGCGATGGGAAATAGCCCATTGAATCACGACTTTTACATGAACAGCAAAAAGGGGCAAGATCGTGATTGCTGATGAGGACAAAGCTGGCAGTTGTATCTATGAATTCATCACTTGTTCGAGAAGACAGTGCATTGATCGATCTGTGTATAAAGACAAAGAACTTCGAGGGCCGGCTCTCAATGGTGTGCATATATTGCTGTTGCTGTGGCAGTGGCGCGCTGGCTTCTCATGTAAAATCCGAGCAGGAAACGGTCATTTGACGCCCCGAGTTATACATACGGCCCATTCAGCGAGCCGATGTACAGCGACTGCTGGTGATCCGCGACCCACTCCTTCAGCTCCTCCGAGATGTCCAAGTGGCTCTTCTTCACATTCCAGAAGGACGCAGGCAACAACGCGTCGTTGCCCGTGTCGACCTCGACGATGGCAGCGCGGAGGACCAGGTCCTGCCTGCGAGCCACGGACCATCGGCGCCCGCACATGCTGATGCCGTGCATGAGCGTGTCGAAGATGGGTTCGCGCCGCTGCTGGTTCATCTTGCGGTAGATGACCAGCTTGAACCGCGCGGCGACGAAGAGCATGGTCCCGAGGACCGGCGTGCTGAGTTCGGCGTCCGCGTCGCTGATGCTGCGAAGCGCCAGCACGATGTCCTCGCACGCCTGGAGGCATCGCTGCAGCGGAATCTCGTTGCACGAAGTTTCATCCGCCTCGATAAGGCGCGCGTAGAGGATGATGACACTCGCATGGGACAGGATGCTGGTGAGGACGAGGTTGGGATCAAAGTCGATCAGTCCATCTGCCAGCAACGTATAGCTGGTGGCTGGCTGGGCACGGACATAGTTCATGAGGTTGTGGTATATCTCGTCACACGTGGCAAATGCCTGGCCCTTTGCTTGATCATATCTCCCCTGCTCATGGTCGTAGAGGAAGTTGTGGAGAGGTTGCAGGCCGATCGCGGCGAGATGCGTGTGGCTGCGGAAGCTGTCCCTGAGGTCCGGCGTGCTCACATAGGCAACGCTCGACAAGTGGTCCATCACGGCAGCCGACACGTCCCGCCATGAGATGCCCAAGGTCGAAACGGCGTCCATGGCAAGCGAGGACCAGGTCAAAGGGATCGCCAGTTCATCCCCGGTGTTGCTGCCTATTGCTGGAGGGCCGACTTGTGCAGGGCTCTGCAGCTGCATCTGATTCAACAGCTTGCGGAAAAGGCCAATGTTTTCGCACATGCGCCGGCAGACAGCGAGTATGCTGAACGTACTGGGGATGTTGTCCGAGCCATAGTCCAAGATGGCAATGATCAAGAGTGCTTGGAGTGATTTCAATGATGCTTTGGAGAAGGCCTCATTCACTACCTGCGACCTGAGGTACTGTGAAAGTCGATATCTCCCGTTGTATCCCAAACAGATGGCCTGACTCGAGTATGCTATCTGAAGGGCAATAACGGCCTTGAGAACCACGTCATCGATGTGTGTCAGAGGCAGAGGGAGGGCGTCAAGGGCATCCTGGATGTGTTGGCGGCTTAATATAGGGTACCATGGTTGAGTTTCCTTGAACCACGAGTCGGCCAAGGTATGAAGGTATGCATGGGATAGGGTCGTCAAGTCTGCAACGGCAGCATCTGATTCTGCCTGTGTCGCATTGGATTTCGGTAGCTCCACATGGGAGACAGACGGAGTATTGGAGATGGAGTGTTGTGGTGGCGATATGTCAATGGGTTGGTGGGGGGAAGATGTCGCTGCGAGGGGAGGGCTGAGGATGGGATTTGGGGTCGCCGTCGAGGACGTTGTTCGTTCGTGCTTGAACTTCTCGACTTCTTGCTCCAGGGTCTCTGGCCAGGGATCAGACAATGTCTTCTTCAGAATGAATGGGAACGACTACCCAGGCGATTTTCGAGTTGCGATACGTAGCCAGCACGAAGACCGCGTTTCTTCGTCTTGGTCACATACTGGCAACGAACCTTTGCTTTGGCGCAGAAAGAACAATTGGGGAGCCGCCTGTCACATTTCGTCTTGCGCTGTCGACAGAGATGGCACCTATGTAGACTCTATTAGTCGCCATGAATTGCAGGTGGTGATGGAGTAGAGGGAGGTTGTTCACACTGTGGAGCTTCTCTCTTCCGAGAAGGGGATTTCGGGGGATTCGCTGCTCATTGTTGGCGCCCGCCTGTGGTTTCGAGGGACAATATCAGAAGACACGAGAAGAGAAGAAGTCATCACGTCGAGGGAGTATTTGGGAGTGGTCGAGTGGTGAAAAGAACCGTCGCCGAGACTTGGGCCGCAGGTGGCTGTGGGTGGCGTTGGCGGGAGACGCTCCGCAGGCATCGGCGATACACGGGCCGATATGGACATCGACCTGCAGCTGCGCATATGCTTCTTCTACGTGGCCCAGTAGATGACCATGATTGATTCATGCGTATAAGATCACGCGACGCCCAATGCAGACACCGTATCCCATGCGCCAGAACAGATTGTGGACTTTCTCGACCGCCTCTTCACACATGAGTCTCACGAACAGCCTGTTCCTCCCGTGATGGCTTACTCTGTAAGTGGCTACTTCACCTATAGATCAAGGACTTGTCTTTGCTGACCTAGAAGAATCCCTCAGTGTTTCTATACGGCCCCGGACAAGCAAAAATCCAGGACAGACCAGAACCCAAGATCACAGATGCCACAGATGCGATAATTCGGATCAAGTTCGTGGGAGTGTGCGGGAGTGATGTAGATCAGATCGTCGAGCGGTACTCACGAGCAAAGATCTGACAGCCTTCAGGTGCATTTCTGGAACCACGGCGGCGTCAATGGGAAGTTTGTCTCCGAATCAAACCCTCTGGTCATGGGACATGAGGCCTCAGGAAGTCAGTTGCATTGCCCCTTTGCGAGAGAACCCATCGCAGACATCCCGACTTGGACTTGGATGACAGGGGCTAACCTCAGTTTGTAGCGGTACATGCGGTTGGCTCTGCCGTCACCCATCTGAGGCCAGGCGACAATGTCGCCATCGAGCCAGGTCAGCCTTGTCGTTCCTGTGACAGATGCAAGGAAGGACTGTACAACCTTTGCCCGCACATGAAATTCGCCGCTTGCCCACCAGACACCCCGGGATGTCTCACCAAGTATTTCAAGATCCCGGCCGACTTCTGCTACAAGCTTCCGCCGGGGGTGAGTCTGCAGGAGGGCGTTCTTGCCGAGCCTCTTGCTGTGGCGGCGCATGCAGTGCGAATGATCGGAGTCAAACCAGGTCAGAGCTTGGTCATCTTCGGCGCAGGCACAATTGGCCTCGTATGTGGTGCAGTTGCCCGACTATTTGGAGCAAAGAAAGTTGTGGCAGTCGACCTGCTGGACCACAAGTTGGAATTTGCCAGGAATCTCAACAGGTCGAATACCTTCAAGCCCGATCTGTCTGCTTCGCCAGAGAAGAACGCGGCGCGGCTGATTGAGGAAAACGGGCTGGGACTCGGTGCAGACGCCGTCATCGAGGCCACAGGGGCGGAAAGCTCAATCATCACAGCGGTCCATGTCCTTCGTCCGGGAGGCTCTTGTGTGCAGACAGGCCTGGGAAAGCCTGTCATCAACTTTCCTATCCTGGCCATGAGCGAAAAGGAATTGCATATGCACGGTGCCTTCCGATACAACGAGGGGGATTTCAAAGTCGCCATGGACGTGCTTGAGGCGGGCACTCTGCCTCTAAAGAGCCTCATCTCCAACATTTTCGATTTTGAGCACACCACAGATGCATGGGAAGCAACCAAACAAGGACGGGGTATCAAGAATATGATTCGAGGCTATGGATATAGAGATCCCGCCAGAATTAGCCACTTATAACTTCAAAAAAGCATCGTTTTGCGTCCAGCTGGCTCCCTGGGTGCCATGAACATTGCAGCAAAGGCAGGGTCTGGCACTCAATGAAAGAGGAGGGGCGATCGACTCATGCTGTCGTCCTATGAAAGCCCATAGTGTACAAAATTCATCAACCATCAACATTAGTCGATCAATGCTGACTCCATTCGATGGTGTTCAAGTCGATTCCTTCTTGGACCAGTTCCCAGAGCGGGCTGAGCTCTCTCAAGAAGGTGACGCGCTCACGGACGGCTTTCAGAACATAGTCGATTTCGCTAGTGGTGGTGAAACGCCCGATGCCAAAACGGATACTGCTGTGCGCACTTTCGTCGCTGTTTCCCAGCGCTCGAAGGACATAGCTAGGCTCCAGAGATGCTGAAGTGCAAGCACTCCCGGAGGAGAGAGCAATATCCTTGAGGGCCATCAAGAGCGACTCTCCTTCAACATAGGCAAATGAAACATTTACGCATCCGGGATACCGTCGTGTAGGGTCTCCATTCAAAGATGTGTGTTCCATTGAAAGCAACCCGTCGACAAGTCGCTTGGAGAGAAAATTGATGCGTTTAGAGTCGTACTGTAGAGATCCAAAGTCAGCATTGTCCATCAAGGGGGTGATTGGAAAAAGGTAGGCGATCCAAAAAGTGAAATCATAACCCCTGCTATGCTAATCAAGGCGCTGGCATTGTGCTTGCAGTCAGACGCTCAGAAAGCCATGCATGTTAAATAAAGCATATAATCATCAAAGAAAGCTGTCTTCAAGAAAGAAAGCATGGCGCTCACCTCCATCTCCTCTTTGGCAATACGACAAGCCTCTCCAAACCCGACCACCAGGTGAGGTGCGAGCGTGCCGCTGCGGAGACCTCGCTCTTGACCGCCACCGCTGATGATGGGGTCCAACCTGACGCGAGGTCGCCTTCTAACATAACAGGCGCCGATACCCTTGGGCCCATAGATTTTATGGCTCGAGATCGACATCAGGTCGACGTTCCAGTCGTTGACGCTGATTGGAATCTTGCCGACCGCCTGCGCGCCGTCGGTATGGAAATATACTTTCTTCGATCGGCAAAGCTGTCCGATCTCTTTCATGGGCTGGATGACACCGATCTCGTTGTTGACTGTCATGATGCTGACCAACGCAGTTTCTGGTTTAATTGCTTCCTCGAGCTGTTGTAGATTGATCAAGCCACTTGCGTCGACTGGCAGATATGTGACCTCAAAGCCTTCGTCCTGCAAATGTCGACAGCTGTCCAAAACACACTTGTGCTCTGTCTGACTTGTGATGATGTGCTTCTTCTTGCCCGACCTGCCAAAAAACCTGGCGACACCTTTAATGCTCATATTGTTACTTTCGGTGGCGCCGCTCGTAAATATGATTTCCTTGGGGTCTGCGCCGATCAATTTGGCAATATGTTCTCTTGCTTGCTCGGAAGCCTTCTCGCTCTCCCAGCCATATGCATGCGTTCTCGAATGGGGATTGCCAAAGAGGCCAGTGAGGAAGGGCAGCATTGCATCGAGAACTCGGGGGTCAACTGGAGTCGTGGCCTGCGCATCTAGATAGATTGGGCGAGTGCCCTGATCCATGATGGTGGCATGCTTCAAAATGCCAGCTTGGGGACTTAGCATTGTATCGGCGGTGATCCCGGTCCCCGGCATCTTGACCTGTGAAGGAAGATTGCCACTCTCCTGGATGAATTTCTTCTGGTCCGCCTTGATGGCAGACTCGACGTCGGCAACTTGAGCATTGGCTGGTTTGGACTCGGAGACATAGCTGCGACGGCCGCTGAAGCGCGAGGAGGCGATGGAAGCAGTTCCGGGACGTGAGGGAGAAAGGATGGTGTTGTTGGAAAACCGGCGAGCGCAGGCACGCGAAGCCTGCCGCATCACTGAAGATGCTGGTCCAGACATGTTTTGGAAGTGAATCAGTCCAGCTGACTATTGGTTTTGGAAGAGGAAGGAAATATGCTGGTCCCCAGATGATGAATCTGCTCGAGTTTGCTTGGATGGATGGGGTGGCTGATGATGGGATTTATCAGATTAGATGTTCGGGCGACCTTCCCGCCCGATGTCGCTCTCTCTCCTTCGCCACCACCAACCACCATTGCACAACCCAAGTGCACGTTGCATACGGCTAAACGACGGATGTGGTCGGTGATGTCGGTGGGATCGCTGCAGGAGAGGTAAGCACGCCAGTCAGCTTGCGAGGCACCGACCTTGACCTGATCTCAATACAGCTAGACAGTGTCCAGTGAGTTGAAGGACAATCCTGCTCCTTCGCACATCTCTCATCGCTGTCGCTTCCCGTCTCTACTGCAAGGTCTCAAACGGCAAACATCTGGTGGGAAGTGAAGGGCGCGCACAGCCAGCCAGCTTCTCTCCGGCACAGCCACAATCTCCTTCTCACTCGGCTGCGTCATTGCTTCTTGTCGCCCAGGCGGTGGTCCAAGCGAACTGTGCCGTCTCCAACCATCGTTTGCTGCCCACATCCAAACCGCCCCTCCATCCTTCGTCTTCGCATACTTCCGTCCACCTCTACTACCACCACCAGGCACCCGGATACAGTCCACCCCATAGTTCTGCGACTCCTCCTCGAAGGCTCCCCTCCTCGCCTTTCCTTCTCATTGAATATCCTATTCCGAGACATCCACATCCCCGAAGAGCACGAGGCGAGGATTGAGTGTCTGTTCAAGAACTACCACGCAAAATGAGTCTGAAAGGCGTGGGGAAGAGTATAACTCGAGCCCCACAACAATTCAAGCAGCGCTTCAATATTGGCGATAATACAAAAGATGCTGTCTACATCGACGCTGAGAGGCGCTTTCAGGAGCTGGAGAAGGAGACCAAGAAGCTGCACGACGAGTCAAAGAAGTATTTTGAGGCCATCAACGGTATGTCTTAAGAGGGGGCTCCGTCCAATGACGTCTGTCTCTAACATCTGTCTTCTCTAGGCATGCTGAACCACCAGATCGAATTCTCCAAAGCCATCCAGGAGATCTACAAGCCCATATCCGGCCGTGTCTCTGATCCCAACTCGCTCATCCCCGAAGGAAACCCAGAAGGAATCCGAGCTTGTGAAGAGTATGAGTCTATTGTGCGCGAACTGCAGGCCACACTGCAGCCGGAACTAGAAATGATCGAACAGCGCGTGATAGCGCCCGCCGACCAGTTACTCGAGGTCATTAAGGTCATCCGCAAGATCAACGTCAAGCGCGATCACAAACAGCTAGACTACGACCGACACCGAGCCACTCTCAAAAAGCTGCAGGACAAGAAAGAAAAGACCCTCAAGGACGAAAAGGCCCTCTTCAAGGCAGAGAACGACGTCGAACAAGCCACGCAGGACTATGAATATTTCAATAATTTGCTCAAAGATGAACTCCCCAAGCTTTTTGCGCTGGAGGCCGAATTCATCCGTCCTCTTTTCCAGTCCTTCTATTACATGCAACTCAATGTCTTCTACACCCTCCACGAAAAGATGCAAGCCATCAATATTGGCTACTTCAACCTAAATCTGGACATCGAGGAGGCGTTCGAGATGAAACGAGGGGATGTTCAGGAACGCGCAGAGGCGCTTTCGATTGTCCATTTCAAAACCACAGGCGGCGTGAAGCCTCGCGGCGTGTCGAGATACGGACTGGGTCACTCGAAAGCCAAGGAGGCAGAAGCAAGTAAAAGCTCATACGCAAGTCGGAGGACAAGTCATCTTGAAGATGGTGTTTCCAACCCACCTCCGCCTTATTCTCCTACCGGCTCAGCAAGTATGCCCAGCAGTCCTGCAATAGGAAGTCCTTCACTGGGTGCCGCCATTGCAGCAAAGGGCAAGCCTCCTCCACCAAAACCTAAGCCAAGTCGGCTGAGTGGTGTGCCTAATGCAGAGACCTGTACAGCCTTGTATGATTACGAGGCGCAGGCAGAAGGAGATCTCAGTTTCATGACAGGAGATGTCATCGAAATTACATCAAGGACGCAGAATGAGAATGAGTGGTGGACGGGACGAGTCAACGGGCGAGAAGGACAGTTTCCTGGTAGGTGTGGCCTCGGATTTGGACTCTGAACTTTGAATTTTGCATTTCGCTTGTTTTTTTGGTATATCGCCAGCAGTCTGGATCTTGATTAGCTGACCTCAGAACACGCAGGAAATTATGTGCGCCTGAATTAGAGCCTTTGCGACGTCCATTTGAAAATATGCACTGCAAAAGCACCAACCGTCGCCCATGCCTGACTCTGTTCATATCTCTCTCGGTCTCTCAACGATTCCAAAACAAAACCCAAGCACCTATGGTGGATGATCAGATTCATCTAGCCGCGTCTGACGGCAACCGTCTGCGGCAACCATCGACCTGTCTCATCGATTGGATTTCGAGACATCAGTCCCCGCCTGGCATATCACCCGAGCGCCATGGGTTGGACCTTCTAATATATTCTTTGGTGGAACTCGAGGGGTCGATGCCCAGATCATGCATTACAACTCCACCGGCAGAGGACGGCGACTTGGGCATGGGCGAGATCATGGCCACAAGGGATGGGATGCGTATAAACTGGGTCGGGAAGATGATATACTTTAGTGCTTCGTTCACAACTTTGGACTGCAGCTTTCAACAGAGGCATAGTTCGCGTATAATATCCTTCTCAGATGGATCCCTTCCGCGGCTCCTTTTCTTTCTTTCCCGTTTTAGATTGATCCAGGTCGTCGACCTGGGCCGAATCCCCTCATACTTCTGCGTGCACACTCTTTTCCGTGGCAAGCTAGCCGTCGAGGCTACTTGGCTTCTGAGGCGTATAATATCGCTCTCCGAGTCTTTTTCTACAGGTGTAGAGGTTCGCGAGGTATAGGAGATACTATGGAGGGCCGGGAGAGGACCAGGATGGGGCTGCAAGGAGCCAGAGATGACAGAGAATCTATATATCGACATTTCCAAAAAGTATCGGGAATATATGTACGACCCGAAATACATCAGCCAAATGAATGCCTGTTGAGCGTCTCTCCCTTTTGCTCTCGTTTCTCTGTATCTCCCCCAATATTCTCTGCCACCCGTGGTAGCCCTTGTGTTTCGTGCTCCGATCGAGGGTTGAACTCGGTTTCTGCTCTCCTGAGGAATCCCTACGGCCGCCCTTCGACAGACGGAGGCACTGAAAAAAGAAAAAGGGCAAGCAAATGACTCCCTAGCGCAGCCAATATCCCCTGCCGATGGACATGTACATTGCCCGCTCGCGCCGTGTCTGGCGAAGTCTGGGAGGTGCCGGCGCCTTGCCTTTGCCGTGGCCCCGGCTACTCTGCCGCGTGGGATCGTCCGGGCTTGCGACGGATTTTGCAGCGGGTGCCGAACGGGAGGTGGTTGTAAGCGACGGCGACGGAGATGGCGGCACCACCGGCAGCCTGGGGCTCGGACTCGGGCTGGAGGTCGAGGTCGAGGTCGCCGCCAGCAAGGGTCTCTGGGGCTGGGACATCGGGGGCAACTCGGCGCGCGAGGAAAGCGGAGGCAGCGGCCAGTCCTTGGACTCGTCGATCAGAGGCGCCGGATCCAGACCCAGCGCCTGTGCCATGTTGTGGCCCTGGGGGAGGACGGCGAGTTCCTCCTGCTCGTCGCCCCGGAACGGGAGAGAAGTTGAATCTCCCGCGTCTGGTTTGACCCGCGCCCCCAGCTTCAGCCTCTTTGTGGGATCCGTGAGGTCGAGGTCGATTCCCTGGCTCTGGCTCTGGCTCTGGCTCTGGCTCTCGAGACTCACGGATTGCGGTGCCTCGTCGAACTCGTAGCAGTCCACCTTCCTCTTCCTCTCCGATTTCGGCACCGCGGGACTCCCATCCAGCCGCTGCATGCCCTGGAAGCCAAAGGTCGGGTCGAAGCCGACAAAGACCAGCGCCCGCTCCGCCGAGCCCGGCGCGCGGGGCGGGCCGGCCATATACACGATGCCCTCGTCGCCCAGCATGGCCTTGACGTCGCCGGCCCGGCCCTCGGGGCAGAGGATCTCGTGCAGGCCCTGGGGCGCGTCGTCCGGGGGCCAGAGCGCGACACGGCTGGCCGTGAAGGCGCGGTCTCCGTCCTCCATCTCCTGGCCCTCGCGGTCGCGGATGCGCTTGCGGAGCACCAAAGCCACGGAACCGCCCGTAGGCGTTGTCGTCGGCGTCGCCTTCACGTCTCCCACCAGAGGACTGAGCTCCTGCCTGCTGACCACCCGTAGCTTGATGCGCTGCCGGGGCCGCCACTCGCCTTCCATGACCGCCTCGTCCGTCACCAGGTCGATGAACGCCTGCGCGTTGAACGAGTACCCGTTCCACTTGGTCCGGGCCCGGATGTATTCCCTGGCCGGCGGCTCCCCGCCGCCCCCGTCGGCCTGGAACTCGGCGTGCACGTATCGGTCGGCGCGCACCATGGGCTCCTCCCAGCGGCTGTTGCTGTGCTCGTCGAGGGTGACGCTGAGGCGGTCGTTGGGCGGATGGCGCAGCCCGTCCTTCAGGTTCTTGAACTCGGCCCGCCGGATGGGCTGCGTGTAGTACGTGCGGAGGGACCGGCTGCCGCCGTTGAGCCACTCCTTACGGCCCTCGACCACCAGCAGCTCGCCCGTCGAGTGGTCGATCTGGAAGCCCAGGTCGTTCCAGGCGTCGTTGATGGGGCCCTCGAGGTGCTGCCGCCGCCAGATCAGCTTGATGGCCAGCTCCGGGTCCGGGTCGTCCAGCCGGAACGTGACCACGTGGTAGTAGCTGGTCCAGTCGACCTCCTCGGCCTCGTAGCTCGTCTGGCTCGTGATCGCGTAGAACTCGCCCTGGTGGATCGTGAAGCACGCCGTCGACCCGATCTCCGACCCGTAGAAATCTCGCAGCTGCAGCGGCTCCCGCGTCACCGCCTCGCCCGTGTCCAGGCTGTAGACGTCCAGCAGCCACTCGTGGTGGTCGTGGCTCCCCGTCGCCGAGTGCGACCCCAAGACCATGAACTGGTCGTCGTTCCGCACGAAAAAGCTTGTTCCTGGACCGGATCGGGATGCACTGTGGGACGCGATGGTGGCGGCCACCGGCCCCGGACGGGATGGAGGAGGGCCTGTTGTCGGCTATATTCACGGCGAAGATATATTGGCCAAACGGCCCAAAGTCACACAGGAGCGCCACCACGCCCTCGGCGTAGCTCTGGACCTGGATCGACCTGATGGCCTGCAGATCTACAGTGTCTCCTTCGCCCCTGGGCGTGACGCTGATCTGGTCGGTGAAGACGCTGCTGGCGAAGACCTTCTCGGTGCCTCGACGGTTATTGAAGTTTAGGATGCGAAGACTGTTCGCAGAGGTATAACACAAAATTCCCCAATTGTACGTGAAACTGCTCGCATATGCTATAATACAGGCCGAATACGGACGGGCTTGTTGCAAGGCAGACTGGGAGTCGATGGCCCGGGCGAGGGTCTGCCGGGGGCCCGCCTGCGCGGGAGACAGGGCGAGCTGGACCCAGAGACAATGCCGCAGACTCGCCTGACGTGGTCAGCACGGAGGATCCCGCCCGCCGCAAATTCTGCAGATGAAGCCTAGAAGGGGGATTGCTACCTGAATGGCATGTTTTGCAGTATTCTCATTCTGAAGATGTCGACGCAGAGACTTGCACGTCCTTGCCAGATGGTCGAAAGAACGAACGTCGAGCTGGGATGCAATTTGGTGATGGGCGTCAAATGGCAGCTGGACGAACCGAGAGGACATGCCCGTCGTCGACGACAACGAAGAAGAGGTGGTGGTATGGAGGCGGGAATTCCTTCTAGCGTGACCATGAGGCAACGACGGCAGAGCAGAAACGGCTGAACTCTCCGGGAACAAAGCACCATTATCACCTTCAAGCAGAGTGTAGTAACAGGAGTGAGGCTGAAGGGTACGGATGAGGATTCCTCCCTCGGTGGTTCTCGTCAGAGGTGTCCATAGCTTGTCAGAGGGATGGGGTGTGGGCCTGCGCAGAGCCTCACGGTTTGATGGATCACACTCCGTATTTCGCGGACATGAGTGGCACCAGCCAGGGGCAAGGGGCCGATCAAAACTGGACACATGTCCGTCGACTAGTTGGGAGGTTTAGAGATTGTCACCTGCTGCACGGGAGTTTTGTGCCCGGGATCGGAGAGGGACAATCAGGCTGCAGGCAGGAAAGAATGGTGAGGTAGAAGGTTGAGAAAGGAAAATGATCTCGCGGCGAATCAATTGGTACCTGGCTAGAGCCGCAAGTTCGATTAATGTCCATGTAGTGGCTTTGTTAGAATCCGCTAAACGATTCTCGGCTAGACCCTGAGTAATATTACTCGTATGCCCCCACTCAAAAGCCCTATGACATCCGCAGCCAAGAGCGGGACAGCAACCCTTTCCCGTTACGGAATTCTTACATCCGACACAGGTGAACTCCCGAGGCCACCAATCTCAATACCCCCCATCCCCATTTCTCGCTTCTAGTCACACTATAACTACCATCTCCCTCCTTTATGTCAAAGGAGCTGGTTGCAACGGAGCTCCCCAGGCTGGTAGCCGCAGAGCCGCATGGCATGCCCCGTGGTATGTGCCGTGCAACCTAAACGCTGGCACCCGCGAAATGAGCAACGTTGTGGTCAGTGATCACCAGGCTCCGCCACGGCCAATACGCAATCTTTGGGTTCTTGTTTCTCCTGCCCGAGTCTCACCTGCATTTCCACTTCCCTGAATTGCCCGCCTCTCCCCAAGCTGTTTGGAAAGCGGAGCCCCTGCCAATACCTGGCTGAAACAAACTGAGATCCAGAGCTCGTGTTCTGCGGCGTCCTGCGGCGTCCGACCCGAATCCGGGGTAGATTTCGCTAGCGGTGAGCAATTGATTCTCCCTTCTCGTGATGTCTGCTCTCCCGAGACCTCGCCGGCTTGGGTAACTGTTTGTTTGACGTGCGCTATTTCGCCTCACTATGCACATACTGCAGCGCTAGAGTCACTGGGCTGCTGAGCGAGCAGGACTTGCAGCGGTGTTCATCCTGCGCATGACAAAGCGTAACCGGGCGCCACGCAAGGCTGTGCATCTCGGCAGGGAAACCCGGCTCCAGGAAGGAAGGTCCTCGGCAAATCATTGCTAGGTTGCAGCAGAGAATGATGAAAGACTGCAAGCTCTTATCAGATTAGACGAACAAGACGAGCAGCAAGGTGCAGAATGGTGTGCTGGCAGCCAGGTCTCGATCAAACCTTCCATCAGTGCAACACGCATGAAAGCAGTCTCGGCCAATGGTGGCCAGAGCGGTGTGATGTAAATGCACCAGCGTTGGCATATGTTTTGCCCTGCAGCGCGCAGAGCGGGCTGTGTTCTCTGCGCCCGGCTCGTATTGTGCGCCCGGCGGCCGTGCGCAGACTCGGGCCCGGAATATGTGTCCAGCTGCGCCTTGTGACATGGTCAGCAACAGACTTGTAGTCTTGTGGTCCCGAAACAACAAGAACAAACGGATATAGGTTCAAAGGCAATAATTTCTGGGGAGAGTTTGGTAAAAGCGAGTGAGAGGCCACCTTCATCTGCTTCTGTAACTGGTCATGCGGGAAGAACCCGCGCTGTGTAACCAATTACACAGCCTCATCCCACATTTTGCGCCCGGTGTTGCATCGTCGGTTTGTCCAACATCAATGACTAGGTAGAGGTGTGTGGGCAAGCGATCGGGCTGGGGGTTGGGAACGTGCAAGGAATCGCAACGTAATCTCTTCCGTGTGGAAAGAAAGAAGAGGTCTGATGTACACTCGCCACATAAATAAATAGAGATCTGTCTAGTTCGGCCAGACCCATCGAATCGACACCTATGTGAGAGGACAAGATCAAACCACACCTAACACGGGATCGAATGGCATTTTTCTATCGCGCATCGTCCGGCATCAGCGCGGGAAGGGGTGCCCATTGAGAGGATGCGTTTTCAGCTCGCGTGGTCGAATTGGTGCTTCTGACGTGGCTTTATTCATCAAGCGTGTTCTGCGGAGAGCTCATCGTGAACAGCGCACCATTCTAACTCTTGTCCCACTTGCCAAATCGTACCCAGCTTTCATAAAGCCCTCTAAATATAGTCCTGCTGCTCGGATCCATACCTGCATTCATTGCTCTCATGACGTCTCTGTCGAGGGCGTCCATGACACTGTACATACCGTGCATCAAGTGATCCTTCATCGATGGCGTAATTTGCCCATCAAGAACACATCGACAATACTCCATAACAAGATACTGCATGTGCTGGCCTGCCAGTTTCCGAGCTCGATTTACTGCGTCGTTCAGCTCGTTGCGGCTACCCTTATTTGACGATCGTGCAGCTGACACCGTAGGATTAGAGATGGACGATAGTAGACGAGCCAATTGTTCTGCCGAGGACAACGACAGGGGTCCTGGAGATTCATGCAGCCACGTGGGCAGCGACTTGCCGAAAGACTTGATTGCATTCGCAGTGGTACCGCGTTGGCTTTCCATCGCTTTGTGACCGGGCCAAAACAGACATCGCAATAGACTTTGCAAAATCGGAAGCAGTAAATGATACCGATCAGTGAGGCGTTTCCGGTGTCTTCCGAGTATAGCTCCGATGACTCCACATATCCGTTGATAGACATCGGCTGGTCGGGATTCAGTCTGTAAATCTCTGGTCTGCAGTGACCGTGTACCGTCGGATCTAGAGGCGACGACGTATAATGATGAAAGCAACCGATCCAGGACGGATTGATTTACCACTAGTGGATGAGCCTCGAGCACGGCTTTGGAGTTTTCCAAAGCAAGACATAGCCCGCTAGTGCTCAGCCGCGCTGGTGTTGTGGCCATACACACAACCTCCGCTAGGGCTTGGACCAAGGCCGGATATCGCAACATGTGTTCCATCTTGATACGTCCTAAGATGCAAGCCACGAAAACGGCACATGCTGGCTGATATTCCACTTGATCGCTCTTCTTGCGAAGAGACTCTAGCGTTGCAGGCCAGCTGGCCGGTTCGAGTTGGGAAACGAATGTCTCTGCCTCAGCAGCAAGAACAGCGGCGCTCTCGTTGGTGTAGGTGTCCAGTGACGTTGTTAACAAGGCCAGCTCTTGGACAGGTTGTTTCTCTGGCGTGAATGTAGATTTGCTGCACTGTCGTCGAAGGGAGAGCTCCATTCGCCGGTTTTGCGTCACAACGCATCCCCCTGTAGAGGATGCTTCTGCATGCGCGAGTTTTTCCTGAATAGCCAGCGCAATATGCCGCAACTTGTCCGTTAGGCCGCCATTATCAAGGCAGTGGAGCGTGTCAAGGAGTAACTGCAGCCTGAGAAGATTCGCAGGATGTGAGGCATCAGGAAGAGCTTTAGATTCTTCTTTCACACGCCGGATAAGAATCGTTTGCATGAACTCAACATTCTTGAGGTGGTCGTCGTTGTCTAAACCGCTGCCCAATCTGTAGGCGAAATCAAGAAAGATTCGCAAGCAGGATACTGGGGTAAACTCCTGACCGCGTGCCTCCAGCTTCTGGACTGTTGCTACCATGTAGGCCAGAATCTCCGTCGTTATGGCCTTTGAAACGGTTAGAGTTCGTGCGCAGAGGGACAGGAAGACCCGGTCCAAAATACGTAAAGCCATCAGATAGGAGGACACGTATGTCTGGTTGTTAGTAGTGTTCGCTTGCGATGCTTCTCCATAGTTCCACTGGAGGACAGCTGCAGCGAAGTCAACCCACTTGTGCCAGTCTCTGTAGTCAACGAATGCCCCGGGAAATGTCGAATCCAACCAAGCCAAGAGATGCAAGTCGTCTGAAATAGCTTCAATTTTTTCATCCGTGCGCTCTTTGAAAAAGCGAGCGAGCGTCGAAGCCACAAAGCGTCTTATTACTGGCTTGCTCATGGTTTGAATCGACAGACAATGCAGAAGTCTCATGCAAATCTTTCTGCTTTTGTCAGTCGACCACAGATTCTTCTCGATGTGTTCGAAAATCAGCTGTCGTAGAACGGAAGTCCGAGCAATGTCCTCAACTTCCAACACGGCAAGCAAGAGATCATGCAAGTCCGGTGGAGAATCGACTTCATAATCCCGTGGCAAAGGCTGAAAGACGATCTCCAGGCAGGCCTGAATGAAGACCTTGAAGCTTTCGGGGTACACCCAGAACATCTGGGATCTTTGCAATAATTTGCCGACACATGCAGCCACCAGTTCATGCACGCCGTTGCACTCGGAGCTACGCCCATCCCACAGAATCACTTGGTTCTGATTGAGGCTCTGCAGCAGATCTGCCAAGTGACTCGCCTCTGCTTCCAGTCTTGGCTGATATTCCCTCGATTGTGCAGCCAGTTGGACAAGGAGAGAAAAGCATTCGAAATATTCAAGATACTTAGAAGCTTTCTTGGCAATATCAACCTCATCAAGCTTCCGAAAATCTTTGAGGGAAACAAAGTGATGAGGAGAGTTCAGCAAAGAATCAAACTCAGCTGGTAGAGCCTTGCCATCTATTAGCTGGAGGAGGAGCCCAATCAACCTCCTCAACCTCCATCGTTGACCTTGATAGTCGGAATTTCGAGACAAAGCATTCATTGCCCCGAGCAATAGAACAACGAGCTTTTGGTGATCGAACCTCACGCTTCCACTCTCAGAGGCCGGGCTCTCCAAAATTGCGCAGAAGATGGCTAGTCTTGCAAAGATTTCGGCCGTGGAGCCGACTTTGTCGCCGATTGTGATGATGGGCTCAATCAGGCTTTCGAGCATCCGTTGACCCATGTTTGGCGGTGCATAGACAGTGATGAGCGGCTTGAATTCGTCAAAGACATCTTCATCTTCCCAAACCAACACGGCGGGGATGTCTTCCTGATCATGACTCGAGGTGTAACGGACCCTGATTGCCTCCGCGAGCATTCGCTGCCAGCTAGCGACAAAACCGTCCAAGTCTCTGGAGCGGCCAAAGCTACGGAGCAAGGGGCGAACAATTTGATCCCGCACTAGAACATATGCAGTCTGAGAGACATTGCTTGCCTCGATTCGATCCAAGACTTGCCCCAAGAACTCTGTGGATGTGGACAAGCCGGAATGTGGTACTAAGATGTTCACATCCAATTGAATAATCTTGACCAAGAGGCTCCAGGGAGCCGATTCAGTGTGTTTCGCTAACACGGTCTGTAGGACGTAGGTGATGATTTGCAGGCCGAGTTGCAATTTCCTCGTATGGGCAACTTCGATTAGACGCTCCAACGATGGTGCCCACTTATCTTGAAGCCCGCGCATTGAGCCGGCGGAAAGCGGTGGTTGCAAAACGCCAGTCGACGTAATGTGGGGAATTCCAGGCCAGCTGATGTGAACAAGCCAAATGAATAGGGAGTCGATGTATGGTTGTTCCAGCTGTCGTCTGCGGAAGTCTGCGATGGGCATTGAGCGTGCAGCTACATCAAGGACAATCCACGAAAGTCCCTCAATACCCGGCGCCGCAGTGGGCTCGGGCTGTTGAGAATGTTCGCTCTCAGTGGGAACAAGGAGGTTGCTGTACGCCTTCAGCAAGGTTTCCATATGTTCGAAAAGCAATACGTCTGTCGTGGCCCTCCACTTCTTGGTGAATTGTTCGTTGAATATGATTCGTTGGGGGAAGATAACATGCAGCGCTAACAGGCGCTCGAGAGCAACTCTTGATCGTACAAAGGATTCACGGCCGAAATTTGGTCTGGCTAGGATGTCGAGCAGACGCAAACAGGGGATCAGGCAGTGCGAGGAGAAAGCCGGGTCCTGTCCATCGCCCTTTTTCCGGCTCGTGGGGGTGATCACGTCCCAAGAGGACAGTAGAGTCTCCAGTATCGCGGACATGAGATCCGAATCTGGTATGACAGTACTGTGGTTCATGATGAACGCCACGACCTCAAGCAAGCTGCCCAGTATGGCAGCATGATCATTCCATGTGGCGGCCTTTATTAGAGGAGTATGGCTTCCTGCGCTCCGTGAAGAGGTCGACGTGGTGGACAAGCTAGCGCAACGGGTTCCTGTTTGCAAAGCTAACCATAGCAGGTCCTCTTGGGAGAGTACTGCAGTTTGGCTGGCCAACAAGGGAGACAATCGTCTCCTTTTCGTCGGACGGCTGCGGTCTTGGGTATCGTCATCCTTCGTTGCAATCGCACTGAGCCCGAGGAGTCCCGCTTGGAGGAGCTCTCGAGTAAAGGCAACCAGCAAGGGTTGGAAGTCTCGCTCGAGGAGAATCTCCGAGCACACATCGGCGGGTATTGAACAAGTTAGGTTGAGAAGGAGAGACCAGAACTTGGAGGACATGACGAAGCTAAGCCACCGGTTAGAAATTTACCATTTGATAGAGCAAACAGGATGTGTCGTACCTTCTTTGAGAGGCGACAGCTTTCTTTTCTCCCTCTTTCAATTTGTCCTCGACACCCAACTTCTTTAAGAGCCAACGCAAGACCCATTGCTCTTTGAACCCATGCGAGTGGGGAGATGTTTTGTATAGCGGGTCCGTGGCACAGCGTGCAATAGTCGTCTCGAGGTTGAGTTCCAGGATGCTCGCAGCCTCGTCTAAAATCTTTTCGGGCGGTCCTTTGGCTTTTTCCAAACCGGCCATTCTGGCCTCGAACGATTCCCTCGCCATCTTGAATGTAAGGGATTCTGTTTAGCACACATAGTAGCACAGTGATTTTTTCGCCAGATACCATTGCATGATTTGTCCGCCGGGTTTTTTGCGCGATATGTGAGCACGACTCTGCGTCTCGAGCTCATGCTCATGTTGAGCCCGGAAAATTTCGCCAAGATTCATGGCGGGCTTCTAGGGAGTTTCCTATTTAGGACTAATATTTTGCTGCTTTACGCATAATCCAGGATAGGACATGAACAACGCTGTGTTCAACAAGTCTGGTGTTCTCTCTAGAACATATCAAATGCATAGTCCTTTCTTTGCTTGCCTATTCGCTCCCGGACGAGATTTTGGCCTTTCAAAGCCACGCACCTCGGATTGAAGGAGGACTGGCTAGGTGTTATTCACTCGAGGGAAGCAAAAGCGGTAGACAGCTGCTATTGGAAGCTATTGAACACATCTTATGCCTCCTAAAGGCTGAACCGGTATACACCGTTAAGACACCAAAGGACTGGCGAATGGCAGAAGGAAACAGCAGCGTTGAGACCGACTACCAAAGTAGTTCGTACATAGAAAATGATGTCCAGGAGGGCGGAGAGCGAAGATAGCATTCTCGTAGATTGGGCTGCCAAGACCGGCTCCTATTGGCTGGTACCTTTTTTCTGTGAGTGGTTGCTGTTTCCGCTCGGAACTGCGCAGTTTGCCAAAGCTCCCCAGTTCAACAACAAACTTGCAACCCTTTGTCTATCTCCACGTTCACGAGGCAGTACAGCACACTTGGGTCACCCCAAAGGTATGCACTCCGCGCCCCTTTCTAGATTCCCTGACTAATGGAACCGCTCAAGTCTCCAAGATGCCGGACGACAACGCTTCGAGCCCTCCCTTACCCGTGGCCAAGTCGAAACCAGTGAGCGAAGCTCTGTTGAATGAGAAGGTATGTGCACAACAGGAGGTGTCGGTGGCGCCGAGGTCCACGACTTGGACTGCTCATGCGAGGGCCTTTCTGATAGGGCCTTGGGTCTTTCCGAGTTCCGCTCAGCATTGAGACGAGCAAAGGCCAATTTGCTGACATTGTATGCAGTGGGATCGTGCAGTTTCATCCTTGGTGATCAGATCCGCCCTCGGATTCTCCTTCGGTGTCATATTCTCAGTACTACTGTTCAAGCGAAGAGCGTGGCCAGTGTGGTTTGGAACCGGCTTCGGCGCCGGAAGAGCTTGGGAAGAAGCTGATGGTGGGCCGATTCTCCAATGCCTGCGAGATAATTGAAGCTGTGATACTGACAGCAATTTAGCAAATTTTAAGAGAGGCGACACATTCAACACGGACGGTCTTCGAAAAGTACGGACTGAGAGGTAGTCAGATCGTGGAGGCGTCTTGTGTTTTGCCCGCAATCGCAATGGAGAGTACAAATGTGTACAACATGTACAGAGCACCTTCTTAAGAGGACCAAATGGTGCCTTTGAGCGGTCTGAATTACTGTATCCGTCCATTTCTGCTTTTCTCCAGCTCGCATAAACCTGCTGGTTATCTGCTCGCCTTCTCGTTCTCAATTTCCCGGCGAAGGTTTTCCAGTTCTGCCTCTCGTTTCCTCAAATGCGACTCGAGTCCGTCTATTTGCTCCGATACCAAGGCAAGATCATCCCTCAGTCTCTTCAAATCACCGCCTGATTTATTCCCGTTTTCCGAGTTTAGCTCGACATATTGTCGTTGCTTGTACTCGAGCATTTGCTGCGCCTCGCGCTTGACTAACGTCCAGTTCGTTTTCCCGGGTTGTCTAGGACCTCCATTCTCCAGTCTTTGCTTTCGTCTTCGGTCCGAGGCCGCGATCGCGGCATCGTGCTGGGATTCTAGTTCGCGCAGCTCGCGTAGAAGTCTGACCTTCTCCAGGTCCTCGTCCTCTACCACGTCGGAGAAGTCGGTGCCCTTGGGCTGGTAAGAAGAGCCGCCCTTCCCGCCAATGCGGCTCAGATAAGCGTCTCCGAATTTGGCCTTTCGCCCTGTAGATGTCTCTTCATCGTACTTGTTCGGTCTGTTTCTGACGTTGTCGATCTGATAGTCGATCTTATTGCCTTCAAAACTTGCCCTCAAGCTCGGCGGCACAGTACGCGGTATCCGGAAGCCTTCGTGACGGTAGTTGAGAATGTGCAAGAAAGCGAGACAGGCGTCCTTGGAGATGGTGTCTCGACCACTCGTGTTGACGAGGTTCCACGCGCTCCGCACATCCGTATCCGGCACATCAAGGCTGGAGTAGAGTGTGTGCAGGCTCTCGAAGCTGATCTCTCCCCTGCGGTCCTTATTTGCAGAATAGATCTCCTCGTACTTCCGCTTGTCGCCAGGGTTCATATACCAATCAAAGCCATCTTTCAATCCAGCGTCTTCTTCGTCATCTTCGATCCTCTCAAACAGCGCCTGTTGGTGGCCAGTCAAGGCACGGTTGGCCTGGACCAGGTGGGCCTTGGACTCTGGGACGAGCCAGTCGGGCAAGCTGGGGGGCACGTCCTGATATTCGCCGTTGACAAGATCGAAGATGAGTCGCATGGCGACGCAAAACTCCTCAAAGTCTAACTCGCCATCTCCATCGACATCCGCCAGATCCCACACACGCTCGAGCTGGTCATCCCGCAGCTGCGAATTCCGGAGGACGTTGGCTGCGGCTTGATTTGTGAGGCGCGATGAAGGTGTGGCAGGCTGCTGGACCAGCGAGGAGAAAATCTCCCAGTAACGGTCGATTTCCCACTTCTCAATCCGCTTGGTGCCTGACATGGCGGATAGGCAGGTTGGTGGAGGAAGATGGCTCAACGAAGGGACGAGCAAGGCGAGGAACGACAGGAACGGAAACTCTGCAAGATGCTCAGGAGGACAAAACAAAGTACCGAATTCGTGCTGTCAATCAAAACCCGCCATGAACAATCATCTTGGAAAAGGGTGTAGGTAGCTAGCTGGTGGTTTCAGTGCACGCACCGCTGGGTGCGCGAGTACGACTTAAGGTCGTCAGCAGTCCGGGGAAGAGATAATAGACTCCGGCTGCTTTACCGAAAGGGCAAAAGGCACCAGCTTCTGGCAGTGGAGCGGCAATGGCGTGCCCACGCCGCTTTTAGCTTACTTACAGCCTTCCCTTTCTACACCTCCTAGGTCTTGTAGACAACAGAGGTTGTTGGGGGAGGGTGAGAAAACTGTCCCAAGGCATCGTCAGTAGACGCCGCAAGCCTAATTCAGTCGCAGACGGGCGTTTCCGTGTCCTTCCCGCACACAAATCCTGGATATACTTCCCAATAGCCCGTGACCTTTACATGGATCCTCAAGCAGCATGACACGAGGACCTAAAAGGAGCCATACTCTGTTTGCACCTTCATCTGCCTGTGAGTTCTCTGGATCCCAGTCACCCATCGCTTCAATTGTACACCATCCAAAGATATATCTCCTGCCGCCAGAGTGTGCTCTGACTTTCCAACCCGTCAAGGTCGTTGGCCATTTGCACCCTTTGCAAATGCGAAGGCATACTGGGTTTGGGCGCGTATCGTGGTCTGTGCTGGAGCTGCATCTGGCTGAAGGCAGGAAGCCCAGAATGTGTATGCACTTACGCGCTGGATACTGCTCTGTTAGCGGGAGAATATAGCCTGAGCAGCCATGACCAAGCGAATGAGGCTGTGCTTTCTTTGTTGCCGGCGGCGGGTCAGCTGCCAGTTCTCGCTCTGAACATCTTGGCTCCCGTGCCGCTCTCCTTGTTCTGGCAAGTTAACTCGTGTCACACTCTCTTCTACATTGCAAGCATTGTCTCCTGGCGACATATGGCCGTGCAGGGTACAAATTGATCCGGGGGACGACCCCTCAGCGGTGCCGGGGGCTGTGGTGATTGATTTCTGTATCGTCCTAGACTTCTACGCCCTGGCAAAGGAATACCAATTCATTCTGCGTCTGCAATTGCATCAGCGCGAGAATGCCTCAGCGTCTGCCGATGGTTTACAGCCCAGGAGCTAGACCTGGAGCTTCCAACAGTGCTTCTCCGCCTCCGAGTGGAAATTCCCAAATCCGGTTAGCATGACGCCTAGTCTCACTGCTCCGCCCAATTCCACGCCCCTTGAATTCAGCCTTGCCGTACCATCAGGGCGCTTCAAGGCGGAACCACTACGATTTGGAATAAGATATATCATGTGGAAATACGGCACAGGGGAACGCGGTGAGTTCCCCCTCTGTCACCCATTTCCAGACAATCTCGAAAATCACCAGAATGCATATTTCCCTCAACAAACGCGACTTCTCCAGCAACGACGCTGGCTTCAATCTCAGCACCACCGGCATTACCAGCATTTGTATTATCGTCGTCCTCTTCATCTCCGTGACAGGCTGTCTCTGTCTGCTCAACACACCAAGGAAACGGCAGGAAAGACTTGACCGCCTGCGTCGAAGCCAGCATGCTGTTCGCACCGCGGACAATCGACCAACGAGAGACCGCCTTCGATCTCATCGACCTTCAGGCTGGGATGCCCAAAGGCTTTCCAACACCCAGATCAAATTTCCCGCTCAGGCATATGTTGTCGGCAAGGCTGTTGAGCCGTTTGAGCCTCCGCCAGCTTATCAAGCATGAGTGATTATGGGGCTGCTTCCGAGAACACCACATATCTCACACTGTCACCATTCCTTGTTGGTAGATACGGAGTTTATGGTCTCATAGACATAATACTAGGACTCAGGATGGTGGCATACTGCATTGATGATGTAGTCGAATCATGGGGAGAGCCGGCCTTTTCAGTCTTTGGGAGAGGGAGGGAAAATCTTACCATTTCGATAAGCTTCATAATGATCCCTCGACCATTTCTTTGATTTCCACCCTCTGACTGTCCTCTGTCTTCGTCTTCAAGACCTCGATGCCCTCCTCGGTGTCTACTTCCACTTTCTCCTTCTTCACTCGCCTCTCCGTAGCCTTCCAACCCCGTATCTCTGCCTTGCACAAGCCAGTCCCGGCAAGGTCGCACTCGCCACACCGCCGCCCAACAGGCAGACACACCGTCTGCCCTAAACCCACAAGCATCCTGTTGATCTCATGCCATTTGTCCCGAGGGAGCCAGCCTTCCAACCACGCCCTCGTCTCTTCCGGAGTTTTCGTTTTGTGCCAGCCCCAGAGGTTTGTGATGCGGTGGACGTGGACATCTACGCCGATCCCTTCATCTATCCCCCATGCCGCAGACATACAGAGGTACGCCATCTTCGGACCCACTCCCGGTAGCCGAATCAAACCTTCTATCGTGTTGGGGATGTCGGAGTTGTATTCCTGTTTAAGGATGGTCGCGACTTGCTTGATATATTTTGTTTTGTTGTTGTGGAAGCCGACTTTGCCGATCAGACTGTCAAGATGCTTTGGGTCACAGGCGATAATATTGTCGACTGTGAGGGTTGACTGTTGTACTTCGTCCTTTGGAGTGGGAGACTGAGGAACCAATTCTGTGTGTAGGCGTTGCATCGCGACTGCCGTCACCGTATCTTTTGTCTGAGAGGATAGCATTAGACTTGTCAAGATGTGGTAGCGTTTCTCCCGTGGCGGAGCGGCGGGCCAAAAGAGCTCTTCACAACCCATGGTGTCCACTGGAGCAGTTGGATTCCTTTGCCGCATGGCATTGATTGTATCGTACACCTCAACCCAGTTGGAAGGGGGATGTATTCGCACTGTCCCTGATGGCGACGTTGTCCTCCGTGCCGGTATTTTTGGTTTTGATCTCGCACGCCCATTGGGCGATGATTCTTTCTTCTCCTCTTCCTCCTCGTCCTCCTCCTTCTTGATTCTGCGCGGCGAGGTCCATTCGGTGGTTGTGGTTGAAACAACAGTCGAAGTGAACGGCAAGTCTGAACCTAACTTTCTTTTTCTGCTCGAGCGCGATGACGAGCTTAGGATGTCCTCAATATCTGCGCTTGGAGCGACGTCCGCGCCCGCCTCATCCACCGATGTTTCACCTTCTTCTTTCACCTCCACGTCGGGATCGTAACCCAGCGCAAAAGACGCCAGTCGTTTCGAGCTCCTCGTCGTTCGGCCGGCGCGAGCGTTCGGGGACAAGGCGTTGAAGATACGGGTGGTTTCCTGCGAGAGCTTGGATGTCCGCATCTTGCACAGCCCCTTCCCGTGTTAATTGCGCTCAAGGTGAGGGCGGTAGAAAGTGGTCAAGTTGCCTACCTCTGCAGATCTCGCATGGCCCCTGGACGATCGCAAGTCCAAAGGCCTGCCACGCGCTGCATCGCGAGTCGACCCGCGAAACAGGCGCCAATTGGTGGCGTTCGATGGCTGGTGGGCTCCCCAGGCACAACCTCGGCTGCGCCGCGAGATGACCTTGCAATGCGTGGAGCTGCTATGACAACAACCACAGCAACACCACTTACTTTTCTTAACTATATCCCTCGCCTTTGGGTTCCATCTGGCCCGACAAGTCTCTAGCTCAAGCCAGAACTCCTTTTGACAAGACAATCTCGTCCGTAGAAATGTCATCCACTCCTCGCAGCGGCAAATCCTCCTCGACTAACGCGCTGAAGCGCCTCACTCACGAACTTCAAGACCTCCAATCCTCCCCCAATGAAGCAGTCCTTCACCTCGGGCCCGTCAACGAGGAAGATTTATTCCAATGGGAAGCTGTTCTAAAAGGCCCTCGAGACCCGGCGTCTCCATACCACGGCGGCCTATGGCTTCTCTCCATTACCGTTCCGCCAACCTACCCATTCGCCCCTCCCAAAGTCCAATTCATCACACCTATATGCCATCCGAACGTGCATTTCTCCACGGGGGAGATCTGCCTGACACTCCTGAGTGGTGAGCACTGGGCACCGTCGTATACGCTGAGCACAACCATGGGCGCCATTCAACAGCTCCTCGTTTCTCCGGGACTGGACAGTCCTTTGAACGTCGATATCGCAAATTTGTACAGAGAAAATGACGCCATTGGCGCCGAGAGCTTGGTGAGGTTTTGGACGGGCGCGAAGAGGTGGGCTGGTGAGGGTAAAGGTGGATGGCTAAGTGAGAGACGGAGAGGGACGGGAGGGAAGTTGGGGGAGTAGGAAACATGCTATGAGCTGGTCTGACGTTGCTTTTGGTGTTCTACGAAGGCTCAAATCGGTTTTTGAGAGGCAAATTTGGTCTGTGTGTCTTTGGCGCTTTAGTAGTGAGGATGTCTACGTTCACTCTCCAAGCGAAGGAGTAAAGCGCAGCGAGGTACAACGCGGAGTATATGGGTCCGATCCGGGAATCAACGAGTTCAATCTCTAGATGGGCTTCGAATTCGCGTCAGATCAGATCAGCGGCTTTCAAAGCAGTTGGGAGGAACCAAAGGTCGGCATGGGCTATTGTGATGTGAAATGGGAGACGTCGAGATGCACGAAATCAGTCACTGCCTGCTGGCCATTGATGATTTAGAGGATTCTGAAGGACTTGTTCCCTTCAACAGTGAGGCGAGTTTGTCCGAGCTCTGGGCACTCTGCAATGTTGGTACGCAATGTAATTTGAAAACATGTCCAGCAAACAAAAAGTCCCAAATTGCGCCGTTTGAGCCTGTGAATCATGCCCTTGCTCGCGAGTCGCGTAATGTTTTCCCTTGTACATCTCCACCTAGACCGTCGATATAAGCTTGTCAGGCTTCTGCTGAGGAATAGTGGCTTCGATCAGAGAGAGCAATCCACCACTTGATAGAGATGTAGTAGTAAAGCAGCAGCCTGCCATGGCTTCAGTTGCAAGTGTTCGGTGGCCTTGGGCAAATCATAGTTTGACAAGGCTGGCAAATTTCCAGTAGAAGCATAATACTCCACCGTAAATTGTACTGCAGATCATAGACCCGCCCTTTCCGACCTGGACGCGCCATTGACCTGCAGCCTCGTCTCTGGTCCTCCTCCGCTTCGACATTTGTCTCCGTTTGCCTGTCAATACTGCATTGCCTGTCCTGCTCCTCCTACAACACTGTATTGCTCCTTGCAGTCCTTCAAATACCCTCGAGAAGAACCGACGAGCGTTCGCGAGCTCCCTCTACAGCCACGCCAGAATGGCAGACAGATACTCATTTTCACTCACCACATTCTCGCCCAGGTACGCCGACCTTGTTTGTTCCTTGCGCAACCAGTGTTCCATGCTAACACGACGCAGCGGCAAACTCGTCCAGATAGGTATTTCGATGTCGGTAGGGATGGCCTAGACCGGTGCTTACTCTCCGTCCAGAATATGCTCTGAACGCAGTAAATCAAGGTGTCACGTCGTTAGGCATAAAAGGTACAGAGGATGCCAAATACATGCCTGTGCATAGTGCTGATATATAAATCACAGCAACCAACGGCATCGTCCTCGCGACCGAGAAGAAGTCGTCATCACCTCTAATCGATCCTCCTTCCCTTTCGAAAGTATCCCTCATCACACCCAACATCGGCATGGTCTACAGCGGTATGGGCCCGGATTATCGAGTGCTGGTCGATAAAGCTCGCAAAGTCTCACACACGAACTACAAGCGCATCTACAACGAATACCCACCGACACGGATATTGGTTCAGGATGTGGCCCGAGTGATGCAAGAGGCTACACAATCCGGTGGCGTACGGCCCTACGGTGTGAGTCTGCTGATAGCAGGATGGGATGATGGGATTGAGCCAGAGACCGTCGCTGCGAAAGAGGGCGAGACCGAAGCAGAGGCCAAACTGGCAAGCAGGAAAACGGGCGGCATCCTGAAGGGCGGGCCCAGCCTTTACCAGGTCGATCCCAGTGGTAGTTATTTCCCTTGGAAGGCCACGGCAATTGGAAAGAGTGCGACGAGTGCAAAGACCTTTTTGGAGAAGCGATATAACGACTCTCTGGAGCTGGAGGTGAGAAACAATGTGCAGAATCTATTTCGGGGCTACAACGCTGACAGACCTTCTCAGGATGCCATTCACATCGCGCTGCTAACGCTCAAGGAGACCATCGAAGGGGAAATGAATGGCGACACAGTGGAGATCGGTATTGTGGGTGAGCCTGCCAACCACCTTCTCGGGTACGAGGGCGTGGAGGGCGCGGTGGGCCCAAGATTCCGCAAACTCAGCAAAGAGGAGATAGAAGACTATCTGACGAATCTGTAAGAATAAAGCTGGACGTTGGGTGCGCAAGCAGAGACTTCAAAAGAGGGTTCCGGTGCCGGAAAATGTGCTTTCCCTTGCTTCACACTCTTTGGCGCCGTGGTGCCGACCTCAAGAGAAGGATATGTCTTTGAGGCTGATGCATTAGGGGCGCCAGCTTCTCTTCACCCATCCACATAGGGAGGTACGCATGGTTATCGGCGCAGGTCGGGACTGGTCTCGAGGAAGGACAGGCTGAGAAGCTTTTTGAGAAGCATGCAACCATCAAACCCAAGCAATTGGAACTCCTACTCGTACAGCCTGGGTTGTCTCAGATCCAGCCAGCACTCTGCAATCGCTTTGAGTCCATCGTTCCGGGGCCACCATTTCGTGTCTTTCCTGACTCTTGTGTTCTTTCCCCCAGAGACCTCGCATCATCCCAAGCTCAACTAGGTCTTCTATTCCCGTCTCTATCGTTCTGGATCTTCTTCCTTCCGATCCTGCCCTATCCTTCGTACCTCTCCCTCTCGTCCTGCCTTTCCCAGACGCGTCCAGTCCTTCGCACCCACTCGTCCTTTCTTCCCCGGACGTGTTCCCTCCCCACCATAGCTAGCTACCGAGTAGTAATACTCAGCATTACTAGCCAAAGGAGAACGAACCGGACAACCCAAACCCAAACCCAAACCCAAACCCAAACCCAAACCCCTTCTGGCAAGAGGCAGGAGGGTCCCGAAACGCGAATCGCACGAGGACAAAGGGCGATCTATTCTAGGAGCAGAGGCAACGGGGATATCTCATGGTGACACATATATTCCAACGAGGTATCGGCCGAGTAGGAACGAGAGGTGTTGGGAATTGAACCGGCGGGGAATCCATCACCAGGTACGGAGTACAGGGAGGGCTACAGGTCCAAATACTCCGTACAAATCCAAGAGCAGATACGGCGTATACAACGCCAAAGAGCCCTTCCATGGTCGACAGAGGGTTGTTTAGGCGTGGGCTAGAATGTTGCTTGCTGTAAGGCAGAGGAAGAGTCACTCCTCCATTCCTCACATGTCGATCCAGGGCCGGCCCGAGGATCACGAGCGTAGTGCAAAATCAAACCAACTCTACGAGATCTGACGGACTCACGCTCTTGGACACTTTTCTTTGCATTCCTCTAGGATATCTGACGGCCTCCCCCACAGCCTGAACGTCCTGAATTGCCCAACGTACCCGGTAATACTAAACGCCATTCGCTGGTCTTTGAGCAAAACCCTCATGAGATAACCGACACGCGGACGCCTCTCTCCCGGCTTTGAACCCACAAGTCAAGACTCGGAAAACCGAAGAGGTGCACAGCTCTGAGCAAGTAAGGCTGGAGCCCGGCAAGACACATCATACATCGTCGCTCCGTCCAGAAATCGCGAGCAACGTTGAGCTGATGATCGCAGCTTTGTGTGTGACTGTGCGACGCTCTTCTCGTCTTTTGTAATTTACGCAAAGTCCAAATCCAGTTGCACCACCAACCTAAACATTCCCACGCCAGTGATCATGCAATTCCAGAAGACGCCCATGTACAAGGGGTAACAATCGCCCCCTTCAACGTTAAAAAAAAACCCCCCAAGTAGCCATCTGATCGTGACTTCGTAACAGTCGGATTCCAGTACAGTAGGTAAGACTTTATTTGCGGATAGCAAAAAGGAGACACCTCTCCCACCAATCCCTCAAAAGGAGCACCGAGGCGCGCCCGTCATCGCGTCTCTCGGTTCCGTCCGGGTTTCCCATGATGATGGCAAAGACCCAGAATACGGCCACGATCCAGGCGGCAATGGCATTTCCAATACTGATGAGAGGAGACACAATATGGATAAGAACCAGGCAGACAGGACTGAACTCAAAGGTATGAGCATTGTCTAGAGCCTTGGCAAAGATCATCTGCAGATGATTCCGAAAGACTGGCGCAACCATTCGGACCAAAGAGAGACTGGGCGAGCATTCTTTGCGACAAAGTCGTAGGGGGGTAAAGACTATGATGACGAGGACGGCGAATATCGAGAATATGGAGCTGAATAAACAGTGAAATGGGTCAAGGAAGGACATCCACATCTGGAAAACGTGTCAGTACAGGCAGTTGTATCAACAGAATGAAGAGGGTTTCCCACCAGAATCCACAGGGCATGGTCGGCCTCCGTCGTTTCGTCTTCTGTGATGGACTTTTCTTGGATGTACCGGAATACAGCCGAGTTGTCTTCTATCACTGGCGTTTCCCCCAGATTACTTCGTTTAGCTCCACTTTCCGAGTGTTGTGAGCCCGAGGGCGAGTGTCTGTTTATCGTCTCTTCGGCCAAACCCCTCTCTGCTATCGGGCCGTATTGATATTGTTTGTATGGTAGGTAGGGCTTATATTCCGCGCCCAGCGTCGACCCCGACTCCGCGCTGGATATGGAGGTCTGTAGTCGGAGAGGGTCCTTCTGACGAGGAGTGGTCGGTGTTCGAAGAGTAGGAGAGACATGGGCGATCGGAGGTTGTTGCAATGGAGGAGGAGCAGCTGGGTGGTGGTGGTATTCGGTCTGGTGCGAGCTCGGACTCTCTCTGGCGGGATCATGGCCCGACGTCTGTCTCATGGGCTCGGGATCGGGCTCGAAGAGCATTTTGGTCGTCAGAAAGGACTCTGGTAGGACAGGTCCTTTTCATCACCGAACAGGCGGGAGGAGCAGCTGCTGCGGCGGTGGTGGGCAACAGGCGAGAGCAGGTGCGAATTGACCAGGTCTAGCAGAGGGGACATGGGGAGCAAGGATGGAATGAAATACCAACATGATTCCAGAGAGCGGGAATCGCCCAAGAACACAAGAGACACGATCTTCTTGGTCCTGATCATCCTGCTCGCTCAATCCGGCTCAAATCCTCCACTTCCGCTGCTCGAGCCCCGGCCAAGATCTGGGCACTTGGCTCTTTCTCTAGGCGACATCTTGGCCTTCTGCTGCATGGATCCCAGGACGGTTGATTGCGTCTGCTTGGGACGGAGTGCCGGCCCATTGAGGCCTGTGGACGTCGCTGGCTGCGACCTCCGTTGCATGTTGCCGGTTTGCTACACCGTTTATTTGACATATTTTTCGTTGATCGAAGGCGACGAAACCGAAGACTTCACCCTGCCTGCCTGCGCTCTTGGCATCCGGCTGCTGCGTGACCTGCGCTTTTGATAGGGCGCGATTGCGCCTTCGCCTGTGGAACCCAGCCACCCACCCACGCCGCCGCCCGGAGCAAATCACCGCCTGCCCAGTCCAACAGGACCACCACGGTGAGGAGCCTTGTCGCAAAACTGCCATGAAAACCACAGCTAGGGGAAATATACCGAGTAGAAGGGGATTCTGGAGCTCGGTCACGTGGACCGCCCGCATCGCCCGGGCCCGGAGTTAACCATTGGCGAAAAAGGGGTCACGGAGAACAAGGGCTTTGGATACCATGATCGACGACTCAAACACTCGGGCTTTCTTGGAGGATCCTCAAGGAGGTAGTCAAGTCATCGTGTGCCCGCAGGGTGAGTTTATCCCCCATCCAGCACATTCCATCTCACAGATGAACTGCTGTCTAACAGCCTACCTGTCCCATCTTCTCCCTATCATGTTTGCCGTCAACGGTTGCCCCCGGGATCGCCCCTTGAAACCACCAGCAAGACCATCTCTACCTATTCTCATTATGATCTATTACGAAGACCCAAGTGCTGACATACTCGGCATCGCCTTGTTCACCCTCTTGTCTGCGTGTACGGTGCGTCACCAGTCGACGTAAGATTCAGTGACCAGCGTAAGATATTCTCCGGGCGGCGCTGGGCATCCTGCTTGGCCAGTCCACTCCAAGATGATGAATTGCCATTCCCAAGCACCTGCAGAGTGACTAATAGAAGAGATGAAATACCCCCCTCTCCGAGGACAACCTTGTCGGTCAGCAGGTGGACAAATCGTTGACCTTCAATGTATGGGTCGCCTCTTGGGTAAAAGCTTGTTCGAGTGCTGCTGCATGTAGCATCACATTATATGACCACAGATATCCTCAAAATGTACTAGCGGCTCAGGGCGTATTGGCATTGTTTATGCAGAAGCCATGCTCGGCTCTGTTGGATTTCGGAAGGGTCGGACACTGAGTTCGGTATAGCGATGCGCCATGCATACCTGGGCAATATGTTATCTCTTGATGATCCGTGGACGGCCAAGCACCGGTGATCAGCAGTGTCTTCATTTAAAGACCTCCTATCTTGACCTCTCGCATGGCTTTCCAAACTTTGCTGCAACGACAGTTGGTACCAGCCAATTGGCTGTGATGTACAAGCGTCTTGCTTCAATGATTCTTTCCGAGGAGGACGCGAGCCCCTGGTGTCGAATGTTCCCTTGTCGCGATGTGTTGTGTCATCAGGAAGCATACATTCACCAGCAGTGGTTGGGCGTGTCCATCGTCTGGGCCTTACGTAGGGCGCCCGGCTCTCGTGGTAACTAATGCCAAGGTCAAGATAGTAGTGTGACGCGGCCTGGCCTCAACCGATAGGGACCAAGCCGGGAATAAGTTCACTTGGCCAAGGCCTGTATAACTCACCGGATAATGCATACCGCCCGAGTTGATATTGTGTGCCCTTTATAATGCCCGAGGCATCGAGGTGGAAGGAAGAATCGCCTTCATATGACGGCTGTTGTCAGAGCTGTTCAAAGTCCCTCTCTGGGCCAGCCAAAGGCCATCGGAGGACGTATGAAAGGTCAAAAGCCTTGAGTATGTGTTTTGCCAGAATACCAGACTGCTCGCTCTGGAAACAAGCGTCTGTGCAACGACATCAGGGATCCCGCGATGATCGTTAGTGCAATGATCAGACGGGTTGCGAACGGCAACAGGCTCTTACTTGAAACCCCAGATCAATCAGAACAGCAGTGTCACCAAGTCTGAGGTATGTAGCCACGGAGCATCAATTTCCACTCCGCCAGAGCTCGGCGAGGCTAATCAAGGAGTGTCAGGCAATGCTTGCCACTAGTCCGACATGGATATCCCATGATGGAGGAACTGAGCTGTCATAGATTGACGCCAGCAGGGCAGTGGCCTGGCTACACAAACATTTTGCGTTGGAAAGACAGATGGTGGGTAGGCTGACAGCCTCGTCAAAGACAAATAGGCGAGTGGCTGCTACCCGGGGACAGGCTGTTTCAAAAGTTCCTGTCGTACCACACGCCTGGGATCGCGCGCATGAAGGTTGATGTTTGGTAAATGATGCGGTCAACCGTCCGATCCCTTGTGCAACCACTGTTCTGGAAGCCCGGGTTGGGGGCAATCCGGCCTCGCCGCTTCTCAGGATCCCACATCACGTGCAGGGACGCGAGGCGAGGCTCGCTCGCACGCTCCCTTTTGCCGGGCAGCACAAAACCCAAAATTGGGAGATCTCGAAATGGCATGCTCGTAAGCACACTTGTGCCCACATGGCCGGCGATTTTGAGCCGGTAAAGGCGCGATGATGGAATCGCACCCGAAGATAGAAGAGGCTCACCTGAGCACGGGGTCTCCCTGGCACGCCTGGCACCGATGGTGTGCCTTGGGACTCTGTTAACAGCCGGAACTGGGGGTCCAATTTGACGTCGCCTTGTGCAACCTTGTATCATGCCCACGGGGGTCGCAGGAGAGTTGACGTTGTGACATGTGTGTGCCGTAGAACGTGCGACTTCGCCGTGCCACCATCCTACCGCTGTTTCTACGGCATAGCACTGCGTAATTGTGCTGCATCGGGCTGTCGGGAGAAGCGCAATGCAAGGGCGAGAAGAATGCTATGATCCGCGCCCAGCAAAGACCTTGACGCAAGGGCCAGAGACGCCAGGAGTGATCGACTTTCGAGGGGGCATGCAGCTGTACGAGGTAGCAGCTGGACAAGCCCAGGTGCAGATCATCGTCTAAGTGTTTTGGTTTGGGATTGATTGCATCGGTCGATCCCCTGCGATTTTGGGCACCGGGGAGAAGGGGCTCCACTAAACGAATTCCAGCGTTTCCTGAACCTGCGGCTGATCGGACTCGGGTGTTGAAGCGATCACTTGGGGCTTGGGGTGATTCCCTTGCATTGGGGGGAGGTAGGTGTCGCTCGTCATTTTGACAGTTCAGCGGTGAAGGCTATGGAGAGGACGAGGGTTTCTACAAGGACAAGTGGCTGCAGTCTGACAAAGAAATACGAGTTTTGCGCTGCGACGGACACCTCATAGGCGGTGTTTGAGGAGATGGCGTCGCCAGATAGAGCGATGGAACTGAAGAGAGCACAAGACAGTGAAAGAGCCAGTTTGATAGCCTACGAGCACCTGGGTAGTGAGCCTTTGAATTTGATAGCCAAAGGGCTTCCAGGGACTGCTACTGGGGTAATCTACAGCACCTACCTTATGTTTGGCGTGGTTTGCCGCCTAGTTGTAACCTCGCCTGGTAGCATAAGGCTTGGTCTCCAGGCACCGAGCTAAAGGACACAAGCCATGCGCCGCCCGATAGCACGCCCCGAAGCCACATTCCCCCCAAGCCCACAAATCCCGGCTAGCACCCCCTAACCTTCTCCGGGTAATTGGCCCTGCTGAAGGCGCAAGAGCAGGCGTCGCGCTGGGCTTGCGCCAGTTCTGGCCCCCTTAAAAGTGGCACTGAAATAGCCCACGGAAAAGAAAAGCCTCGTCTAGTAAGGGACGAGGCCCTCCGCTGGTACGGAGTACTTGCACGAGGATGACCTGGTGACTTTCAGGTCGTCCTCTTTTCGGCGTTGACCATGTTTAGGCGACTGCGGAGATGCCTCGCCACGTTTCCTTGTCAACATTCTCGTTGTTTCACCCCCTAGACACTTGCCCGGTTTTACGAGTCTGGGCTCGAGCTCTGAAAGGCTGCTGTCCAGCATTAGGTCAAGATTTTGAGACGCAACGCCGATGATGGACGGTGGCCGGGAAGTTGATGGTCTGGGGCTGCCAGAGAGGGGTGACAACAGTAGCAGGCGGTTGGCTGGCATTTGATTCCTTTTCGGAATGTCCAAATCTTCACGGGTGGGTGGCTTGATCCCGTTTCTCGAAACAGGCCCAGATTGGCAGGCAGCTCATGGGGAGTAGAAATGAGCTAAGACGCTAGGCGAGAGATGTGGAGAAGAACGGAGCAGCTGCCAACTCGGATGGATCCTGGAGGAGTTGAGCGGCGAGGGCGAAGCGAGGGAGGGGGACCCCCGGGTAAAGAAGAGGCCAACGCCATGCGTGCAAGAGGTACCTGCCGCCTGTCCCGTGGCTTGCCCATCGTGCCCCTCTGCAAGTAGCTAGTCGAACGGGAAAAGGCAATGGGATAGGTGGCTCCGTGGCTTGGTGGACCCCCAAGTCAGGCCTTCCCCCTGCCTCCTCTGGGCTCCTCCCCCTTCCAGCCCACCCCTGGCTGCTGGCGATGACGGAGCCACTCAAACGTGCCCCAAAAAGCCAATTGAGCACCGCACACCATCCAAGGCACGGCCCACAGAACCTGTTCGTTCTGTTCCTCCTGTTCGTCATATGCCGCACGCTTCCAGCAACAAGCCTGACCTGTTCTCCATCCCCCCTGGTCTCGCCTGAGAGCTTTTCTGGTTTAGCCCCCTCAGATTGCGAGACGACTCCAGTCAGCCACCCACCAGCAATTTTCCCTTTGGGACTTGCCGGTCGTTTTCGTATGGAAGGTTGCCGGCGGGCGGATGTGCGATGACGATCGCGATGATTAGGTATGATGATGACAAGAGGTAGAGGGTGCAGCCAGGGGGAGGATAGGGTGGTGAAGAATGAGATAATGTTGCTTCTTGCCACGCGCTTTACTTCTTGGAAGAGTGCTGGGGGGCTCTGGCCTCAGGATGAGGAGCAGGATCAGGCTCGGACTCCTCTTTTGGTCTCGTCTCTTACCCGTGGTTAAGGGCGAATCCAAAGCTCAAGAAGACGGTGCTACCAACTCGCCTCACCTGGTTTTCCCACGTCAAACTCGCGCGCCACCCGCAAGCCATCTCTCCAGAGGAGACCTAGGACCACTGGACAGTAATAACCGCACAGCCTATAAGGGCCAGAGGGTCTTAGTAAGGAAGCCTTTTTTGACAAGCAGCCAGGCGGAGGTTTTTCGAGTGTCAGACGGGGGGGGGTCAAGGGACCCCACTGCCCACCACCACAAGGCGCTACTGGGTCGTGCGCACGCTATGCGTTCCTTGACCTGGATCGCCCAGCAAACCCCAATCCCGTTGCACCCAGTTGCACCCAGGTGCACCCAGCGGCCGAGGCCAGCCCCACCCGCCTGGATGCTTCATCTCGACGCCTCAAAGGAACCCCATGGATGCCCATCCACCGCCCATCAACAGCCACCAACCGCCCATCCACCGCCCATGCTACTTGATCCGAGCACTATCGGGTCCCGCCCTGCCCACACCCAATCACCCAGGGCTCCATCGCCCACTCCACCTCTCCCCCCTTCCTGTCGCTGCTTGGTTGGCACCCCCCGGTCCCAGCCCAAGCCCGCCAGCCGGCTAGAAAACTAAGAACTGTCAGAGCCCGTGCACGGTGCACCACAGCCTGCTACTCTGATGGCAACCTGATGTGCCCGGCTCTCCTTCTCGCCCGCCGACAAATGATCCAGCATGAGATCTATAACCCTACCTCTAGCGTGGTTTCCCGTGACTTTGCTTCAGAACGAGAGCCCTCTTTCCTCTTTCCTGTCTTCCCACCGTCATCCTCCACCAGCTTCTTCTCCTGTGTCGCCTTGCTCCCATCTTTGACCTTGGTCTCCCTTTACCACGCCGTCGTGCCCTTTTGCTCCCCCGGTTACTCTCACCATCTTCTACTCTATGCCCTACCATCATCTTCCCAGGACATAACGTCGTCATTTTCGCGCTCCTTGCTGTTCTCGTCACCCTAGCCCCATTTTTCTCCCTTCGTCCCAAGCAGCCAAGTATCTGGGGCTGATTCTGCCTACTATTCTTCAGACGCTACTTACCGCGTCCTCGAGCACTTGCTTTATTTTCCATCACGCTCATCGTGAGCTTGACGAGAGGAGGCGCATTTATACCGCTGTTGAACCTTGCCGACGCCTCGGCTCACAGCGCAGCTCCTGGTCTGGTGAAAATTTGCCCAAGAGCTTCCTTCTCCCTGACCTCCTCCGCCAGCAGAGGCTCCTTGCCTTGCGCCGCCTGAGGGATTGACAATGGCTCTCGTGCCTCATCCATCGCCTCCGGGCGTCATCGGTCTGCAACCTGGACCTCACTTTGGTGGACAGATCAACGGAGCCACGCCGGTTGATGCGCATATGCAACGCCAACGCCTTCTGGCGCAATTGAACGAATCAACATGGCAAAGAATAGGTATGCTTGTAGTACTGCTCTCCGACCGACCTTGTATGCTAACTGCGGTTGGTACCAGGATCCCTGAACGAGTTACTTGGAGACCACGAAGCCGCTCTGTTTGCGTATGAGCAAGCTCTCAGACACAACCAATGGTCAACGCAGACCCTGAACGCGATTTCTTGTATTCTCCGGACAAAGGAGAAATACCCTGAAGCTATGGAATATCTCAAAAACATCCTGAAGGTCGAACCTGCCAACGGCGAGGCGTGGGGGAACCTAGGTAAGCGCCGTTTCTAAATTGCCGGGGAGAGAAGTTGACAATTGCAGGCCACTGCTATTTGATGATGGACAACCTCCAAGAAGCTTACACTGCCTACCAGCAAGCTCTTTACTACCTGCCCAAACCCAACGTAAGCTGTCCGCCGCCCCTCGTCATGCTGTCCATAGATCTAACGTCAATGAAAGGAGCCCAAGCTGTGGTACGGCATCGGTATCCTCTACGACCGATATGGCTCCTTGGAACATGCCGAGGAGGCCTTCTCCCAGGTCATGCGCATGCAGCCAGACTTCGAGAAAGCCAATGAGATTTATTTCAGACTCGGAATAATTTATAAACAGCAACAGAAGTTCTCCCACAGCCTCGAAGTGAGTGGCTCGCTTGCTTGTGATTAACTCTGCTGACGACCTCTCAGTGCTTCAAGTACATCGTTAATGATCCGCCACGCCCTTTGAATGAGGAAGACATCTGGTTCCAGATTGGCCACGTGTATGAGCAGCAGAAAGATGTAAGTCTCTGTCGCCCCCCTAGCAGGCCGCCCGTCTAATCTCTCCGTACAGTTTGAAGCCGCAAAACAGGCGTACAGGCGTGTTCTAGAGAGAGATCCGAAACACGCCAAAGTGCTACAGCAGCTCGGCTGGCTGCATCATCAACAGAGTAACAGCTATGCCAGCCAAGATCAAGCCATTGAATACCTCGAACAGTCGGTCAGCTCAGGTATGTGCCACTTATAGGCCTTTTTCAAATCTTTGTCACTGACCCTGCTTCAAGACAACTCCGATGCGCAGAGCTGGTATCTGCTTGGCAGATGTTACATGGCACAGCAGAAATTTCCAAAGGCGTATGAGGCTTACCAACAAGCCGTTTACCGTGATGGACGGAATCCCACATTTTGGTGCTCCATCGGTGTGCTGTACTATCAAATCAACCAGTACCGAGACGCACTCGATGCATATTCTCGCGCCATCCGGCTTAATCCATACATCTCGGAGGTGTGGTACGACCTTGGAACTCTGGTAAGCATCTGCAGTGTAGTTCACAATATTGCCTTGCTGACGACTGGTATAGTATGAGTCTTGCAACAACCAAACTTCTGATGCTCTTGACGCGTATGCCAGAGCAGCTGAGCTTGATCCGACCAACACTCACATTAAAGCCCGTCTTGCACTTCTGAGGAGCGGAGCAGCAACTGGGCCTAATCAGCACAATGCTCCCGTCCCGCAAGATGTCCATCCGCAAGCATATCAGAATGGCGTTGGAGTACCTCCTGGCCCTCAATGGGGTGGACCTACGTCGTCAAACCAGCAACCACAACAACCTCCAGTCGATCCAGCTCGTGTTAACGACTGGGCGAGAGGCATCGCGGGCATCAATCCGCCGCCGGGACAACAGCAACAATCGCAGCCGCAGTCGCAGCAGTCTCAACCACCGCCGCCGCCGCCACAACAACAACCACCGAACGGCTATGACGCACGCGACGCCATGAGAGCTCCGCCTCCACGAGCTCCTAGCCCACGCCAGGACGGTCCGCGTCCGTATGACTCATCGCGTCAAACTCCAGTTCGCAAGCTGCAATCTCCGTCGCCTAAGATGCAACCGGCAAATCCAGGCATGTTCCCACCTGGGCCTCAGACTCTTCCGCAGATCTCGATGCAGGATCGTCCTCCGGCTTTCGGTAGTGGAGTCCGTCCGTCTCCTACCATGAATGGAGCACCAGCGCCTCATGCTAATGGCAGCGCCTCTGGTTCAACTCTCCCACCGTATGGGCGGCCTTTCAGTCCACCTAGTGAGCTGCGGCCACTGAGAGATGAACGACCTCAATCCCCAGGAGGCGGCTATCGCCAACAGCCGTTCCAGTCCAATCAACCATTCCCTAGCATTGCTAATGGCGTGGCGTCCGCTGCACCCCCTCTTCCTGCCGTAGAGGGAGCTCCCCGTGATGATCGCCCACCCTCCGCTATGAAACGGAGCCGTGAGTGGGAGTCCGATGGAGGGCCCTCTAAGAAGATAGCAAATGAAGAGACTCGTGCACGTCTGGATGACCCAACCCGTCGAAATAGCCCCCCAGGTCGGTTACCAACCCCGAAAGATCACTACAGGCGCAGCTCCTCTGAGTCTCGTCGCGAGAATGAACGGCGTGCGAACGAGAACTACCATCCCTCGGAGGCAGCACATCATCCTTACACCCATCCTCAGCAGATCCCGTCAATGCAGTCTATCCTCGACGGCCCAAAGGAGGACCGCAAAGAACAGGTCGAGCAGGCAGCTCGCAAAGTCGACGTAGATGAGGATTATGATAACAATAGTGAGGACGATAAGCGGGCTCCTCCTTCGGCAGCTCTGAGCAGCCCCCAGGTGGGGGCACCTCCGTCAGTGACGCCAAAACAAGAGAATGCAGCATAGTCGGTTTCGACATCGGTCAGGATTTCCTATCGTGATTTTCATTTCTGTCGGTTGTGTTGGCTGGATGTGTACAGCAGCAAGATTGAGCCGGAGGAATCAGCATTGGAAAAGATTCACAGTCGCATTGTTACTTCATTCTGTAAAATGAGTACATGTATCTTCTTGAAAGAATACGAAATAACGATATCTAACTCAGATCCGCCACTGTTCTCCCTACGCTTTTCCTGTGCATTTAAGAAGTGGGTTTGGAAGAAGCGGTGTGATCACGTGACCCGCGAAAATCTTGGCGATCGGGCCGCACTTTGTCGAAATCTCGAATTTCTACGTTCCACATTGACTTGCTCCAACTTCAGCTTGACAACCCACGACACCTTGACCCCTCGCTCAAACAAGATGTGAGTGCTACTTCGATATGCTATACGCAACTGCTAATGACTTGGATAGGTCTCACCGAAAGTTCGAGGCGCCGCGACACGGTACCAATCCTTCCCTTCTGAAGCCTCCCGTCTACAAAAGGCTCTGTGAGCTAACACTTTTCTCTCGACAGGTTCGCTTGCTTTCCTGCCCCGAAAGCGAGCTGCAAGACACCGAGGCAAGGTCAAGAGGTAGGATACACTGGTTCTCTAGAAGTCATGACTCCGTCTTTTCAAGGAGTCGAAGCTGAAAACATTTGGTCCAGCTTTCCAAAGGATGACCCAAAGAAACCAGTCCATCTCACCGCTGCCATGGGATACAAGGCCGGGATGACCACCATTGTCCGCGACCTTGATAGACCTGGCGCGAAGATGCACAAGAAGGAGATTGTCGAGGCTGTCACTGTCATTGAGACGCCGCCCGTAAGTCCTAGAAAGAGGTCGACAAATTACTGTGGACGTCAAAGTTGCGGCTGACCAGTTTTTTGCGTCCAGATGATCGTTGTCGGCCTCGTCGGCTACATCGAGACACCTCGCGGCCTGCGCTCGCTCACCACGGTGTGGGCCGAACATCTCTCGGACGAAGTCAAGCGCCGCTTCTACAAGAACTGGTACCGATCGAAGAAGAAGGCCTTCACCAAATACGCTAAGAAGCACTCGGAGAACAAAGGCGCCTCGGTCACGCGGGAACTCGAGCGCATCAAGAAATACTGCACGGTCGTCCGGGTCCTCGCGCACACCCAGATCCGTCAGACCCCGCTCAAGCAGAAGAAGGCGCATCTGATGGAGATCCAGGTCAACGGCGGCAGCGTCGCGGACAAGGTCGACTTCGGGCACGGGCTGTTCGAGAAGCCGGTCGAGATCGACAGCATCTTCGAGCAGGACGAGATGATTGACTGCATCGCCGTCACCAAGGGCCACGGCTTCCAGGGCGTCACCAGCCGATGGGGCACCAAGAAGCTCCCCCGCAAGACGCACAAGGGTCTGCGAAAGGTCGCTTGTATCGGCGCCTGGCATCCTTCGCACGTCCAATGGACGGTGGCCCGCGCCGGTCAGATGGGTTACCACCATCGTACCTCGGTCAACCACAAGGTCTACCGCATTGGCAAGGGCAAGGATGAGAAGAACGCCGCCACCGACTTTGACGTCGTGAGCAAGCAGATCACACCGTAAGTTTATCCCCTCCTCAAACCGTGTCCCCCCGCTTTGGCGTATGTTCTCAGAAAAGTATCAACTAACGTCCGTGTGCGAAAACAGCATGGGCGGTTTCGTCCGCTACGGCGAGGTCAAGAACGACTTCGTCCTCCTCAAGGGCTCCGTGCCGGGCGTCAAGAAGCGGGTCATGACCCTCCGCAAATCCATGTTCCCCCACACCTCGCGGAAGGCGCTCGAGAAGGTCGAGCTCAAATGGATCGACACGTCCTCCGAGTTCGGGCACGGCGCGTACCAGACACCCCAGGAGAAGCGCCAATTCCTGGGCACGCTCAAGAAGGATCTTGTTGCTGCTTCGTGAGGGTGATAGCAGGATGGGGGTGTATGTATGCATTGAAGGTGGTTGTGGTGGCGGTGGTGGTGTCAGCCAGAAAAAGACGAAAACGGGGTTCCGTCTTTATGCTCGCTTTATCTTCGAAAGAGATGAGCTGTGCATTGATTGCATGAGATACCAAACAGACGTTTTCCTGTTCTCCTTGATTTACAAGCGGAATGATAGCATGGTCAAGAACGAGTCCTTGCCTTGGGAGTAGGAAAAAATAAATCCAAATTTCACGCACCTAGCTGGGCTTCTGATCCTTTTGTCATCTCCAAATATCTGTAGCGCGCGCCGTGTTGGGATAATGCTTCTCTTACACTGCAGCCATGGTGATCTCTTCCCTGTACCCTTCTTCATCTCTGCGCTGGCATTGCAATGCCCTTGGAATAAAACTCCAATGCGTGCTATCCAGATATCCATTTCGCCTCAAAGGGCCCCAATCGGACGATGAAAGCGGCAGGCTCTCGGAAATACAACGATATTGTACTAAGGCCACTGGGACTCTGGCACATTGCTGGACAACAAATCTACCTTCTCCTGGGAGTAAAATCCGCCCAACCCTGAACGATGTCGAGACGAGATATCCGATGAGCGGTGGGAGATCCGAGTTAAGCAAGCATCCAAGCAATTGAACTTGTTCTCCGGATTGGCTTATGATCGAGCAACAGGCCATGCACACACATTTGAATCGCGTCGACCAGGTTGAAGGGTGCGCTTAAGCGAAGCCCTCTCGGGGTCATCGAGTTTTCCAGCGCTAAGCGACGCTCGCCAGGCACTGTCAGCTTCCATTATGGCGTCTCGGGGCACAGCAAGTTGTAGAATCGTGGTTACCACTGTATCCCAAACGTCAAGCCTGTTCAGTAGGAACTTACCAAGATCGCGGCTCTGGCGGCTCTGCTTTGAAGGGCGAAATCCGCTGACCTACTGTGAGGATGAAGCAGGCAGAAGCAGGGGTTTGGAGAGCGCCGTCTGGGGGTGGTTATTGGAGGCAGCCTCGCCCCAACGAGCTGCGCCCTTCTCGCGGCTGTGCCTCGTGAGGTGCTAAAAGTCATTCGAGCTGATTGCTTGCTGCTCCACACCTGGCCCCCAAAGCACGTGAACTTACTGTCGACTTGGCCATCACGGCGGACTGGGACATGTCAGTGTTGTACGAGTAATCTCGTGGCTGTGCGCCAGCGGTCGCTAAGAGGTTCTGAAGCCGTGGCTGAAGAGCTCCAGCTGAAGTGGTTGAAGAAGTCAATGCCTCCGGGATACGCTTCGCCTGACCTTCCCAGCAGGGACACCAATGATGCCGAGAAAATGACGTCATTGTTGAATCTGCGCTCTGGGCACCTTTCGTGGAAAGATGGTATGATCTAGAGAACCTGGAGACACTACTCCGTACATGTTCAGATGCTCAGATTCCGACCGTTGACACGTTCTTGCAGAGAAAAAATCATTGCGCAGTCTCTCCGCGTCGCTTTGCAGCAACGGCAGCTGCAGACATCAAGTGCCCATAGTGGACATTGGGGAATCGGCTTGACAGCAGCCTCAGGGCCACAACAAAGTCCACGAGCTCCGGGAACTAGAAACGTCGCTGTCGCCCATTATCCGCATCTTACCACCATCAAGGTGCCAGGATCGTCGACTTCTATTTCACACACCACTCTCCACAACATGTCCGACGACAGTTCCTACCTGTCCTTCCTCGAAAAGGCCAACGCCAATCCGAAGGCTGGCCAGACCCTCGCAGAGTCAGAGTCCACCTCTCAGCGACGGTCACAATTGGATCCAACAAGTTCATCGTCCGATGCCCTGCCAGCCTCCTTGAAGGCGCTGCCAGACGTCACCTATACTTCCGACACAGACTCGCCGTTTGAGCCCGTGCTCTTCAACTACTCCGGCTCGGAGCTTCCCTCGGCAGAGGGATTCGCCAACTGTCTTGCACCCAAGTCGGGCGGCGCTGTCGAGGAGTTAAGTATTCGGGACTTCGACCCAAGAGGGCAGTACGGCGAGGTCATTCAGAGGGTGGAACAGGCGGGGAAGGGGGAGGCGGGGGTCAAGGTTTACAGAGTGGAAATGAGCAAGACCAGAGCCGAGTATTATATTTTGACGATAGGGGAGAGGATGTTGGTGGGTGTGGTGACCAAGGCGGTGGAGAGCTAGAAGAGAGGTATACTCCGAGAGAAAGAGGCCGCATGAGAACGTTCAGGAGAGTCGTGGCCGCTCAAGACCACATCGTCGCCAAGGTCGTTTCACGACAGTCGTTCATGGTGTCCTCTACATCAAATAGCACGTGAACACCGAGTTGCATTCAAGGGCATGCTGCGGCCGACAGGTAGAATCTCAAGGGGACTCTGGCCGAACCCCAGTTCTATGCCGAGTACAACACCGAGTTCTGGTTATCAATCAGACCTCGAGACTGACAAGGATGCATTCTCTTCTGGAATTTATCCCTTTTGAAGGTCTAATTGATAGTCCACTCGCATGGGTCCATGATCGACACCAGCACAGCGAATCGTAACCACAGACGGAAGAATTCAAGCGTTGAAAAACGCGACCACCCAGATACAAGCAGATACTATCGAGGTCACGATAGCACAGCAGATATGCTGGAACCCAAGGTTTGGATATCAGGGTTACTGAAAGGGCGATCAAGTGCCAAATGAGAATGGATATGCAGGATTGGAGCCAATAGGTGGGGGTTTCAACTCCTGGCATAATATCCGAAGTTGCAATTCAATGAGAAACAGGGGGAAATGCTGGCAGAGAGACTTTATACCTGCAACGCGTCACCGTTGGATGACCGTGTCTACGCCGTCTTCTCGTTCCGCACCAAGTCCAAGTCACAACCGAAACAACCAGACGATAGCCGCCCAACAAGGACAAGGATGGACCGTGAAAGCACCCGGGACAATGACCCTTGATCAGAAGACCGAGTATCCTTATCACGGGGATGCCAGATTCTGTCTCCTCCGTATCACACTGTTGTGTTCTAGAGCACTGTCACGGATGCGTTTCCCTCGTCCAGCCTCCGGAGAACTCATCCTTGGCACAGATTTAAGAATAGAAGGGAAAACGGTGAAGGATGTGCATGGTGCAAGAGGACGACTCTCTGGCCAGTCGCACTGTGCTGTGGCGGTTCCCCCCTGAATGGCAAAAGCGAATCAAAATGGAGCTGAGACTGAGAAAACAGGCGAAATCAAGGCTGCCCGTCAGATTGTTCTAGGATCCGATTCTCCACTGCTTCGAGTCTCCGGGCGTCAGCAACACAGTGATTCGACCAGAGTAGCGCCACTGGCGGTCGTGATTTGCTCATCCGTCCCAGGTTGCGGTGCAGCAAGTGGCAGGCTGACGGGGCTCAGCAAGAAACTCCAGAGCATTCAAGGGTGAAGCCGCAGACGGCATGGGGCGCTGCTGTGCCACTGCTGCCCATGAACGCGTCAACTCTTTTCGGAGGCCGCTGGTGATGGGTTTGTTTTTGGCCAAACACCTTCCATCCCTCCGGTCCCCTTGCTCCAGTTGCTTGGATCTGGGTGGGTAGGTCACTCCGTGGGCCGCGACAAGTCTCGGCCAGGGGAATCGAGGAAATCATGATGGAGGAAAGGGAGATCTGCACGTCAACCTGAGACTTTGAACCAGATGAGCGCACTTTTGGACCAGGAAGGCAGCTGGAAGAATATACCTTGGACATCCCACACGCGAGAGAAGTTGGATTGAAGCAGCGGCTGTGAGAGGTACCAAGAGTCGTTGTTGGATGGGAAACGAGCACAATCCAAAGAAAGCAAACAAAATACGAACTGCTGGTGTGTGCAGATGGGAGGCCGCAGTTTTCAGCCAGCAGGCGAGAGTTGGTTACGAGGTAGAGGGAGGCACTGTTCCTGCTCCTCCCAAGTGCGCATCCCAGGGCCGACCATGCAGGTCCCGACTCCCGAGATAAACAAACACAATAGTCGTGCTCCGTATACTCCTGGACCCCCATAAAGCATGGGCATATGTCACTACAGCTTCATCTCTCTACTCTCCCAGCAAAATTGTCCAGCAAGATGTTCCTGCTTGTAGTTGTAACTGTACTCGAAACCGGCGGCCCAGTTTATTATACTGGGTCTGCGGTTCACCTGCGGTCCCTTTGATCCAGGGTCATCAAAAGCACCCCCGGGGGCTGAGATGAGGCCCAGCAGCTTGGAGTTACAGCTGAGGCTCCCCTACCTGCTAGGCACAGATATTGCGGCACTAGGGCTCGGCAGTGGGCCGCTTAAAGGGACCGGAGCACCTGCGCGCCCACTCAAGTTTAGCCCAGTTGCCCAATGGTCCAATTGCCCCCGTGGCCCCCCCTCGCTCACTGGCCCTCCAGCCCTCTGCCAAAGCCTCCTCTGCTGTTCTACCATCTGCTAGGAAACTCTTGTATCCTGAGAAACCTGCCAACTGCGCGCGCCTTCAAGGGCAACAAAAACACCCTCTTCTTTGTTCGTTGCTCGACAATTCTGTGCCGTCGGAGCAGTTACGTTCGTTTCCAACCCACCACATCTCTTTAACCCCCTGCACCTATCGACCTCGACATCTTTATTCTGCGCCTCCTAGAATCCCCTCCCTTTCAAGTTGGCAGAAGCTGGTCTCTGTCTTTCCTGCCGGCCAGAAAGGAGTACGACTTTGTGCACGGCCTTACCACGAACTCTACCTGATTGTCATTGCGAGGCCTTTTTCGCTCTGCAAGATCACGAACGATCTCTTCCTTTGACCCTGTCGGCGTCTTATCCTCTCTCTCTCCCGGCCTCCTTACTATTTTCAACCACCTGTTCGCCTAATCTGCACTGCTTACGCCCTCATCGGTCGGCCTCCTCCACACACCGTTCCTCAAAACTGCGGCCGGCCCTAAGACGTTCTTCCTTCCAGAGCCTCGACTCTCAAATCGACTCAGCCCTCCTCTCGTCCATCTCTCTAGCCGAACAAATACTGTTCTTCCACCCGGCTCACAGTGTTGGCGATCGATCTCCTTGACGACGAGTCGGTCGCCATCTTATAATGTCGTCCCACAGCAACAGCAGCTCCTCATCCCCTCCACGAGTCCCTCCTCATATTCGTCTCAATTCAGGTCAAGAAGACTTACTCAATGCCGATGCGAGCAACTCCTCGAGGACTCTGGTCCCGACTACCTCGAGACCGACCACGTCCCGGTCACAGTTAAACAATGTCTACCCCTCGGACCAAGTCCAGGACTCGGCAGAGAGACTATTACCACCGGTCACTGGCCGCTCAAACAGATTCAGAGATGATGGTTCACCGCTGAGGTCCCCCGTCCGCTCGAGCTATTCTTCTCGCCGGTCAAGTTGGGAGTCAGATCGGAGCAGGGATAGTAGAGGTTTCGAGAACCCGTTCAGAGACTCCAGTCAATCAAGACCAGGTTCAAGAGCCGGCAGCGATGACAACGACGTCAATACCCAGACGGTGTCAGAAAAATATAACATTCTACCTTCTGCGGGACTCCTTCTATTCCCAGAAGATGTCGAAAAGGACGACTACCTGCACAACCCTGATCCCAATGACAAAGACCGGGACTGTGATATATTCAACAGAAGAGGCTTGGTCAACGTCGGTGGCCTCGCTCTGATTACGATAGGCATATTGGTCCTGTTTGTGGGATATCCTGTTTTGTTCGTTCCCCACCCCTTAATTGACTCGGTCTGTATGCTGACGGGCTTGTTCAGAACATTCGTTCAAAAGATAACGGCGACGCCAAACCCTTGCGCAGGCACCAATGCTTGCATAGGAAATGGCAAAGTTCCATTACTGAAGAATATGCGCACTAGTCTTATCGATCCCGACACCCCTGACTCCGTCAAGACAAAGAAAGATTTCCACGGCAATACGTGGAATTTGGTCTTTTCGGACGAGTTCTCCACACCAGGACGGACGTTCTACGACGGAGATGATCCGTATTGGACTGCGGTGGACATCTGGTATGGTGTGACGAGGGATTTGGAATGGTACGATCCTGATGCGGCTACCACGAATGATGGTGTGTTGGAACTGCGCTTTGATGCTTTTCAGAACCATGGCTTGAACTATCGCTCTGGCATGTTGCAGTCTTGGAATCAGATGTGCTTCAAGGGCGGCAGGTTGGAGGCCAGTATCTCTCTTCCCGGACGTGGTGACACAGTCGGCTTCTGGCCCGGCTTTTGGTCGATGGGTAACCTTGGAAGACCCGGTTACGCCGCTACAACCGACGGCTTGTGGCCGTACTCGTACGCAGATATTTGCGACGCTGGCATCACCGCAAACCAGAGCTCTCCTGATGGCATCAGCTACCTTCCTGGCATGAGGCTCCCAGCCTGCACATGTTCTGGCGAGGACCATCCGACTCCTGGAAAATCTCGATCTGCCCCCGAAATTGATGTGCTGGAAGCAAGCGTGGGCACTTTGGATAGCGAAGGCAACCAGATCGGCATGGTCTCTCAATCCTTCCAGGTGGCACCCTTCGACATCTGGTACCAGCCCAATTACGACTTTGTGGAGGTCTTCGATTTCTCGGTCACGGCCATGAACACATACAAAGGTGGGCCTTTCCAGCAAGCCGTTTCGGGTTTGTCAAATCTGAACAATGCATGGTATGATGGGAACGCTTATCAAGTCTACGCCTTTGAATACACCCCCGGCGCCGATGGCGATATTACCTGGTTTGTTGGCGCGGATCCTGTCTGGCGTATGGAAGGTCAAGCGTTGGGCCCCAACGGTAACGTTGGTCAAAGAATTGTGCCCGAAGAGCCAATGTCGGTCATTGTCAACTTCGGCATGTCGCCCGGTTTCTCTGCTCTGAATTTGACTGGATTAGCGCCTCTCATGCCAGCTACCATGCGAGTCGACTACATCCGCATCTATCAAGACGACAACGGCAAAATGAGCTGCGATCCTGAAGGATATGAGACGACCGAATATATCAACAATCATTACGAGGTGTATCACAACCCGAACGTCACGAGCTGGTAAGTCTTATCCTCGGTCTGTCCTGTCTGGGCATTGAGCTAACCCATATTTCAGGTCTGATACTGGCTACTCGTGGCCAAAGAACTCGCTGGTATCCGGATGTTAATTCTAATCATAATGTTTCTTCGAAATCATTTCCAGCTGCCGGTCTCTGTCGGCGTGTACAGACATCTGTTTGGTCCTTCAGCATTTAGCGGCATGGCAAGTCAACACAACGGCGTTTCATCAAGGTCATTTTGGTTCGGGAGGCGGATTTGGCACTATACGGGACTGCCTGATTTGCGGGTATGGGCTGCAAAAAAATCTTGTCTAAAATTTTACGACTGAAGTAAGGGGAAATGATGAACCTTTTCCCGGTATATTCGGCGCCTTGAACAACTTAGAAGGGGGTGGGAGTTCTTGACCAACACCCGAAGAGGACAGATATGGGAAGCGATATGTGTGGCATGAATGCATTGCGGTTGAGTTCGGCGATGCCATATGAGAGCACAGGGAGTTCGAAGGAGGTGAGGTGGATGTCTAAATATTCTGTGCCTTGCCCCAATGGCTCGTGGACGATCAAAGGGCCAGGACATTACTGTGAACGCAAGCACATTTGAACACATATCTCCTTCATCTTGACTCTCGAAACCTAACTTGAACTTTTGATGCAAAGCGTTTGTACTGATGACGGTGCGTGCACGTGCCTCACCACTCGGTAGTTGCCGCAACTTTCACACATCATTGTATTCGCGCTGGCTTCCGCAGTTTCTGTCTCTGGACCAGTGTAGACAATTGTATTCACTGAGATTCGATCATCAAGGCCTTCTGGATGTGTCGACCTTGACGTTCCGCTATTGACACCTCGCAGATCTGGCCAACTCGCACCCGAAGCGTTATGTTCTCGGCTGGATTCTCAACAGCCAAAACTCCAGAAATGAGCAGAAACACAGCCAAATATCCCCGCCCTACCCTGGTAGAGGAGGGTCACCCTCCTGCAAAGAACCCGGCCCAACCAGAGGAGTACGAGAGAATACAACGTAAGCAGCGCGCAGAGGCGATCCTTGCACAGTATGATATACTGATGAAGTATGCTGTGGAGAACAATCTGGTAAGTCCCAACCGACGTTGTAGTATTCTTCCTTCTAGGATAGGACGTCCATGCGCTCAGCTAACTGTGGGTGGACAGTCAATACCCCAAACCCGACAGTACTTTAGAAAGGTCGCCTTGGAGATCCCTACGGAACCCGTCATCAAGAATTGGTTCCCTAGTTGACGCGGCATGCTGATAGGGATTCGGTGGATGGTTCAACAACAGCCGCTGGGGGTAATCAAAAAGGGCACACTGGGTTTCCTTAAGCCAAAATGTGTAGCAGAAACAGAACGTGGAATCCCAAAAGTTTGAGGGGTGCTGTGAGAAGCCTCTATTCGTGTGGCGAGACATCGTGCCTTCTGACATGATGTCAAATCCCTTATTTGCCACGCATCGACATCTATGCACGTCCTCATTCCCTGCCTTTTGCGCGTCACCTTTCCGAAACCTTTGACATGATCAGCCTTGTGTGCGACGAGGCTCAGATAATGACGAGGCTGTCGGCTAAACATCGGAGCCCCAAATTAAAAAATGTTGCCCGCACTTGAGCATTTTGACGGGCACACCGCACCCAGCGTTGTGTAGCAATCCCGCCTGCTCATATTGCTGTCAACATGTCGCTCGAGGAGAAATTGGCCAAGATCAAGTCGCCGAATCTCCAGAGTCAACAGCACGTAAGTTTTTGGCCCAGTTCAAGTCCGTGCAGGGCCACTAACCCAAGCGCAGACTGTCGTGGTTCTGTCCTCGATCGAAGAAACCCTCACCGAGCAGAAGACGAAATTTAGCCCCACGGCGTACTTTGCGGCTTTGCTCGCTCTCTTGAAGCAATCGGCTTCTACTGGAAGTGGTAATGAGGTCGTCACCTCGGCCGTCTATCTCCTCGACCTCGTCACCTCGCATGTACCTTCAAGCCTCCTCCGATCACAATTTACCACGATCCTGTCCTTGCTGGCACCCTTCCTAGACTCCTCTTCAACCAATGGGCCTTTACTTCGGTCAGCAATAGGATGTCTGGAGTCGTTGCTGATCGCCCAAGATACTGCGGCTTGGAACCTGCCGCAGATACAAGTCAGCCCTCGGCAGACAGTCCCGATGTTGCTCACACTGGCCATTGATTCGAGACCCAAAATAAGAAAACGGGCGCAGGAGGCGATAATGAATATTCTGAAAAATCCACCACCGGGGCCTGCAATTGATCACCCTGCCTCCGAAGTGTGCGCCGTGGCTGCCCAGAACAATCTCAAGAACGCTGTGGACCTGGTTCACCAGGTACGGCGACAAAAAGGTCGACCGGACGACAGCCACGAGCCGGCTGTGATTCATGCTCTGCAGCTGACGAAAACCATTGCGGTGGCATCAGGTGGGTGGCCAAGCAAGAAGATCGAATCACTCTGCGAGTTGCTCCTGTCCATATCCAGATCGAGAAATGATTATTTGGTCATGAGCGCCTTTGAAGTGTTCGAGGTGATATTTGAGGGAATGCAGGATGAAGTCTCTTCCTCGAAGTTGCCACGCTTGCTGGAAGCGATAGTGGATTTGAAACCTCCTCAGAACGACTCTCAGCTGCTTCCTCCCTGGATAGCAATCTTGTCGAGGGGCTACGGCACAGCCGCAGTCGTTGAACCCGAAGACACTTACGCAAAATTGCCGGAGCTTTGCGACTTGGTAACACCCTTTCTGACCAGCCCGTCTCACAACATACGGGTCTCGGCATCCGAGTGTCTCATCTCATTCTTTGCCAATTGTATTCCGGACAGCGTCATCTCCGACCCGTCAGTATACGATGAAAAGGTGCTGGAGCAACTCTCGAAAAAGGCACTTGACCTCCTAGCTGTGAAATATCAGACAGCGTGGATAGAGGTGTTCAGCACCCTGAGCGCCATTTTCGATGCTCTGAGGTGGCGGGGTGATCCGTTTTTGCTTCCTATCGTACAAGCAGTCGGTGAGTTACGAAGCCACGAGGGATTCCAAGGGAAGAAAGAAGCGGACGAAGTGCTTGGGCATGCCATCCGCAACCTTGGCCCCGGTGCCGTGTTGAGCGTTCTCCCTCACAACCTCATCAGACCACAACCAGGCCAGCCCGGTAGAGCATGGCTTCTTCCTTTACTGAGAGACCATGTATCGAACACAAATCTGGCACATTTCAGATCGGACTTAGTCCCTCTCAGCGAGGCGATGTATCAGAGGATAATCAATCATGGCGACGCTGAAAAGACAATGGACATCAAGGTTTTCGAGACCGTGGTGCAGCAGGTCTGGGCAACCTTGCCAGGCTACTGCGACCTTCCCCTGGACTTACAAACCGCCTTTGATCAGCCATTCGCAGAGATGCTCTCGAATCTGCTTTACAAGCAGACTGATCTACGAGTTGACCTGTGTCGAGGCTTGCAGAATCTGGTGGAATCGAACCAGGCACTCCTAGCTTCGGATCTCCCAGATGAGGTCCTTCTCCTCGAACGGCGACTGCAAAGGACAGATGCGGAGAAGAATATCCAGCACCTGTCCCAGTTCGCTGGCAACCTTTTAGCTGTCCTATTTAATGTCTACAGTCAGACACTACCTCAGTCTCGTCCCTACATTCTGCAGTGTATCAACAGCTACCTCAGCATTACTCCTGAGAAGGATTTGGTGGACACTTTTGAGCGAGTGTCGACGATGCTGCAAGAGGCGCTTCCCAAAGCCGATCAGCCACCTCCCAAAAAGGAACCAATCCAGACATCTGGCAGCAAACTCCCCCCAACCTCCCACACACTACTTGACCTGGTCATCGCTCTGTCTGTTCATTTACCACGATCAACGTTTTCCTCGCTCTTCGCCATCTCTTCCAACATCCTGACTAATCCGGCGATCCTCAAATCTGACCCGCAACTCATCAAGAAAGCGTACAAGCTCATTCCAAGGCTGTCATCTTCTCCCGTCGGGGCAGAGGCGCTTACTGCTCGCAACAAGGAATTGCAGGAACTAGTTCTTCGGACTTCAGAAACAACGCCTGTTCCTGCCCGACGAGATCGCATTCTCGCGATTCATACACTCGTCTCCTTCCTCCCTCTAACCGATCTCCATTTCATTCCCAGTATGCTCAGTGAAGTTGTCTTGGCATGTAAAGACAACAATGAGAAAGCTCGAACTGCTGGATTTGACCTCCTCCTCGCGCTCACGGATAAGATCTCCAGCTCATCCAATCCCCCGGGTACAACGATCCGCAATCGCCTCGTACCACACATGCCAGACGATTCACCCGACGCGCCAGCAACACTCGAAGAGGTCTTCACCATGGTGAGTGCCGGGCTGGCTGGCGTGGCTCCTCATATGGTTGCCGCTAGTGTCATCGCACTCAGCCGGCTCTTCTTCGAGTTCCACTCACGATTAGGCGATAGGACGAAAGAGGAGCTCGTCGATACGGTCGGTATGTTTCTGCAGTCGAACAATCGCGAAATCGTCCGTGCGGTCCTTGGATTTATCAAGGTTATGGTTGTGGTATTGCCCACGGAAATCCTGGAACCCAGAATGCCCAACATTGTTCCCGGACTGATGGTTTGGAGCAAAGAAAACAAAGGACGGCTGAGAGCCAAGGTCAAGGGAATCTTGGATCGATGTCTGAGAAGATTCGATTCAGCCAAGGTTGAAAGCTGGGTTGGTGGCGATGACAGGAAGATGGTCGTTAACATCCGCAAACGGAGAGAGCGAGGACGGCGGAAGAAGAAGGGGGATGAAGAGATGGACGAAGATGAAGAGACTACAACGAAAAAGTATGACAACGAATTCGACGAGGCCGTTTACGGCTCCGATGACGACGATTCGGAGATTGAAGGCAGTGACGACGAAGACAATGATACTGCTCCTACGTCAGGAGTCTCCTTCAAGAAAGGTTCGGTGACTGGCAGGAAGCAGGGACATGAGCAGTATATCCGCCAAGATGAAGAGGATGATGAACCGCTCGATCTGCTCGACCCGCGAAGCATGGCGAGCATTGCTACTAAAAAACTTGGGCGACTGACGGACGTGCGTTCGGGAACGAAGAAAACAAAGGCGAAGATCAACGAGGATGGCAAATTGGTCTTTGGCGGCGAGCAAGAGGACGAAGGCGGTGATGTCGATGTCGTCATGTCAGGGTCGGCGAATCCAGACAACTCGGTCAACGCATATCTCGACGCGGTGTCTGGGGCCGATGCCGTAAGGAGGGGTCAGAAAGGCAGGCTGAAAGTCAAGTCTGGCATGCAAAGGAAGACGAAGCAGGAGACTCGCGACAGAGACAATGAAGAGATGGAGCTGGACGTTGAAGAGGCCAGACAGGTTGCGAGACAGATTATGCAGGGCTCCGGATCTCCAAAGTCTCCCGGTGGCAAGGGAAGTGACCCGAAACAGCAGAGACGTGGTCTGGGTGTCGAGAAGAGGAGAGACCAGCCTCAGAAGCAGCGATTCCGAAGCGGGAGTGGGGTGGGGAGACGGGGTGGTGGAAGAGTGCGATTCGGAGGCAGGAACGGTAGCAGGAGATGACGAGGGTTGCTCAGTCTCTCTTGCTGTGGTCCGTGGCGTTATACAGGATTTGGATCTGAAGATTGTTCTCAAATGGGCATGAAGGAAATGAAAAGATATGGCAATGACACCTTAACGAAAGAGGGTTGCTTTTTACTATGCCAGGCTGGCTATGCTGTTTCATCAAGTCTTCCACACAACCGTGCCACCTGGTTCCTTTCCACGTTGGATGTTCTCTCGGAGTTAGCTTCAAGTTGAATTGGTCACATTCCACGAACGACCAAGAGAGTAGAGAGTCATTCTTACTCTCTGCTCTGCTGCTACAAGGCTGCAGTCTACAAGTAGGTGGGTATAGTTAAAGCGAAAAGATTCAAGCTAAGCATCGCACTATGCTTGTCCAGGACGCCAAGACCACGCCATCGATGGAACTATACCGAATACAGTTGCAACACTACGTCGAACGCTCCACGAAGTGCTGTTGGGCTGAATGCTGGACTTGCGCGACGAGCTGTGATATATCAGCAATCAGAGAGAGTAGGGGAGACTGGATGCACTACCTAACCTCTTATGGTCATGCTACCTACTCATAATTACGGGGCTTTAACGGCATGGCCTCTCTATGATTGGCTCGGATGACACTCTGAAGAGGATGGTCACCACCCGGCGAACGAATGGACAATTGCGAAGGAGACTTCTATGTCCAACGTGGAGCCCTATACATGGAACTACGCTGATGTTTTACTCTTACGCGCATATCGAGGGTGGCCATTATCAATCCGCAACGCCACCTACACAGTCCATCGCCCCGGAAGCTGACAAAACGATTCCAGCGGCAGTTCGAATGGTCTTTTATCATGTCTTACGATCCTACGACATTATTAATGCCGTAATTTATTGCTCCGGAAAGAGCTACAACACTGTCAAGGGCTTTTTGAAACGGGGACCGCCGAGATTGTGGTGGTTTGACTCTATAATTGAGGATATAAAGCCCACAAGATCCCAGGTCAGGAATGCTCATCACTCCAAGCCTCTTCTATCCATAACAAACTACTCAAAGTTGAAACCCCATCAGCAGCAGCAGTAGCAGCATGGTTCGATACATTCTCACCGGTACCAGCGGGAAACTGGCGTCTCGAGTGCTGCGACACATCTTGGAGCAGAAGTTGATCCCGCCCACGGATCTGATCATCTCGTCCTCCAACCCGGATCGGGTCCCGGCGATCGCGAGGGAGCACGGCATCGAGGTGCGCCAGGGCGACTACACGGACCCGGCATCGCTGAAGTCGGCTTTTGCGGGCGGCGACGTGCTGTTCCTCGTGTCCCACGGCGACCCGGGCGTCCGGCGGGTCGAATACCACCGGAACGCGATCGAGACGGCCCGCGCGGCCGGCGTCACGGCCGTCGTCTACACCAGCATGATGTTTGGCGGCGAGACCGGGCTGGACAGCGTCATCGGCATCCAGCAGGGCCACATCCACACGGCCCGGTACCTGGCGCAGTGCGGGATGGACTACGTGATCGTCCGCGAAGGGCTGTACGCGCACGTGTGGAACTACTACGCCGGCCCGCCCACGTCGGCGGTGTTCGCGAAGGGCGACGCGCGGCCGCTGGAGTGGGTGGTGCCCAACGACTCGTCCATCGCGTGGGTCGACATCGACGACCTCGCCGCGGGCAACGCCCTGATATTGGCCCGCTACACCGAGTACATCGGGCAGACGCTGCGCCTGACGGGGCCCCGCGCCACGCCCGTCAGCGAGATCGCCAGGCTTGTGGAACAAAGGACCGGCCGCAGGGTCGATCTGCGCTTCGTGGGGAAAGAAGAGGCCGTCAGGTATCACAAGGACCATGGGAGCGTGCCCCCGGAGGCGTTTGGCTGGCTCGAGGACAATTGGGCGGGCTGGTTCGAGGGCCTCGCCAACGGGGAGGGCGAGGTGGTCGACCCGCTCCTCGGGCAGTTGCTCGGACGGCCGGCCAGGGGCATCGTGGAAATGGCCGACGAGTTCTTTACGCCTCGGTAGTTGGGAGGAGGGAGGTAATAAACGCAAGACAGGCCGTTAACGTGGTGGGAGAAGGGTTGGGGAGTATCTATGGAGAATGAATGACGAGGCATGCGTCCACTCTCCTTCTCCTGTCGACTAGAATACTGAGGATATCCAGATCTGCAGAGTCAAATGGCGAAACCCGAGCCTCGAGGTATTGCGTACCCTTTGATCCGTCTTCCTAGAGTTTAGCGGCCCAGACCGATTAACGTGCATATAGATCTGGGGCCATGGTCTGGACCTCTCGCAGGGTTTCTCCACGTTGGGCAATGATCGACCCTTCAATACTATCATAGGCCAACGTGCTTGTTAGTAGCAGATATCAAATGCGGGTGTTCGGTAGTGGTTGAGTGCTGTAGTTCAATGGACCATTATCTATATAGATGGCCTGGTCCATGCCATCATTCAACGAGAATAGAACGAACTAGACATTGTCTAGAGATCTCCGCGAGTCAGGGAGGCTGCAGAGTGTAAGGGGCATACAGAGCACATATAGCTCTCGCTCATGGCTCCTCGTGTCGTCTTGATCACTGGCGCCAACAGCGGAGTAGGTTACGCTACCTCTCAGGTCCTGGCAACCACTCCAGAGGACGACTTCCATGTCATCATGACGGGCCGCTCTCTTGAAAATGTCGAGGCCTCCAGAGCCGCAATCATCGCATCCTGCTCCGGCAATGTCCCAAACCTGGCGTCACGCCTCTCCACGCTCCATCTCGATGTGACCAACCCGGGATCAATCCGCGCCGCCGCCGACGCCGTCTCGCGCAAATGGGGCCACCTCGATGCACTGATCAACAACGCCGCGATCGGCGCCACCTCCCTCGACGCCGACATACACACCCGCTTCACGCGGTGCATGCAGACCAACGTGACGGGCCCCGCCGTCATGGCCGACGTGTTTCGCCCACTGATGTTCCAAGCCCCCGGCACCCCGTACAGCGTCTTCGTGTCCTCCGGCGCGGGCTCCTTCGCGCGCACGGCCGACACGACCCGCCCGCGAGGCCCGGAGCCGCCGGGGGACACGAGCGGGTACCACGCGTCCAAGGCGGCGCTCAACATGGTCGCGCTGAAGGAGCATCTCCGCCACCCCGAACGGGTCAAGGTCTTCGCCATGACGCCCGGGTTTGTGGTGAGTAATCTACGTGGCAAGAGCGAGGAGTTGCGCTGGGGTTGGGGGTTGGCCGGGGATCCCATCGTCGCGGGCCAGACCATGCTGAGTATCTTGAAGGGCGAGAGGGACGCGGATGTAGGGAAGTTGGTGAGCAAGGATGGAATCTATCCTTGGTAGATGTTCAAGGTATTGAGCTGGTCATACATACCCAGAGGTACATTGTATCTTTCCTGGTATAACGGCATAGGGACGAGGGGCTGGGCCAGCCTGCTAAGCCACGGGCCCTTGATTTTTCTTTCTCAGCTAGGTGAGCTTGCCGCGGGTGGTCTACGTGTTTTATTCGACCTGTTATGAGGCTGGGTGTGGATGTAAAAGCAGGAGAGGCGGCTATAGGTGGGGTGAAGGCATACAAGAGTGGAGGTAGTCCTTTATGCCACCCTCCACCGATAAATCCTTCTTGGCTGACCCTCCGATTAACGCCCTAGCTGCTACACACCCAGTCCCTCGAACTCGGCTGCAGAATGTGCCCCGAAAGTTCCAGTCTGTGCAGCGGAGTCAGGCAATCACCATCCTCTGCGTGGGTGGCGCCTCGCCAGCCTTACAAACGGGGGATGTCAAGAGCAATGCTGGCTTCTAGCTCCTAGTTGGTCATTGCTCTCTCCAATGACCTTCTGCCAACAGAGCCGCCCCCAAGTCCATCGTGCCCCTCCTCCAGTCGGCCTGGAAATATAACGTCCGCTCCTGGCGAGCCTTCATGCGGCGAGCCATCGATGGCTGCGTCTGTAGAAAGTCCCTTAGACGATCGCAGCGGCATTTGGTCCTGCGACTTCTGCCATGGTTTTGTTGGAGATCTCTTCACGAGTCCATATGCGAGCCTTCAAGAGGCTGCACAAAAAGGTTGCAATCGCTGCTGGATTTTCGAACAAGCAGTCCAGGCTGTCGTTGACAAACACAAAATTGTTCAGCACGAGGATGGGAGTGAAAAGTTATCAGTTCGATTCTACGCCAGCGAGGGCCATATCACTTGTTATTGGGGGGGAAAGAGTTGCAAAATCCAGGTTTTTGTGGAACAGTCGACTGGTGTCGCCGGTGAGCTTGCATGGCTACCCAGAAGGCGCAGTCTTCCAGTGGAAGGCGTCCCAGACGCTTGCTTCAAGTTTGCATCCGATGCGTTGCAGACCTGTGTAGAGAGCCATGAGCGGTGCTCTTGCATTTCAAGCTTGGGTTACATTCCGAGGCGTCTTGTCGACGTGGGCACTGATGGCATGGTCAAAATCATCAACGACGCTCGCTCCAGCGTTGGAAAAGGGACCAAGTATGCAGCTCTGACCTACTGCTGGGGCCCCCCGTCGACCAAGAAGATCAAATACTTGAACCTGACGGCGCAGGATCTGAAGGAGATGGCTGAAGGAATTCCAATCGACGACGACCTCCCCCTTGTGTTTCAGGATGCCGTCCAAACCGCTCGAGCTCTCAAGATGCGATACTTGTGGATAGATGCGCTTTGTATCGCCCAAGGAGATCAAGAGGAGTGGAAGACCGAGTCACTCGCGATGCGAGAGGTCTATGCCGGAGCCCATGTCACTATCTCTGCAAATGCGGCGCCAACCTGCCACGATTCGTTTCTCAAAATGCCCGGCAGACGTGGGCGGGCAGGATTCGATATTTGCAAAGGAAGAAGTTATTTTGGGTCCAGGATCATGGCAAGATTTCCCGATGATGGAACCCTTGGAGAAAATGATATCTACAGACTACATTCTCGAGGCTGGACGTTACAAGAGCTTCTGCTCAGTACAAGAGTGATTTCGTTCCTGTTCGATCAGGCATATTTCAGTTGTGCAGAAAATCACCTATCGAGAGAAGACGGGTACTTGACTTCCTGGAATCCTTGCGACTACCCACAACAGACGACGACTTTGCGCAAATGGTGGTCGCAGTTAGTGTCAGCGCCAAAAATCAGATCAAGGATGGTCCCTGACGAAGAGCTTTTAGATCTTTGGAGGGACCTCGTGGAGGAATACACCACTCGAGATCTCTCCAACCTAGATGACAGGCTGCCGGCCATTTCTGGCCTGGCCGCCCAGCTGAAACAACAATTCAGTCCACGGATGACTGAATATTGCGCTGGTCTTTGGACGAAAGATTTTGTGAACGGCCTGTGCTGGTTCCGCGATGGCAACGAAATTTGGACTCCGCCCACCAAGTCTCCTTCTTGGTCTTGGGTGTCTTGTCCCGGTGAGGTAGACTACGAAGTGTACAGTGACAGTCAACCTTTGGCTCGATTAGCGACGATCAATCGCTTATCTGAACAGAAAGAGTTCAAGAATATTGACGCACCAGAACATGACGACGAACTGCCGGCTCTCGATCCCTCACTTGTATCTTCAGAATTTGGCCACGTTGAATCTGCGGAGGCGACGATAGAAGGCCGGATGTTCGAGGTTGACCTGCGATTCCAGAAAAATGGGGAGGCATACGTGCAGGAAGGGTGTATTCGTGGCCTTTCAAAAAGGGAATGCCAGCTTAGCTTCTATATGGACAGACAGGCAGGGTCAGACGAGACATCAGGCCCATCTATCCGACGGTCCATGAGGGAAGATTACCCGGACGACTTCTGGGATCACGGCGGTACGGTACTCCTACTTGCCTTGTCAGAGCATGGCCTCCCTCTCCGAACATTACTGGTCAGGCACCTTATTTTGGTCAGATCGACCACAAAGTCGGACAAGTACCTGAGAGTCGGGCTCTGTGAAGCCAATTTAAATTGGGATTTTCTCCCCGACATCCCAAAATCTTACCATGGGGGGGTATTCGACTCCTGGATGGCGCACTTTAAGCTGGGATGCATCACAATAATTTGACATGATGATGGTTTTGCGTTAACGTAGATTGTAGGGTGGAGGGGCGTATAAATCTCAAGAATCTTTTATCACCACTTGTACGCTACCGATTCCCATGTATTAATATGATCGAAAGGCCCGAACAGGGTTGTCGAAAAGGGGCCGGCTTGGTGCTTGCGTGAAGGGTTGTGTCAGAGCATGTATAACTGAATTGATGGGAATAACGACGAGGTCAACCGATCTGCCGACGTCCTGTGTACGAGGTGGTACCGATTACTAGCGGCTTGGCTGGATTTAACAGGCGTCAAGGCCAAGCAGCGTGCACGTGACCAGCCTCCGCTCCACTCCAATTTGCTCTGCCTCCATGAAGAGCATCCCGACACTGACCAGACCAAAGTGTCTAGCCACCACAGCGCAGTTGCTTCATCTAGGGAAAAAGGCCGAGCACCTCGCTCAAGATCACCCAACATGTGCCGCATTTGCGGGCGCATGATCAAATGCATCTTTGACTCGATGCCCTCGAGGGCCCCTTCATCCGTGTCCAAACCGTGAGCCTCAATTCTTTGCCGTGCCCATTGAGGGAAAAAACAGCTACTGAAACTCACCGTGGCAGCAGATCTCTGCGCCAACCTCACCAGACAAGATCTCACCATGTGTCGTCACGCACCCTCGTGCAGAGCGCGCTGAACATCCCTTCCAAGCCCGTGGCCGCACCGCCAACATTCCTCCTCCCGTTCCGCGCAAGGCTTCTTCACCAGTCGAGGACGCAGCCGTCCACCACGACGCCGATATCCCAGTTCCAGAACACCCAGCCCGAAATCCCGCCCAGCTACCTTTCTGCCACCATTGACCAAACACCATCCCCATCCGCCACCACGACAATATCTCCTTCGACGACGCAATCTCTCGACCGGCCCCTCGTCCTCTCGCGCTCCCTGCAAACCCTCCTCCCGAAGCTGCACGGCCAGAAACCCCACTATGTGGTCGCGCACGTCCACCGGTTCCCCTACCTGCTCACGGAGGGCGACGTGCTCCGCCTGCCCTTCCACATGAGGGGCGTCGCGCCGGGGGACGTCCTGCGCTTCAACCGCGCCAGCGTCCTCGGGTCGCGCGAGTACACCCTCAAGGCCGGCACCGCGGCCACCGAGTCGTACGACGCCCGCCGCACGGGCGAGCCGAACTACCTGGACGAGCGGCTGTTCGAGTGCCGGGTGCGCGTCATGGGCCTCGAGACCCAGCCCATGACCTTGAAGGAGAAGAAGAAGCGCCGCAACCGCCACCGCAAGGTCGTCCGGAGCAAGCACAAGTACACGCTGTGCCGGGTCATGCAGGTCCGGGTCAAGGGTTTGGACGAGCTGGTCCGGGGCGAGAAGGGCATGGTCCTCCTGGAGGGCCGGGAGAATGGGATCGCGCACGCCAGTGCTTGAGTCCTCCCCCCGATCCGATAGAGCAGGGGGAGGCGCTTGTAGGATAATATGTTGTACGCGAGGTCAAAGCGGTCTACTGTAGATGTCTAGCGCCAACAATCTGAACAATCCAACCTTCATACCCGTGCCACCGAAGCCCAAGCACACTATGCATGCATGTGACAAAGGTAAACTTATGTGCTGTGTTACCAAAGGGCAAAAAGACTGCTACCCTAAAACTGGTGCAGCAAAGGTATTGATACACCCCAACCCCCCTCCCTTGGACGCCATCCGCCATAAAATACTATGATCCAGGACGAGGAGGAAATTGAAAGCAGGAGCTTTTTTTTTCTTCCCTCTGCCGCCGCTCCTTTCATAAAGTCTGGTCGTCGTTACACATCACAGGCACGGCAACCATCAACCCATCCATCCGTCCACTCGTCGACTAAACGTATCATGTAGACCTGTCCCCAATTCAAGTAATAGTGCCTGCTCGGAAATCCTGGTTGTCTCAGAGAGGGAGAGACGGCGTAATAGAGGTGGCGACTTGGAATTGCGAGCAATCCAGTGCCAGCGGGCCTGGAAATCGGGGCGCGTCTCATTTCACCTGGCCTCGAAGGAAGGAAAGGTCATGCGGTCGCGGAGGTTGACCTTGAATTCAAAGATGCCTTCCTCAGCACCGGCGTACCTATGTCCCACTGTGTCAGCACAAACCCATTGGCCTTTTCTCCAGGAACCCTCCAGTCTCTTGACCAGAGGACCAGACTTACAGGAACTGCCCATCCGGACTAAACGCGATCCCCGTTGTGCCTAGTTCGGCCTGACCTGCCACTCGTGCTGCAACTGTCGACCTCCCGCCAGCGCCCGTCACGCGTTGCAACCCAGATCCAGCCGCGGGAGGCATCCAGTTCCCGTTGGCATCGATCGATCTGTTTCCCGACATGCTGCCACTCAAAAACATCATTTGTGACATACGCATCTCCGCACCTAGAACGCGACCGCCACCCAGAATGCGACCGGCAACTCCAGATCTAGCTCCATCGACACGTCCTGCCTCACTACTACCACTACCACCAGCCCGTTGAGCTGGCGGACCCGAGGGAGCGGTCACCGGGCCCCGGCGCAGGCTGTCAGTGACTACCGGTGGGCGGTTGATGAGCTGGGGCTCTCTCCGAGGTGAGCCGGCGCGAGCACTGTCAAATCTGCTCAGCTCGTTAGCGGTAGCTGTCATCCGAGTTCTGAGCGATGCTATTCGAGCTTCGGCCGCATCCAAGGCTGCAGCCTGTGTATCCATCTCGCGCTGAAAGGCGCTGTCCCGAGATTGGGTGTCAAGGGCTGCTTGAGCTAACTGCCACTCTGCTCTGCGTATCTGTCGCTGAAAGTTTTCGATATAGGCTAGTCTCTGACGGCTGGACTCGGAGTAATCCGTGAGAATGTTCTCAACGTTATCTGACTGACTGGACGATCGAAGATTCGTGGTGGGCAGCGTTGTAGTCCGGGCCGAGCTGGAACCTGAAGGGTTGACAGTGTTCACATCACTTCCCGAACCACCACCCAAGATCCGGTCTCGCTCGGTTTCCAGTCTTCGAGAGTGTTCCGTTGCAACTCTTAATGCCCTCTCCAACTCCTGCGACCGCTGCTGTAAGTTCTGTTGTTCATGCGTCAGCTGTCGCTGCAGAACCCGATCCAATGAAGCCCCAACGCTTACATCTCTGTCCCTTGCCACCTCCGCCCGAAGATGGTCAAGTCGATTTTCGTTCTCAACACGTATACGCCGTTGGGTATCAAGCTGCCTGCGAAGCAAGAGTGACAACTGTCTCTCGTCGGCTAGTTGACGCTCAAGCTGGCTACCAAGTTGTTGTTCAGCTTCCAAGGCAGCTTCAATCCGACCAAGCAGCGCCACACTGCGATTGCCGTAATCCGATACCCGAGCCGACTCAAGTGCTGTTTGAATGACGTGCCAGGGGTCGTGTGGCGGAATAGCCGAAGGTCCTGGCTGCGGCTCAGCTCTGGATGCTGGAGTTAAAGTATTTGTCGACGTGGCTGGAGGGTCCTCGTCATCGCCGATGCGGCCTGGAGACGCAGATAGCCTTACGCGATGGTCAGGGTTGAGATCAAGATATCGACTTCCATTCGGCTCGGAAAGAACCACGGAGGATCTCCTCCTTGGCGGCTGGGAGCGTGGACCGACAGAACGACTGGTCCCTAGAGGCTGTGATGTACCGTCACTTGACATTCTTCCAGCAATCCAGCCCGGGGAAGAGGTCGTGTAGTTGATACTGTATGGGCGAGTTGGTGGCTGTTCCACGTTGTCCATTGTGGTATCAAGTGCCTCGACTACCGATCTTTCTCGAGCATCCAGATCCAAGCCCTCATAGTTGACCAGGTCGCGGCGATTTGGCCTTTGCCCCGACTCGCTCAGAAGATCACCGACGCCTAGCTCATCAGCTGCCTCAGCGGATACGCCACGCATGGCTCTTAGTCGTATGAGTCGCTGCTGCACCAACCGTTCCTTGTGGCTCATGTTGCGAAACGCGACTGGAGTTCCATCCTCGAGCTTGATTTCCTCTGCTTTTTGACGGTCGAGGTCCAGTATTTGCCGTCGAACGCAGGACTGTCTTACATCCGCGACACCTATACTCCCATGGTCTTCAGCCCAGACTAAGAGATCCCATGGTGCGGGAGAAAATATCATGGACCTGACACATCCATATAAATCTGGCCGTGATGACCAAAAAGTCCATATTATGGACGATCCACCGGGTTCATTGCTGCTTAGAAGACGTTGCATGTCGAATACCGAGATGGAACCACCCTGGGAGGAAGCTGCGCAAAGATGCCCGGAAGGTGAAAAGGCCACTGCAAAGCTGTGGTCGTCATATACGGGAACACCAGTCGGTACCACGGGGTTTGCAAACATCTCCCAGTGGTACTTGGTGTACCTGCCGGTAGAACCATCGATGATGTCCCGATCCTCCTCATGGTGTCGTCGATAGAAGTATACACGGTTGGAGTCTCCAACTGCTGCGAGGACCGTCGAGTCGGGAGACAAGGCTGCAAAGTTCATTGGGACGGGATGTGGCAGAGTCGTCAGCACCTGTCGTTGAGCTAGAGAGTAGATCTTGACGGTCTTGTCGTTGTTGCTGATCAATACCACCGGTTCGTCGGGAGTCTTGCCATGATTCAAGAATGTGTGAATGCTCATGGCATTGACTATTTCTCCTCCCAACAAGTCGACATTCATGTCATGAGCAAAGCATTTCGGCCGATCATGTTCGTCCTTCTCGATCTTGATAAAAGCGCAGTCGCCATTTTGCTCCCCTCCCACACAAACCCAGCCCAGGTCAGCGGCCAGACACCGCGACTCAAAGGGTATCGTTGCGATCAACGAGTTCTGTTGGGTTGCGAGATCGAGGACAAATACGTCTTTGCATGACACATAATAGATGAGGTCTTGCTCCGACGAGCCGATGAAATGACGCAGTTGGTGGTGGGATACCGTAATCTTTGTCGGGTAGAACTTAGAGTGGGAAACAAGGGACTTTGTAGGAATGAGCCATAGTTCGCGGTTGGGCACGGTCATTTCGCGACGGAAGACGAGGGATCTAAGGGAAGAGACGCATCGCTCGGCGAGGTAGAAGGCGGATTGAAAATATGGAGGTGGAAAGCGTGGTAAGCGCGCAAGCTAGGAAGCTTAGGAAGACAGATCCCCAGCGCAACGACTCTCAGGAGCAATAGAGGAAGAATCTTTATAAATTGGCTGTTGGTATGAATGCAATTGCCTCCAAGTTGAGGGTGATAATCGCATCACTGTGGACTGAGAGGAGGGCTGCTTAGGTTTGCCGGACCGTGACGTCGATTGGACGAGGCTGTCTCCGCGAGGCTGACCCATATATTTCACAATCCGGCATGTTTGCCGAGCACTTTTTGTCCGCCGTACCTCCTAATTTCTGAGAGTTTCTGTCGTGCCAAGGCGCGCGCGACCTTGCGGCGAAGGGGAAGAGAGATTTTTTCTCCGTCCATTTGTATTGCGTCTGCTTTGCATCCTGAGCTCATCTACTCGTCCCATCACCCATCTTCTTCATCTTCACAATTCACCCCGGTTTCCAGGCCTTTGCCCATCTCCTACCTTCTTCGCTGCTTCTCTGTTTGTCCTTATACGTGAGATCATTATGATCGCCTCAAGGTTGTCCAGAGCTGTAAGTCCCAATGTTGTTGCTTTCATCGTGGACTGATCCTCTAATCAATCTCCCAGCTTCCTCGCTCTACCCCCTTCTCTCGCTTCTCCCAGATCAAAGCACCCCGATCATCAATAATCTCGCGGTATGCCTCGACCGAAGCTCCCGAGTCGACTGAGAAAGTCAAGGGTCAAGTCATTGGTATCGACTTGGGAACAACAAACTCGGCCGTCGCGGTCATGGAAGGCAAGCAACCAAGAATAATAGAAAATGCCGAGGGTACTCGAACAACGCCCTCCGTTGTGGCCTTCACGGAGGGTGGAGAGCGCCTCGTTGGTGTTGCTGCCAAGCGACAAGCTGTCGTCAACCCTGAAAATACCCTCTTCGCGACCAAACGACTCATCGGCCGGAAGTTCTCAGACCCAGAAGTCCAGCGAGATATCAAGGAAGTCCCCTACAAGATTGTCCAACATACAAATGGCGACGCCTGGCTGGAAGCTCGCGGCGAGAAATACTCGCCTTCGCAGATTGGAGGTATGGTCCTGGCAAAGATGAAGGAGACTGCCGAAGCATACCTTGGCAAGCCTGTCAAGAACGCCGTCGTTACAGTCCCTGCCTACTTCAATGACATGCAGCGCCAAGCCACGAAAGACGCTGGTCAAATTGCTGGATTGAACGTTCTCCGTGTTGTCAACGAGCCCACCGCAGCTGCGCTCGCATATGGCCTTGAGAAAGAGGATGATCGTATCATCGCGGTCTACGATCTAGGTGGTGGTACATTCGATATTTCTATCCTCGAGATCCAGAAAGGCGTCTTTGAGGTGAAATCTACCAACGGTGACACCCATCTTGGAGGTGAAGATTTCGACATCACCCTTGTGCGCCACCTTGTTCAGCAATTCAAGAAGGAGTCTGGCATCGACCTATCAAACGATCGCATGGCTATTCAACGTATTCGTGAAGCCGCCGAGAAGGCGAAGATCGAGCTGTCTTCCTCCATCCAGACAGATATTAACCTACCTTTCATCACCGCGGATGCATCCGGCCCTAAACACATCAACATCAAGATGACCCGAGCTCAACTTGAGCAGATGGTCGATCCTCTCATCTCCAAGACCATTGAACCTGTCCGCAAGGCCCTGAAGGATGCCAACTTGCAGGCAAAGGATATCCAAGAAATCATCCTCGTCGGTGGTATGACTCGTATGCCCAAGGTCAACGAGTCTGTCAAGAGCATTTTCGGACGCGAGCCTGCCAAATCTGTCAACCCCGATGAAGCTGTCGCCATTGGTGCCGCAATTCAGGGAGCCGTGCTTGCTGGTGAGGTAATGGACGTTCTTTTGCTCGATGTTACGCCCCTCTCTCTTGGTATTGAGACCCTCGGTGGCGTGTTCACACGTTTGATCAACCGTAACACGACCATCCCCACCAAGAAGTCACAGATCTTCTCAACTGCTGCCGACTTCCAAACCGCTGTGGAGATCAAGGTCTACCAGGGTGAGCGTGAGCTTGTTCGGGACAACAAGCTGTTGGGCAACTTCCAGCTGGTTGGCATTCCTCCTGCACACCGCGGCGTTCCTCAGATCGAAGTCACCTTTGATATTGATGCCGACTCGATCGTGCATGTTCATGCCAAGGACAAGTCGACCAACAAGGATCAATCCATCACCATCGCATCGGGATCCGGTCTCTCCGATGCGGAGATCCAGAACATGGTGGATGATGCTGAGAAATACGGCGCTCAGGACAAGGAGCGTAAGGCTGCCATCGAAGCTGCCAACCGGGCCGACAGCGTTCTCAATGACACGGAGAAGGCATTGAAGGAATTTGAAGACAAGCTGGACAAGGCTGAAGCCGACACGATCAAGGAGAAGATTGCTTCTCTCCGTGAGTACGTTGCCAAGAACCAGGCGGGCGAAGGCACTGCCACTGCCGAGGAGATGAAGGCCAAGATCGATGAGCTCCAGACTTCGGCCCTCAGTCTGTTTGACAAGATGCACAAAGCCCGCGAAGAGTCACAGCAGCCACCCCCGGGCGGTGAACAGCAAGGCTCATCGAGTGGTGAGCAGAAGCCGTGAAGGGTGAAGTGAAGATGGAGATGACGGGTCCCCAAAAGCAACTTGTATTTTAATGATATCCCTGTACTCGACTTCTTTTTGTTACCCCGGATATTGGCCGATCTTTTCGGACATTCTTGCCACCATCGCGGGCAGAGTTCTCTATGTGTATTAATTTTGTTCTTGGGGAAGGACAAAAGGGTTGCTGACGAGGACATTACTACTGCTGCGTCATGACTGGTATGCATGAGTGTTTGAAGGAGCATGGAGCGTTACATTTTGTCACACGCTTTCGCTGGCCGGGAGGAATGACTGCAGGAGCGGAGTACACGAGGGGGTTTGGCTTGTTCGAGCACGGTTGACGGTTGAAGAAGGGGTGTAATTATTTATTGTAGAGAAGGGCCGGGCACGACACGGACACCTCAGCCTTGAGGGTGGCGAGCCGGGGGAGGATAAGTCTCGCGGGTGGTGCCCTTGTGCAAATAGAAAAAGAACAAATCTCCCCTCATACAGGCGTCTTCTTTGTTTATGGCGCGGATTGGTTGCAGGGCTCCTTGACGGCTCACAGTGATAATGATGACAAGTCCTAGGCGATGCGGCCGTTGGGGCCGCAAGGCGAGGAGTTATGGCGAGTATCCGAAAGAGGGAACTGATGGGATGGAATGGATGGATGGATCAGGATTGAGTTCCTCCAGTATAGCATAAGCAAGCTGCCAATCACCGCGGAACGAGGCCTTGGGGCCCTGGACCGGGTGCGTATACTACTCTGACCGTTTCGGTGTATACGACTAGGCACGGATGGATTCGCCAGGAGGCTGACTCGAGGCCAAGTGGAGACCAAGCTGACGACACAGGAGATGCCGGGTACGTGTTAAAAGGGGAAACACGGGGACGGGCGACGGGGGTCGGCACGCGCAAACAATGTATAGCGCGCACATTAATCTACGAGAATTATGTGGCAACGTCACGGTGTCTTTGCGCGAGGGGGGGGGTGGGCGTGGTAGAGAAAATCACCGCGAGGATTGACCGAAAGCCCCGACAGCCGGAGGAGAGAGGGTGAGTGTGTGTGTGACGAGAAGTGAGTTGAAAAAGATTGATTGACACCTTTGAATGACGGCGAAACCGACTGGGTGGAAGTAGAATGAAAGGGACAGGGGGGTTAGCAGCTCGGAACGGAGTATACGGGCATCTTTAACCGGAGTACCCTACTAGTCCTCGTCAGAAAAAGGATCTGAATGGGTGATGGTGGAGATGGGAGGGTGAAGGGCGAACGAACAGGTGACCGAGAGAGGACAGAGAGGACAGAGAGAGGCAACAGAAGCAGGAGCCCGATACGGAAAGGGGGGGATTGTTTCTGTGTATCTCGTCGTATGCTGGTTGCGTGGCTAGCTGTGTTAGAGGGGCGAAACGGGGTGATGTGATTTGCCCGATAGCAATCCTGGTATTATCAGCGAGAGATTATATCCAGCAACAGCAGAAATTAGTGCCTCGTATCCCAGGGATGATGAAGGGAGAAAGAAGGGCCCCGCGGAGCCTATCGCTGGTGGGCTCACCAACTGGACACCAAATAGGGGGGGCCCGGGCTATACGAGGGGGCAGTGGGCATTCCCCCCCAATTCCGCAAACCGAACGAAAATCGCCGCATCGAGTAGTTGTGGCCAGCGACCAGCTGATGGCCGAAATTACGAGTATAGGCCTGATGATGATGGTGGTGGTGGGAGGTAATAAGTGATGAGTTGAGTTCACGTAAACACTACCCACTAGCTGCCTACTCGTAGTGGGTTAGGATCGTACGGACGACGGCAAAAGGGATAGAATGTATTCAGGGCAGCCGGACCTACTACTACTAATCAATTGGCCACTTTGCGGCCACTGAATAGGAATCAAGGGCCTTAATGGCTGCTTCGGGTTATAGCTGCTGGTGATTATTACTTGGTGTTTCAAGGGGTGACCACCTATGACATGGGCTGCCACTGCCTGGGTACCTAGTACGCGGGTGCCCACTCTTTTGGTACTGGTATAAGGAGGCCCCTAGGGCCCCGAGGTGAGGGCCTTGTCGTACCTATTCAGCTTAACCAGATATCCCTCTTGGGCATTCCCTGGCCCTCCATTATTGGCACAAGCACTCCCATCATCCACCGGGAACCTAGCTGCATGACCCCCAAACTGAAAGAGATGACGGGGCCTTCGATCCAACTCAATCTCGTCAATCGCCGTGTTGGTATTTTAATTACCTACCTTGGTATTCAACCACTCCCCCGTATCATCCCTCCTCCTGACCCTCTTTTTCCGTGGTTTTTTTTTTTTTCAGACACAGACACTTAGTCGCTACACTTAACACGCACACACTTCCTAGTATGTTCGGTGCCCACGGTCAAGCGAGAACCCGCTTCCCTAAATTCTCTCATGGTGGGTGGATGACTGGCCCCCCCTCTCCCCTTCCTTTTCCCTTTTCTTTCCCTTCCCCCCTTCCCAAGTTGTGTCTTGTCAAACCGTAGCAGCCCGTAACCCGTAACCCGTAGCCGTGGCCTCAGCCAAACAGCCCACGCCAGCCCACAGGCCGCATCCTATCGACCTTATCCACTTTTTACTATTCGGCCGTCGCATCGACGTACTCTAAACGCCTCTTTCTCGCTTCTTGTTAACATTTTAACCTTGGACTTTCCCCATTCCATCCAATAACCCACTGCTTGACTGCTCTTGTGCCTATCCTACGGCGATTTAGTGTCCTTTCCCTCGCATCTCTACCAGACATTCCCTCCTTCTCCCTCTTCTTGTGCTACTCACTCCCCTTTCCTCTCTTTTCCCTTTCTTTTCCCGTCCTCCACCTTCCCGTCTCTACAGTCCAAGCTGTTCGTATCAACCTGGTCGACCGCTGACTGTTTATTGTTGCTTTCACACGTCTGTACACCACTGATTTTGTCAGCCTTTGTATCACCATCGCCTTGTCAACAGCGCGACTACTATTATCCACTTGCCGATGCCGCTCCCAACCTCGACTTAATTCTTGGGAGCATTCAGTCTGAGTCGCGCTCAGTTTGGTCCTGCTGCTCGACCGACTTGTCTTCACCCTTCCCCCATCGCCAGCACACCCCCTGCGATAGTCAGTCGTCATCTCACGGTCGCCATGTATTCGCGGCCGCCATCAGAAATGGCGCGCAATGTCTCCCACGATATTGGGTCCGAGGTATGTGAGATTTCTGTTTTGTGCTTGATTGCTCAGCTCTGTTCTGTTCTGCACTACACCTTATGCACCATCCCTCAACACACTCTGGCACTAGCCCTCTGCGTCATCGGGAAATTTAAAAAAAGAAAAAGAAGCGGAGCAGAAGAGAAAATGCTACGGAGAGAGCGCGCGCGTGAGGACTGCCTGCTCCCATCATCGCCATCTGTCCTCCGAGATAGCGCAGGACAACTAGAACTGGCACCTCAATCAACTGTCAATGATTTGCCGTCAAACCACTCCCGGTCATCTGGCAGGCACAGCCAGAAGAAAAAACGCCACCGCGTCCTGGGAAATGCAGAGTGAGCGACACCTGAACCCATTGACGATATCCTGGCCAGTGGCCACTTATGCTCGCTTGTCCGCGTGTCCAACCCTGGATGCAGTCGCCGTGGCTTCGATTCAAGGGCTGGCTCGGCGGGCGCTGCAGGCGACCCAGAGGGGCCCTCTAACCAACTCGAGCCCTTAAAGGCCCTTAAGCCCTTCGGGGCTTCTGGGCCTCTAGGCTTCTAGGCTGCTAGCCTGCCCGCCTGGCTGGGCTCCCCTCCCTCCTCCAACACGAATGGTCGGGCACCGCCTCCACCATGGCCCAACTGCACTCCTTGTTGTCTTGGCGTCTGGCTTCAATACCTGGGCGACCTTTTTAGGTCTGCCACTCATCCCACTCCGCCTTCGACTCCTCTTTGTCGCCTCTCACCAATCGCCAGCTCTCTCCAAACCACCCTCAATCCCATTTGGTGCTATCCAGCTGCATCACCTGTGTTGGCGTCTTTCCTGTCTCTGCTTAGCGCTCCATTGTCATCGTTGCACCTCCTATTGCATCAGTCTCTTAACCCTTTCCGGATACTCCTGTCTACTCCTGTGCAGTCATTCACCGCGCAGTCCATCGAGTCGAGACCTGGAGTGAAAAAAAAAGCCCGACTTCACAATACGAGATGTGGCTCGATGGGGGATTGGTGGCTTCTCTTCTCTCCCCACACCTCCCTGTCCCTTGGTGCTGGCCATTCACCTCACCATCATTCCCTTTCCCCTCTTTTGTCTGCTGGAATTTTCTAATTTGTCAACTCTAAACCGACCCATCTTTTCATAACGACTCTTGTCACTAATCTTTCTTTGCCTTGCAGCGTCCACGTTCGTCCTGGGAATCACCGTATCAACACCAACCCCGAAATTTCCAACATCCCCCTCAACGCTCACCGGCCGTGCCTGACCCGATGGACCCCGAATCTTCCGACAGCGATGTCTCGGTGGGCGGAGGCGATGATTACCGGTTCGCCAGTCCGTTGACCGCGCCGATTCCCCTGCCGCCACCAGCATCAAAGCACGCCCTGGAATCCCCCGATGCCGTCCAAGCACGTCTCGACGAACTGCAGCGCGTCGAGGATCACAACGTCAAGAAATATGAGATGCTCAAGTCCAAGCGCACGCGGAAAGACGAGAAAATCCGTCGTAGGCGGGAAATCCAGGACAAGAAATGGGCTCTGATCATGGAAGCGCGCCAACGCAGAGACGCCAGAATCGAGGCACGCCGAAAGAGAGAAGATGCGGCCTTCGCCCAGTTTGATCATGAGCTAGAGGATGAAGAAAGTGTATGTTCTGATTTGGGCAAACCTATGTAGAATCACTTGTGCTAATTGGTTCCCAGAATCTCCGGCGCCGGCTGAAGCGACTCAAACGTGGACTACCACCAGACGACTCCCCAGCGCCAGGAGGCCGGAGCATATCTTCATCGTCAATGTCGCCGCCGGGTCCCGCGCTCTCGACCATCCCCCCGCCCCCCAAACGCCATCAAGTTGGTCCTCCCGGTCAACCTGATGCCATCAATCCAGCTCACTCGCGACCTTCGCCACAATTGAGTCGAGCAGCCCCGGCTCCGTCCTATTCCTTCTATCGCGACTCGTCGTCAACCTACTCGCGTCCGTATCACCACTCGTCCTACTCCACCACGCCGACAAATGCCTCCCCGACGATAACGACGAACGGGTCAGGTCATACCCCCCAACCCTCTGCCGATCGGTCGCAACTGAACCATCTAGCGCGGCCTGCTTCTCCTCTCACACGACCCGTCCCAAGCACTCAGTCACCAGCGACACCAGCGACAAACCCGAATCCGCCGAGACAGATCTATGATACCCGCCCACCACCCGCCACCACGTCTTCTGGATTTGCTTCGATCAACGCGCCGCCCACCTCGGGATTTGCCACCATCAACGCCAGAACGACCGCAACTCCACCAGCCTCCCACGGCCCCATATCAAGACCTCCGAACGAGGGAGATCCCAACAGGACTCCTAACCATCCAGCCAACAATGGAGTCGAGCCCAATCACTTCCACTCTTACCCAGGTGCTCCGAATACGTCCAACCCTACGCCGCCGACTGGGAGTGGTGGCAAACGTACCCCCTCGACGACTCATCCATACCAGATGTCCGAGGCATTTGCAAACCGACACCACCACTGCGAAAGAGTCGACACCTTGAACCGTGGTATCTGGACGTCCTATGGGCTGGGAGGCACGGCCGAGCATCCGACAGGACCTGCAGTCGAGATGTACTTGCGCTGCAATCATGACGGATGTTCACGTATTGATTGGCGCACCGTGCATGGTCTGCAATGCCACATCGTCAAGAACCATGATCAGCCGAAGGGCACGATCGGTAGTCTCGATAAGGCGCTCGAGAGGTACGGCGTGCCGGTGAAAGAGGTAGAAGATTTCGAATTCCACCACGGTAGAGGTACTGCGGGCACGATGGCAGACCCAAAGAACTTGAAGATGAAGCTCAAGACCAAGGTCCAGAGTTTTGGGAGGGTCGGCACGCCGGGTTCGTTTGGTGTCGACCCCGAGACGAGACCGGCTGGCTACAGACCCAGTCCAGCTGCGACGGACGACAGTCCCACCATGCCAGATGGCCTCAAAAGAAGTCCAGACACATCCATGACAAATGGCTTCCAAAATCGCACCCTGGGCACCGAGAACGAAAGACGATCTGCGCCTCAAACAGCAGCTGGGTCTCCTGCACTGACGCATACCGCCGTCCGTCCCGGCTGGATGGGCGTAAATGCGCCGTCGTCAATGCCGGCTACCGTTGAACCAGAACCAAAAAGTCTGCAGGGGGACTTCAGTTCGACTGAAACTCAGAGCAACGAGGACACAGCCAATTCTCAACCCGCAATTCCATCGGGAGGGACTCTGCCTACCCCTCCTTCTACCATCAGGGTTGCTACCTCACGACCAGAGTCTAGAGACACAATCACAATCGGTGACGCTGGGACAACTGCTCCCAACCAGCAAGCGTCTACTGCACCTATACGCCCTGAACCAGCGGTTTCCTCAGCTCAAGCACAGCCAGATGAAGTCAAGCGAGAAGAGGAGAAGCAGGAGGTGCAGCCTGCGGCACAAGAATCCTCTAATCTAAAAGCCAAGGACCAAGATGTTCGGATGACGGGAACTGCAGAGGATAACCAAGCGAGGCCAGACGAGGCCCGAGTGAATGGAACAAACAATGCTGAGAAGAGTACAGCTCCTGAAAAGCCGGCTCGCGGACCAGATTCGGGGGTGGAACACCCCAACGCAGCTGAGGTAGATGGGAGCGTAGCAAAGGATGCTAGCTCGGCCACTGCCCGGCGATCCACTATGCAGTCTCCCACAATCACGACGAGGTCTCTCACTGCTACCACACCTGGTAGCGCACGACGGCCGAGCCGACGATCCAGTGCAGCCCGAAAATCGGTAGATGTTGATGGGGAACCCGTCAAACCTGCGAACGAAAACGACGACAAAGAAAAGGAGGAGAAGGATGGTAAGGATGAGAAAACCGAAAAGGAGAATATTCGGCTAGAACCTCGGCGGTCATTGACTGGACGAATCCTGCGAAGGGGGAGGTTTTAGTACGATGCCCCGGGCAATTCTTTGCAAAACGAGAACTGTCGGATCAATTGACCTGGCGAGATGGCAGACCCTGTGAGCTCCGCCTTGAGCCAATCCAACGGTTTTGCACCTGCTGTACAACATGGATTGCTCGTCTACGGACCTTGGCTATGTGGACGGAAGGGGGAATCTGCGCAACAGCATCGATCGGCAGGTATGGAGTATCTCAACACCATTCTTGGAGGACATGGACCGGTGTTTTAATGGACTCTTGAGCTGGATATGGATGAGACAGTGAGATTTCAAGGGCTGGGTCGGGCGCGTGCAGCGGGAACGCGGATTATTGTCCAGGTTCCCATTGGCGACTAATTGGTTGGTGTCGCGGATTTCTTTTGTTTGATGCGCTTGAGATTGCCATGCGTGGAGCAAACTTTTATGGAATGTTGTGATCAGCACCGTGGACCAAGAGGCGGCCGTGATTTTTGATTGTTTGGTTTGCGATGCAGAGGATAAGCGGGCTCTTCGACAGCTTCTTCGTTGTTTGATGTGATTCTGATCATTGCGGTCCACTTGGTACGATGATTTCGAGCAGTATTGCAGTGTTGCAGTAGTCGTGCTTGTGTTTCCAAATCCAGTGTTATTTTCCTTTCTAATCTTGAAGTGGTCTTGTCCTCTATCGTTCCCTTACAAATGCACCTTGGGGTCGGCGCAAGAGTATATTGTTCCACCCCACACCCCCTCATATATATGTATATACCGATCGCCTGTGGGTTGAAATACATCGTTGAGGGGTGGACCTGTTCGACTTATTAGCTATTTCTATTATACAGAGTTTTTTTGGTATATTACCTACCTTCTCCTCTATGTAGGTAGGTAGGTAGGTAGGTAGGTAGGTAGGTAGGTGGCTACTCGCAATACTTAACAGGTTTGCTTCGCGGTGGAGACGGGTCGTCAATGCGAATCAGATAGATCTCACCTCAGGTGACGGATACGTAATATGAACTATGGATGTGAAACATATGAAATGTAGATATGGATACGAAGTATATCTAAGACATGGATGGATATGGTTTCGCGGGTATTGTATTTTTCGCCAGTACGACAAGGAACATCATGACGGGTTGGGGAAATGTTCTCGAACGAAACGATGTAGTCGACTCCCTACATACGAGGGTACAACAAAAGCCATGATCCTCAGAGGGTCTCAAATCTGTCGTTGGGGGAAATTTATCCGTCGAGAAACAGGGCCACCTCCCCATTGATCCTCCGATGCTGCCGTCGGGCGATCCTTTTAAATTGAGGTTGAACGGTGTACCAGACTACGCGATTGAGGTGGAAAGGAGTGGAACGGACTGGTTGGGCTGGGGTCTTCGTCATTTATTTATTCATTCATCCGTCGATCTTGGATTTTGTGCTTTCTCGTCTGTCTATCCGGTAGGAGGCGAGATGCATTGTCCCAAGGTATAAGACACAAACGAAGGTCAGGCTTCTGTCTACTGTTGCCTCAACTAAAGAATGCCTCTACGTTAATGACCCTCCTCTGCGCCCTTTGGTATGACTCGTGACTCTCGACGCGGTCGGTGCTCCTCCAGACGTGATGGCTGCGCTCATAGGTAGGTCTGCTACCAATGCCGCATCAGCCCGCCGCGGCACGCTCTCAGGTTGCTCGGATGACGTGCGAAGGTGTGTCGTTACTTCCCCAATTGCCTGGGACGGCACCATCCACACAGGTAGATGGATCGGGGTTGAAAGTGGAAGTGAAAGTGAGGCGCGGCGCGGCGGTGGCTTTGTATTGAGACGCAGATGAGTGCAAGATGTGTGCCTGTCTTTGCCCGAGGAGAGTGTCCAGGAGGGCAGGCTGTTTGACGAGACTCGGTTTGATCGTCGAGATTGAGAACGATGGTCCATTTTGAACTGGCAGTGGTCCTCGAGTTCTCACGTCGTGCTTCCAGCGCATCATGTCGAGCGGCGAGGGGGCTCCTGACTAGCTTTCCTTGAGAAATTCCACAGCTTGACGTTGCTCTGAGGGTGACGTTTCGTGACGGAACTGCAATAAATTGGCTGCTCCGTGGATATGAGACGTCAGGAACCAGCGTCTGTTTGACGAGACGGAGGAAACACACAAAAAGGCACAGAAGGGCAGACTCCCAGACTTCCGCGGGTACACTGGAGTGTGTCGGAGTTGGGGTGGAAGTTCCTCCATACGTCGCCCCAAAGCTCTGACCCTTAGCCACGGCTTCAATCTTGCACCATATCTTTCGTATCGTTCATCCTCCGCAAGGAAAATTCCTCGGTCGCGCCGGTTATCTTATTACACCCCCTACGCCGGCCCACCCAAGCACAAAGCCGCTCAACGCCTCCGTGAACAGGCCGCCTCCGAGCCAGATCTCTCTCCAGGCGCCCGTGCCCTCGTTCCTGCCCCTTTTGCCATCGTCGCTCAGACCCCTCGACCCGGCGGTCCCCGCGAAATACCGTTGGGGCTTGCCCTTCGCGAGGAGGAAGTAGAACAGAGCCGAGATGAGCGTGTTGCACAGGAGATAGAAGCCGAATCCGTAGAGGGACTCGAGGCCCAGGATGCCGGCCGCGATGCCGAGGAGGAGGCCCGAGATGGAGCGGATGTTGGACAGGGTCTGTGTTTGCAGAATGCAGTGAGTTATAGAGCTTCTTCTTAGCCGGGGGGAGGGGAACGTACACGAGTATTGTGCGTGAGAGAGTCAGGAACCAAGGGGTCGAGGAACATAGACAGCTCTTGTGGTGAGGGGGCCATAGTGGACGTCGGTAGACGGTGTGCACGCTGCAAGACGAGAGCTGGCGTAATTGAGCCCGTTGACTAGATGTACGGAGTAGTAGAAGCAGGACAATCGGTGGTGACCGATGTTGCGGAAATTCACCAACAAGTCGATTTCAAGGCGCTTGGCTGCGGTGGGTCTCGGGCCCATCCATCCATCCACCTCCACAAAAGCGATTAATACGATGACCACGACACAGCATTTCTCTCCGAGCGGCCAAATGGAAGGGAAGGGAATGGAATATAGAGCACCGAGTACCGAATCCTGGGTATAGAGCAGAGTTTGAACTCCCCCTCGAATTATGCCTCCCACTGAAAATCCTCATACTGAGCCTCCTTAATCCCCCGGACCATCAGAATACCAAGCGTGTCCAATTCAATTTTGGGGTCCGGTTGCATGTTCACATAGAAGATTCGTGGTGGTATGGGTTATCTCGTCACGCTATATAGAAAAACGTCGAGTCATCATGCCATCGATGGTCAGTCTTCGTCGAAAAGAACTGAAAATTACTAGGGTACTAGCCCGACCATGGCAGAGGGGATTGTTTGGCCGGCCTTGTGGTTGTGTCGACTACACCAGCAGCCGCCCACCTGAGATCCTGATCCTGTCAAAAGGCCAATCCGTAGCAGAACATGGCAGACAACTAGGTAGACCGGAACAGAAGCCCAGCTCCAGTCTTCGCTCATCGCGCCGGAACAGTCACTTGTGAATCGAACCCGGGCGCCCACGCCCCAAACCTTGGAAAGATCAGAAAAGCATAGCGGCACCTCGGTCGGACAATAGATGATGATCTGCGTGGCCGCAAAGGAAACTGCAATTCTACAGTTTGCCTTCTGCTTGGGCTTCTCTGACCTGCTCAAACACCTGAAAACAATCAGCAGCCATCACTATACTCGACCTCTTCATGACTCACCTTGAGCATCTTGTTCCTCGCACCCAAAGCATTCACACCACGCGCTTCCAGCCCCTTGTCGTCGAGCTGTATCAACTCCTCCCATTTGAGGTCCTTCAGATTGTCGGTGTACTTGTGTAACCTCAATGATCGAAGCCATGTCGGGATATCTTTCAGCAGATTCGGGTCAGTCGGGTCTTCGGGGGGTTTGGAGCTACCACGGCGCCCTCTGGGCGACCTGCCCCGATTGATCTCCGAGTGGTCGGATAGATACCCTTCACCGCCACCACCGAATATGCCTGTCTGAGGAACTAGTCCCGGCATACCTGCCCCGATCATGATTGGTGCGCCCTCATATGCGGCCAAAAACCCGTTGTGTTGGGGAGAAGAGAAAGCGGTTTGGCCGAGAGGCGTCGGCAGTGGAAGACCGGGAGAATTGGGTCGAGATCGGCGTCCTTGTGCGGCAGCAATCTGTTGTGCTTGAATGGCGGCTACTTGTTGAGCATTGAGGATTTGGCCGTGGTCGTTGACCATGATCGTGTTGATGCCTGGGATGCCAGAAGCCGTGATTCCTGGGGTTAGCGGTGGTTGTGTCGGGGGTTGAGGTTCGTTAGACCTAGCGCGGCGGTATTTCTTGACATCGTCCAGGGCAATCCTGTTGTTGACTGTGGACAGAGCGGCGAGTTTCATGGCGGTGGCATTGGCCACCATTTCGCTGTGGGACTGAGCTTGATTGAAGTTTGGAACCATGGGCGTATTGGTCATTGAAGCCCAACTCTGGTTCCCTACATTGTAAGGAGACAGAAGTGGCATATCGCTGGATATCGGGTCCGGAGCAGTCAGTGTGGTGCTTTGAATATTACCGCCGGAACCCCCCAGTGGACGCGGAGAACGAAGAGCACCAGATGACGGAGGTTGACTAAACTGGCCCATCGGCTGATGCTGGCCCTGCTGACCAGACGACGATTTGGGTCTGGATATGGGAGGCTGCTGGGTATCTCCACCACCCTGACGCCAGCTCATCACGTCTGCCTTGGACTCTCTCGGAGCCGCTATGGTTGGGGCCACTAGTGAACTGCGATCTCCTACTACCGTGCTGTTTCTGTTTGAAGGAGGCGGATTGCCTGTTTGTTGGGCATATTCGGCCTTTTGCTGCTGAATTGCTGCGACAGCATCCGGAAACATTGCATGTATAGTGGACTGATCCAAGCCTGAATTGCGCTTGTTTCCGGCCGGGGAGACTGGTGGTCGGGTCAAAGACGTCCTCCGGTCGTCCACATTCAACTTGGACATGGCGTCGCTCAGGCGGCTGGACATGGCGTCTTTCTCTCCAAAATTTGCTGGCGAGAGAACTCCGGAAATGGGATGGCTTTTGGACATCTGGTTCAGAACTTGAGCAAAGAACCGTTGCTGCATTTGAGTCGTCTGCTGGATCAGGGCGTAGGTGGCAGCCGTGCGCTCAGCCTCGCTCAGGACTCGAAACCATTGCTCAATTGCGCTCAACTCGTCCTTGAAATCCTGGTCCAATGTCGCCGCAGCCATCTCTTCCAGCATGGTTTCGTATTGTTCAATGTCCTGAATCCACTGTTCTCCCAACTTGCTTGAATCGTCCATGCTGCCTTGCTGAGACTGCTGGTTGTATAAGACTTCGGAAGCGGGGCGGATGGAACGTGACGAGAGGGGAGATGTAAAAGACATGTCGGCAGAAGAACGGACGGGCTGGGTGTGGGTGCCGGATGTGCCGATAGTCCTGGAGGTGGGCGGGCGAAGTGAGGTCTTGGATGCCTCCGGGGTGCTATTCCTGTTGCCGATGATGTTGCTGGCCATAGTAGCCTTTTGTAAACCCGTGCCTCGGAGGGTGCGTAGGACAAAGCGCCGTGACGGTGACGAAAAGACGGCGGTAGAGGACAAAGTGAGTGGTGGATGGAGTCGAGACGGTCACACAGACAGATCTAACCGATCATTGGATTTACAGCGTGTAAAGGAGCCGATTGGATCCAGCCCAAGGGCAATGATGAATGAGGGTGGGAAAAGGAACGTCGAGGAACGCGCTCCCAACGCAGTCACGGCTGAAGCAAAGGTGTAAGGCAGCGCTATTCGGTGGAGGTGGCGGTTCGAGGTGTCTCAGACACGACGACGAGGGCGGGCTGCGATTAAGCTACTGTGAACAGACGCGCAGGAAGCAGGCGACAGAGAGCATGAGAAAAGGCAAATAAGTCGAGATCCGTCAAAAAGAATACACTCCCTAACAGGCGAATGGAGGTAGAGAGAGACGGAGGGACCAGGAGGAAAAATTGAGTCGAGCTGAAATAAGACAGGCGAGCAGGGTAAAGTTGAGGTTCGCGAGAGTGGAACCGACAAAGCGGCAAGGCTTACCCGTGCCTCCGTATAAGGTCGTCCTTGGGAGGGGCTCGGGGCATATACAAGGCCCATTCGTCCAGGGCGGAAAGCAAGACGGAGCCCCAATCAGCAGGTTTGGGGCCTAACGGGGGAACTGTGGCTGCCTATTGACCGCCGCCTAGCAGTGTCGAGAAGCCCCCCGAGTCCAGGACTCCAGGGAGGTGAGGCCTGGAAGGAGCTGAAATGGGCTGGGTTCGTTTCCACCACCATCATCAGGGTTTGGTGGTCAACGCCCTGGACTCCGGATGGCGGCCCTCGTGGGAGCTCGTTAGAAAGGGGAGCGCCTGGGCTAGCCCTAGCGTGCCCTGGGATAATGTCTGAGAAGCGCTTCATGGCTCGTATCGCATCACCACCAACCAAACCCCAGGGCTAGAGAGGCTGTTTCTTCGTACCCTTCATCACCTGCGCCTCACTGTGGCGCTGTCGCTTCTACATTTCCTCATTGGCCTAGATACGACAATCGTCTCAATGTCAATGACAAGCTGAACAGAGTTCCTTCACATGCTGGTGGCAATGCCGTTTCATCAAATAATCCCAGAATTTAGCACTGGGTGGTACTTGGCCCAGCTGCTCTTACGGAGGTGTTTGACATAGAAGATCAACATTCCGGGATGAGGCAACTACTCCCTTTGCTGGCAATCAAGAGTGATATCAAATCTTGATAACGGAGACGATCTTCGGTTTAGAATTCCAAGGAGTACAGCAGACGTAATAGATCGGCGAAGGTTTCGTCCTCATTAAGCAGTCACTCTTTGCCATTGACACGCTTTGGTGGACCTCAATCAACTATATGGCCCCTTTTTCGTGCACACTGGTCCATCCTGACCTCAAATACACCGTGCAGTCATTTCAGCCGACATCTCAACACGGCTTTGATGCTCGATCGGAACATGTATATGCTTGAGTAGGGAGGAGAGAAGACGTCGTGTGCATTGGAGCCTTAATTACGCCGACTGTGCAATCCTTCCAGCTCAGCTCGAGGACGGCGCCGCAATTTGCAAACAGCGCCGGGCGATACCAATGCCATGGAGACATGTCCAAACCAAATGCCGTGCCAATAGCCCACAACCTTTCCCATATCGTACAAATGTGTCGCTGCAATTGAAAGATGCATGACGAGTCGACGTTCATCTCCCCGGCAGTTGGCCCGACTGCATCATGGCAGCATTCTGCTCTTGAAACCTAGCTCCTAATCTTTCCGAGCCCTTGAGGAATTTATCAACGCAACGCATCACACATCCTTCTTCTCTAGAGATCAATGATTTTGTTGTGAAATCGTTGACACAGTCGTCAAAACACCGCTGGACGAGGTTGGAATAGGTCTAGCACGGAACGTAGGTCAGTCTAATGATCATTGTGCGCCATCTCGCGTAGTGGCATCGGCATTGATGATGCTCACCTTCATAAACTCTTTGAGCTGCTTCGCCTCCATGCGAGCATTTAGCTCCCTCTGTTCGGCGGGCGTCAGGCTAAAAACCGTGTTAGCGAGTCCACGGACAGATGCTTCGAATGCACGACCAACCTGTCCATTGTGACGAAGATAGAGATGAACGCAGAAACACCGGTATCACAAATGCAATTTTTTGGGAGCGAGAGGGAAATGAATGAACACGCGAGTGCAAAGCAAAAATCTGGGGCTCGGCAGACTTTCCCCGTTCCAAGTTGCGGACCAACCGCGCAGCCTTTTAGACTTGTATGAGCTTCTTGTTCCGTGTTGGCCTTTCTTTTGTGATGTGTTTTGGTTTCGAACTCGTTGACCTGCTCTTTTGGCCTCGAGGTATACTCCTATGCATCTATTTCTCATCCGACATGGAGAGACAGAGCATAATGTTGCCGGGCTTCTGGCGGGGGTCTCTGACTCTAGGTTGACAAACCATGGCGTCCTCCAGACCCAACGACTCGGGCGATATCTTACCACTCACCGCAACTTGAGGTTTACTCAAATCTATGCCTCGGATCTTCAACGAGCTTTCATGACCGCCGAAGAGCTCCAGAGAAACCAAGTTGCAAGGGTCCCCGCCGAGGGTGTCCCGGGAGTGGTAAAACTCGAGCTGCTCCGAGAGCAAGACTTCGGCTCCCTCGAGCTCGTTCCGTGGACCTCGAGAAGAGCACAGCACGCTCTCGATCCCAGAGTGCCTAACCCAGAAGACCCATGTTTTCGCCCCCAAGAAACCACCGAGGCTATGGTGACAAGGGCAGAATTGTTCCTGAGCGACTTCATCCTCCCACACTTTGCCAGTGTAGAGGACGCCCAGGAAAGGGGGCAGGAGTGCGTTGCGGTCGTTTCCCATGGCCTCTTTCTGTCTGTGCTGTGGCAGACGCTGCTGAGAAAATTTAGGGGCAGTAATGTCACTCTGGGTCCGAATGTCGAAGCTTGGGGCTACAGCCGGCCGTTGGAACACCTGCCATCGTGGACCAACACTGGGTTTTTAGAGGTCACAATCCAGAAGCCCATACCAGAAGTTGCCGACCAACCTCGGACGGGGCAGCCTTTGATATTGACTGACATCGAGTCATCCGCACTCCACGGATATTCCATGACCGTCCATGGAGTCAACAGCAAAGATCACCTGCTGGACCTGAAGCGCACCAGAGGCGGGGTGGGATCATCTCCCTATGATGCAAAGCAACAAAGTCTTGATGGCTTCTTCAAGCGACCAAAACCCAACGGCCCCAGCACATGAATCCCAAGTTGCGCCTCACCCTACGCCCACCGGAGAGGCAAAAGCTGCTACGAGACGAAGAAAATGTCGTCAACATCAATCCCTACGGTCTTTAACCACACTGGAGCAAATTCCAGTTGAAGGCTGCAGAGAGGTGGAGGTAAGCCATCCCCATGTGACGCACCATTCTGTATCTGCCTGATGAAGCACAATTTCACACAGACCTGTTCTGAAACTTCTTGTGGAAGCATAAATTGTACCAACTGCTGTCTGATCGCAGCGATTGTTCCCGTGCCAGTTCTCAAACGATGCAACGAACATGACTGACGGATTTTGTCGCAGGAGAGTAACTGCGTCTCACTACTGCTATCTGATACATCAAGACGACCGACCTGTTGACACTGTCCGGGCGCTGTGGGTTTCAAGTTCGCTGGAACCCACTGCCCCATCCATCCAGGTGGCTTTGCTCCTGCACGCTTCATATCCGGATTCTATATAGAGAGACTGTTGGAGTTGTCATACAGCTTTAGGAAATCATGGAATGCTTGTTCGGGAGTGACAGCAGCCCAGAGACAACTCCATCCTCCCGGCCCAAAATATAGCCGCCGGACCTTGCGACGGATCGTGAATTGTGGGGGGCAGGAGTGCAACCAGGATTGAAGGCGGATGACCCTCGAGCCTGGGACAACGCGAGACGCTCTTTACAAAATGATTGGCCGTTACAACGACGCGTTCTGGACGGGGGGTGTGTGGGTGCTGATCAGGGGGCCAACCTTTTCCTCCCCCATCTTGCTTCCTTGATTATTATCCCCTTCCTTCCCCTTCCTCATCCCTGAAACCGGAGTATCTTTGTATGTATTATACACGTCAGATTGTTCCTCTGGCATTTACAGAGCTTTTGACCTCTTTGTTCGGTCTCTCCATGCCTCTTCGTGGCGATGGTGGTGGAAAGACGCCTAGAACCGCCCCCCTACGCCACGTGCGGGACGCGGCGCGGTATTAAATGCGAGCTGCGCGAGGCAAGGCAGACACCAAACCCAGTTCGGTTTCCTCTCCAGCACAGTTTTCATAGGTATGCTTCTCAATAGCCTGCGCCTCTCATCTCCAGGAGCAACTGCGAAAATATCACGGGAGATCACCTGCTGCAGGCAGTGAATGGTCTGTGGCCTCAGGCTGTCTGTCTTTCCATTCAAGATTACGAAGGAGTCGCTAAAATCCCTTTGTCCAAAAAAGAACCCCCCCTTTTTCCAAGCAACGAAGGCAGTAAGTAAGCCCACTAATAATAAGAAGATTACACGAGATGCCTTCGAAAATTCATTCGTGACAAGCAGAAACCTTCGCAGACCTTTCTAACCACGGTAAGCAAACTCGGTTCTGACCATGGTTGTATGCTGCCGTCCACTATTCCAAAGCCACAATGAAACAGTGCCGCTGAAAAGGACGAAATCGATGATGACGACGAGAACATCCCTCGAGGACCCGAAAATGCAAACCATACGCCCTTCGCTGGAAACTTGAAAGAGACCACCATGTTCAGGCCGGTGTTTCCAACTCGAAACACGGTCTCTGTTGCTCCAATCGCTTCTTTTGTTTTCCCAACTCTCTCACCTGCATAGGTTCGGCAAGAGTGGTCAAATATAACTGTGTGCTCGGACCATGGTTCGAGTTGCATCGAGTCGACGTCTTTCTTGCCGTCGCCCGGCATTCATTGTGTAGGGCTCATTCTGGTACCCCATCGACAGGGCGAGATGTGCTCTTACAGCCGCTGGTGGTGACGCCGACGGGGCCCGTGGTAGCTCTGCCACATTTACAACTTGTCTCCTCGTTGTGCCGGCGGTTCCTGGCAGCACAGTCTGGTACGGGAGTAACTGAGTCCTCTTGAACTGTTGATCGTTGATGATCCTCCGGTTGTACATCCACTTCATCAGGCCAAAGTCGGTCCTCACCGTGGCGAGCTGTTGGCCCTGCCGGAAGTGTTCATGCACCATGTGGGATAGCATGGTGTTCCACGCAAAGGCCGGGTCGTCCTCCGGGCTCGAGACGTACTTGTTGTCGCACAGGAAACAGGTGGCGAAGGTGGGCAACTCGTGGCCGCGGAAGTGCGAAAACACATGCATCTTGAAGTGGATGATGTCTGCAAACACCTGGTCGCAGTCCAGGATCTGGAATGGGCAGAGCAGATCGGCGTCCTCGTGGTATCGAGATGGCACCGTCAACACTCCCTCTTGTGACTCCAGCATGTATCCGTCCCCCAGTATGCTGCTGGCCATGTCTGTGTCTGCCGAAGACTGCCCCGATGATGAATCAGTCGAAGTCCCCCGGGTCAATGGTGGCACTGCATCTGTGGCGGTCGTCGTGGCGGCCGTGGAAGCCGTTGATGCTGCGTCGTCATCCTGGACGACCTGCACCGCGGTGGCGGATCGGGTCCCCGTGCTCCTGGAATACATCAAGCTGGAAGCCCCCGGAACGTCTTTCTGTCTGCTCGTCGGGGCGGGCTGGGCGCGATGCTACGAGCTGAACGGTGAGTCCAGGGTTCGGTTTACAACTGCATGGAGGCTGGATCGTGGACAACGTGGGAACCTCGACACACTGGCGGACAAGCCTGCACTGGGGGTGAGCATCTCATGACGCAAAAGGAAGAATCCGACCCGTTCCACGGTGGTGTGGGCGAAACTCACCAGAATCAATCATGTCGGCATGGGCGAGGCACTGGAGGTTGCCGGCGCTGGAAGTCACGCTATCGATAAGCCGAATTGGGCGAAGGTGCGGGGTGAGTCGTGGTGTCGATGTCAATACCGAGTACTCTCCCCCCAGCAAGAACGAACAGCACCCTCAGTGAATCGTCGAGGCGTCTACAATCTCTGGCAAGATACGGATTTTGCGTCTCAACGAGTTCGTCGGAAGCGGGGCGGAAAGAAGAGATCAGATGCATGAACTCGACAATCGCAGATCAAAGGGCCCAGCCCGCGCACGGGAGCCTCAACGGCTCGACCTGGGAAGAACTGGTGCCGTAGCGACTTCTGGCGACTCCGCACGGTGAGCCAGGGCGACCTGTCAGCGGTTGCCAGCACATCAGCTTTCCTTGCCGACCGGTCGAGGTGATTGGTGCAAACTTGAACACACGGGGATTGCTAATCAGTCCTGCTAGGCCGTTTACACAGAGACGCATGTGGCCGTGGTACCACCTGTTGAGAAGTCATGGAATGGACGCGTTTAGAACGGGATGTGGAATACATGCTCTTGCTATCCTCTGATATTGGCACCCTGCTGCGACCGCGAAGATGAGTGCAGTGGCGACAACATGATCGGCTTCAATCCGGTCCGTTTTGCCATTGGCAGCATCGCCGAAGATCCGACGAGGGCGCTGATCCCAATTTCACCCGAGCTAGCTCCCATAACAATCAGGCCCAAATGTTTGGCGTGCCCCGTCTTCGACTCAGCGGCGGAGATGATCCAGTGATGGCCGCTTTGTATCAGCTGAACAGACCTCTTGAATATTCGCCAACCGCCTGGCCTTGAAAATCCGACAAAGAAGTAAAGAAAAGAGTCGATGCTTAACCAAAGAAGGCCTTTGTGCTGGCGTTCGCTTTGGCGATGACCTGTAGTACCTCACTCCACATCCTCTCACCGAATGCCTTTCCCTCTTCAGTCTTCAGCATCGGACCCGGCTCAAACACTCGATCATTCTTCCACATCTCTCCGTGGGTCTCGTCGCCCCGGACCAGGGCCGTGATGTAGGTATTGGCGCCCTGCTCCGCTGTCCTAGCGAAGATACTGTAGAGGAGCCACTGGATGAACTTGATGAGGAAGTTGATGCGTACATTGCGTCCCAAGTCGCTCTTGCACAGGCCCGGGCAAGCAGTGTTGATGATGACTTTGGGTTTGCCATCAACACCCTTGACTGCAGGTGATGCTGCCAGATGGCGCACCGCGTACTCGAGCACGAGCTTGGACCTGCCATACTGTGTTGCGCCGCCAGCGATCCCGGGGGGAAAATTCTTTTGCGCACTCAGGTCCTCAAGCGGTGTTTCGCTGTCCAAATACGTCTTCATCTGCGGCGGTTTGATGATCCACGCAGTGCCCGAGGAAATAAATGTGAGATGTGGCTTGTAGTCTTTATTCTTGCCGGAGTCTGCTGATGCGATGAGGAGGGGCAAGATCAGGACGCCAAGGAGGAAAGTGCTGAGGGTGTTGACTTGGAGCGTCTCCTCCCAGCCATCACTGCTCTGGAGATATTTGGAGTTCATCATCCCGGCGTTCAGTATCGCTCCGTCGATGGCCGGGAATTCAGATTTGAGATTCTCTGCAAATTTCTGAACTTCGGCAAAAGTGCCCATGTTGAGAACCATAGGGATGATTTCTGTCCTTTTGGACGTGGCATCACCTGATTGAGTCTTGACGAACTCCTCGATCTCCTTCTTTGCAGCCTGACCCTTTGCTTCATTGCGCGCAGTGATGATGAGCCTCTCGGCGTTGAGTGCCGCGATCTTCTTTGCGGCCTCCAGCCCCAATCCTGAAGTGGCGCCCGTCAATAGAATTGTGCGAGAAGCAAAGGACTCGGTCGGTGGTTTGGGCGGGTTGAGCTTTTGATCAAGCATTCGTTTCAAGCCAAAGACGGACATGGCGAAGCTGTGCTCGGGGGATGGATGGATGGATGGTAGGAGATTGCTTGACGCTGTTGTTCAGGAAAGGGTCTCAATGCCTCGAGAGACTACCAGGCAGCCATTATATAGTTGTAGTCATGGTCGATGCCAGTGGCCCCCCGTCGGACTTGTTGTTTATCCGCAGGGCTGAAGACCCAATGGGCTGCTGACAAAGGAGATGCCTCCCAAAAGGGCTTCTCTGTGGATGGTGCCTTGTGATTACTGACGCGCTCGGTGCTTTGCCGCTACGCCGTTCTGAATGGGGAGAAATGATGCGGTTGCCGCTCGGGATTTCCACACATCCGGGCCCGCATGCGGCTGTCTATACTACCGAGAGTAGCCGCGGGCTTCTGTGCAATGATGTTAGATAGGATCATATGCTGATTGGTTGAACATACCTCATATAAGTGAACACCTGTGCATCCTTCTGGAACACATTGTCAATACACAAACATCCGCCCGACCGCGCAACTAAAAGGTCCGGGAAAGGATTGCCAAGGGTCATGGCGTCAATGATTCGTCGTGGGAGCCGCGCGCTTGGCAACGGCCAAGCAATACTCCTCTGGGGGTAATGCTGCTCCGTACGCATCATCACCACAGTTTACATCCCACTTCCATCGAAATGTCCCCCGTAGCAGATGATTGAGGACAAACCTCCCTTATGAGATTCTTCTGGTCGCAGTAGCTGCCATGATCAAAATCGATCCTAGCTGCCCCATACCTACCATCCACGTTTCTCTTAGTCCTCACCGGTGACAGCTACTAGACACCACACAACAAACCATCACCAGTGCCATCGGGTGTCGTTCACAACATGGAAAACCTCAGTCTCAATGATCCTCCTCCGCAGTCTGCATCGCCACAACGGCCACCACATCCACAGCAGCACCCACATCAACAAAATGCGGTCTTCCCAGGGGCCCCTCCGCCTCAGGGTGCTCCTCAATTACCGCCGCAAATGTTTACCACGGCGGCGCAACTACTGGACCTGACGGATAGTGCGTCTCTCATGTCACCACATGCCTGCAGAGAATGACTCTAACTCTTTCTTGCTCTAGAGAAACTCCTCCTTGTCCTCCGCGACGGACGCAAGATTTTCGGCGTGCTACGGTCCTGGGATCAATTCGCGAACCTCGTTCTCACAGAGACAAAGGAGCGCTATTTCGTCTCTGTGCCCTCACCAGCTTCTACGGGCCCTGCAGACCCTCAGTCGCAGCCACGACAAACACAACCCACTCGCAACCTCTACTGCGACATCCCTCGCGGCACCTTTCTCGTGCGGGGCGAAAACGTCCTCCTGCTCGGCGAAGTCGATCTTGACAAGGAAGACGATCCTCCTCCCGGATATGAAGAAGGGGACGTTGAAGAGGTGTTCCGGATACAGAAGGAAGCAGAGAGGGAGAGGAAGAAACGGGATCGGCTGAAACACAAAAAGACCGCGTGGAGGGATCCGGAGGGGAGTGGTGAAGTCTTGTTTTGAGGCTCCGCAGAGAGTATGGTCTAAGATCAGTCTCCTCGCAATGAGGGCAGGAAGGACATGCCCACAAACACGCGGGACAAAGGGACTACTGTTGGATCGACAAACATCTCTGTCCTGGCGAGGTTTGATCATTCTTACTGAAATTGCTGGTCAATCGTCGGGTACAGACCGGCGAGCCTCGAAACCCATCTGAGAGGGTCTGGTGCACTTGCGGACTAGCTAGTTGCTACTGCATTTGTTGGAGGAACAGATGCAACTGCACGAAGGGCAAAGGCGCGCACAGACCAGGAGCAGAATATTGTGAAATGCTCCTCTATATTGGTGCCAGAAGGAAAAGATTATTCCTTTCTATTCTGCCAACCACTGTCTCTAGCAGCAGCAGCAGCAGCAGTCAATACCATCGCTGTGATGTGCTTTATTGAGTTAGAACCCCCTTCGAAGAATCACAAAACACCGAAGACCCAGGAGCTCAAACGGTGTCTGCTGAGATCGTTTCGTTTTGCTGTGTTTGACCTGATGTGGCCTTCTGACAGCGTCATAATGGGTTTGCATTCATCTGCAAGCCCGCCCTCGGTTTCTTGCTATTCAAGGGAATGAGAAGACATCCAGCACAAGCCTCGCGTGTTTCTCCAGTTTCGGTTGCTGGAAATCGGGCTATGGGTAGCTCGCGTTTTTCCCACCAGCCGGCTGGCTGTTCGTGCAGTCGGCGACCTGGCCTCCTTTGCGTTTCGCAGCCTGTGACCGTTGATAGTAATCCCTTCCACCCAGTCCGACGACATGAGCGGTTCTTGTGCGCTTCCTTTTGGAAATCATCATTCTATTGCCGCTTTTCCTCCTCAGCTGGACGGCAACCTCGCCAGCCAGTTCAACACCATCATCGCCTGGGTGATGGCGACCTTCTCCCCGAACCTCATCCCGTCCCAGCTGTTGGCCTGCACCGTCAAGTTCCACATGCGCAGCACGTCGACGTCGTTGTCCTCGGCCACGCCGGCGAGGCGGCGGTCAAAGTCCCAGATCTCCTGGTTGCCCTTGCGGCCGCGGATCTCGGTGTGGCCTGAAGCGGCGGGGCCGACCCACAGCATGGGCGTCTTCCGGTGCGACGAGTCTGCCAGGGCCAAGAACTCCTCGAGCGAGGCGATCGCGGTGTCTGAGGGAGCGGTGTTGGGCGACACGCCGTGGACGATAGCGACCGGGTGGTAGTTCGATCGTGCCACGCGAGGCACCAGTTGCTTGAACTTTTCCGTCACGGAGGACGGGGCCGGCGCCGCGCTGATCTCCAGGAAGGAATGCGCCGTGCGGCTGCACAGGTAAGGGTGGTCGGCTCGGCCTGGGGGGTGGCTGGTGAGGTCGTGGCTGGACGTGAGGAAGTGCTCGGAGCAGGTCTGCGAGGTGAACTGGTTGTCGCAGCTGCATTGGCGGAGTTTTTCCTTGTCCATGTCCCAAGTTCGCAGGGCGCCGTGCGTCAAGTCTTGTCGCAGAAGGATGCTGAGTCCGTTGTAGACGGCCTGAAGGCTATAGTCGCCCACGAAGACAACGGCGTCGAAGCGTTCCAGGATCATGCAGATCTCCTCCACCGAGTACCAGCGGTAATGACAGTCTAGGTAAATGGAGGGTTATGAGGAATCATGATGATATGTGTCGGGATACCACAGAATTCTCACCTCTTGGGAAGTAGGGCGCATCAAACCCGATCCGACCCCCTCCTGACAAGGCCTCCAGGAGTTCCTTGCGGCGAGGACAGTAGACATTGGGGGCACCCTGGAGTGGCGGATCCTGTGAGGGAGGCTGATACAGGTCAAGGGCACGAATGTTGCACTCGGAGAATCCATGAAAGGACCCGAAGTAACTGTTTCACATGGGATGTCAGATTGCTGCTGGCTGCCAACGTGTCAAACGTTTGGTTTGACACTCACCTGTTCAAGTTCTGAGAGATAATGGGGATCTTGTCGGATTGCTGGATGGGCGTCCAGTGTCCAGGCAAGGGTAGCACGTAGTATGTGAGATACAGGATGAAGGAGAAGTAGACAAAGGACAGCAGATGGTACATGACACGCGGGAAGTTCAACTCGTTGAAGTAATCAAGTCCATCTCTTATGTGCCATCGTATGCGGGTGTGAAGCGGAGGTCTGAGTGGCTGCGGTCGCGGTTCCAGATCGTCCTTTTCCATCGTGAGGAGGTTCTCGACAGGTCACCAAGGGAGGGCAGAAGGGGATGTCAAAAGGTGCAAAACGCGCCGAGATGGGAGGAGGTTTGATAAAAGCGGAGACCAACGAGAGAGATGATGTCGCAGGCGCCGTGACTCTGCTACTGGATCAAAGTGTCAACTGAGAAAGAGGAGCTTTCGCTGGTGATGTTACTTGGAAGAAGGTCATGTCAGCCTCAGGCATTGTTTTCTCTTTCTTTGGTGCTGTCAAGTGACCAGGCAGTTGCACAGGCGAGATCTGGTCACTCATTCACTCATTCACTCAATTTCCTCAGCCTCGTCATCAGGGGTTCACCGAGCCTTGCCCAACTGCCCACGAGCATTGTTCATGCCATCCTCATGCTGCGGCCATGTTCCTCGTACCGATAGCCAGAATCCCCAGGTCCCTACTGATACCAATGTATACAACACCAACCAGGGATCGACAGTTCTCAGCGGAGCATGCACAAGACGAGGTAGAAGGCCACAAAGCCATACAACATCAAAGCATCGGCCTCTGGGTCACGAGACTTCCTTGCATGCACCCGTACCTCACTGGGATAGCAAGGAGTCACTCAGAACTCACAAGCTGTAGTTGAGAGGGAAGCTCTGCGGTATAGAGATGGTGAAGGCATCAACCACATCCATCAGATGGAGCCAGAGCAGCCACATTAGAACGTTCCAACATGAAAGCGCCACTGCCATTTCGCTGCAAATCCGCGCCTGAGATCTTGCTTTGGCAAGAGAAGGACAGTCCATGCTCGATCCTGGCTAGTCAAGAGTGCCCGGGGCTTCCTGGAACAACAGGACCAGATCTGGGGCAAATCAAGCTTCTTAGCACCTTTCTCATGACTCCAGGAGACTCTTTGCAGAGACCCTGGATTCCAGACGCCCAAACTAGACGACGGTCCATTGTCCCAAGTGGCGCCGACGGGTTCCGTGGTCAACCGGATTTCGAGCATGGCCATCAATCGAGGCCTTGCTGAGTGGAACAGCAGAGATGAGCCCCAGATACCAACGTGGAGGCTCCTCAGAAAAGCTCGAATGACCCCATGTTATGCATGAAATGGCACTCTAGGAGACGAATCAAAGAAATGAATTGCAACAACAGAGGCAAGCATCAGCAAAAAAGGGGAGTTCGATATTCGGCGGACATTCGGAGATGGGGGCACCTGACCCTAATCAGATGGAGGATCAAGCCTCGTCGGAAGGAATGACGCAGACTGGCAGCTGTTTGGGGGCAAACCGGGGCAAAGGGAAGCACAGAGAGGCTGGAGTTGGTGATGGGCCCAAAGGAGAGAAGGCCAGCCAGTCCATGAGCCCGAGATCCAATCACTGGGAAGGCCATGGATCAACTCCACAATCAGATGTTTCTGGCTTGAGAAAATCTCCCCACAGCCGAGAAGAAGCCCAAGAGGAAAGACGAGGGCCAGGGCCAGGGCGAGAGCCTGAGCACCACCACCGCCCCCAAGCACCACCACCACCACCTTCGTCCGGGCGGTGGCTACCCTGGTCCCTCTCTGGCTGCTGCTCACACGCACGAGTCACATACGGTACACACACACACTCACCTGTCACCTGCGGCTTCCAGTTCTCTTTTTTGTTTTTTTTTTCCCTCTTCCATTCTGCACTGAACTGCCCTGCATCGCCTCTTCCTCCTTCACACGTACCCAGAAGGTCCGTTGTCTCGGTGCTCCCAGTCAAACGGAAGCCTCGCCCAGCCCACCTTGAGCGGCCTTTCGTCACTGACGCACGCTGCCTCGGCACCCTACATTGACCTCCAACGGTCGGAGAACATCGGACCTCGACCCTCCACACGTTTCTGGCTGGTTTTCGAGTCATACTACTGCTCCAAGTCGATTGTTGCTGTCCCTTGATTCAGTCCTTCAGGTCCTTCGAATTGTTCGTCCCTACCGAAGCAGGCCGCAAGGCCTGAACCTCCTTCAACATGTCGTGGAAGCCCACTGAGAAGCTCATGCAAACCATTGGTCACTATGCCAGCTTCCCGCCCACAGGAGTCAGTCTTCGACAGATGGTCCAGTTTGGAGAGAAGCCTTCTGCTGGTATGTCAATGCGAGCACCTCGCCCGCGTCGAAACTATAGCTGATTCGGTGTAGGAACACTCTTTCGTGCCTCACAATTTCTCTCCGAAGAGCTTCCCGTTCGTCTCGCGCACCGTGTAGAAGAGCTGGATAAATTACCCGATGGCCTCAATGACATGCCTTCCATCAAAAAGGTGCGGGACTGGTATGCTCAATCTTTTGAGGAAATCACGACCCTTCCGCGACCTCAGTTAGACACCGAAACCCGAGACCGCCTCCTCAATCCTCCCAAGAAGTCCAGCAACAAACTCTCTGCCACCACGCGGAACCCCAGTCTCAAGGACCATGGTAATGGCAACGGCAAGAGTGGGATGAACTCGCGTCGCTATTTCGCCGCTCTGGACGACGGCAAAGAGTGGCCTCCCATCCTTTCCGAGTACAACCGCAAGTTTGCTCGAACCCTGGAAATCATCAAGAGAAGACACGACCCTGTTGTCACTACTGTGGCTCAAGGTATCAACGAGTGGAAGCGTAAACAACAACGAATGCAGATCGACTCGTCCATCCAGTCCTTCCTCGATCGATTCTACATGTCCCGCATTGGCATACGCATGCTTATTGGGCAACACATTGCCTTGACGGATCAGACCACCAACAGACACCCCAACTATGTTGGCATAATATGCACAAAGACCAACGTTCGGGAATTGGCAGAAGAGGCCATCGAAAATGCCCGATTCGTGTGCGAGGATCACTACGGCCTGTTTGACGCTCCCAAGGTGCAGCTCTTCTGTCCCTCCAACCTGACTTTCATGTACGTGCCGGGTCACTTGTCGCACATGCTATTCGAGACTCTCAAGAACTCCCTGCGGGCCGTCGTGGAGACACACGGGGCGGAAAAGGAAGAGTTCCCCGTGACAAAGGTGATTGTGGCGGAGGGAAAAGAGGATATCACAATCAAAATCAGCGACGAAGGAGGTGGAATTCCACGATCTGCTATTCCGCTCGTCTGGACTTACATGTACACTACGGTCGATACCACACCAGAGTTGGATCCGGGTTTTAATGCTAGTGACTTTAAGGCGCCGATGGCTGGGTTTGGGTATGGTTTGCCACTTTCGAGATTGTACGCAAGGTATTTTGGCGGGGATCTAAAACTGATTTCTATGGAAGGGTGAGTCTCCATTTTTTCCGTTTCTGGGAATGTCGCTGACAGCTTCTGCAACAGATATGGGACCGACGTCTACCTCCATCTCAATCGACTTTCCTCGTCAGCAGAGCCTCTGCAATAACAATTAGCAGTCATGAGGGACAAAGGCGGATCCCAAGGATTGGCGTTGAACAGGAACAACAAGCTTGAGTCTGATGGCCCGAGGGACTCCATCCCCGGCATCAGCAGTGGACGCTTGGCCGCCGTGCGTTCACGATTGAGGAGCAGGGAGGTGACGGAGAGGAAACAAGTGGGAGATGCTGAAAGCATGATTAACGAGGAGCCCAATGTGGTACAGCCGGGCGGAGCGAGTCAGTGGCTGGAATGAATCTGGGGGCGCACCATGGAAAAGTCATTGTTGATAAGAACACCAGACAGAGAATCCAAGTGGCTTTTGTTCGCTGACATGGAATGGACGTGCCCCATCGTCTTGATGCCTACTCGCTTGTGCGTTGGGGATGGCCAGCCTCGTCTCGTCACCACCAGAACTATAGTGGTGATAGGTTTGTTATGCTCACTCGTACACTGGATCCAGCAAGCTTTATTCCCACCGCGTGTCCCGTCCGCTACATGCCACCCAATGCAGCTCGTTACAAGGTAATGTGCACCAAGGCAACTGAAGACCCATCCAGCTTGGAACAGCAGGAGTCAACAAGGTAAGGGTACCAATGGGGAAATTCGTTGTTGCATCAGCCCTTGGCGACGAATGCCCAAGACGTATTCGGGTCTCATATGCTCAGGGACTCGACGGTATCCTAGCCTTGACCTCCGCCTGCAATGCTTCAACTTGGAAGAGCCTTGCTCCGTTCCGATATCCCCCGAGGTCGGCATTCCTCGGGATAGATAGGGTTGTTAATCAGGCGGCATTTGAGCCTTACACAACGACATCGGAGTCAGCGCTGGCGGTGGGTGCTGCCAATGGCTGATCGATGCGCCCGATCTTCTTCAAAATGTGGGAATCTGTTGAAGTTTCCCATATGAGCATTTCATGCAGCACCTGTAAGGCGGAACTGAGGGGGAAAGTCCAGAGGGCTCCACCCAAGCGCAAAAGCAGCATGTCCACTGTCCTAAAATGGCACGTAAATTCCGCGCTCCAAACTTGGGATTCTTGGCGTTGCGGTGGGGCCTGGTCGGTTTTTGGCCCACAACATGCCCAAGTTACAGCCTCGCCGGCGGCTCAGGGATGCACAGCAACCAGCTGTTGCCGGCGAAAGCACAGTGTATGACACATTTAAGTGGCGATTCTGGTCTCGGTATCAACGGAGAAAGGACCGGCGATAGATAATGGCTACGAGCAGCAGACTCCGGCGTCCCGCTATTTTGGCCGGTCTCCTGGTGAGTAGCCCGCCTCTGGCTCGTCAGGATATGTCCAAAGAATAGCTGAGAGATCTTAAAATGCGCACAGTTCTCTCTGTTCCTCGCAGCCCTCGACTTCTCGATCATCACCACCGCAGTCCCTTCCATCTCGTATCAACTGCGGTCCCATACCGCCTATGTCTGGATCGGCTCCGCGTACTTGCTCACAAGTGCCGCTGTGACTCCGGTGTGGGGGAAAGCAGCCGACGTCTGGGGCCGTAAACCTGCACTGCTCAGCTCCATTGCGCTATTTGCCGTCGGGTCAGCCATATGTGGATGGTCCAAGAACATTGCGCAACTGATCTCGGGCCGTGCGGTGCAAGGGTCGGCGGCTGGAGGCATCATTGTCTTGGTTAACATCTCCATCAGCGACGTGTGGGATGCACGGTAGGTCCCTCTTCAAGCTTGCCCCCTTCCTCGTCTTCCATACTTAGGCTGCCCAGGCACCGGAGTATGTTCCTGGCCACGACAGGGCTGGTGTGGGCCATTTCCGCCGGCGTCGGACCTCTTCTCGGCGGCATCTTCTCTGAGTATCTGACATGGCGATGGGCCTTCTGGGTCAACCTCCCCTGTTGCTTTGTCGCCTTTGTCGTTCTCTTCCTTTTGATGAGCCCGGTGCAGCCGCAGACCGTGAGGGCGGATCGGAAAAGAAACATGGACTGGATTGGAACCGTCGCAATCATTGGAGTCACAATCATGATCTTGCTCAGCCTGGACTTTGGTGGGGTGGTCTCACCGTGGAACTCCCCTAAAGTCCTAACTCTGCTGATCGGTGGCTTTGTGGTCTTATCCTTTTTCGTCTTCTGGGAGGCCAGAGGCGCATCGAATCCTCTCATTCCATCCCACCTCGTAGACCGCACGTCCAAGATCAGTCCGCTGATGGTCTGTTTCACGCACGGTTTTGTACGAGCTCGGTCATTCTCTGGGGGATGTCCAGTGCCAGCGCTGATTGGGACTATAGGTGAACGTCTCGTCTTGGTACTTTCTGCCCCTCTACTTCCAAGCCGTGCGCGGCGCGTCCCCGACCCGCTCTGGCGTCCTCATCATGCCGATCGTTGTGGTCCAAGCCTTGATCGGTCTTGCTGCCGGGGCCATCACCTATCGGTTTGGCTGGATCCGGCCACTCATATGGGCAGGAATGGCGCTCACAACGCTGGGATTTGGTCTTTTTATCGGTATCGGCACATCGACATCGCTGGTTCGCACCGTGACTATCGAGATTGTGGCCGCGCTCGGAGTCGGCGCCGCCTTCCAAGCCCCGCTGATAGCGTACCAATCCGTCGTCGGCCCAGCAGATATGGCAGTGGCGACGGCACTATTTGGATTTGTCCGGAGTCTTTCCACGTCCATCTCGGTGGTCGTCGGCGGCATTGTTTTCCAGAATACCATGTCGACGCAGACTAAACGCCTGAGCAGTGTCCTGGGGGGGCCACTGGCTCGAAACTTTTCGGCTTCAACTGCAGCAACAAATGCACTGCTCGTACGCACACTGCCTTTCCATCAGCAAGTGGAGGTGAAGAAGGCGTATGCTTCGAGCTTGAAGCATATGTGGATCATGTACGCCAGCGTTGGCGGAGTGGGTCTTGTCGCGGCGCTGTTTGTGAAGAAGCAGAAGGCAGTTGGCGAGGCAGGCAGTGATCCTCCAGACAGAGACGGCGTGGAGCTTGAGCAGCCTCCAGCTCGATCACCTAGCCAAGTGCAGTGACGCAGCAATCAGTGATGTGTCGGGTAGAAACGACAAGTCACGATATGATGCGACATCTCGCCTAGTGACGCCACACTTCTCGGCGAGCTTCTCGACAAATCCCTTTGGGAACGAGGAGGATGGAGTCTCGCATCGTGTCGCAGCGCAGGAGATCGAGAAACAATTCTACAGGGATGGGGCTCCTATTTTATCGTTAGCTCAGCGATAAAAGCCGGATATACAGTGTATAGGCGGGATGTGTATAAATCATGATAGTTCATTCATGTCGTTGATTCTTGACCAATTGGATGTTGTCTAAGGCTCCCAGTACTGTGGGTACACGTCTAACTAGCGACCTGTTGTACCAGCACGCCATGCCTGTACGTATACGACTCCACCTTTAATGCTGACTGTAAGAAGCGGATAACGCACAGATTGATAGCTATCTCTAGACGTCAGGATCAACGGCGGCCGCTGCTGTTCCCTATCCCAGGTGCCCAGTTGTCCTGGTTCTGCGTACCAACTCTGGTCTCCACCAATGTCAGACCTCATAGTTCCCACCTGTACCTTCGGCAAGCAATGCAGCCACATCATCCCGCTGCTGTACCAGGGCCCGAGCGCGTGTTGCTGTACTACAACACGAGGGGCCTCGTGGGGAATCCCTGGCGTGCTGGAGTGGTTGATTGGGAGGCAGCCGACCAGCCCGGCAGGCTCGGCCGCCCGGAAAGGATGAAAGTGAGTGAAAAAGGTGCTCGCACTTCACTCACACGCGACTGACTTTGCGAGAGAGAATTGGATTGTGGTAGACATACTGTCTACAGGGAATCCATGGCATGGATGTATATTTGAGAACGGCGGGAAGTCCTCGTGGTACATGATGACGGGGCAGTAATAAGTTGGGAAAGGAACAACAATGACACAGAAGCAATGCAGGGGGAAGTAGCACTATCATTGATTGCATGGACTATGTCTGTGGTATTGGATGGTGGACCACGTGGAAGTCTCTCATCCTTTGCCTTCGCGTGCGCGGATGATGAAGTTGACGAGAAGAACTATCGCACCACAGAATATCCCTTTACCATTGAAGAAAGGTTTCGCGCGGGCTCTGGGGGATGTGGCGGGCTTCGGGGGATGCTTTGGTTGGAGCTCCGCAGCCACTATTGTTGGACTTTTTTTCCCTTTTCCTTCCCTTGAAGTTCTTTCCTTTTAGGTGGTATCCCAGAAATTGTCCCTCCCAGTTCCTCTCTTCCACTGTTCATCCACCGTATCCCAATACATCGGAAGGATCCAGATCGGCTGCAATTCTTCCTAATATAGCTTAGTAATAGAAGATACTAGAATTAGGGTGATTTGTTCTTACCACAGTCAACTCTCGAGGCGCTTCATACTCGAGTTGAAAGTTCCTCGACTGTAAATCGGTAAGCTAGTGTAAAATGTGAAGTGATGGGCATCATACCGAGATCCTAGTTCTTGTAGTGGTAAACGTTGACCCCAAAACTCTCCTTAACTTTCTCAGATCGATGTTGGATGATTCCGTCCGGTCAAATCTGAACAATTTACAACCGGGGAGGGTTGCGGCGTATTTCTTCTCGTACCAGCCTGGCATATTGACGATGGCGATGTAGAGATGTTTGGAAGGGTTGGAATAGTTGTGATGTACAATAAGCCAAAGATTAATGAACTAACAATTTATGCTGGACGTCAAGAAAGAAAAACAAACGCGCAAAGGGATCATATGATGGCATGCCGGTAATAGCCGCAGGCAGACATGACCACGTGAGGCCAAACCACCTACAACTGCCACAGCATGTCATCGGTGCAGGGATCCGTGAAGATGTCCACTTGAAGGAGTGACAGGTGTCTTTGTGTGACCCTATGGTGTCGTGGACTGCCTCACCGCTCCGACGCCGACGAGCCATGGTGTACTCCGCCATGTACCATGTACCATGTACCCTCACCAGCCTGAAGATTTCAGCCTGTTGCTTGCTTCCTGTACTACCACAAATGTAGGTCGCTTGCTGTTCCTCATAACATGAAGTGTTTGCTCTGTCGGCGGAGCTCATGCTAAAGGTGTGCCCGTGAAGGGTAGCTTGTGCAGTTGAGATAATCTGCCAATTCCCGGTAGCGATGAGACGGTGAGGGAACATGCACACTGGCAGCTTGTATCGAAATGAATGACGAGGTGAAGTTCATCGTCCCAGTTAGTGGTTCAAAAGCACCAACGTTTCCCAGCCATGGCGTCCATCACGCAGCTGGTGCCACCTCTTGGGTTTGACGGACCTGAGCCGACGCAAGATTGGGGCTGAGTCGTGTGCGAGCTTGGCTCAGATGGACTGGAACGCCTGGAAGCCGCCGACGAAGCCTGTCCGGACAGGGAAAGGGAAGCAGCAGCAGCAGCAACAGCAGCATGTGGTAAAATATGCTACGGAAACTGAAACTGAGCCGTTGAGGGAATTTCAAATTCTCTTTGCATCAACACAGCAGGTATGGTGAATGTTTGACGCCAAAGTCCAGCCGACTGAAAAAGCTGCAGCAAATGGAACAGGATCACCCCGGTCAGCCTGAAAAATGTTTGTTGAACAGACTGCCGGCCGTTACGTGCATACAGGGTTACTTGAGCGACCGGGACTCGGACCCCGGTAGAGGACTTCTGAAAAGAGTGGTGTGTTGTGCTAAGTGCTTGCCACACATATTGAACCACGTCTGATCCAAATTCACCATCATCCCCACGCGCGCTGTGCTGACCACCTCCAGCTCGAGCATTCGGCTTGTCTTCGCTTTCTGTACGTCCCCTATACTCCCGCTTCAACTGACAATGCTCATGCAATCCAGGATCAGCTTTCGGGTTCCAGATCAAGATCGCTTCGGAAACCCATCGCTAGATGATCAGAAAGCGGACGAACGAGTTGATCTCGGCATAACCAGCAAGACGACCAGCTCCGTATTGGGGTATATCAGCCTTTCACAAGAACGTTTGAGAACAATATTGGCCAGTCTGCAGCTACCGAGGCAGTGCATTGAGATCACTGTAGCCGAACGGCAGGAGGCTTTATTTTCATATGTCAGATCCTTGGATTCTGCGGAGAAGATTGTGCAGTTGAGCAAGTCTCACTGATTCACCGTGGTAGAGAAGTATTGCTGACATGGATGATAGAATACGTGCTCAGGACCGAGAAGAGTTTCCCAAATGATGTGATACTTGCAGTCTCGTGGAGGTGGTCTAAGGATGGCGGTGCTGTTCAGGCTTTCCTCCACGGCTGTCAGCCCACTATTGTAGTTGAAGACGACGAAAACGTCAGCGAAGCAGACGCAATCAAACGTTGGTTCGATGAGATTCCCACGGATCAGGCTTTCGGAGCATGGAAACATCCCCTTCTCCCAGCTCTATTAGTTGGGGAGATGCAGCTAAGCCGCCATCGTCATCACTTTCACAACTATAAGCGGCTGTTTGACAAGGTGTTCAACCAGATCTCGACGGCCGCCAATCAACCACACCTCGCCGACCATTTGAAAAATGCCCAGGTCTCGGAATGGTTTGAAGAAATTCGAGAAATGTTTACAAACCACCACCAATTCCACCGAATCATCGTTTCATTCATCAGCATCGTGAATACTCTGGTCAAGTTCTGCGGTGAAATCCAGGTCCACGGCACCTCTGGAGCACACGATGATTTCCGAATCGCCTCAGAGTCCGTTGCTTGCCGCTTTCGACAGCTGCATCAGGACTATTCTACCCTGGAAGGCGAGGCACAATATCTCGTCAACGGCACTTCGTTGCTCCAGAAATCGGTGAGTGGGCCCGGACCTCTGCTGTCCCTCGTATTGGCCATTGACCGCTATATAGCTATGGAGCGTCACTGGACAGAAGAACAGCCAGATCAACACAAAGATCTCCGATACAAGCCGAGCCATTGCGAAAGCTGCGAGTCAAGATAGCTCTGCCATGAGGGCACTGGCGGTGATCACTGCCATATTTCTGCCAGCTACAACAATTGCGGTAAGCCCTGTTGTGCAGAAGCTCAGCCCGTCGGGTTCCGTTCTCTGACATCCATGACCATCTTCTAGACCATAATGACTATGCCGGTAATGGATTGGTCCAAGCATTTTGCATACCCCGATATCCGGGGGAGTATCTGGATATTTGTGGTGACCACCCTTGTTCTGACGAGTGCCACCCTCTATTCTTGGCGTTGTTGGTATTTACGGGATCTTTGGAAGCGAGATGTCAACTCCAGAGTGGACGAGACCATGGCCAATGGACCAGACTCTGACCCGGAGAACCAGCAGGTTGGCGACGATTCAGATGGAGACAACCGAACCAAGCAAGGCAAAGACGAAATCAGGGCGCTCATGATCAAGGGCAAGAAAGCACAGGAGCATCGTAAGCGAGTTCTCAGCGAAGTGCGAAGAAAATTGCCGTATCCACTGAGGCAACTCTTCCGCTTGGAGCGTCATTACCAGCTGCCGGACGAGGAGGCCATGGTGGACATCTTTCCTCGTGGCGGGCCACGCCCAGCGACCCTCGAAATTTCCAGAGGAACACCGGAAGCTTCAGAGCCGACATCTTCGCCGTGGGGGAGTCCTTCACACGCGAAAATCTTGACAAACAGCCCCTCATCCAAGGACGCAGGGCAATTCTCGAGCCCACCGAGAACCAGACTATGTTCATCCAGATCTCCGACAGCTGTTGCAAACCCCTCAGGGGCCGAGCCTTCAGCAGCGAAGCTCTCAGGGAACGATCCAACAGAGCCGTTCTGGGTTAGAAAGATGCCTTCTGAAGCGAGAATTCCCAAAGACGGACCCTCAGAGACAAAAGCCTTGGGGACTCGACCGACGGAGAATAATCTCTCACACGGGCCGCCCTCAGATGCGACGGCCTCCGGAGCCTGCGACCCAGGAAACGAAGCCGCGGAGACGAGGAATCCCGAGGTGAATCCCTCACATGCCGATGCCCCCGAATCTGCCCCCTCGGAAATGACCTCTGCGGGAGCATCGACTTCATCAGAAACGAGACCGTCGACGTTGAATACACCGTTAGACGGGACCTTCCCGGCGACCAAGCCTTCGATAGAGGCAGACTCACCCACACGAGAGAGTGTTACGGCACAAACCGGTCGAGATGGTCAGTAAGTCGGCAAAAGATTGGCGTCACTGAAAAGGTGCTTGGAGAGCCTCGACGCGCAGCTTGCAGTTGATAACAGTGGAAGTTGACCATCACCGACGAGCTTTCGGCTATCGGCTTGCTGTAACAAGTGACCATCCCCTGTAGCCACTCGCGACTTGAGGCACCTAGACACATGGATCAAATGTAGTAACCAGTTGAACCTGGGAACAATGATGATCGTGATGACTATCAAAGAACTGGGAACCACAGAACAACATGGGCTAAGTACCCCAGAGGCATCACGCGTCCACTATCACTCCCAGTGTCACTGCCTTGGTCACCTACCTTGTCACCTAGGTAGTGAGTAAAGCCAACTTAACCCCATTCCTTTTTGACGAAAGCTCCTTTCACTCTCTGACGTGGCCAGAATCGTTCCGGGACGCAGCTCGTGGCTATGATTCCGTCGGACGTCAAGCAAGTGGTCTTTCTGATGTTGGCCACCCCAGCAGGCAGTGATTCACATTGAGACGGACCTCTCAAGGTAGTCTGAAGAAGTAAGTTAGTCCCGTCCCGCTCAGATTGCTGATCAGCTTCCGCGCTGACACGATGCCCCAGGACATTTGCCCCAAGTCTATTGGGTGATCGGAGCGTCGCACTTCCGTAGGATCGGCGGGTGAAGGTTCGACGACGTGTCCCATAGCAAGACACACTGAGCTGCGCCTGGTCGAGTATACGCCGGGCTGTGTCGACGATGGGAAGGACGCCTCAAGAATGGACACGCCGACTGGCCAGTTCGACAGCAACGTCTCGCCTCTTCGATTCGAATGCGTTTATTTGCATGGGCACAAACGCCGCATTCGTCTCGTCGAAGAGCGTTGCTATCAAAACACTCTTCTATGCAGATGGCTTCAATTGCTGCAAGGGAATTGACAAATCAAAGTCTTCCAAAATGAAGCAACGGCTCAACGCGGCATGAAGATTCCCACGCGACAGAGTTACAGGATGGCGAAATTCCGGGGACCATTCGCGCAGATATGCACACCCAGATTCTCGTAGTCTTTCGATTGGTCAATTCGGTTCGACGTCTAACGCGTTTCTCCTCGATCCCGTTGCTAAGTATCGTGGGCGTGGCGGAGGATTCTTTCTGTTTGGTTAATTTGGACTGCATACCTCCAGGTGCGACGTACCCTGAACTCACCAACGAGAAAGTCTGTGCCCTTGATCGCCACTGACCCCGTTGCTCAAGATATATCCAATAACACTATTCTGCCGTGGGCCCTGAACGCGTTGAGTCAGAGCTCTGGTATTGTAGAATGCCGGTGCGCCCTTCAATCAAGCCGACAAACATTTGCTAGGCTATATATATATAACTCTCACTCTCAGCCGAACTAGAAATATCTCGTCTCTTGTGACCGTTCTCGTTCCCTCTCAAACATGGCAACGACCGAAGAAAAGAACAAACAAGTGATTGCCAAGTACTTCACAGAGTACTGGGGCAAGCTGAACCCGGACATCGTCGACGAGGTCTGCGCGGACGACGTGTTCCAATCGTACCCGATGCACGCAAACCCGAAGAGGGGTAAGGCTGCGGTCAAACAAGCCATGGTGGATTTCAAAGCCGTCAGTTTCTGGCCCCCATCGTCACATGGTCGGCTGGCCCGAGAAAGGATGGCTAATCTGAATGACAAACCAAAGGCATTCCCGAACCTTGGCTTCAAGACCTACGGCCCTTACCCCCTGATCGCCGAGGGCGACTATGTGTTTGGGCGCTGGATCGGCGGCGGCACGCATACCGGCACACCCTTTGACGATCTCGCGGTGGGGGCTCTCGTCGAGCCTAACACGGGCAGGCAGATGTGGTTTTCGGGCATGACCGTCTTCACCATGCAAGACGGCAAGATTGTCAAAGAGATCGGGGAAGAAGGGGGGCTCACTGCACTGCAACAACTGGGTCTGGTCGAGCCACCGAAGAAGGGCAGGGAGATGTTCTACGACGTGGAGAACATGTAGCAGTCATGCTTGGAGGAGAGGCGTGCGGCGACACGCTCATGAGCGGACAGAAGCGGAACAGTAGGTTTTAAGAGAGGAATAAACACTCGTTGCAATCGACCCACGATGTTAAAATGCTCCTCTCCATATGTATGTGGATGGATTCCGAATGCTTCGGATTTTGGTTTTAGCCGAAAAAGGGGTTGGGGTTGTTGTGGTAAAGCAGCATGAATGCCATATTGGATTGGGCGAGATGCTCCCGCTGCCCTGTAGCGCCCTTGGCACTTTCAGGCACGTGCCTCGGACCAGAGAAAGCCTTGCGCATTATCGAGGACGGCTTGTTCAAACATTCTCTCCTAGTTCTTGTCATATCCAGACGGTGATGGACTGATTGGCGCCTCCACATTCGCCCGTGATAGGCATCTATCGGACGCTGAAGCATGGCGCCGAGTGACTACACTTCCGCGGGCTCTGGCAAACTCAAGCTCAAAGGCGTGAAGGACTCGAAGGTCGACAAAAAGAAAAAGAAAAAATCCTCGTCCAAAGCCAGAGAAAACGAAGCCCCTGCACCGGATCAGACGGAGGGCGAAGGGGCTGATGATCAGCTCAGGGATCGGTCAGTCATGCTGCGAAAGCTGGAGGAGGAAGATCAAATGATTGCGACGGAGGCAGGGGAGAGAGCACAAAAGTCAAAGGCCGATTCCGCTGGCGGTGAAAATGACGCTGGGGGACTCGTCGAGGATGAGAAAGGTGGGATTGTCAAGACGGAAGCAGAGAGACGGTATGAGGAGCAGAGACGGAGAAGGGTGCGTTCTATTCATTCCCATACATACCTACCTGAAGACGTCTATTTCCAATCTTGGGATTTGGAACGGTTCGTGCTGACCATACATGGGCAACTAGCTTGAGGAACGCTTAAAACGAGAAGGTGTCAAGACGCACAAAGAGCGGGTTGAGGAGTTGAACCGCTACCTGAGTAGTCTGAGCGAGCATCACGACATGCCGAGAATAGGACCAGGCTAATATGGGCTCAATCAAATGGGTCCGAGATTTGGGATAAACTTGCAATATACTCCGTACATGTTCTCAAACCGTTCGGGAGGACGGAGTTTTGCAAGGTCCCGTGGTTCTTCGGAGGAGCCGAGCTGTCACCACAAGCTCTTAGACCTAGCAGCAAAGAAATATCGGAAGATTTCACTGGTCCTGAAGCCGGTCGTTGGGGTGGTCGGACGATATCTAGGGGACCTCGCAAGAAACCCCATTCCAGATGCCTTGGTGTGCGGTGGAGCAGGATTGGATTCCTCACATAATGGCATGATCGAGAAAACGTGTGGTGAACAATGAATCGGCTTGTCTTGTAATTCCGCTGTATCCTCTGTTTATGTACAATGTTACGTCCACCAACGGCGAGTTTTGACCACTACCACTACTCTTCGTACTCGGCTCGTCCTGGTTTCGAGTTAAGATATTCGTTCCTGTATCGGCAAGACCAGTCAGTATTCGACCTCACGCTGACCCACAAGCTATGTCCATCTCGAGCTCGCACGTACCTCTCGGTAGCCCAGTCCATCGCAAGATACGCGATCAACAAGGGAGGAACCCAATATAGAACCTGATTGCGTGTTCGGCGGAAAGTGTTAAAGATGGCGTCGGAGAGCAAGGTAGACGTTGGGTTCTGTCGGTTCGGCGAAAGGGCATAGGTGATAATGTTCTTTTGCGCTGGAGAGCCTGTTTCCAAGGTTAGTATCTTGTCGGCAACTGAAAAAGCAGGCGAGAGGCCTGATATAGAACGTCGCAGGTCGAGATTCGAGGGTTCCAAGGTCGAAATGAGTCCATACCTAGATTTCCCCACGAGCCCATGTATCTGTGGACCAAAGCCTGTTAGTTCACTTCCATGCAGGAAAAGCAAAGCTTTTGGGTGAGGTGGAACGCACACTCCATTCTTTGGGTCAGGGCCATGACCGGCGCGCAGGATGCGGGTAGCTTGCATCCGCAGAGCTGCGGTGGGACGCATTTTGAGAGATGATACTAGGCAACCAGGGAGAATGCCAGAGTTGGGCAGAGTGACTGTTGCTGAAGGTCAATGATCGCAGTCGTGGTTGGAGTTGGAGGGAGGAGAGCTCCGGCCGCAGTCTGGAAAATTGCTTGGCCGCTTATGTAATGCACAGCTCCAGGCTGCGCATGGCTGCGGAGAACATTGCATCTACTACAACTACTTCATCAAAAGTTCATGACCTCGAATCCGCGGTTGCATGGCGGCAGCTCGACAACATTGAATACAACGCCGACAAATACCTAAATCTCGTCCACCATGTCTGCTCCGAACGTCCTCAACGCCATCTCAAGATGGGCCATCCCAGTCTTCATTGGTGCGTCGTTAGCACAAAGCGCCATGTACGATGTGAAAGGCGGAACGAGAGCAGTCATCTTCGACCGTCTGTCTGGTGTCCAGGAACAAGTCACCAACGAAGGAACCCATTTCCTCATCCCATGGCTTCAGAAAGCAATCATCTACGATGTGCGGACGAAACCGAGAAACATCAGCACCACCACCGGGAGCAAGGACTTGCAGATGGTGTCACTGACGCTGAGAGTGCTCCATCGCCCAGACGTCCAGAACTTGCCCAAGATCTACCAAGTAAGTTTTTTCCCACCAGCTAGTTCTATGGTGCTGCATAGCTAACCACGACTACTAGTCCCTCGGTCAAGATTACGACGAAAGAGTTCTCCCATCTATTGGCAACGAAGTGCTCAAAGCAATTGTGGCTCAGTTCGACGCAGCAGAACTAATCACCCAACGAGAAGCCGTCTCGCAACGGATCCGAGCCGACCTGACCCGCCGGGCACAAGAATTCAACATCGCGCTTGAAGATGTCTCCATAACACACATGACCTTCGGTCGCGAGTTCACCAGGGCGGTCGAACAGAAACAGATCGCCCAACAGGACGCAGAAAGAGCAAGGTTTATCGTTGAGAAAGCCGAGCAGGAGAGACAGGCGAACGTCATTCGTGCCGAAGGTGAAGCTGAATCGGCAGACATTATCAGCAAAGCTGTGGCCAGGGCGGGAGACGGGTTGATACAGATCAGAAGGATCGAGGCCAGCAAAGACATCGCCCAGACATTGGCCGCGAACCCCAACGTCACCTACCTGCCGGGTGGTGGTGAAGGAGAAGGTGGGAAGGGAAAGAGCACAGGATTATTGCTGGGCTTGAGGGCGTGATCGGCGCTGTGAGTCTCGGGAGAAGCTTGTACTGATATGATTCACCGACAGCAGGGTGAAATATGCTGTCTTACTCTGTGGCATTAAATAGTGATCAAAAGACCCCGAACTGGGGAGGAAATTCTCAACTTTCACAGCCAGCTTTCCGTTTCCACAGGCATTGGCTCGAATCACTCTGAACACATCTTTCTCCCCAGTCTTCGAACTGGACCGAGTCATTGCGGGTGTTCGTCTTCCTTTGACGCTTCGTTGCTCACTCTTCAAGGGTGGGATTGAGCGACTCGACTCGGCAGAGTACGTCAAGTCCCCGACATCGCAGTCTAGATGACAAGCAGTATTCTTCCCGTGGCAGACCGAGCAGCGTCGATATCCAGAGTGTTATGGGGCGAACCTGACCTCGTGCACCCTGTTATGTTCAGAGCTCACTCCACCTCCACCTCCCAAACGTAGCTTGTCAAGGGGGATCTCCTTTCCGCCTTTGCAGAGGAGCACCGTAACTCAGAGGAAGAATGCCGACGATTTGTCGGGTCCCGACGCACAGTCCTTCAGAGGATGTTTTCCTATCCCAAATCCACTCCGCAATGACCACAGCATTCTGCTTTCTCCGAGTCTCATCTGCGGGGTTTCCTTGGTTGCTCGAGCACGTCGACCATGGAACAAGAAAAGGAACGGAACCATTCCTCGGGGCGCGAGGGAGGTGTATCGATCTTGAACCGTCGGACAAAGCGGTGCATCGATGCGTACCGCATGGACCACCAAAGACCTTGTGTATTCCGGAACAGGCATGTCAGTCAGTTGAGCTTTCACCATGGTTCCATCGGCCTCGATGTCCGTGTCGAGACCAATCTATTCTGTCTTGCGTGCCATGAGAGAACAAAGAGCGAAAAGGCCAATACTTTCCATGCCAGGAATGGCTGCGAAAAGAGGACATGCAGGAGATGCGAGAGGCGGGCAAAAGTAGGGACAATAGATGCGTTTACAGGGTAAGCTGCTTTGAGAAACAAAGGAATGGTCCATGCTAGAAAGGCCGACGACCCGAGAGTTGGCTTCTATACAAAAGAACAAAGGGATATCAAAGAAAGTGTCTCCAGTGGCTGGTAGCCAGCCTCATCTCAGACTGCAGATGCCCATGTTTGAGCGTCCATTTGGAATACAAGGATCAATATATACACTATCAGAAGCGAAGAATGGTAAGAATGATAATATCCAACACACAGCAGACAGGCCGCTCACAGGTGGAAACTGACAAAGTGGCAGTCACCCCTCGAAGCAGCACTGAATGGAAAGTTCCCAGAAGTAATAGCAACGAAGGCTCTCAATACTTCATCATCTTCCTCCACGGCTTGTAGTTGAGCAGCTGCCTCTTCGCCATCTTCTTGCTGCCCGAACCGCTCTTCGTCCATACACTGAGCGCACCGGGTCCTCCACACATCTCCCCTGCTGCGCCAGTGCATGCCATGTTGCAGCTACCCTCGTCCAACACTGGAGTGGTAATCTCGTTTCCACAGAAACATTGCCCGGCATACTCGGTGCCTGCAACGGTATATCCGCGCGAATCACAGAACGAGACGCAAGCAGCGTTGGACACGTTGGGGCCGTTGAAGTTGGACCATTGCGGGAGGGTTCGCGGGTTGACGGTGTCGGTGAAGCAGCCAGTGTAGGACCAGGATGGGTTTGATGCCGAGGGCGTAGAGGGTGTTGATGGCGTCGCGGAAGAAGCAGGTGAAGACAGGGACGATGAGGTTCCGGCAGGCTAGATTAACACTGTTAGATTGAGTAACATTTTTTTCGATTTAGCTTTGGTCTTCCTTGGGACCTCCAACTGGGAATTGATTGAACCTGGAAAAATAAATGAAATTGGGTATAGGGGCTTAGGTAGACGAAGCAACAGTAGCAGCGTCGGTAGGAGAAGGCGTAGAAGAAGAGAGTGAGGGTGGAGTGGTATAAAGGTATCGAAGAGTAGTGGTACTGATAGTGGGAGTAGAAGTTGTTGAAGCAGGGGAACTGGATGTGTCAACAGCATCCGAACCACCCGCCGACGAGCTAACAGCGGGTGGGTAATCAGAGCCGGAATATGTATAAGATGCATCGTCGTCGTCGTCGTCGTCGTCGTCATTGTCATCATCACTAGAGGGAGGATAAGTGGAACTTGTATTTACCGAAACTGGAGTGGCCGCGGCGCTGGAGGTCGCGACCGTGGCAAGCGTTGTAGGAGAGCTTGGTGCCGTGTAAGGACCACTTGAGGATGTCGATGAAGGAGCAGCGGAGGCGGGGGCGGAAGCAGAAGAGGACGAGGCGACTGGCGGAGGGTTGGCAACCTGGACGGGGGCTGAGGAACCGGGACCGAACTGAGCGTTTGTGCATGAGTCGCCGGAGCATTTCTGGTAAAGAGAGATGGTCCCTGAACCACCGCAGAACTCGGAGTCGTCGCCAGCACAGCTCATGGTGCAGTCTCCGACAACGCCAGGAACAGGCTTGCCGCTATCGGGAATGGAGTTGCCGCCTGGTCAACTGTTAGCAGCTCAACCCTCAAAGCGAACATGATGTGCTTACAATAACATTCATCAGCATACTCAGAACCAGCGATGGAGAAGCCTTTGCTCTCACAGAAAGCAACGCAGTTCTCGTTGGTCATTTGTCCGTTGGACTCGCTCGCGCCGGTCAGAATACGGTTGTAGTAGTTGTCGGTTCCGCATCCCATATATGCCCACCCCTGGCTGGTCAGGTCGGTGAAAAAGGTTGCGTTAGAGGGAGTGATGGTGGTGGTCGCGCCGCAGCCGGATTGAGGAGTCGCCGTGGGACCAGGTTGAACGGGGTTGCAGCCGGGCAAGGCTGAAAGCAGACCGCTAACTTGCTCGTCGACTTCAGGTTCGATACGGCAACCTTCAGCCTGAGCGTCAGGGATGAGGTCAAAAACCGGGCAGTCCTCAACACGGCCACTGTCGTTGGTGCATCGATCAACGGCGGACTGGAGCAAATCTGGGTCCCAGCCCATGACGAAATCACCATGGCCACCATAACCGGTAGGGTCACCCATGGACCAGACGAAGGGCTGTTCGTTCCCATACCACTGGTCGGCGAATTTGCCAGTGTCCCAGATGACTTCGTAGAAGATGGAGATGAGATGAACTGGAAAATCGGCTGGGCATGGACCAGAGTTGTAGGAATTGGCGGGATAAGAGACGTGAGAGCTATGATCTGGAGAATCCAAGTCCTTTCCATTCCAGCAAGATGGGAAGAAGACTTGGGATCGAAGCCCATCGGGGCAGTTGTAGTTGGGGAAGTTGGGGGTTTCTGGCTTGGCTGGACCATTGTAATCGAGGCAGTTGTAGCTGATGGCCTGGGTCGCGAAATCATCGCCTCCAGTTCGCTTGAAAGGATTTCCGGCAACCATGCGGAAGCCAGGAGGGAATGCCTTCAGAGTCTCTCCGTCGCCAGCCCGCTGTAGGTAATACACGGTGGCACCACCGACTTGGTCGACGCTTTCGAAGGTCCCGTTTTGGTGCTGGTAGAACAGGGCTGGAATCCAGTAGTTGCTGAAATCTCCAGTCACTGTGCAAGAAGAACAAGTAGACCGCTGGGTTGAGTTGTAGTCCATGGTGAAATCAAACCCATTTCCTCCCATGATCGTGTGCAAGTGGCCAGACACAACACCGGGGCTAACAATAGGGTCGGCACGCTCAACGACAATGGGGGATTTGCACGGTAGCCGCCAGAAGGCTGCCACCGGCGAGGCAGCAAGAGCGGCCACAAGGCCTGTAGTGAGAAGAACAGACATTTTGCGTGCTGGTGCGGCTGAGGCTGAGGAGGAATCGAAGTCGAGATTCCGGAAACGATCGACTGCTGAATGCTATAAAAGAATGACTTTGACAAAGGACTGGATGTACGACAACTTCGCACAGCGAATAAAGAATGGACGGCGAGGGTCTCCGACTCTCGAGCCAATAAACGAACGTGGTTGCAACAAAGGACGATGTCGAATAACAATGAGAAAGAGTTCAGCAAGATGCCTGGGGAACGAGGACATGATATAAGGGTATATTGACTCCTATCGGCCGAGGTATCCGGCGCCGCCATCATTGTCAAGGGCTAGATGGTCCTGAAATTGCAGACCCTGCCGTTACCTTTTCGGGCGCACAAGCCCAGATCCTTCTGAGCCTTTGCGTGATGACAAGCTTCAGAGATATGCGATGTTGTGCAAGTGGCGTGTGTCTGTTCCACTTCGATTCAACGGGCTGCTTACTGGTACACAATCGCTGCACGGCGACCAGGTCCAAGTCTGTCCAGAAGCTCGATTCTAGTCCGCGGGGGACGTTGTCATATTCCGATACAAGTTAGAAAGGATGGGACGGAGGGGCTTTCTCCTAGAGGTGGAGAGAAACGGCGCAGTAATGTTGTGCCATAGTGCAAGGAGATCTCGGCGAAAGGAAGCGAAAGTTATCCAGGCATTGACCGATGTGGGGAAAGTCCCCAAGCTAGGAGGCTGTGAAATAGGCATGCAAGATCAGCCGCCTGTTTCAGAAGGATATTGAGGCTGGAAAAAATTGATATATAGAGGGCCGAGGGGTATCTGATCTCAAGAAGGAGAGAGGACTGTTTCAGGTTGAGCCACATGAGGGCCAAGAGACCAACAAGGCGGAAATCTCGGGCGGTTCTGTCGAAAGTCAGGAGTCCCAGAGATTTGAAGAAAGAGAACTGGCCACACGCCTGATCTGGAGATGTGCTTCTGCTGCATTGCTTGCTGCTTCACCTGTAGCGCTGATCACCGCCGAGAATGAAATATGTAGACTCCTCCTTGCATACCCGTCTGGACTGATGTTGATTTTGAAGATTGCCCTAGTCGCGGATTCGCGGAGATTCAACAACCAACTTCGGAATTCATTTGCGCTCAAGCGTGGCTCCTGGTCTCTTGGCATTGTCCTGCATGTCATACTCGTCAGTCAAGAATCCCTGTCACCGCTGCATGAGATGCTCGCCTTTTTAAAGGGGTTGGAGATATCCCGCAGCGACGATGACAAAGTGAGTTAGTCCTCCGTGTGTAGGACGGCCCCTGTAAGATCCCCAGTCTTTTGAGTCGACAGTGGCCCACGTGGCCGAATACGACGACATTGAACGCGGTGCCAATTCCTTTTGCTTTTATCGCACACGCCGCACGTCTTCGACCTCGTCCTTGATGGGCACTTCGATCCTGAAATCGGCAGATCCTCGTTCAACTCGACCTCGCAGAGCAGCCATAATCAAGATATCCTTGTTGAAAAGTGTATGGCCAAGCCTTCCGACGTGAGCACCCTGGGGGTCGCCAGGAATTCCGATGATCAAGGTCTTTGCTTCGCTGAACTTTGCCTTGTCTTTGATGGCTGGCAAACGATGTTTCACTGCATCTGCACCCAAGATAGTGGCGATTTGAGAAATCTCCCGCTCTAAGTTTCCCAGGTCAGTTCTGAGCTGCTTCGTGAGGAAGACCGTGGTCCCGGAAAGCAGATCCGTCAAGCCGGTCTTGCCCCTGTTGAGGGCATCCTTGAGATTGAAAGCCCACTGCCGCTCTCTAGATCTGTCTAGCGGTAGATACTCCTCAAGTGCTGGAAATCGTCCAAGTCGGTGAGTGTCAGCAATCCATTTCTCTGTCACTATGTCCATTCCCATGGCCACGGCCATGATCAGCTTTCCGGTCTTCTTCAAAGGGCCTTCTGCGATGCACAGAATTGTTGCTTTATTTATCTCTGTGCTCACCTTGCCTCCGAGGCGCTCAAAGGTTTCTATTGCAGTGCCTTTCTCTTGGATGGTGGTATTGCCGCTAAAGACTACCACAGGGGCACCACCAGAATAGCCGCGCGGGGAAGCAGACTGTGTTCGCCTGGTTAGTCGTCTTTTCGAGGATTGTTGCTCGTTTGACAAGCTGCTGTTTGGACTTGTTGTTGTTGCTGTGGACGGTCCGCGGGTTCTTGACTGCCTAGGTGATGTTTTTGGGACTCGCTTTTTTCGAGTCCCTGTTTGTGTTTTGTTGCTATGGGAATTGACGCTTACAACGATACCGTCGATTGAAGCACCACCGTCTGATATACTAGACTGAGCATCCACGATTTCCGGACCCGAATCGGCGCATTCAATCTCCATAAGCTTCCGCTTTGCCCTTCGCTGCTTAGTCGCTGACAGTGCTGTGGCATCATCTTTCCCTTGGAACGGTCCTTGGGCATCAGCGGAGCTAGATGAAGGGTCCGTCATCTCTTCTGTAGTCTCATGATGACTTTCTTGCGCACCAAGGCTATCAACAGTGCCAGACAAACGTTCATGTTGCCCATGATTTTGTTTAGCCACGGATGGAATGCTTGGTATAGCTTGAACATTGTCCGCCCCAAAATCCAGCTTCTTAACTGGGTCTTGGTCCTTGGTACAAAGTATATTCTGCTGCGCATTTCGGTCCCTGGAGTCACCAGAAACTTCTTCTTGTCTCTCGCTCTCCCTTGGGCGGATTTGATCCTCTTCCTGACCGTGTTCGGGCGACGGAGTTGGGGAGCAGGTGGAATCGCTGGATTGATCCTGGCAGGATGCATCTCTGGCCAATGCCTCTGCATCGACTGGCTCATGCACTCGGTCTTCGGCTGCCGAGGGTGTCTCAGTACATTCAGCGACTGGTGGCAGTGGTGGAGGTCTCATGGAATTCGACCCTGTTCCATCTATATCACCCCAGTGAAGACCCCAATGACCTGGGGGTCCCAAGAAATGGACGTTGGTGCCCAGGATGATGGATTTGTGGTGGGAAGCAGTGGAAAGAGGCAGCTCAATGTTGATGCCACCGTCACCGAGCAGATAACATGGACCAGTGGTGTTATTGAATGTGCGTAGGAGGACGAAGGCATCGTGGACCTCTGCGACTACTGGTTAGCTTGGGCTGAAGCACCCGACAGTTAAGGCGATACCAAGACAGAGAGTTGAATGCTGCGCGTCAATATCGGGGCTTAGAACCAAAGCATCTTCTACCGGATTATCTGGAAGATAAAATGTCGAACAGGCGCCTTCGATGGGGAGTGCTGTGGATACCTCGGAACCACCTGCGGTGTAATAGACGAGAGATACGGCAACCATTCCGCTGACCACAACAAGTTATGAGACAGTGGGCTGGACAGATGGAAAAAGGCATGAAAAGAGGCTGGAGGCGGATGGAGCAGTGTTGCTTGGGTGCCTAAGATGTCGAAGGCAGCCACAACCCTGAATGGTGAACGAGAGGTGAGCAACACATCTACAATGAATGAGCTTGGCAGCGATTGGCGTTGAGTTGCACGCTGCCTTCACCGATGAAACTGGATATGCCCTGCCTTGCAGTGTGTGTTCTCATTTCCGTGAATGAAGAAGTACCTAAGGATGAGGCGATTCAGCCTTCCTACCTGGCTTGTGCTTAGGGGAGCACCGCATTCTTGGAAGCCAGCCGCTCCCTCCTATATGTTCCAATGAGCGAAGCAGAGAATATGCTCAACCGAGCTGCAAGCAAGCGATGGAGCCACCACTGAGTGTTTTCACTCTTTCTGAGGCCAAAAACCATCTTTGCCGAGCTGATCAGTTGCTGGGAGCAATCTTGAATTCCCTCAGGGGAAAGTGGGTGAATATCCCCTAGGGTGGTTCATAGAGCCACCGAAATGTCAACCAGACCTCCGCCCTTTCAAAGCCTCCTTTTAAGACCAGCACTGACGCTGCAATTTCATTTACAGCCAGCGCAACGTCAAGCTCGTCGCTCCAGACGTCATGAAGTCATCAGTTTTCGTTGGGTCGTGTCTGGTTGAGGATGGTCGGGGGCTGCTACTGTCTGCAGGGGGAGAACAATACTAAGGCCTTAGTATTGTTCTCGATGTCTCTGATTTCCAGCTCTCCTTTCCTTGCAGACGAGAGATGATGGGGAGGAATTGAGACAGTCGGGCCAAGATATGAAAGACTTGATGGACAAGATGGCGAGAACGAAGAAATGAGGGTCGACTAACTGGCGTATTGACGCCTCCTGCTGAAGACATTGCCAGGTTGAGGCACGAGGTGAGGACGCAGGACTGGGCCAGGAGACGATGGGGATTGAGGACGCGAATTCACATCCATCTCACTTCGACTTCTACTTCACTTGACTTGGCCTCCATTTACTCTCTACCTCTCCGTTACCATCTTATACTGCCTCACCTCCCTGATCTGCCACACCCTTCTCTCTCTGGATTGCCGACCCAAAACAAAACAAACACACTCAACACCTATCACTTTTTCTCCATCACTTTCCTCCTTCTGCTTCTCTCACTGTCACCACATTACTTCCTCTTTCCTTATCTCCCTACCACAGTCTCATCATTCCTTCAATCGTGTCATCTGCAGCCAGTCGCCCTCTTCAATAGCATTGCTACGCTTCGGTCAGAACCATAATGGCTACTGCGGCGTTTGCTGCTCCTGGCAGCCTACCAACGGCCGGAGTTGGCGGTGCCCTCTACGACGAGGCCTTCCAAGTCCCAACCTACCCTGCTGCCCCGTTCAACAAGGTGACCTGGCGTCTCATTGACACCTGGAACAACATCAATGTCGACTACGACACCAACCGTGGACTCGCAGCCGGCTTGGTCTGGGCCACTTTGGTCTACCTGCTTGCCCTCACTCCGACTCGCAAGAGAACCACTCCATTCCACACATTCATGCTCATCGGCTTGGTCTTCATGCTCATCAAGTTGATGATCGACATCGTCTCGACTCTCACCCCTGGTCTCCAGTCCAATTCGGCCTACACTTTCCTCACCCTCGACTTCACTGACAGCATCTGGACCACTGACTTCATTGCCACTTTCGCCACCAGCCAAGTTACAGGATGGTTTGCCTTTGCCTTTGCCGCCATCTGCCTCTGGCTCCAGGCCAAGGGGCTGATGACCGGAATCAAAGTCCGCTATCCAGTTGTCCACAAAGTCATGCTGACCTACCTTATCCTCACTTCAGTGGCTGGCCTGGCAGCTGCCATGGCGTACAGCATCCAGCAGATTTTGCAGCTTGGGCAGGATGGCGCTGAAATTTACGACTTCCTCAACGAAGCCTACAATGCCCGCACCGCATACCTCGTCGCTTACACCATCTGCATTGGAAGCTTCAGCCTTGTCTCCATGGCCTCAGTCTTCGATATCGTCTGGAAACGTCCTTCTTCGATCGTCACCAGAAACAGTGCATACGCCTCGGCGTTGAACCTCATCGGTTTGTTGTGTGTCCAGTCTTTTGTCATTCCTTGTAAGTTGATTCCACCTCTACCATCGCCTTACTCTACTGAAGCTTCATCACAGTCATTTTCTGCATCCTGCAGATTGTCCCCGTGCAGACTAGCATGCTGCACCCGGAGATCATGCTCCTTCCGTCCGTCTACGTAATGCTGCCTCTCGGCTCGCTCTTCATGACTGTCAATTCCACCGTTGACGACGCCGAGGCCCAGAAGTCCTCGCCACTGCCGCCGAACTCCATGCCTCCGAAGCCTGCCTTTACCGACAGTGCCGCAACCTTGACTGACAGCACCACCTCTGCTGCTTCGCGACCCTCGTCCTACATGCTTGATGTCACACACGGCCACTCGCTGGTAGATCGGGAGCTCAGCGCGATTGACTCCATGGGTGCTGGGACAACTGAAGGTAAAGAACCTGATTCAGGATTGAAGAATAAAGGTCACGAGGGAAAGGAGTCGTTTGTCTCTGAAAAGATGGTGGTCTGAACAAACGAACCTGACTAGGATGGTCCGAGATTGCGATACCAAGGCGAGTGATATCAAGGAAAAGTACAGACACCATAACACCATATGCTACCTTGCTTGGCTCGGTCCGAGAAACCTGCATTCTCGGGAGCCATTTCCATTGACACAACGCCATCTACGGGGGATTTCTTCTTTTGCTGTGGTGATATGTGTCACAAGGTGAAGATGCACTTACGGCATTGGGGGACTGCATGGACTACTGGAAGCATTGGTCGTGGTAAGCATCGGTACGGGGAATGAGCGTGGGAAAATACATCGCAGTCACGAATGGTGGACGCAGAGGGTCGCCTTCTCGAGTTACGACAGGAACACAACAGTCCTCAGTCTGCAACTACGTGAGCTGTGCTTAGCTGGATGGAACGGTGGAGGACGGAATGGCAGTCTTCGGGATCACATCCCTAGCTAGGCGAGCCGCAGAAGGGGCTCTGAGCTTGTCAACATCCACATGAACTGTGAACGGCAGGAATCCAGAAGAGAATTTCCCTGAACACAGCCCTCGTCGTTTGTTTCCTCCCCGTAGTTTGGACTTTAATGGTCATCTCAAGTCCCTCCATTGGCTGAGAGGAAGGGTCGGGGGAAGAGAGAGTGGGCAGGTTGTAGGCATGGTCTCGCTCGTATCATTCGTGTCCTCTTGTCGGTCATTATTGCTCGTACCGACTAGATCATACTGTCACTTTCCTCTTCACCAACCTTACCCAGCGTCGTCTTCTCCACTCTCCAGTTCTCCCGCGGTTATCCACCCTTGTTGCTTCCTCCCAGTCCCTTACTGCGCCGCTTTTCTCTTTCTTGTCCCTCCTTTCCCGTTCCTTCTCCCTCTTCTTCCTGGCCTTTTCTTCCTCCTTGGAGTTGTTTCGTACACCCACTTTAGGAACGTCGTAATCCCCATACGCAAGCCATAGATCATCGTCTCTGTTGACTCCGGAGCCGGGCGGCGGGGGAAGATCCCACACCCATCCCCCAAAGTCGAGATTGATGCTTTCTCTTCGGTTCGTGGAGATTCTTCTTAATCTCGTATCGTTGTCGTTTCCGGCATCATCGTTGTCGTAGTCTCCTGGCCCGGAAGCGGCTGGAGCCGATAAAGGCCCATCGATATTTTGAGGCTCGCGGTTGAGAACATCGTACTCGACGCCCACGACGAGTCTCTCGTTGATCCACTCCCCAGCTTCGAGGTCTAACTCCCACTTTTTGGATGCCCACTCCCACCCCTCTGGTGGTTCGACATCTTCGAAGAAACGAGTGCCCCTTGGCCTGTCGCCTGCGATTCGTGCTGGAGAGAGAGGGTCGTAGGGAAAAGGTGTGAAAAGATGGGGCTGCCACTCGGCTGCTATTCCACTGGACGCAGTACTGGCCAGAGGACGATGTTGCAGTTCGAAGATTTCGACTTCCCTTGTCTCTGGAGTCGTTGATAGGGTGATCTCGGAAAAGGCAGTGAATGCAGACTGAATCGCGTGTGGTGTGGCAGGAAGGGGGATGCCATGGATGTACCTCTGGTGTTTAAGGTTAGGGTCGTTCAGGGCGAGGGATGTTTCAATTTCAGCTTGTTTTTGCATCTTTAACAACCATGCTTGTGCTCTGGGGTGGGAGGAGACGATGACGGCCCATCCCAAGCCAAGGAATATCAGTCTCCAAGGAAGCAGATGCGAGGTGATAAAGGAGAGCGTGGTTAGGATAATCAGATACAGAAACAGTTGAGAGGAAAACTGCTCGTCTGAGAAATTCGTCGCTGGCGCGACGTTGGCTACCAGCCAGTCGTGCACATTACTAAAGTCAGCCATGCAGTTCTGCAGGTCACGCATGTTGCGGAAAAAATCTTTTGACGTTTCTGGGGCGGGCTTTATGACAGCGGCCGGGGCAAGGGCCGGGCCTGTATATGCTTGATGATATTCTGTAGTCATGTTGGTGCTACTGGTGTGGGCGATTGCTGACGTTGGGGGCGGCGGATGGCGAGAAGTGAACGCTGGGATCATGATGTAGAATAGAGAAATAGCCAGGGGCACCACAACAAGTAGATATGGGTCGAGGCAGACGAATGAGTACGTCGCCAGGAAGGACAAAGTGTGTGTCGGTGTCCGCCAGGTGAAGAGGCGGATGAGGCGATTTTGGAAGACGAACACGATGCCGATTCTGGCGTTGAACCGACGGAAGTTGTATGTCATCAATGGCAGGCTAAATGCAGGGCGAGAGATATATGCACTCGAAGGAAGGTTGGTTGGAGTGCTGGCCGGTTCATCATGACCATCGTCGGTGGGGACCACTTGCTGAAGGACTCTGCGAGAAATATGTTAACGTTTGGTGTGAAAAGGCCCAAATATTTAATACTTCTAAAACAGACGTTCATAGCTATTGGAAGAGAAGGACGGCGCCGAGGAGGTGCATACTTTGCAAACAAGCGATCTTGCAGAGACATTCTTCCCGCTGAAGAGGGCGTGGCTTCATTTCTCCCCGGCTGAGAGGCAGAACTGTCTTGAAGCTGTGTATTTAGACGCGATGGCGGGCGTGCCCTCTTGGACTTATGCTTGTGACTTGCGGTCTCTGCCTCGGAAGACGAACCATCCACGTCGCTGGAGGGGACGGCAATGAGCGGAGTAGGCTCGTCGCGGTTGGCGAAGGCTTCGGCTGTGTATTCATCCATAATCAGTATTCTCGTTGATGAAGTTCACCACTCCATCGTCGATTATGTAGGGTTAAGTCCCAGGCAGAATAACATTGCATGAGGTCTTGTGATGTTCGAAGGATTAAGAGGTGGTCGGCGTTTATGAAGTTGGTCGTTGAACGAACATGTGGTTGACCGTAAGCAAATGGCACGTGACCGTGCAGCCACATGTGGCTTGTCTGTGGCGCAGAGTGACTGGCACCTCGCCCCTTGGTGACACGAAACCCGAGTTTGACGTTTGTCGCGATGCCCGGAAAGCCTGCATCCCACTCCCCTATCCTTGCATTGTGCAGAGAACCCCGGGATCTCCCACGCCGCTGAGGCTTCACAGATGTGTAGCGAAGCCATTTCGAGGACATTAATATTACCCATGGCCAAGGATCGATTTGAGACGAGATTGCAGAGGTTGATTGCCCAGCAGTCGGCCATGCTAGTGGAGGGTTTTGTTTGATGGCCAATCTCTGCATCCACCTGGACAGCTAGGGCTGCTAGGCCCCGTTAAGCCTCTGCAGCACACCCAATGCAGGAAAGCCACACCTTATAGTGGGCAATCCGTTTGGCTCCTCCACTTGGGATCGCCCCCCGTAGAACCTTTAGAGGCCCCTAGGCCCAGCCCAGCTCAGGCACACGGCCACCGTAGCCATGGATGATGCCCCCCCAACCCCTGTCCCAGCTCCATCGCTCTTCGCAAGCCCAGAACGGATGGACCTGCGCTGTTTCTTTGTCGAGCCAGGTTTGGGAGGGTCACTTTTTGGCAGTTTGATTATTGTCACCGCAACATCAAAGATTCCCGGCCAGTCCCTACCCTGGACAATCAACAGATCCTCTCCAGCATCCTTTGGCATCTGTATCTTGAAACAGCCCTTGGCCAGGGTCCTTTCTTGCTTGTTGTTCTGATCTCATCCCATCTCATCCGGCTCCTCGGAATCCTCCCCTGACGACATTCCAAGGCACGCGTCCTCCACGTCGAACTGTCGCCCACGTACCCAGTTGGACGCCCTGGTCCACTTTCTCAGAGAAGGTAGCGACAGGGTCGCTCTGACCTACAACTCTGACTTCAACCCAACCTCTGCCCTCCCGATGGACTGAGCACCAGCCTGGTGTGGCAATGTCGAGGCTCCGGCATTGAATGACGGGGAAACTGTATATGAAAGAGACGGGACAGGGGCCGTGGCACCTCTCTCGCCATGCCTTACCGACAGAATGCGTCTGCAACCACACAGTCTAGCAGTGTGAAGGCGACCAATACGAGACCCGACGACTTGGATAACAGTGGTGGTACGAACTTGATGCAATGCCACTGGATACCTGCAGCAGATGGACCCCAGCTGACTTTGTGTGACGATGCAGTCGCCGTCGCAGCAGTCGACACTCTTCCCTCGTCCAAGAAGCAGCCGCCCTCTTCCTTCCCGGCCGCCTCCATGACGGTATCGACAGCGACCACCAAACGCGACTCGGGGGACAATGCCACCACAACTCGCAGAAGGCAATCTTCGATCCCCAGCGCCACGAAGACCCCAATGGGTCCGCGTCCCTTGGATTATGGCAGCTTGGGAAAGAGGTGGGCGTCGCAGCTCCTGTCTATACTGTTAGTGAAAGCTAACCCGTGCCTTCTCTGTTCTAGGTCGGCCAGCAATTCAATAACTCCCCAGTTTAAGTCTGTACGAGGTGCCTCCGCCGTTGCTTCCCACGATCCATACACCAATGAGCTATCCATCAATGACATCTCCCGATTCAGTTTTGCATCTATACAGGCGAAACCTCCGACGCGAGACGACGGTGATGGCACATTGGATTTTGGGGATTTCCTGGAACCGACATTCAATTTCGACGATTTCCAAGACACGATTGTCGGCACTGAACCAAGTCTGAACCATTTCCCGCTTCCTGGCCGCGGCACCGCCGTCAAAGCTCCTCCCTCCTCTGAGACAACCGCACCCGACCAAAAGAAGACACCCTCGCAGCCAACGATTCCCATACCATCTCGAAAAGGCTCTGGTGTGATTCCGGTAACGCGAAAGAGTTCTACGGCGTCGAATAATTCAAGGAATTCTGTCAAGTCTGACTCTATGGCCACTGCCACTACATCAATCCTTCGAGGCCGAAGACAGAGTCATTTTCCGCCCAATTCGTTCAATAATGCAAATGGCGGTCCAAAAGCACCCCGGAAGTCCGTAGGGCCAGGTACCTTTGTTGCTCCAGACAATTCAGAGAAGCCAACAGTGAGGAGACGGCCAAGCGCAGGAGGAAGGAAGTCCAGTACGGAAAGCAGCAAGACCTTGTCCCTCAAGCATTTGTCTGGTCGGGCTGAAGAGAGTGGTGCGGAAGACATCAAGACACCAAGCACAACCAAATCAAGAACATCATTGGCTCCGAAAAGACAAAATTCCAAAGATTTGCTTACCCCCTCAAGGACACCAGATCCGTCACGGTCGACCTCCACCACAACTCATCACACACCCACGAGAAGGAGTGGGACACCTGGAAGGACAACCACTCCAGGTGGAAATGTCGACCGTAACCGTCGGATATCCGTCATGCCCCATCATGCGACTGGGCTTGGAGCTCGTACCGTCAGCCCAACTGATGCTCGCCGCTTGAAACGGATGTCGATTGTTCCCCCAGCGCCGCCCTTGCCTCAAAGTCGGATTTCCCAAGCTCCCCCAACTCCTCAGCCTGAGCCTATGCCGCAGCTTCCTCAGGCAGATCTACAATCCCCTGCCATCCCGAATCGCAAGAGCCTGACGCCATCCTCTTCGAGGACCACCCCAGATCCCAATCGAAAATCCTACAGCTCAGGTCAATCTTTATCATCAAATACTAGTTATAACTCTGTCCGAAACGCAAACGCTGTCAGCAACCCTGCCAGACTTCCCCAGCCAGTAAATTCTTCGAGATTGCCCACAGCGAAGCCCCGACTTGATATTTCCACAACGACAAATTACGAACTGGAAGTTCCACCTGTACCCGCAATACCAAAAGCTTATGAATCTCCTGGGAGTGAACTGGATCAGCCCTTCTTCTCGGCAAGGTCTTCCAGTCTTCCACCGTTTGATGGAGCTATCTCTGCGAGTCCCGTGGTATCTACTGTTGCTGATGCGATGAAGGCGCTGGAGACACCTCGCGCATCAAGCAATACCTCACATAATTCTGCGTCTCAGCCTCAACCTCCTACCATCGAGCCTGAGCCCAAGCCAAAACAACAACTCCAAGCGCATACGCAGTCTCAGGCAAAAGCGAACAAGAAATCGCTCCAGACGCTTAGACTACCGCCATTGAACCTGTTGCCCCTGAGCACACCGACTAGTGCGAAAATCAGGTCACTGAATGCTAAGTCTGAACCTGGGGAGCCTCCGGTAACACCACCTGGTATTCGTAACACCATGAAAACGCCGAGCACACCTATGACGGCCTCGAAGGCAAGTTTCTTTTCTAGAGGACACAAAGCGAGCGATGAGGGCCCGACCATGCGAAGTAGCACTTCGCATCATGCTTTGCGGTCGGATGAGTTACGACCACCCAGTGATGTCAGTCCTAGCTTGCCGGTATTCTCCTTTGAATCAGACAAAGCTCGCACGATATCTCCCTTCGTATCTTCGTCCCTGCCCAAGAGCAATGACGAATTTTCGAATTATATGCGGCCTAACTTCATCAACGAGCTGAACCGGAATCCAAGTCAGCCGCGACCGAACGGACCTCGTGCTCCCAGCTTCTCGGTCACACCGAAAGCTGAAGCTGCAGTTATCCCAAATCCAGCAGAGAAGCAAACCGAGAGTGAATCTGTATTCTCCACAACGTCGCTCAGGAGAAAATTGAGTCGAAAGCGGAGCGAGCCGAAGTTGCCAGATACTGTTACGAAGGAGGATGACTTGTCGAAATATGATAACATGCCTCCGCCAAAGCTGCCAGCCTCAGCAAGTTGGACAAATATCCACAATGGCGCTGCAAGCCCTCAACGACCGTCCTATCTCAGGTCTAGGAGACAGACATCTACTTCAAGTACAAACAACGGTCCCGAACGACAAGGAAGCTTCGATAGCACCGCATCGAATGGGCGTCCATCTCTCGATTCTGGGAGAGTGCTCATGGCTACTTCTAATCGGTCGGGATCTGCATCGACTAGCACCCTTAATCTTGTTGCTCACAAACCCGTTCAACGACAACATGAACAGCCTTTGGACCGCGATGACTTGGTCGCAGAAGATGAAATGAAGAAGCTCGCATCGAAGAGGAAAGATTTCGAATCAGCCGCAAGGGAGTTAGACAGTCTTCGAGCCAGAGCTAAACCTGCCACTCGCATGTCGCACGTCACGGCTTCACGCATTTTTGACCTGAATATCTTTGAGCGAGGCGAGATTGTTGACTTCGCAGACGTCTACTTCACTGGAACTCTGAACGCCCGGAAAATTGTGGGAGACCCGGGGTCTGCTTCCACCAATTTCGGATATGATGATGAACGCGGAGATTACAACATTGTTGAAGGGGACCATTTGGCCTACCGATACGAGGTCGTGGACCTTCTCGGAAAAGGGAGTTTTGGGCAGGTTGTGCGCTGTGTTGACCACAAGACTGGGATTCTTGTTGCGGTAAAGATCATTCGGAACAAGAAGAGATTCCATCAACAGGCTCTTGTGGAGGTCAACATTTTGCAAAAGCTCAAGGAGTGGGTAAGTCAAGAGCTGGGATCGTTTAGACACTTCACTCGCTAACCCGACACTAGGATCCTCACAAAAAGCACAGCGTTGTCAATTTTGACCAAAGCTTTTATTTCCGCGGCCACCTCTGCATCTCCACCGATCTCCTGGGTATGAACCTGTACGAATTCATCAAAGCGCACGATTTCCGAGGATTCTCGTTGAAACTGATCCGGCGATTCACAAAACAACTTCTTCAATGTCTGGTCCTTCTGCAACACCACAAGGTTATCCATTGCGATCTCAAACCGGAAAATATCCTCCTCGCGCATCCCGTCCATTCTGAAATAAAAGTGATTGATTTTGGTTCGAGTTGTTTCGAGCACGAGAAGGTGTACACTTATATCCAATCCCGGTTTTATCGGTCCCCCGAAGTCATTCTGGGGATGTCTTATGGCATGCCCATCGACATGTGGAGCGTCGGCTGCATCCTGGCCGAGCTTTACACCGGCTACCCAATCTTTCCCGGTGAGAATGAGCAAGAGCAGCTGGCTTGTATTATGGAAGTGTTTGGTCCACCGGAGAAGCATCTCATTGAGAAGAGTAGTCGGAAGAAGCTCTTCTTTGATTCGATGGGTAAGCCTCGCCTGACGGTATCTTCTAAGGGAAAGAGAAGGCGACCGAGCTCCAAGGATTTACGACAAGTCTTGAGATGTGACGACGAAGCATTCCTCGATTTCATTACTAAGTGTTTGAAATGGGATCCGACACGAAGAATGACCCCTCACGAGGCGAACAAGCATGAATTTATAACCGGGATCAAAATGAGCTCGAGCGCTGCCAGGCGAAACACCCAGTCTGCGGTGAACTCTCCGGTCAAGAGAGGGAACTCCTTGACAACCGCAATGGGCGCCAGACCGCTACCACAACCTCCCACAACTCTGAAAGCCCCAATCTCGAGTCGGCAGGAGACCTCACCTAATAAAGCAGGAGCGCGGCGTCAATCAACCATGCCTGGGTCGTTTCAAGCAACGTCACAAGCCAAGCGCGCGTCCCACGCAGCGATGACTTCGTCGGCGTCCAATCCGAATCTCACGAGGCTGACGGTCGGCCAAAGGAGCATGAGTAACAGATCCGACTTAGCCGCTGCCGCCGCCGCCGCCAGTCTCGTGAAGTAATGATGTGATCCTGAGTGGCTATCCTGGAACCACCTACCCTCTGTTATTGATGGATGCTGCCTCTTTCTAGATCATGTGGTGCAGATGGAACGGGGAGATGTGGACGAAGACGAATTTCTTACTATCATTAATGAACATATAAAAGCCTTCAGCATAGCACAAGCATTGGGGATGGACCTGGACCGGGCACAGGATGATGATGGCTCCGGAAATTGGCGCATGGCACCGCCATGTGTTTGGCCGGCTTGGGCAGAGCATTTGCTGAGTCTTTAATACTGTATACCACGAATGAATCAGAATCATTGAGGTGCCTGGCATGTTATTCTTCGCCTACTCGCTTTTGGTATCACTGCCGGAGGCTACCCATGAGTACCTAAGATTCCGCAGCTGCACAAAGCTGCAGCCGGCCCTGTTGACGACTCTTGTTCGGTTCCGAAATAGAGATGTAGGCGCACGCTTTATGAAGTTAGATGAGCGGGCACAAATACCTGGTCCTTCACGGATTCGTATCTGCATGGGCGCGGGACGAGTCTCGGGAGGCCGCACGGTGATTCTGGTGGCTCGGAGACGACATCTGAGACGGCAGAGAGAGGGATCGACCAGCCCTCTTTCATCCGAACGTTACAAACGCTGAATACTTGGTTGATCAGGCAATGTGAGGGAAGGATGGTAAGGGTCCGTGTGAGCTGCCTGGGGACTGGCTATGAGTAGGTCACTTATCGGGCGCATCTGCATAAGAGGTACAGTTTCGTGTGGTTTCATTCCAGTTGCTGCAGCGTAGGGCAGTGCTCGACTTGTGCATATTACTTACGACACGACTGGTTCTTCAATTTGGGGGCAATATCAGGTTGGGAGCCCGAGCCCAAGCAGGAGTGGTGGGCGAGGGTTGCCGTAGAAACATGGCGCCAGAATGGCGAGAAAATTCAAAGTCTGTTAGATGTTGATATTGAAAGAGGCATTACTGACTGAAGCGCAGAGAAACACGTAAACAGAGTCCCATTTCCCTTTGCGCTCGTCGCCGTTCTGCTCAAGGCAGAGGAGCGTAGTTGGCCAGAAACCAGCCCACAAAGGAAAATTGAGAGATCAAAAACTCATGCAACGCAGACCGCTTTTTCTCGTCGCCACTGTATGTACCATGCCATAGTCCCCGTCGGAAGAGTCATTATTGGATTTGTCGATCTGCAGGAGACAGACCCGTGCTGTATTGATTCATAGCTTTGAATGCGTCGTGTCTCGAAGGGTGGCGGATGCGGATGAAGGGGCAGAATTCGACGGATGAGTTTTCGCTGTGCCAAAGTAACCGACTCGCTCGTCTTTTATTGTCCTCCCCTTCTATTTGGCACTCCGCTGTCCTATGCTCTTCCCCCATCATCGCCGCTTAGCAGCACTCGGCAAAGCACTCGCAGCAGTCCGCACAGCATTCACATCCTTCTTCGCAAACGAAACAGCAGCAGAGGGCAGCAAGACTATCAGACTGTGTTAGCGGCCATGTGTCCTTCACGCGCCTGTTTCGTGCAGCAGAGGAAAAGGGGTATGAGGCTTCTTACCAAGCGCCCAAGCATCCACGGTCTTGTTGCCGAGGCGCGGGTTGTGGTGGAGGATAGTTTTGAGGCTGTTGGTATGGCATACCACCTTGTGGTGGATAGTAACCTTGTGGAGGACCTTGAGGAGGGTAACCTCCGCCGTAGCTATATAGGAACGTGAGTCAGTGGAACTGCGCGAAGATAAAAGCGGTGATGTAAGGGGAATCATGGTGACGGCGCTGTGAGGGTGCTGGCACAAGGAAAAGCAAGCGACTGCTCTGTTCTTGTGTGCTCCTTCTTCATCACGAGCGAGATCCAGGGGGCGAGGTGGAGGACCACAGCGCAGTCTGGCGGTAAGAAAGGACTCAAAATCAGGACAACTCACCTTTGCGGAGGATACTGCGGACCACCTTGGTAGTATTGTTGGCTCGACATGGTGGCGGTGAGGTGTGTGAAGTCAGTTATCGATGAAAGGTAGAAGGAAGGACTGGATTGATGAGTCTGTGATGATTGCGAGAACTGAAGTTGGTCGCAAACGGATGACAGAATTCAATGCAAGTTGATAGAGGCGGAGGTGGAAAAAAGAGGAGGGATTCGGAGGCAAAGAGGGTCTGGTCTCTTGGTTCAGGGCAATAGCCGCAGTCGGTGCCCAGCAGTGGATGCCCGAGGGAGGGTGGTGGGCGCGAGTTGCTTGACGAAAAGCTTGGGCGTTGGTGATGCCGAGCCTAGAAGGTATCTCTAGGTACGGAGTAGAGCCTAGAGAACAAACTCAGGGGGGCGGGCAGAGGGGGTTGGGCTCTTGATAATAAGGGGCTGGTGTCTTCCAGGTTGTTGTCACAGAATTTGTTTGAGAATCGTGAAGCGAGAAAACAAACAGTCACCCATGATATGTGTCTCAACAGCGCCTTTTGATATACCCCGTTTCATCAGTTCTCCGACCCTCGAGACAAGGATTGATTCGCCTCTTCAGCAGCGATTGCACACTGGATTGACTTTCTCTACCCTGCTTCCAACTGCCTCATTGCGCAACCCGCGTAGGCGCAGCTGAACGACCACCCTCTGACTGGCGACGGCTTCTCTCCGGGCCATCATCTAGGATCTGTCGCACCCATCGTTTCCTTCACCTATCCGTCGGCTAACTGCTCAGCCACACCCTGAGATCAAATGAGCAGCTGAGACTCGGCCAGTGAGACGCGCAGTTGCTGCTGTGTCTCCCTGCACAGCCACTCAGTCGCCACACCTCAGCCGATGTGGGTGTGCACATGTCCTGTGCGTTGGCCGCATCTGTCACGTGACTGGAACGTGATACAAGCACATGGCATTGTTTGCTACAGCAGCATCCACCGTGTCTATGGTCTATACCTCGAGGCACTACAGGTAGGCACTTGAAGTCCTCCAGCTTCAATAGCTATGATAGGTTTTCTGATATCATCACAACCTATCCACCTTCAACCTCAGCAGATCCTGTTCCAGAATCTCAGCCTTCCGTTGCTGCAGTTCCCCTACGTCCCAATTCGACCATAAGAATCTCCCCTTTGTGAACCCAGCCTCGTCGCTCGCAAGCCATACGGCAAAGTATGCTGGCAGATTAACTGGAAAAAAGGAGCTGTTAGCATCAGGACACGGTCGGAAATTGTCAGTACCAACCATTGTCGATCGAATACTCCAGTGTCCCCGACTTCGCCGCCATTGGCGATACCACAAGGCCAGGATGGATATTCACCACCCGCAACCATGGCTCTTCCTGCTGCAGAACCTCCATGGCTCGTGTCATGGCCATTTTGGCACTGCTGTAAGCACTTTGCTTGTTGACATAACCCTGTCTGACCCCCCAATGTGCAAGCACGCTCGAGACATTAATCAATACAGGTTCGGTTTTGCTTGAGGGGTCCTGGGCCGCTCTTCGCACGAACTCTTGCGTGACAATGAAACTGCCCTTGACGTTGATTTCGAAGCTCTTCCACCACTCATCAATGTCGGCATCTCGATAAAGCTCGGGGGAAGGTTGGTACCCGGCGTTATTGACCAGGACGTTCACCTTGCCCAAGTTCGACTCGATCGAGGAGAAGGCCTCTGTGATTGCGGGCTGGTTCCTGATATCGACGGGGAATAAGTGAAGGTTGGTGGATTTGCATCCTGAATCCTGCTCGATTTCTGCTTTCGCCCTTTGCAGGCTCTCGCGGTCGAGATCTAGCATCGCTACATATTGGGCTCCAGCGCGGGCAAATGCTATGCAAGTCGCCTTGCCAATCCGACCTGCTGCGCCGGTGACAATAACGACTTTTCCAGCTGCTGACAGTTCTGGTCTTGTTGGTGATATGGCTGGGTAAGCGTCCCGATGGAACGTTCTTGTAAAGGACGGTAAATTAGCCATTTTACAAGATCCCCTTTGCGTCGTTATAAGCCTAACAATGAATGGCCCGTGAGAGACATCAGGACTGTTTCTGATATGCAGGATGAAGGCCCTTTTAAGGTTTCCACTCGCTTCATCTATTACCAGTCTAAACGTGGAACCGAGAACGGTCAACATGCATGCCATTGAGGTGAACGCATTGCATCACAATTCTGTTGAACAACGGGGTATGCTGCAACCCCAGCTTATGCCCTGTTTAACATGGTACGCCGCATCTCCGGGGTCGTTGAATGCCGTCCCTTTCCGGCCTTCTGGTCGCCGAATGCACTCCCCAAACACCATCTAACCAGAATGAAGATCTTCCAGGTGAGACAAATTTTGTTTCTTATCAAAGAATCATAGACATCAAATAATAAGGTCGCCGCTTTTTGATCTAGAGGACAGCGCTAAAATGGAACAGGTATGTGTGTTAAACCTGGCCCTCTTCCCTTCACAAGCACCATCAACAAAGATCAAGTTCTTCCTGTATCTCGACTAAAAAGAACACCGTCACAAGTTCTCACTCCGTGGACTTCACGCTCTCGTCACCGGTGGAAATCAAGGCATAGGGCTGGCTCTGGCGACTGGCCTGGCTCGAGCCGGAGCGGACGTGGCAGTCTTTGACATATCGCCACCCTCGCCTGAGTTCGAAAGCATCTCCACCTCCTATGGCGTACGCACGGCGTATCGGAAGGTTGACGTCTCGTCTGTTGCTACCCTGAAACATGCCTTTGAAGATACAGTCCAACCGTTCTGTGGCGATGGCGGGCTAGACATTTGCATCGCGGCCGCAGGGATTAACCAAGTCAAGGACTTCCTCGCAACCGAAGAAACCGACTTTGACGAGTTGTTGAACGTCAACGTCAAAGGCGTGTATTTCACCTGCCAACTAGCTGCGCAGGCAATGCTAGGATCCGACCCCGACCAGGGTGAGACAAAGAACACCTTAAGCAATGGGAATGGGAACGAGAACAAAAGCAGGAGCATTATTGTCATAGCCAGCACAGCATCCTACGTTGCGGTTCGGACGCACAATTCAAGCGTGTACGCCATGACCAAGTCCGCTGTCCGAGGAATGGTGCCCGAAATAGCAAAGGAACTAGGACCAAGAAGGATCAGAATCAACTCGGTCAGCCCTGGTTACACGTTGACGAAGATGACAGAGGGATATCCGGATCTTATCAAGCAGTGGCAAACCGACACCATGTTGGGGTTCATTGGCGTGCCAGAAGACTACGTTGGTGTGTCCCTCTTTCTGGCCAGCAACGCAAGCAGATATGTGACCGGGCAGGATTTCTTGGTCGACGGGGGAGCGACGAAATGGTGAGCCGTGGCCAACAAATTCAACGGGTCAGAATCACCAGGTGACGAAAATGTGTTGGGTTAATGAGTAGTACGCGGTGGAAGATCAATCTTGTGTTAAAGCAAGCGAACTATACAGATTCAGTCACTCTGTGCAAGAGACTGATGCGTCTTCATGGGTCTATGCATTGTTTCTATGGCGGACAAAGTAAAGTCAGACTAGGCCTGCCAACTCAGCATCGGCGCCTGATGCCCGAGCATTGCACTATACTACATGATTGAAAGGCTGGATCATTCAGGGTTTCCCAAAAGGCAGTCAGTCTCCTGCACGACAAGATCCTCACTACTACCTGCTGCCTAGATTCGAAAATACTGCCTGGTCTCCCCCAAGGGCACCGGGTTGATCTCCCACTCACCAGGGACGTATTGAGAAAGGTTTCTTCGAGGCGAAGAGCTATTCGCACGCAACACAGAGGACACCGCCGGTATCCAGTATTTCCTGTTAACTATCAGGTAATTAGTAGCCCCCGTAGCCACGGTTTGCAACTTTGCCTTCGGAAGAAACCTCAAAGACCGGGCCGGAGGAGGCATGGCTACCATGAAGGCCATGTTTCTTGCCCGAACTGCCTACGAATATGTACCTAGTCATCTGGGCCAGCTGTGTTGCTCGGTATAGTTTGTCCGACAGCTATCGCTAGTGAGTCCAAATGGCTTCGTTCCAGCGGCCTTCTTGAAACCCGAACCCCGACCGTGACAGTCGATATTCCGCTTCGGGAATTCATATTGGGTCTCGGGCGAAAGGCCCATCGTTGTAGAACCCGCTTTACCAACGGCCTACACTGCTTTATGAGGATTCCTCTCTGGACTTGGACGGCAATCGCTGTACCCGCCATCAGAGACTCCAGCTCAGCCAGGGGGTCTCTTATCGTGAATCAAGTCACAAATGCCTCCCCTCCTCGAACACAGTACTACGCACATCGCATCAGGTACAACTCGCCTGAGCCGTGGATTTTTGGTTCTCGTGCCCTCACCCCCGCCGATTTCTCATTCACATAATCCATCACATTCGTGGTGTGCATTGTCTGCATCACGCATTTCTCGCTGGATCGACAACCAGCAACGAAAAGTCCTTTGCATACTTCTGAAACGCCTGTTTGCGGAACGAGCCATTGACTTTGATTTCGTGCTCGAAGATTTCAACCAGTCCTATACTCACACCCGGATCCCGTACGGGATATGGGTGAGGGTTTCATCAGCACTCCGAGTCCCTCCCACGGTTCAACGATCTCCCCTGGAAAGCATTGAAGATTTCAAGGGCACAAAACCATCAACACGGTGGGAAGCAAAGAGAAAGATAGAGGAAAAGAAGAACCGAAAACGAAATCTGTTTGACCAAAGAAAGGGGGGCAAACTCACTCAGTGCGCTCTCTCCAATCCCCCAGAACGCTCCAATCCTCTTGAGAATCAGCTTCAACATGGACAAATAGTTTCCGTGACCCCCGGGCTCGAATAGTAGCGCAGCCCGGATGTTGTCAAAGGCCGGGCCGATAATGGTGCACGAGACGAACGGACAGGCGTAGATGAGGTACTCGGGTGGCCAGGCCTCCATGGCGCGGAAGACGAGATACGTATCGTTGTGCGGGCCGGTGGGGAGGGAGGCCACGACCGCCGAGTTCTGCATCCCGCTCTGGGATTTGATATACTGTGCGTTTCGGACCAAGACGCGTGCGCTGTCGACGGTTGGATAGTCAGCGTCCGACACGAACACCCAGAAGAAGACGAAAACAAAAACAATGTGCGCGACGTACGTGTGAAGCATGAATATCGTGAGAAGCGCCCAGTTGTTTGCAGCAAAGCTTCCTTCGTCAAACGGGGCGCGCACAAAGTCGAGTTGAAACCCTTGCGGGAGGAGCAGAGAGAAGCAATTCAAGCTTGACCCGAAGTTGACTATGTCCTGCAGGGTGAAGGTATTCTCTGCACAGGCCAGGTCGGCGGCCCTGGCCATAAGAAGGGTCGTGACCAGGAACCACGCCCGTGCGTCTGCGCTGGGACAGGTCTCCAACGTCTGCCACTCGTGAAGGAAGTCGGTTTGAAGGAAGATCGACTCGGTGGGTGTTTCGGAGAACCAGGCCGCGTCCGACACCGGGAGCAACACGTGCATTTGGTCCTTGTTGATCGCGTGTGGTCGGCGCAGAATGGTGGCGGCGAACACATCCAACTCCCACACCAGCCACCAGGCCCGCCTCTTCTCCTCCTTCTGAACCCACGAGTCCTTTGCTGCCAGATAATGGTGCTGGTGCTGGTGGTTGTGCTCCTCAGCGGGCGGCGCGGTGGACGGTGCAATGTCGTCGGTGATGAAGACGTCCTTGTCCACTTGGTCAAGCCCCAAATCGACCGCGAGTCGACAACAGGTGCCTATAAGGAGCCAGCTTTGCGTCGTGATTCGGTTCGTCTGCTCGTAGAAAGCCAGGAGAATGCACCCCTGCAGAAATCCGAGCGAGATTTCGTTGCCTTCGTCGATGCCTCGCTCGTCACTCTGAAGGGCATCCGCGTACAGGGCGTTTGCTTTCCGAGCGAACACTTTGCCTTTGTCCTTGGACGTGGTGGACGGGAAAAAGTCGTTGGTAGAGAACCTCGCCGACAATCCCATCATTGCGGTCAAAATCAGGGCGTCCTCGATCGCCAGGCGCGCGTATCTCTCGCTGTTGTTGCCGCCGACGTGGAACTTTTGGCGAAACCTCGGTTCGTGAAAAATGGGGATGGAAGGTTGCACGCGGAGGAAGAATAGGTCAATCCTGGTCCAAGTATAGAAATTCACCTCGCGTCAGCCTAAAAGTCAAGGTGGAAACGGGCACAGGTAGCAATCGTCGGGCGCGAAGAATGCTGGCAATGTGGAAATCATGATACTTTTTCGGGAGAAACTCACAATTCATCCACTAGAGAAGGTGGGAATGGGAGTGTATAGTGGTTCCTATCCGCGAGGTTCAGGTCTTCTGACAGACTGTGTGCAGAAGCTGACCAAGAGTCACCTAATCGAGGGGGGAAAAGAGTTAGTAACCTCGTGCTGTCCTCTCAGCAATACAAGGTGGTTAGATCTGAATATATAGAGAGAGAAAAGGAAACAAGCTCTGGCACTGACCATGGCGCTCGCTCGAATTGAGCAAACTGAACATCCCATAATTGTCCGTGAAGGGACTAAAGGTCATATTCTGAAGCCAGCTATTAGGGTCCTGCAATGGGCTGTTGTGTTGCCCATCAATGTGTAAGTGATCAGGGATGGAGCCGTCGTTGTGGGACAAAACGGTCGGCAGGTCTGGGGTATCTGCTACCATTGACAGTGGTAGTGATGATAATGATAATGACATATCTTGTGCTTGTTGCTGCTGATAATCCATATTGCTCTGAGCTTCCAGAGTCACGATCTTGTCAGACGGCGAAGTTCCGGACTCAGTCATTGTGGTTGCTGGTTTTTGCTCTCGACGGCGGAGAGCACCACGTAAAATATCCAGGTCGACGTTATCCAGTAACCCTTCTGCATGCTATTAGAATTTGTCTTCTTTGAGGAGAGCAAACCGCTACGCTGTTTGCAGGGGCGGGCTCCATCCGAACCTAATTCATCCGCCTGGTTTGAATCCATCAGCTTCCGTCGAAGGCTTTGATATTTCGTCTCTAGAGTGGTGCGTTTGCGATGGGTGGGATACACACAACGGGACCCGGACTGCTGGCATCGGTGACATTTTGGGGTTTTCTTGTCGCCTGTACGATGGTTAGTGATGACCTGACCACAAAAGCGAGAAGTTTTGGTTCTCGAGTCAGTTGACCCTCGAATTTCGAGGGATGAACGCGGACGACGACTTACATTTGGCCTTTTTACTAGTGCGGGAGGGGTCTCTTAGCAAACTTTCCCTTTCCAAGGTGCGCTCCCTTACCGGTTGCATTCCTCACAGGATCTACCCCGAGGCTGATGAAGTTTGCCGGTTGTCATCCCGAGCTGGGGGGCACATGCGGCCCTGACAATGCAGGTGTAGTACTGCTGTGCAGAAACCTATTGGTGTAGCTTGATCGATGGAGATTGGAGGTGATCGGGATGCGAAATGACAATCATATCACCTCCTGGCATGCCCTAATCATGGGCTCAGTGAGAAAGTCCAGGGCACATTTCGGATGTGGTTCCTGGAGTAATATTGGACGTCGGATAGTGACACCGCACTGCGAGAAGTCTACGTAGAAGATTACTCGTACAAGTCCGTGCCAAGGGGGGGAGGGGGGTGAGGATCACATCTGCCCTGTGATTGAACGCAGGCTTTTGCAGTTCAGTACGGCGTACGTCGGTATCATCGATGCAAAGAAATCAGAAGATGCAGTGGACGCCACGGCAGTGACTAAAAAACCTGGGGTCATACTGGGGAATGGGGTGAGACCGAGAGGGAAGAGAAACGGGGAGAAGAAGCGAACGTCAGATGAAACCCACCGAGGAGGAGTAGAATGCCGTACCCACCCAGGCCGCCAGCCACTCAGAGACAGAGGCGCCACTGGACACATTCTCGACCCGCCCTGATTGCCCTATATGGTAGCGCGGCATACCCGGATAGGTCTAGCGGGGTCGCCAAAGGACCGCGGATTCCTTCAAGCAAAGATGCCTAGGATATGCCATTGCCAACCAAGTCCAAGGAAATACATCGACATTGTGATAAATACATCATCAGAAGGTGGTTCCAAGATTCTCTATATCTGAAATGTCATTTAGGAGACAGGGTTCGCTTTCGTCGAACTCCGCCCGAGCCAAAAGTTGTCATTTCCCATTGGAGATGGAAATCCCGCCCTGCCGCAAGATAGACGTATACTTAACTACTGGCGAGAACTCGTACGGATCGGTGTCAAGAAAATGGTCTTTCTACGAGTCCACATTCGAATTGTCACGAACACAACGCTCAATCCACCACGAGCATTTTCTACTTCTTCAAACTCCGTTAATGCTATTCCCCCATCGACCTTTCGCCTGACAACGCTCTATATCGACGGCTTCCAGATCAAGCAAAGAGGCTGTGGGAACGGCAGCTCCCCGAATCTTCTTACCCCCTCCTGGCTAACAGTGCTAAGGGTGTCCCGACTGCGCGGCACCTCTTCCGGGCCCACAGTTTTCTGACAGTCTAGGGTTGGTCCCCAGCTCGCCTGTAACGTTCAGTAAGGCTCTAGTACGGTGGGAATGGTATATCCATCGACTCCAGCTCAACGCCGCCCTTGGGCCAAAGTCTGCATGTACCTATCCGATGCTTCGGATGTCAAACAGCTCCCGGACTCTCTTGACACGATAGCTACAGCTGTCTCTTCGCCATTGCATGAAACCCCTTGTTTCCGGCATTGGCGAATGCCGGCTCCGCCAACCTTCCCAGTCGATCGCCTTACTGAATCCCTGGACACACTGGTAGCGCGGGGCGACTAATAAGTCGAGCGAACGTCAATGATCGCACTCTCATCTTGTGACTGGAAAGGACCACTAGCTAACTAGAACTAGTAGGAGGCTGAACAATACCTCGCTCCGCAGCCAACTGCAGATCAGGATGGCCTGGGTAGACCTCAGGTCTTTACACCGATGTGGTCTCACTAATTTTGTCACGTTGTTATCGGAAGCCATCCAGTATTCTACTCAGCACATACAAGTAGGATCTGTAAACAGCGGACCGATTACTGCAAACCAAAACGATCTTTGATCTTCAGCCATGACTTGTACCCCCGTTCGGCGAGGACTTCAGGACCAACCGACTCCTTGTCCTCATCTCGATGAAAGATCTCCATACTCACCCAGCCTTTCCACCCCTTTTCCACCAGCCAAAGTCGCAGAATATCTTCCAGTGGAAAATAGGCACCATACTCGGTCTCGTACGGAAACAATCTCCCCCAGACACACCAATGCATGGTGGCATCCCAATGGGCCCACTCAGCCTTGTAGGCCTCATGGCTCGCGTTGAGCGGCTGCTTCAGCTTCTCGGCATCACTGAGTTGGAGATAGAATATCTTTTCCACCTGACATTGCTCCATGAATCGATCGAGTGTTGACTTGAGCGCTGCATACCCTCCTGGGGCGATACCTGTGCCTGTGCCGGATGAAGCGTGCGCGTCTGCCCAAACCCTGGCGATAACGTGGTAAGTGTCGAGACAAAGTCCAAAATTCGGTCGGTCCACGAGCTTGACTATTCGAATGGCGTCATCCATCAGTGCATGGTGCACGCCCCATGCTAGTGCTTCAAATGCGAAGAGGATCTCCTCGCCAGATTCCTTCGATTCTCTCCCGAGATCCGCCAGCGCACGGAGCTCTGCCACGACAAGATCTTCGTCGTCCGTCGAATTCATTTCATACGTGGTTGGAACTTGAATTATCTTTGTCCCCATAGTTCTAGCTAGAGAGACATATTCCCGAGCGGAATTGAGTCGAGTTTCCAAAGGGGTGAGGACGCCGGGAAAGTTGAACAGAGGCTGCAGCGCTATGATTGAGATATTTCTATCTCTACATATGCTGCCAATTTTCGATGCCGCTTCCAAATGCGTCAAGGAGTGGTGTTCTGCGAAGGTGACCAAGTCTGGATGATAGATCTCTACCCCTTCATACCCTTGTTTGGCTATCGCGTCCAGTTTTCGTTCGAGTGTGTGGGATGCATGCCAACCTAACGACACCGTCGCGATTCCCAGCTTGTGTCTTTCGGCCTTCATGCTTGCTGATCAGACTGACTGTTGAACTGGTTTTGATTCTGGATGATCTCAGAGCACAAAAAGATCCCGCTATCTTTTGCGTGCCCTGTCGAATTTTGAAGTAGACACCGATTAACTGAATCGATTGTTTTTCGGGTTCGGCAATCACTGCCCAGATACCAATTCAGCCTTCTCCAGATTGAGCGGAAGGACACGAGGCTTTTTCTCATTCTTTAAAGAACCATTTTTCTCCGATTTGGCCGTGTATGGTCTTGAAAAGCTCTCAGAAGCAAAGTTTGAAAGCATAATCACTGTAACAATCAATTTCCACCAAGCAGAAATTTACATCAGGTGCCATCACCACCACCGGGAATTCCGCAGGCCGGAAACGAACCACCCTTGACGGGATCCACGAAACCCGATGCGAATACCCCGGACTGAGGCTCACCAGTGTGAGGAACTAGAGAAATGACCTGGCTCTGGAACATCTGGTGTCCGGACCTGGGGTTTGTCTGGAGGCTGGATTTTCCAGGGGGCTAGATCATGAAGACAGTAACCTTGAACCAACGTTTCGATATAAATGTGAAGTGGTTGAAGACCCGACACCTTGAAAGCTCAAAATTCCAAGTCATCAACCTTGTCCCAGACTTCTAGAAGCCCACGACCAAATCGAACACAACAAACAGACAACAAGATGACATTCTCTGCAGCCAATAAGAGTCTAAATTGGCGAACCTTTTGGTGCTGCTTTTTCTTGTCACTGGGCAGCTTCTGCTATGGCTATGCAGCTTCGATTGTGAGCTACCCATATTGCATGCATTCATTATCCAAAGACGTGCTCAAGGGCCAACCTGAACTGACTGTCCGCGAATCGCTCTTTCTAGATCTCCACCACTCTAGGCCAGCCAACCTTTCTCTCATATATGCATCTAATTGATGCTCAGGGGAATCCAGCCTCGAACCAGGCTGCGTTGGTCGGGGCTACAGTTGGCTTGTTCTGCGTATGTATCAGCTTCGCCAACTTCTATCATCAACCATTATTCAGTATGGCTAACCTTCATTCCTTCTACAGACTGGAGGATGCATAGGCGTCCTAATTACCAGCTGGTCCATGGACAGGATCGGAAGAAAACCCACGATGATAGCCCTTGTGGCCATCTACACGCTCGGCGGTGTTTTGGTCACCGCATCTCAAAACATCGGCATGTTCATTGCTGCGCGGACGATCCATGGATTTGCAGCAGTCAGCTTCATCGCAGCCAGTAAGTCCTACGTATCAGTCATCTGGAAAGAGAAAAAAGCAACTAACTGCTATAATTCAAAACCAGCCTCTGCATACATCGCCGAACTCTCCCAGGCAGAAACCCGAGGGTTCTTCACAGGTCTGACCGGCGTCGCTATCGCCTTCGGCTACACCACTGCTGCATTGATGGGTCTCGCGTTCTCCTACACTACAAATCCGGATGTGCAATGGAGAACTCCCCTAGGATTGTGTCTCGTACCATCCACCGCTCTCCTGGCGGTGCTATTCTGGGCCCCGGAATCCCCTCGCTACCTGCTCCTCAAGGGACGGGCGGAAGAAGCATGGCAGATCGTCAGCAAGCTTCACTACGACCCGCAGGACGAGAACCAGGAATATATCAAGGAAGAGTTCTTCCAGATGCGGACGCAGCTCGAGTTCGACAGGACTCTCGATTCTTCGTGGTATCACTTGTTCTCGAAACCCTCGTACAGAAAGCGAATGCTCATGGCAAGCCTGGTGACGTTTTTGGCCCAGAGCACCGCCGTGCTTGTTGCTGCCGCCTATGTAAGTCTACCCGACCTCATTACCACACACCACGCGAGACCAAAGACATACTGATTTGACTCCGCTATGTGAAGGGTCCCTCTCTCTACGCCGCCTTGGGATTCAATGTCAAACAAAGCCTTATTCTACAATGTGGCTGGATTGCAGGTAAGTTCTAATTGAACAACTCCAAAATGCCCAACGTCCTGCCATTCTCTATTTTCAGTCTCTAATTTACCTGCGTCTTGTCGTCCGACAGGTTCTATCCCCGCGGCAATCGTCGGCGTCACTCTATGTGACCGTTTCGGACGCAAGCCTTTCATCATGACCGGCTACGTGGGATGCGTCGTGGCCCTGGTAATCCTCACCGCCATGGAAGCCGTCTACGCCCCTACGGCAACCAACGAAGTCGGGCTGGGTTGGGCGGTGACGGCCTTGTACCTCATCGTCATCTTCTACTGTCTGGGTGTCGAGGCTTGTGGGGCCCCTTTCTACTGCGAGATCTTCCCAACGCATATTCGCGCAAAGGGAGTCTGTTTCTGCGTCTTCGTCAACAGCGCCGCCAACATCCTCTACCTCGAAGTGGCACCCACTGCTCTCCAGAATATTGGATGGAGATTCTTGCTGGTGAGTTTTCCGCAAGCTATTACACGTTCCACGCGATATGCCATGTCCAAGGGACCCATTGAGGCACCCGAAGGAAACGAGAACTAAACTTTACCGTCTCTGTAGGTCTTTATCTGCGTCCTCTCCGTCGGGTCGGTGCTCTACTGGTTCTGGGTCCCCGAGACCCGAGCCGTGCCTTTGGAAGAACTCGCCGCGATCTTTGGCGACACCGATGAAGTCAAGATCTACTCAACTGAGATCACCATCAAGGACGACGGACAGGTCGCCGTCGAGGACCATCATGGCAGTGGACAGAGCGTGGGTGTGACGAAAAAAAAAGAGACAGAGGTCGTTCTGCGCGAGAAGGTCTAGGGTGGCTGTACGAATGTCAGTTGGACTTTGGCCTGTTGTGGTACTGGGTATATCTTCCGAAAGGAGAGACAGAAGGGACAGAGGTCTGGATATACCTGATACGGAGCAAAAATGTATGGACAGACAAGGGTGAAGGAAACCCAGAAAACTCTCCTACCTCCCCCAAGAGATATGTACAGACAAAAAGAAGTGAATTCGTGGATTGATCCGGAAGAAGACGACGAAATGCACATTCAAATCTCAGTTTCCTGCCTGGCCGAAGACATGAAGCACATGCGAGCCACCTTTCATTCAACATACACTTACACACTGGCAATTGTAGGGAGGGCAGAGTACAGTGCCTCTTCCACCCGTTTCCCTTTCGGTAGTCTCCTACTCTCTCTTTTGTCGCTCATTTTCTGCCTTATCAGAATAAGATCTTGGACAGGTTATCCCCTTATACAACAGCACCTAATAATTCGCGACAACGATAATCTATCTTACTGCTGAAAGACAAGGGGTTGAGGCACTATTCCCGACACACCCTTTCTACCCAAGTAGAATCTAGGAGTCAAGAAGCCTCCAGTTCATCCTTTCCAAATGATGGCTTGATCCATGTCCACTCGGACAGCCGTTCGAAAACCTCAATGACACCTAGCATATGAAGAGAGGAGATGTCAGCAGGGTCTTGTTGTCAGATATCACGTATCATGTGTCATGCCGCAGCTCGCTTCCTTCCCCAGCCTTGGAATCTTTAGGGGAATTTAGAGCCAGAAGTTGTTTCATTCCCAGTGAGGGTAATGGAGGAGATAACAACAAAGTGACTTACGCGGTTTGACCCACAGATGCTCCGTGGCCTTGAGATATGGAATATAGTATGGCTTGTGTAGCTGAACCTATTCATCGCCCCCCAAAATCTCGAGTATCAGCATCATGTGTCGATGTAAAATCCATGAGTCGTCACTTTCCGACCAAGGAACGGAGGAGATGCCAAAGCTGTATGGTGCGCCATATGAAAGCATGACATTTTGTCCTCCTCTCTCTGGTGTTTCCTCCCTGGATCGGGTATTGAGAACCCCGTACATACCTCGTCCAGATACTTCCTCGAGGCATTCCACGCCTCCTGAATGCGAAGCGTGCCGGGCTCGTTCGCGTGCTGGACAATCTGGCAGAAATCGAGCCGGGGGTCCTTCCACGCCTCTTCGAAGAGGGTTCTGCATGCGTCCAGAGCGAGAGGGACGTGCTCGGGGGCAAAGTACAGAGTCACATGAATCATGTGTCGGTCGGTGACTTTTGACGGTGACGACATGGTTCGAACTCTGGTGGGTTGGATCAAAAACTTGAGGTTATATGTCGTGTAGCTTGCTTTGGGCCGTGTGCAGAGGCTATTGCAAAAGTTGGAGGAATCGAGGACTCGAAGATGGGAAGGAATGCGGCGGCAGAAGAAGAATGATCTGGGATGGATCGATATAAAGCTCGTCCCAGCCTCTAACCGTCCGTCTCACAACCTGGACATCATAACGTAATGATGTGTAATAATGCAACAATATACCTGTCCGTGAGCACGGAGCACAACATGATACTCTGAAATCAAGGTAGAGACGACACAACACCAAGCTGGTAACTGACTTTCCATCGCTCGGCGCCGGGATTCGCGAACGCCGGTCGGCCGTGAATTAGCCATGAGAGAGGCTCGCTACTCGTAATTGGGGTGGTCGCCCTTTCAGTAAAACACTACCTGTCTGGCAGGTGGATGGAATAGTTCGCAAGGAGCAAGATCGGATTCCTGTTGTAACGCAGTCGTGGCTCCGGAGGTGCTTGGGAAATGAGAGGATGTTTTTCGGCGGTACTTCGTGATACTCGGTAAAGGCGGCCTTTGCTCAGCCTGGCGAGTCTCTCGAATCCAGGGACTGCTGGGGAACAAGTGTCGCTTACACGACCAAGGTGGGTAGAGCTACAAAGGCCAGAGGGAAAAAACACTAACTTTTGTGATTCAATACCTGATCCTCCCGGTGACAAGACTCGTATAACACAATGAGCCCGAAACATCCCAACCTGGACTTCATGACTAGAAGCGTTCCATCCACTAAGTCACCAACAACGACAATAAAACAAGTACGAACCATCCATACAAGAGTTCCAAGCGAGACATCCCTTGTCTATATCCCTGCCCAACACATCCCTCCCAATACTTCAAAATCGTGTACAGTCCAGAAAGAAAAGAGTAAGTGCAGACTGAGAGCACCGAGGAATGATCAAACATCTATGTACAAGAGGATGAAAAGAGAGGAGGCGACTACCACGTCTTCATATTTGTTGTTTCGTCAGCTTCGTGTCGGTGGTCGTCGCCCAAGTCGTCGCGTCGTTTAGTACTGCCGATAGCCAAAGTTCGAGCCCTCGCCGGGAAAGTCAAAGCCGCTGGCGTTGTACATGGCATTCTGGGTCATCGACATGGGGCCGTCGACATTGACAAAGTTGTCGGCGGCGAGGATGTTGTCGTAGAACAGCGGCTCTTGCGTAAGATCCAACATGGGCATGCCCGAATTGGGCATCATGTCGTCGTCAGTAAGATCGAAGCTGGCGTTGCCCATGTCGCTGTTGGCGCCGTTGCTGTTGGCATTCGAAGCGGACTTCATATGTTCGTTGACCACGGCAGGCTGGAAAGTCGTGTCGGGGACATTGATGTCTTGGACAACCACGCGGCCGTTGATGTTGAGTTCAAGCTCTTCGTACATCCAGTGCTTGAGGAACTCCATGGGTGGTGTGTTGCCGCCACCCATGCCGCCGCGGCCCTCACTCTTCTTGCCCCGGCCGCCACGTCGGTTCTTGCACGGGTTGAAGTGGGCGCGACGCAGGTGGGCGGCGGCGTTGTAGTTGGCGCCGTAGGTCTTGCGGCTGCGGCAGGCCTTGCAGTTCGACAAGAACTTGCCGTCTACCGAGGCGTCTTTGCAGATCCAAACCCGTCGCACTTGGGAATGGTGGCGCTCGATGTGTCGACGGAGCTCGTGGTCGCCGTGGAAGCCCTGAGGCTGGTCGTTACAGAATTGACAGAAGGTCGTCTTACGAGGAGGCTGTTGTCGGACCGTGCGTGTGATCTCGGCCTTGTGCTTTACGGTACCGTCCGCGCTCTGGACGGCGATGAGTCTGGGTGCCGGCATCTCGACTGGTTGCAAGGATGCCTCGTGCGCACGCTCCATCTTGGGAGCCAGAGGTCGTGAGACTGTGTTACTGCTACGAGGAATGACCTCCTGCGAAATCCCTCGTGGTGACATATGAGACTGAGACAAAAGAGAAGCAGATGAAGCGTCACTTCCAGAGGAAGACGACTTCTTCATCTCGAAACTAGAAGGAGACGAGGATGACTGAAGGTCATCATCGTGAAAGGACAAACGCGAAAACTCGTTGCAACCGAAACCGGTTCCAACCACAGAAGCAGAAGTAAAAGGAAATCGTTGAGCTGGCTCCGTATCCTGGGGATACCGAGGCTCATCCATCATGCTGCTCGAGGCTTTGTGATCTTTCGGCATCGACATGGAGTCCATGCGAAACATCCCAAAGCCCTCGCAGAGAACATCATTTGTGTTGCTTCGAGACATGGGCTCCGACAAGACTGTCGAGGGAGCGGTCATGCTCGAATCACTAGTGGCCGTCATCGGAGTAAAGACTCCTCCTGGCGACTCTATCGCTGAAGAATACGGGGACGTGAGCTGAGACATCTGGTTGATGTGGAACTCACCACGCTCCACAACTGTGGGAGGCGTCAACGAGATGGTCGGGGTGGGATGATAGTCATCCGGCGACTTGGCGAGAAAGTCCGCGGGAGACATATCCTGAACCTCTTCAATGAAGTGAAGACTGGAGCCCAAGTATCGGTTGGGGTACGAGGCGGCCGTGGAACCTCTTCGTTGCCAGTTGTTGCGCCGGGGAATGGGCATTGGCTTGGTCGTTGTTGTCGAGGTCGCCGTCTGGGGAAGGGGTGAAGTTCGAACCGAAGGTCTGGATTGTTGGGTCCTGGAGGCAGACTGACCAACGACTGGCGCTGAGACATGTCGCTCGAGTAAATGGGCCGCTGGTGCTGAGGAAGCCAAAGGTGCTGCCTTCTTTCTCGCCCGTCAACCAAAGAAGAGTGGTTAGTCAATAAGGGTACATACATGGACACTACGTTTGGGCGCTGGTTCCATATCACCAACCATCGCATAGGATGCAGGTCGTTTTGAGGGAACCGAAGTACCATATTCATGTGTCGAGGTCGAAGGGGAATTCCTCATCTCAGCATTCATGGAGTTCCAGTAACGTGAGACCTGTTCGAGCTCGTCGGGAGACAGGTGCTGGAGCGTCTGCTCATATGCGACACGACAAGTCCGAATAAGCTCGATGACTTGACGAGCTCCAGAGTCCATGTTGTCGAGCAAGGAGCAACCAAAAAGGGTATCCAATTGAATAAGTGATGGCACTCCAAAAGAAGAATGGCAAGCGGCCAATCTGATGTTTTGGTCAGCGAGTTGGAGCCCCAACAGTCAGTTTGTCCCCCCCCCGATAACAGCAAAGACTCACAGTTGATATTCGAAGGGTAATAGAATTTGGTTGGAACAGTACAACAAATACTTTCGAAATCCAATAATAGGGGGATCGACGAAAGTGAAAGGTCGGGGTGACGGGTGTGTTAGAAATTGGGTGAGAAACAGCCTTGGAAGAAGAGAGGAAAGGACAGGCTCGGGGTGTTATAGGACTGCTCTCTCGCCAAAGGAACTCGAGAGAAGACACGAGGAGACGAAGACGTGGGGATGGCGGTCCTCTCTGACAGAACATGTGCCAGAGCATGACGGCAAACCGCCGCTTGGGCAGACTCGACGACGACCAAGTCGGGCAACATGTCCAGGGGTCTTTGCTGATCTTGGGGGGGGGGGGGAGCAAGGGCCATCCTAGGATCCTGATGGGTTGCAGAAAGTACCCGTCGGTCTGAGCCTTTGTCCGGACGCCTCTTTCTAGGCACTCTTTGAGCCTAGATGCGCCCACCTCCCGGGCGTTCCATTCGCCTGTTTCATGCCAACTTCTGCGGGTGTATCTGGGCGCGGGTCGACCCTGGTCCAGCCGAATTCAACGAACCTGGCGAGCTGGCGTTGCGAGCGACCCGCAAGCCCCATGGGTTCCATTCGTAGTTTGAGGAACACAACGGTGAGCCAATCTCGACTGGCTGCCTATGAGGTTCTCCGAGGCACGACGATCATGGAGTATGGTCGGCGGCTCATTGGGTGTCTGCTGCAGGCGGTCTTGGTCGCCTCACTTTGAAATCGGGCCCTCATCGAGTCAGAGTGGTTTGTCTGACCTGAATTCGTGCCCAACGTGGCTCGGAGCAATTGTCATTCGCTGTTCGTCGAGGGTGAAGTCTGTGCATAAGCTCCAGTCCCTCCCATCACATGAGCCGAAGCACCGCAATCGACCCCGTTGACCATCTGGTCTGGCTCGTCAATGCCTCCGAGTACAGGACCACGCACTCGGCCGCAGCTGGGTCGTGATGGAAGGTACTATGACATGCATCAACTGCCGGAGAGGTCAGCAGAGTGGTCTGCAGGAAAAGAACTTTGCGTTCTCTGTGTAACCACCCCAAGAGGCAGAGGCCTGCCTGGAGCCGACCCAACCAGGGAGAATAGAGGCATGGCCATGGCTAGCTGGAGCAGCGGTTCATGTGCTCGGTCACAATTTGGAGAAACCGTGGTTCACGTCTGTCTTCGCTTAGGAGGAATCGAAGCAGGTACCTGGACGTCCCCTCGATGCCTGATTTGCTGCGCAGCCGGTCTTTTGGAGCCCAACCCATCTCCTGCTGTATAATGTCTCGTTATCGTCAATGAGTCACTCTCCCTTTGTTATCACCGCCTGTCGCGACAAGGAAAAGCCAGTGCCGATTTCCGCAGGGTTGGCGTGGGATCGAGATTCTGGCGCAAAGGACGACGAGGTGGCGGACTGCAATTTGCAGCTGGGCGGCGATGGAGGTGAATGAGCTTCGTCTCAGTCGACAGGGCCCTTCGCCAGGGATAGCATCTCCGTCACCTGAGAAGACGAGGGTCTCGGGCATGCCTTGGACTGCTGAGGAATGTAGCTGTGATAGTCGCGCCACTCTTCCGCATATCATAACTGCAATGTGTACGGCCTCGAGTCGAGAATCACGATACAGCCTCACCTCACCTCACCGTGTGGTAAAAGTGAGGGCTAGTAGTCCATGTCGAAAACGATCTTCCGGATTCTCGCTCCGAAGGATCATCGACGTTGGTCGCTGATCGATCCCTCACCGCATGCTGTGTGCCTGCTGATCAGGTCGCTGAGATCGCGAGCTTAAGCTGGCTTCTGTTACATCAACATCCGTTGGATGACGCAAATGAATAGGGACTGTAGATCGTTGATGGACAAAAGGGTACGCTATACAATAGGTAGAGGCATGGCTGGTGGCATGCCTCGTTGCACGCCCACAGGATGATCACTGCAATGTACTTGGTATGTATGGATGTATGCAGTGTGTCCCTGTAGGTCAATGGATCTACCACCGCCAAAGAGCCCTACATACACAGTACACAACCTTCTATCTTGCCATGCCACCTCTTCAGAACAGAATGTTGCCTTCAAACCTTACACAGAGACCCTGAGTTTTTTTTCTGTCTCCATCCTCCTCATTTGTACGATTGGTCCCTGCTCTTCTTGAATTCACCCTCTCCCGCCTTAGTGTCCAGGCCTGGTTGAGAGCGTCTGCGAGATCGCTTCGACTGTGGTGGAGGATGGGCGGAACCGCACTCCCAGCTTCGATCTCAAACCCTTTGTAAGTTGCCACCTGTCTACTTCCCAGGCCAGTGAGTGACAGCGGCGTCTTGGTCAAGTTCATGACGCGAAGCGAGATTTTTGCCGTCCCTGATGATCCTGTCGGTGCACAGTCGCACCACGGTCTCGTATCCGCCTTCCGTAGCCACGCGGTCCTGGTCTCCGACGATTCCTAGTCGCTCTCGTCCATTCGCTCCAAGAGGCACTGCTTGCAATAGAGATGCGTTTGGGGAAAGGTACGCTCAGCGCACGTTGGAAGAGGGTTGGCCCAGACCCTTTGTTTGAGGAGTGTTCGCATCAAGTAGCGGACCACCAACCAGGTACGGCGACGATGCCCAACACCTCTCACGCCGCCACATTATCGGATGAGTACTGCCAAAACAATCAGTAGTCAACAAGCGAATCGTTCCTTTCGCTCTTTGTCGAGGTAGAAGAAGGCGCCCGGTTCAAGGACCTACGTATTTCAGTTGAGAGGAGAAGGTAAGCCGAGAGAGATCTAGAAAGTCTGCCGATATAATGACTAAGCCGCCGTATGATTGGAGCACTGGGACGAGGGTGGGGTCTGTGGTTTGTTTACTCCTCTTCCCAATCTGGCTCCTTGAACTTCTCGACAAAGCCGCAACTCATCCCAAGATATCTGACCTGCCCTGAGAAACAACAATGTCCGTGGCAGAGGTATTCCTAGATGCCCAGCGCTCCCTAGTGGGACATAAGACACTGGCAAAACGCCTGCGCCGTCTCGAAAACTCTCCAAACTTCGAGGCGCACATCAAACAATGCGTCTTCCGACTCCTCGATGTCGCCAAATCCGAACCAGCAGGGACCCGTGTCATCAAGTTTCTCACGGCGTATCTCGCAAGCGATGAGGCCTCAAATCAAATCTCCTCCACAATTCTGCTGGCCATCCTTCCCTTTCTCTGCGCCAAAGACAAGACGGTCAGATACAGAGCCACCCAACTCACCTGCCAGATCTTGGGTGTCCTGCAAGCTATCGACGACGATCTGTACAAGGTCATCAGACACGAGCTGATCAAGAGAATGAGAGACAAGGTCCCCGCCATACGACTCGAGGCGGTCATGGCGCTGGGTCGTCTGGTGGAAAGTGAAATGGAGGAAGGGGAGGACCAAGAATCGGATGAGGATGTCGCCCCTGGCTTGCTGGACAAACTGCTCGATGTTCTACAAAACGATACAAATGCAGACGTCAGAAGAGCGCTTCTGGTGAACATTCCGGCTACTCCAAAGACCTTGCCCTACCTGCTCGAGCGTGCTAGGGATCGGGATGCTCCGACTCGACGCGCCCTGTACGCAAAACTCCTTCCTAGACTGGGCGATTTTCGACACTTGTCCTTGTCCATGCGGGAGAAGCTGTTGAGATGGGGCTTGAGAGATCGCGACGAGAGAGTTCGCGGTGCGACCGCTCGCCTATTCAGAGAATGTTGGATTGAGAACTGTGCAAGGACCGAGGCTGAGAAATCTAGTGAAGCGAAGGATGAGAAGGAAGCTCACGTCGGCTTCTACGACCCAAGCATTCCGGCTCTATTAGAGCTTCTAGAGAGAATCGACACTCTGAACACCGGGAATGAGGATGGTGTTGCTCGTGAAGCTATGAGAGAGTTCTGGGCTGGTCGACCGGATTACCTCGATGCGGTCAGGTTCGACGACGATTTCTGGCACAATTTAACCCCGGAATCAGCCTTTATGGCGCGCACGTTCAATGATTACTGCCGGTCGGATTCGAACTATCAGGACATGGTTGAAGAGAAAATGCCAGAGGTTACACGTCTGGGGTTTCATCTCCAAAAACATATCAACGAGCTGGTCGCGAGGGTCCAAAACGCCAGTGAGTCGGATTCTGATGAAAAGATCGCACTCCAAGCGGAACAAGAGTTCATCGTGGAGCAGCTCTTGTACATTGCGCAGTCTTTGGACTACACAGATGAGATCGGCCGGAGGAAAATGTTTTCGTTGCTCCGACACGCTTTGTCCATGGCTGAATTGCCTGATGAATGCACCCGACTCGCCGTGGAAGCCCTACGACTTGTATGTAACTCGGATGCAGCTGGCGAGAGAGAGTTTACCTCGATTGTTCTCGAAGCTATCGCCGAAGTCCACGACAACATCGCTTCCTCCGACCTCGAAAATGAAGCAGAAGCGGACGAGGATGACAGTTTCGTCTCAGCCCGCAGCGAAGTCAGCGGCGACTCGACGCCTAGGAACGAACAAGCTAAGAGCAAGCGTAACAAGCATCTCACTGACGAAGAGCAAGAAGCCAAAGCGATCAAGGAAATTGTCATCAACATGAAATGCCTCCACATCGCTCAATGCATGCTGCAGAATGTCGCAGGCAATCTGCAATCGAACATTGACCTACGCACCATGTTCGACAACCTGGTGATTCCAGCCGTGCGATCCCACGAGGCTCTGATTCGCGAACGCGGAGTGCAATGCTTGGGATTGTGTTGCCTGCTTGAACCCAAGCTTGCCGACGAGAACATGCGGCTTTTCACTCTGTTGTTGAAGAGAGGACACGAGTCCCTGCAAGTCATGGCTCTGCAGATTCTTTGCGATATACTTCTCGCACGAGGTCCACCTTCCTCTGCGCATCCCGAATCCAGTGATCCTCCAGAGTCCCCTGTTGCCGCGACCGAAGCAGCGGACGACGTCCCTGCCACCGCCGCCACAACAGCCCCAAATAATAGCCACGGCAGCACACTCTCTGTGCTTCTCTCCCCCTTCATCAAAGCGCTTTCACAAACCTTCGCTGACGAAGTCCGCGCTACATCTACGGCGAGCTTGTGCAAACTCATGCTGTGCGGGTTCTACATGGGTAACGAGGAGTTGTTTGATCAAATCGTCGAAAGGGCAATCCACGGGGCGGCCAAGGGTTGGGAACTGTTGGAGAAGGTGAGGAACGCAGTTCTCGTGGACAAGGATCAGAGCAGAGGAAAAGGAGCCGACAAGAGTGGCGAGAAGGTCAAGGAGAGGGAAAGGGGAAGTAACGGAGTCGGCAGTGCGAGAACAAGCAACGAGGGTGTCGGGGATGCAGGTGAGCGAGTTGCCGTCGCCGCTGAGGGCGTGGAGATGTGAAGCTCGCCTCCGTAGAGAGATGGTTGACGCCTGAAGAATTAATGTTTACGTCTAGAGCAATGTTGTGTTATGGACAGGAGTGACATGGTGCCGTGTCTTGTATCGAGCAAACAAGATTGTCTTTGCATTTCAAGCCGCCAGTGACAGCCTCGTCCAGGACGAGAGGAATCATCAATCATGAGTATCCCATGTCCACCCAACTTTGCGATGATACATTTCCCCAAATAGGGGGAGGGCAGAACGCCAGTCCAGATGCTGTTAGCCTGAATCAATGTCAACTCAGGTGTACAGGCGTGCCGCACTTTTCCCAATGATCTGCCGTGTTCGCCTGTGCTGTGGCTTGCTTCTCTTGCTGCCTGCCATGCACACGTATGCAATTCAACACCATGCACAATGAATGGTTGGGCGGGGTGATGCGGTAGTATGTAATGGTAAAGACTGATCCGTCCATCAAGGGTATCATCTCTCTCTATCAAAGAATGCCCTGCTTCTGCAAATCCAGATAAATACGCTCGGGCATGACGTTGCCCTCGCCGTCCTCCATCTGCACGACCTGGTCGTCCTTGACCTCCTTCTCCCGCTTCTCCTTCTTGATCTTGTCCCAGAGTTTCAGCGCGTCCTCGATCCCCGTGATCTCGCGGAACAGGCTGAGGCCACCACCCCCCGCGGTGCCGGAGAGCGCGGAGCCCGTGATGCCCAGGCACTTGAGGCCGTAGGTGTGCCGTGCCTCGGAGAAGTGTTTGTCGAACGCCCGCCGGCCCATGTAGACGAAGTTACCGCAAATCTCGCAGTTGAACTCCACTCCCAGGCCATGCAGCTTGTAAAGCCAGTAGGGGATTGGCTTCCCATCCCAGGCCAGAGGAAGTTTCAACGGGTTGTAGATCTTCTCATCCCCTTCTGAATCAGACCCAGAGTCCTCTCCGCCTGTCCGCTTCTTCCCTGCTGCTTTCCGGTCGGACGCCGCAACGGCAGCATCGTCTTCGGCGAAGAGAGCGTCCAATTCGGCCTGCCGCTCTCGCTCCGTCATGCCTTGTTTGCGCTCAACATTCACGCGCGTGTTGCTCCGTTCGTTGGACAGGAAATCGGCGAGGGCGCGGATGCGGTGTTCGTGTGAAGCGATGGCGCGTTCTTTGAGCGCTGTGCCGGACAGGGAGGGAGCTATCGTAAGAGGTTTCGAGGGTGCGCCTGTGGCGCCATTCGTGGTGGCTTCGCCGTTACTGGTTGTCCGGGATTTCTTGGCCTCTGCGTTCTTGAGGTGCTTCTTGCCTGTCAAGTGCGACTTGTAGACATTCTGATTTGTAAACTCCTTTTCGCAGTCGGGGCACCACACTCCTGCGCCGGTGCCTTCGGTTTGGGGTCCCGAAGGCGCGGATGTGCTTTTGGATTCCTGATCTTTCTGCTCTTTTGTCCAGCCAGGCACTGTTCCCGCTTCCCAGGCTGCGTCGAAGTCCCGTTGGTATCTCAAAAATAATTTCGACAAGTCTTCTAGTGGCCTCGTCCTCCGGACAAAGCTTTCCAGATAGCTGTCGAGGTTGGCGACATATTGTAAATATTGGTCTGTGAGTTTGTTCTGACGTTTGATGGGTAGCCGAGGAGGTTCAAATGCGTCAAAGTTATCCAGATACTGGAGGTACGTCAGGCGCTTGACCCCGGGAATGTTGAGGTAGTCTTCGTGTAGTTGTGTCAAGTCCAGAAACCGGCCGTTCGACTCTTCTCCGCTAAACATGTTATCCACCTCCGAGGGAATGTATTCTCCTTCCTCGGGTCGCCGGCGCTTGTAGGCGCGCTCGAGATTCTCGACAGGCTCATTAGGGTAGCGACGATGGAAGTCTTTGACTTCTTCGAGCTGTTTGTAGAATTCTTCGAATGGTTCGCCGGTGGAGAGGGACTGGACTTCTTTCAGGCGGAGACCGTCTGCGTCTTTGTATATATCGAGTAGACGCTTGGATTGCTCTTGAATGCGACTGAGGAAGCCGTCTATCTGGTGGTCGCGGGTTAATCGGTCTTTTATCTGGAAAATGTGTTAGTGGCTGCACTTGGTTCATGGATCTGTGACCTGACTTACATTTTTGGGATCCTCTGCCACGCGGTCGGTGATTGCTTGCTCCAGCCGCTCCAGATCCTCATGGAGGAATCTTTGGTCTTCTAAAATCATCTTGTTCCGCAGTAAATGTGAGGTAGAGGCGCTATGGTAAACTCGATAACTGCAGGACGCGAAAGCGCAAGATTTTGGAGTTGCATGTCCATGCAAGCATACGGTGGAGTCTTGCGGCGGACAGTGGCAAACGAGTTTCTCAGCCTCGTTTCTCAGCCTCGTTTCTCAGCCTCGTCACTCGATTGGGAGTCCCGAAGCAAGGCTGGCAAATGCCTCCTCCGATTGCTAGTAGTCGCATTGTTGATATTGGCCCGTTACCACATACCAACCCTAAAAGTCATATATCATACACACTGCATGCTTTTCAACTCCGAAAAGGGTTCTCTTATTACGACCACTTTGCTTTCCCACCAGCCCCTCAGCTCCTGCGCCCGGCTGTAACCTGTCCTAGTATTTCCCAGCACCCTGTTACAGATATTACATTTTCGAGGGGTCAAATCGACTACCCTGTCACCGAAGAGAAGCGAAGGTCATTATACCTAAGACGTAGAGTGCGCTGAAGAAGATGTCAAAATACTGTACCAGACGCCTCCGCGCCGAGTAGACACGGGCTTTACCAAATCATATCCAATATGAATCGTTGAAAAACAGTCGAGAACCCACGTCCCTTTGTAACAGACCAAAAGGCCACAAACCAGGCAGCTGCTGTCCTTCGGGCGCCTTCAACGTCAAATCCCAGGTTTTTACCGCTCTGTCCTTGACGAACGCATTTTCCAGCAGAGTTTCAGATCACAACAAACCCAAGAACAAGCAATATGAAGACGCAGCAAAGGCCTGCAACGCCAGGAAAGAAGAATTAAAGTCGGTAGTCGCGTGTACCAAACGCGCTGAGTTGCTGAAGAGGATCAAGAATGTGCCCATCAGATCATTTGGACAAAAAGGCGCTTTCTCATGGGACATATCTTGGCAGCTGTTGGTCCGCGTCCGTGTCTGTCACTGTGATTGTTGCTGTCGCGGGTCCAGTGGTTTCTGGCAGACTCGGGTTTGTGGTTGGTAAATAGGCATCTGCCACAGCGTCATGGCTATCGTCTCGTCCTCTGGTGGACGAAATTTGATGGCGCCCTTGATACGAAGCTTGGACTGCCTCAAGACGTGCCCGTGCCCGATCTTCAGCTGCTTCTTCTGCTTTGGATTTATTGGGTTTCTTGCCGCCACCGATCCCTAGAGCGCCAATCCCGGCCCCGATGCTCGAGGGACTCGGTGGCCCAAACTTTGCTTTCTCCTTCTCGCCTGCGGCCCTGCCTTCATGGCTGCGGCGAGACCAAAATCCCGAGCTGGATCCAGATCCTGTGCTCTCCGTCGACAAAGCCTGCATGAGGTCTCCACCCAGTAGCAAATTGCCGTCTAATTCACTCTCCACCCGTACCGTAGCCGGAGGCAAAATGATGGCGATTTCAGGTCCGTTCTTCACCGAGGAGAACTTTTCCGTTTTCTCGGCGCACTCAATCTCGAGCTCCCACAAGAGTTGATAAGACCTTGAAACGTTATAGGTTGTGAAATTCGGGCACATGGGCGTCTCCAGACGAGAACCCAGCTTCGCGTTACCAAGATGAAGGTCGCACAATTTTCCGAGGTCAAGTGTCGCCTCCGAGGCGGTCGTTGTGCCATGCGTCATGATCAGTGGATGGTTTAGAGCTTTGGACGGCAACACGGGAATTTCATAGGTCTTGCTGTCGGGAAATGTGCCCGCCGCGCGGCAGCGAACATGCGTCTTCAACTCGATTTTGGCGGAGCGAAGAATTACGGTGGGAAGAGACGTCGAGGTGTCGATGGTAGTGTTTTCGGGGGACAAGTCCGGTGTCGCAGTGATCAGGAATGGGATGTGGTTTGGGTGGAAGAGCTGAATGATGCCAGGTGCTTGGACGGCCAAGCTGAATGAGAACCTGGGGATGGAGTCGCGCTGAAAGATGGAGCGGGCGCGATCCCTGAACCCGAGGCTGGTGCCTGCGTGTTCGGGCAGAAGCTTCAGCGTCGAGATGGTGAAGAGGCGTTGATCGGTGGTGAGGCTATAGTTCTCAATGGGTTCGGGGGTGGATAATGGGTGGAAGACAATGGGATAGCTGGACACCTTGCTCTGGGGTCCGCGGATATGGTGTAGACCTTCGGGTTCGGTCAGAGTCGCGTCGAGGACGTATTCAATGAAACACTCGGCCTGACGACCGAACATGTGTCTCCTGTGGTAGCACGAGGGTGGAAGAGTGAGGTCGAGGTTGTTCTCATCCGTGGTCGCCCGGTAATGATCCTTGGGCTTCCATCTCTCGCCGCTCAAGATACTCGTTGCTTCCGCGTGTTCGGGCACCACGAATTCAAACGGCCAGCTGAAGGATCCGGGCTTGTGGGTGTACTGGCCCTCGTACAGAAGCAACTCCTTCTTGAAGAGCTGGGTCCGACCCCGGTGGTAGGTGACGGTCTGGCCGTGCTGCTGGATGATCCGCGACTTTGCCCGGCCCCAGAATGAAACCACCAGCTTGCCAATAGCACTGTCGGCGGCAGTATTGAGGATCACTCGGCCGCTGATCACGTCGCCGGGCGAATAGTGCTGGCGAGTGTTGTTGAATTCGAACGAGAGGCCAGGCGAGTTTTCGGCCTTGGTGAGGCCCATCGTGGTGTCAAGTTGCTACCCAGTCGACGCCGGTCTGGTGGTGTTGGTGATGTCCTCTCGGTGCCTCTGTTGGTTGCGATATAACCCTGAATGACTGTTCACTTTCCATTTCTTCTTCCGTCGAGATCGTCATAATCATTGGGTATATAACCACCTCTTGTGAGTCAATTCCAGGGCTTGGAAAAGGGCTCGATTGATATCCCACTGACTTCAGGCCCCCCGATCCGAATACGCTACACTGCCCCCCGGAGACAGAGCTTGGGTACTTGGCTCGATCGAGGATTCGCCACTGGCTGGTCGTGGTAAGGCGCATTTTCTTGGTCGACGGTTGGCAATGGGGCTGAGGAATGGGACATTGGGGCTCACCTGTGGCGCCAACGGTGCGCCTGTTGGCAGACGCAGACGCATGGCCAGGCACAGCATTTCTCGGTTTTTCGTTGGTAGCAAGTGATGTCTTCGTCTCGGAGCCTTGCGAGCCTTGAGATCAGTGCCAATTCTGCACATATAAACATCTCTCACGTTCTTCGGGCTCCTAGCCAGTCGAATAATGGCAGCCTGTGTGTTTTTGTGATTCGCCCATTTCCCTCTGTCCGCATCAACCATCCGAATTGGTCATACCAGACCACAAAGCCAAGAGGTTACGCGCCCTCGTGCTCATTGTAACTACGCTCTCGACAACATCAATACGGCAATGCTTGTGTCTGTTACATTCATCTAGTAGTGTATTTTCGTTCCCACCCCGTTCTCGGATTGCTCATCCGTCGCTGTATGAACAATGTCAGCTCCTAACGAGCAACAACATGGTCCTCGATATTCTCTTGTCCCCCATGCCATCAAATTACAGCCAGATCGATTGCCTGGTCGGTGGGAAAGCTGCTGAAATCAATCAACGTCAACTTCACGCTCTTCCTTTCCCTTTCCTGCCACCTCGTGCTCCGCCACCGGGACCTCGCTTCTTCTTCGGTTCGTCGTCACTTTCAGGATCGACATCACCAGCGTCATCAGCCTTCTTTCTCTTGCCCTTCCCCTTCGAACTAGCCCCGCCGGCAGCAGAAGCACTTGCAGTCTTCTTCTTTGGCGCTTTGATGTATTTGTCTTTCTTGAGGTCCGAGTCGTCGTCATCATCATCGCCAGCCTCAGCTTCAGCTAAGAGTTCTTCTGCCTCCGACTCCTCGACTGCCTCTTCCAAGTCCGGTTTTTCCCTCTTGGCTCCTGCCTTTGCGGTGCCTAGGACATGGCTTGCCTTGACAAAAGGCATAGGGTGGCTCTGGAGATTGTACAATCTGGTAAATGATGCCTTGGTAGCGGTGTCGATTTTAATGCCGTCCATATCGTACTCTCCAACACCCAATTCTAGCACGGAATCGAAGTCTTCTTTGGTCAGGTAGTAAGAGTCCATGAAGTCAATGACATCCTGTACAGCATCCTTGCCTTCAGCTTTCAGGGTGCCGACTGTCTTGCTCCATATTGCTGGGAGATACTGCTGGCGAATCTCATGACGGTCGGCCGCGGTACGAAGCCGCATGTGTCCCTGTATCTCCTTGACAAACCGAGAGAGTTTCACTACGCAGCGGGTTAATACACAGATACATAAGACACGAGATTGCAACTTACTCTGCTTGCTGTTCTGCCCAAACCAAGTAGGGAAGCCAGCTTGTCCCCCAAGCATTCCGTAGACGTAGCTAGCAGGTCGGACAAAGCTGAAAATGGCGTGGACTGGCATCAAGCTCCATTGCTGCTGGGAGCCATGAATCATCCGATCAACGAGGTCACCGTCGGAAATGCTGGCAGCTGCGTTGTCTGCAAGCTCCAACAATTTCATCTCTCGCTCTTTGCCGCTGTAAGAGCTTGCAAGGGCGGGATTTGTCTTGAGGTAGTTCTCCTGGAGCATCAAGTAGCTCATCTCGTGATCATTAAAATACAATTCCGTTTTGTCGTTCAATGTCGCTGTCGAACTGGCTGCAAACATTTGTGGTCGCAGGATCTTATTCACAATATCCCAGGGCTTCAGAATCACATGTTTTTCCCATGCCTTCGACATGGCTTTGGTGTCGCTAAAATCGAGATCCTTGCTGTCGAGTTTGATGGTCGAAATCATGTTGATGATTTGACGAATGTCCCCATTGCAGCCCTCGATCAAGGCATTGATAATGGGTGTGGGTAATTTCATGCCTTCGCGGAATAGAATCGTGGCTATCCGGCCTCGAATCATATCCGTGGTTGGTCTTCGAAACTGAAACTCTGCTGTCACATTCGTAAGCGGTCTCATCTTTGGCTGATTCCGCTCATTGCAAATTAATATCATCGGGACGTTGGTTTTTTTTACGATGGAAGCCAAAGCACCCACACCACCACGGTCGCCGGCTGACATTCCATCCACCTCGTCCATGATCAGGAGGAGCTTTCGTTTCGATTGTTCGACTTTCTTGCCATCGCCAGCGAAATACCCGAGGAGAGATGTAGTATCCAGAACACCGGTCAGCCCAGTTTCAAGCAGCTTCTTGTTCCGGGTCTCGCTAGCATTGCTCTCGACAACATCATAGCCCTCAAGTTTGGCAACAAGGTGGGCAGCTGTGGTTTTGCCGACACCCGGAGGACCATGAAGCAAAGCTGCGCGAAAGACGCCCTTCCCATCGGCACCAGCCTTCTTGAAGTCTGATTTTGCGGCTTTCGGCCAATTACGAAGCCATTTCTGCAAGCCCTCAACCTGGCCCTTGTTTCCGCAGACAGCGCTCATCGTATCTGGAGCATACTTGTCTACCCAAAGTCTGTCGTCTACTCTGGGACCTTTTGGTTTGGTCGAGGGAATAGGAGCACCTGTTCGGGCCGCCGCAGCTTTCGCAATTTTGGTAGCCTCTTTTTGTCTCTCGCGCTCGCGTTCTTCCTCTTCTTCCGCCTGTTTGCGGACTTTCTCCTCTTCCTTGGCCTGTTTCTCAGCATAGGCTTCGGCAGCCTTCCCATCACCACCATTCGCGGGAAGCTGTCGAATGAGTGCAAAAAGACCTTCTTCATTGATTGTCTTGATGCCCAGCTGTCGGATAGTTTCGAGCTTTTTCGGTCCAGCATCAGCACCAATGACGACGTAGCTGGTCCGCTTCGATGGAGCACCCGTCACCTTACCACCATACTGTTTCACGAGGTTTTGTCCCTCTTCGCGGCCAAGCGAGTTCAGCACCCCAGTGAAGACGAAAGTCAGTCCAGCAAGGCAATTTTCTGCACCGACTGGAATATCAGCAGAGCCAGCTGCGGGTGGAGCCACGTTCGCATTGCCTCCGCCGTAGGTGAACTTTTTCTTGTCATCTCTTGGAGGTGGAGTCGGCGCTCTCACAGTAGGGATACTGTCGAGAATGTTCTGTATCTCCTTGCTTTCCTCCCTCTCTTCCTTTTTGGCTGACGCGCGGGGCTTCCGAGCAGCTGCCGATGCTGTAGTCCTTGGTTTCTTTTTTGGTGTGTCGTCGTCATCGTCCAGATCGTCCTCTTCCTCATCTTCAAGGTCTTTGGACTTCCGTTTGCGAGCGGAAGTAGGTTTGGCTGGTGCTTTCTTACGTCTCGCGTCACCAGGTCCATCATATGCGGGAATCTGCGCCATTTCGATATCATCATCGTCGTCATCATGATCCGCCTCGAGTTTTTTGTAGTGGCCATTGACAGCCTTGCTGACCTTCTTTTGTGGTTTCAGATCGTCTTCGTCTGTTCCTTCCTCGTAATCGTCGTCCACTTTCCTGCTCTTGAGGTCACTAAAAATGTCATCATCACCTTCACGATCGTCCATTAACACGAGAGCGGATTTCTCATCTTCGTCCTGTTCGGCGTAGTTCTTTCTGCTGGTCTTTCTGGAGGATCTTCTGCCAGTCGATGGTGTTCCACCATTGGTTTCTTTAGTGGGAGTCTTTGCGATACCGTTGGTGGTGGCAGTCTTGGTTCGTATCGGGGTAGACTTCGTAGGTTTTGCTTTCGTGGTAGCAAAGTAGGCTGAGCTGGTTGTCTCCTCTTCCACTGGTTCTTTGGCCGATTTCTTTGTCTTGGGAGTAGTAGGTTTCTTGGAGTTGGCACCGACTCCTTCGTCGTCATCATCATCTTCATCGTCGTCGGAAACAACTTTGCGTCGGCCGCGCTGTTTAGAAGTCACTTTCGTACCGTCCTGCCGCATGATCAGTCATCTATATTTGATGATCGGCTGAGTGAGATGGAGCCTACGGCACCGTTGCTAACCTTAGAGGCAGCAATCTTCGCCGAGGGTTTTGCCCCTCCACTTCCGAAGAAACTCCTGATATCTGATGGCATGTTGTGAGCAGGTCAATTGGGGGGAAGCAAGATGCCCAAGGTGAACAAGGAGGTCATGAATGAGAACAGAGTGCTGAAGAAAAGGGAACTTTGTGGTGCTTGATTGCAGTTCGGAAGGAGCAACTGAAATGCCGTAAAGATGCCGCTTTTCAATTCGAGATGGACGCGACGCGTAAAACCACTGTACGCGCTGCGGCGGAGCAAATCCGCTCAATGCGTACTACGCTCTGCGCCCTCTGGAGGAACCAACAGTCATTGAAGCGAATGAATGAGAATGACCGCTTTTCAGGAGGGATTCAATCTATGTCTAGTGACTGTATACAGCAGACAGCACCCGCCTCGCTTTTCGTGCATGAATAACCGATCTCTATTAGCAATCATTTTTGATACAAGATGTGCAGCAACGCCCAATCTGTTTCACCCATGCCATGAAAGCCTCCACATTGCACCCTTGAATCCTTCGTTATATGCGTCAGACCTTCTCGGGATCCTGTGACGAAGTGTACCACATGGCATGCTCTGTCTTCTGCTCGCTTTCTTCCGAGAGTCGACTGTAATCCCCGGCCTTTGTCGATCCATTTGGGATAAAGAACCGCTTGTCGATTCGGGTAAACGTCAAGATACAGAGCAGGATGATCTCGAGCGTGAAATTGAAGACGTAGAAGCAGGCCTTGGAATCGTACCAGGGGGGATTTGTGACTGGTCGCGGAGGCTCCCAGGTTATGCCAGCCTTGAATCCTGCTATCAACATGCACAAACATCCTGAAGAGGTAACAATGATCAACTTGCTCTTCATACCGCCTTCGCCGAAATTCTCTGCATCTTGTGACCTCGGTAAAAGGACCGCTAACGCGGTATGAACGACAGGAAGACAGGTGAAGACAAGGAGATAAGTGATCGCAGCCAGCTGGATATCTCGACAAGTCGATCTGGTGTGCGGGTTGAGCGTGTAGACCGAGAGGACAACGGAGGTAATGACCATGACGAGTGCCCCAAAAATGCCGATGTACAGGAACTTGTAAGCGGCTCGCAAGATCGGATTCCACCCAATTCGTGGCTGAGAGGCTCGTAGTATGCGTTGCGCAAGGATCAAGTTGATGATATAGACTATTAGGATGCCTGCATTCACAAAGATTTGTGCAGCAATTGCCAGTTGAACATCATGCGGTGACGTTGCCCACGCGATCCGCAGGCACAGCGTGACTATTCTGGCCATACAGAAGCCGAACAGAAGCGCAGAGGGGATAAACTTGTGGTTTTTGCGGCGATTGAGTTGAAAGATGGTCATATTCGTAGTCGCGAAGCAAACATATACGAGGATGAAGACAGCGTCCGCTGGAATGTCTGTGGTGACTGTCGGGATGCCACCTATCCCGGCTGTTTTCGAAGGGTATGGGCCACCCATTGCGCTGGTGAGTTGCGACGATAACACTCGGGTTGCGTTGGGGTTGTAGTGTGTACAGTCAGATGTTGACACAGTGTTGCCGTTGTATGTTGCCTATGGTCATTTCTTTCTAGTGGGCGTCCCATGTTATATACCTCTAGTCCTCCTGCCATGACGCAGGCGGACCACAAAGACGCGAGATCGAACAAAAGAAAGGAGGGGTTTCGATTCTCGCTGGGCGCTAGCCTCAGAGTCGGCAAGGCCACGATCTGCTCGCCGGTCTTTGGTGATGGTTGAACCGTGGATGATATCAAAACAGCCACCGCAAGCCAATCGAAGCCGAAGTCGAGAGGTGCAAGACGGAATCTCGCAACACAAACGGAGCCGCGGGTATGAAGCACAGCCGCGACTTTGCCTGAAACGGAAACTTGGCATTTCTCATTCGGTTTCGCTTCCTTCCGAGATCCGAGCTGCGAACATCACCATCAGTCTGACATGGACAAACCCCCCTGGCTGCGTCGAATGCAAAAGTGCCCTGCGCTACAAGCCGAGAAACGATCCCTTGTCAGACGCTACGAATCTTCTTGTCCGAGCCGGATCTCTCTTTCCTCCGCTACAATCGAGCGACCTTTCTAACCCCTCGCACGGATCGCTGCTGAGTAACAGTGCGACTATGTCACAACCTGAGGTGCCAAAACAAGCCCGGAAGGGAACCAAAAGCTGTAGCGAGTGTGCGTTGTCGCCATAGGACTTACATCCCAAGCTTCCTGTTCTGATGATATGCAGGTAGGCGCCGCAAAATTCGCTGTATACGACGGTCCGAAGAGGCAGAATCATGTCGAAGCTGTGAAGACCGAGGCTTGAAATGTGTTGCACAGGTATACACTTCTCGGCCAGTCCACGAGCAGAGATTGCCGTCGCGCCATCGGATTGCGCTCCTGGAGTCCGAGGTCGCCAGTCTTCGCAACGCTGTGCGTGAGATCCAATCGAAGTTGGGTTACCAAACAACAGACTTCGCAAGACCAGCTTCTATTCTGCCAACCAGCAGCCCGGGAGATGATGGCTCCGACGATGAGTCCAATGGCTCTGATGTCCTGGCGACAGAACAACCTTTGCATCTCCGTTCGCTTTTCCAGAATGACTGGCTGAGTGGGGACTTTGGCCGACAAGACCAGCAACTACAGGAACGCAAGGCCAAGGCATCCGCCCATCTGCTGGACCTCGCCAGGCAGACACTACAGCAGCTAATCCCTCAAAGAGAAGATGTTCTGGATATGGCTAGAACGGCCTCGAAATGGATTGATCTGGTTCATGCCATGCTTCCCCAGCCATTTGCGGTGAAATCTCAGCGAGAACTCCTGGACAGCTATGAGAGCATGTGCGCGCCTGATGCCGATGCCATGAGCTTAGCATCATGGCTGCTTGATCTTGCTGTGACGGCTCAACAAGAGCCACAAGATCAAGGAAGTCCTGCAACATCGCTCAGAAGATTTCACAGAATCTCTGACTTCTCCCGCGCAATATCTGATGCAGTGGAGAATACGCTAATATCCCACGACCGACTAATGGGAACAACACAAGGATTAGGAATGGCGATGCACGTAAGTCTTTCCTCTCTTTAAAATAACTGGATCGAGTCCCGTCAAACCATTGTCATCCCAACCTCCTCTGCAAACGCACGCTAACAAAACCACACAGTTCCTGAGACTGTAAGAACTTTCAGTCAACCTTTCTGTCCCCGGGACGTACTGACGAGCGCTGTAGTCAAATAAGCCAAGGGAATTTCCAGAAGGCATGGATCCGCATGCGACACTTTGTAGCAATGGCAGAGCTTCTCGGGCTGCCAAAAGCGTCTCAAGGCGTTCAGCTTAGCGGCATCGCTGGCCCACCCGATCAGTTGCAGCTTCAGAAAATCCAGCTCTGGGAATTTATGTGCTCTGCAGAGAGATTACTTTGCATGATTATCAATCGTCCGCCTGCCACTCGGCGCTTCGAACACACAAATGCACAACCTCTAACAATCAACGGCATGGTCCAAGTCCACGTATACCTCAACAGATTGACGGACATCACAGCAAAGTTCCACACCCTCGACGACCTCAGCGCCGCCCATGGATCTAGCGCACAAGCGTATGCGTACGCTCTAGAGCTCGACCGAGAGTTGCGAGTTCTTGCTTCTCAGACTCCAAAAACCTGGTGGGATCAGGACTTTGCGCTTGTCAAACCAGAAAGTCTTTGTCAACTTCTACATTATTATTTCCTGATGAGAGTCCATTTGCCCTTCACCATGCGCCAGGACCCAGCCGAGGGAAACATGTACAGCCGCTTGACTTGCATGGAAGCTTGTGAAGCAGTTGCGCAACGCTATCAACACCTTCGCCGAATGCTCCCATCTGGCTTTTTTCTTTCTCCGATCATGGATCTACAAGCAATCACCGCAACCATTGTTCTCCTCCTCACATCCCATAGCGGACCTTCCAGCAATCATCTTGATTCAGAGGCGAATAAGGCCAGAGTACAGGGCATTGCAGCACAAGTGCTCCAGGTCATGGACGCAAAGTCTCGTGATGCAGCTAATGCCAACTTTTCCCGGCTCGGCGCTGCGACTATTCGCTCCCTCAATGCTCTACTTCAGCAAACCGGCGATGCCACAAGTTCTCGTCAGTTGAATTTGAAGGTTCCATTACTCGGAAATGTCAACGTGCGCCGGAATATCGACCCTTCACAGACGTCATCCACGGCAAACCAGCAGCCCTTCCAGGTTCAACAAGATACCGGCCTATGGAGAGCGCCCGAGCAGATCCTGCACCAGCAGCCTGGCGTCACGCCCGTGAACACCGGCCCTCAACTAGCCTTGACGCAGACGACGGCGGAGTGGGAATTGAATCCTCTTTCATGGTCTTTCGACACCCATGACAATTTCTTTCAAGATGCCTTCATGGCAGATGCGTTTGATCAGACTGGGATGTGGCAGACCGATTACAGTAGCTTCCATGCTAATACGTAGGTGGCCAGATGTTGCGCACAAGAAAGCTCAGACTGAAGGTAGAAATGTCCTCAAGTAGTAATAATGAAGCTGGACAAAGTTCAGCCTGCTTTGACGTCCCACACACCATCATGAAGACGGCGGATGAACTACAACTTGCTTGTGAGAAGCTAACGCCTTACAACTTCCCAATATGTCCATCACTCGACACTTATTAGCTCCTCCAGTATGCCTATGTACCGACAGCAGGGGAGGAACGATAGCTCTGTAAAAGAGAAAAGCACTTCTCCTTCTAGCTAGATTCCTCAAATTATCCTTCGTGTGACTAACTAGACGCGGCATTTGAATAACTTTCTTCGAGACTATTATAATTTACAGCATCTCAGCGTATTAGTCTCGGTCTAATTATAGTCGTTAGAGCTCTCTAATACTCCGAATGATAGTACATGTACTGACCTGACTACCCAAGTTTAGAAAAATTATCTATTCCTATAACTATATGAATCTTCGCATTTGATTATTTCGCAGCCTCGGGCTTGCGCTCGGGTCCACATGGCCACAAATCGCCAACCAGACGGCTTTCTTCAACTCCTCATGCGCAGCTGAAAGCTCCACCGACGGTTCCATCGTTGTAGGCATCGACGATGCTTTTGATCGTGGTATACGTGCCGGCAACGGTGATGAAGGAACCGAGGGCAATCACGGCAAAGTGAAGTCCGCACACAGTCTTTTTCCTCCAGTTGGCTCCGTGGTTGCCCCGGTCCATGTAAAGCCCCATGAAAGCTGGAATGACGAGCTTTGTACGACATATCAGGTTAGTCGGGTTGTTTCCTTTTTTGAAGAAGTGGGTGTGGAAGGCTTACACAAGTCGGAGCACAGCAGAGAGATCCGATCAGACCGAGCAGGAAGCTGAAGAACGGGATGGCCTCCGCCACGATGAAGGACAACAACGTTATTCCAAGGGTTGATCCTCTGGAGATTTCCGTGTCAGTAGGTCTGTTCAACTCGGTCGAATAGAGACAACCTACAGCCAAGTGCTCCAGTGAACGAGACTATTGCTCTGTAGGTGAGGAGAGTTGCGAAGGATTTTCACGAAAAGCTATCCAGTGGTCCCGTTAGCAATCTTGCACCTTGGTCTGGAGTAGACGATACCGACAAATTTAGCCGCCATGTGAACCCATAAGGTAGAGGTCATGATGAACCCGGGAATGGAAATGCCAAAAGCGATCTTCTCGATCTTGCCTCCGGCACTTGCCAGTGACGGACTGGCCACATACTGACCGCAGTAGCTGAAAGGTTGTTCAGTCGAGATGTCCCACGAGTACAATAGTCGAACTTACACATAAACCACCGTGCCAAAGGTGATATAGCAGACTGACAAGGCTGCTTGAGAGCTAAACAATGCCTTGGGATAGGATTTGGGCCTTCTCATCTCCGCAATGACCGGCATGAACGTTGGGGTCGCGCCGTAACCAGCTATACCGCGAGTTCAAGTCAGCTACAACTTCTGACTCCTCAGGTTCTAGAACTCTCCGTCTTACAGAAGAGATTGAGTGTTGCAGTAAGTCCGGCGACAAACCCTGGTGACCCAACGGCGATCACACCCAAATCAAATGGGCCTGTCTTCGGTGCTGCGGCTGGCCTGGAGACTTGTGTGACACCGACACTATAACGTTACTCTCGTCAGCGTAATCTCCCATCAATTAGTGTCGCTCTCAGAAAGACTCACACTACAATGAACACAGCCGTAAAGATGGACGCAAACCCTATCCAGGTCAAAACGGCCAATTTGTCCAGTGTTCGGATGCTTGAAACAAGGCCGGTACATATGGCTGCAACGACGGTCCAGACGACCGTGCAGGCTTTGCCATCAGCGAGAATCTTTAGTCCTTGCGCCAGCCCAATAAATCCTGAGCCGGCAGCCAAGCTATGTGAGGTCTGTCAGGACTTTGTCTTTTGTTTTCGGGTTCCTTTGAATTCTCACATCCAAGTCAACAAGAACAGGCCGCCAGCGACCTCGCGAGCGACCGGGCCACCCATGATAGCGGCGGCGTCGGCGATGTTGTGCACTCCGCGATACTTCATGCGGAATAGGTACATGATGTAGGCGTAATCTTGAACCAGGTCGTGAGCAAGTGCCAGATATGCTGATCCGACGGGAGACGCGACTTACAGGTAGTCATCGAGCCCCAGCCGAAAAGGATGCAGATACCGGGTCCGTAGCCGGTCACGTTTAGGGCATAAGGAATTCCCAGCACACCTGTTGCGAAGCAGAGTTTCATGAGGATAATGCCCGCCCGAATCCTGGTTTTCCACGTTTGTGTAAGTGAGTCTGTCTCCATGTTGCCAACTTGGAGGAAGTGTCGTACCATCCCAACGTCCGAAACTCAGCCACGCCAGTATGACTCTTGAAGACCTCGCCGTCGTCTTCGCTCAAGTCTGCCTTGAGAATGTTGTCTTGAACGGACTCCTGGACCACTCCGACATCGATCTTCTCTCCGCCCTCTTGAGCAGTGGCCATCTTGGAGTCCTGCATGGTAGATGGGATTGAGATTTGTTCTGGACTCGGCAGGATTGCTTGAATGGAAGTAAGCGAGAGTTAGGATAGGTGGTTGGGGGGCGCCGGAGGTAGTATATCAAGTTCGCGAGACTCTTTATCTCTCCCCGATCGTGCCCCGTGCGCGAGTTATATGGAGATTCGAGAGACTGGACTTGGTATTCAACAGACTTTTATTTTGAGCCGGCCCCGTCAAAAGCAGTGTCTAGGCCCTGGCTAGGATGCCGTGCTTAAGGAAGCTCACGGTTGGTAGATAACCAATTGAAGTTGATAAGTAGAACGGGCTCCGGATCGTGTTATAGGTCTTACGGCCAAACCTATCTCATTTCAAGTGATGGTAGGCAGAGTACCATATCACCACAACCAATCATGGGCCTGCGGAGCCCCTTCCAGATTGGTACTCAGCCTCCTATCGCCAATTGGCGGACGTATTGACCAACAGGCCCTCAGAAGGCTGTTCTTATCATTGAACCGAACGCCAAACTCCGACACCGCAGATTTCCGAGTTCCCGGGATGGTGGCAGCAATGGTCGCGGTATACTACAGATGCCGTTGTCGCTCATTCTCCGGAGCCACAAATAGCGGCAAGTACAACATCGCCCGCTGGTCTAGATCTGCTGCAGACCGTGCGAGGGCTGGATAATGGAGCCTCGACCACTTCTCTGAGCGCATGGGAGTCGACTTTCGCTCGCGCCTTGCCAGCCTTCCTGCCTTGAGCTTTTACTTCCCCATGCCGATTCCAAGCCCAGGATTAGGAGACGTTGAAGATGGTGATCAAAACGACACCGCAGATTCTCAAGCGAGTCAGCATTCGCTGGCCTCCTGATCCTGCTTTTGAAGACACCGAGACAATCGCACTTAACGTTGCAGGATATTATATGGACTTGCGCGTGACATTGGCGGAACCCTTGGGGAAGATCCGCGTAGGTCACCTTCGTCCGTCACGGGAAATCTGAGGTCCTGGCAAGATGAGCGACCGAGATCGCCAGAAGTCCGAACAACGGAGGGACTGACACTTTCTCGCAGTAACGTTTCGGTGGACCCGCATCATCGATTCACTTGGGAGCCGTCGTTCTGACGAGGCTTCGTTCAAGGAAATGGAGACCGGGGATGATCTGGAGACGGGACAGTTTGACAAGGAAGGAAACGGAGTTCCTGAAGATTACGAGGAGGTGTGGCACGATGTGACCGGGAAAGCTGAATCTGACAACTCTGCATGGATATTGCAAAGCGTCGACGGTTCCATGTTTCTTGGAAAGGTCGGCGACATCTTCTTGGGGATGCAGCAAAGAGGAGGGAATTTCGCCGTGAGGAAAGAGGTCTACACGTCGGAGACTGGTGAATGGGATGGTGTATTTGAAGCTGGTCTCGTACAATCCATCCCTAGAGCTGTGGATGTGCTGCGCGAACTTGACCAAGGGGAAGGGAAGACTGCAGAGCAAGGGCAAGCAGTCTGTGTCTGTAACAGCGAATATATCGTTCGAGGTACTGGTCGATGGATCGAGGAATGATAATTGATGCTTATTTTATGGCCTGGGCAGGATACCATCAACCATTTCGAGCTTCTGATTGACAATTTACACCTTGAATTTCTAAAACCTAGTGACAAGCACTCGAGGACCGTTTCTCGAATAATATTTGCTGGAGAAGGATGTATCACGAAAATCAGCCTATCACCAGACTACAGGCAAAATCCTCCGTCGAAACTGATAATCCTGTATTTGGACCAATTTAACACTACAGCTGGATCTGCCAGCTTACAAGAGCTTTCAAAACATTGTCTCTGATCTGATCCCATCCTAGGTTCACTGCTCCAACCCAATCCTCATGCTGCGTCGCAGATACTATGTCGTGGGTCCATTTTTAGCTTCAGGGGAATGTTTCTGCCAGATCTGAAAACCTCGTGGCACTTGGTTGTCGTCGGATATCGAACCGACTGAGCCGTCGCAATCCGATCCGAGAAGTAGTTCTCCACGCATCTCGAGTTCCGAGCCGCCCCAGTTGATCGGTGGTTGTCACAGAAACTCTTGGTTGACGGGTTATTATGCTTTTACACTCTATAATAATCTGCTCCGAAGGTATGAATTGTGTGATGATTCATCAATGTATTTCGCTTACAAGATGCGGTCGTCAATGAAGCGGGCGAGTGCGCAAAGCAAGCCGTGCATGGTTTGGAGTAGTGGCCAGAATGATTCCTCAACCTAGACTATAAGTTTTCCTAGCTTGTGGGCGCGATTCTGCTAGTTGGGAAAGTGTTTCTTGTTGAACGCACCCACCACCTTTCTGGTCTCCTTAACGATATCGATGCAGCCAGGACTGTCCGAATGACAACATATCGAAGTGCGGTAGTCACCGATTCGAAGTCCACAAGTTGAGCCATCAATGGCGGTCACGCTGCACATCTCCAGCTGCTGGGTCACTCGTCGATTAATGTCTTCGGGGTCCCAAGCCCTGTGGTAGCCAAGGAGAGTATTAGAATAAAGTTGAGAACGACTTCACGACGGTCGCAGGGCTTAAAAAGGTCACAACGTACTGCTTCTTTCGATCAATGATCAAAGTGCCATCCGGATGGTACCTGACATCCGCGAAGAACTCCGCAATGAACTCGATACCCATATCCTGAGCGGCTTGTTCCATACATGTGCCGGCGAGCCCAAAGACAGGGATTCCCTTGGGAATGCCCCGGAAGACGGCTCTCGCTGCTTCATAATCTCTACAGCAGACGTCGTAGAGCATGCCATGAGGCTTGACATGGTGGAGCGGCACGCCCTCTTGGTCGAGAAATCCTTTCAGCGCCCCAATCTGGTAGATGGTGATTGCCGTGAGTTCCTCATGCGACAACTTCATCTCTCGTCGGCCAAACCCTTGGAGGTCGGGAAATCCAGGGTGTGCACCTATCTTGACACCGTACTCCTTGCATTTCTGCACGGTCTCCATCATTATAAGCGGATCCCTGAGCAACAAGTCAATAAGGACCTTGTCCAGAGGAGAGCACGACACCCACGAGGCATGGAAGCCACACGCGATATTGGCATGGTCGATCAGGGGAAGTAAAACCTCTGAGTCCGGTCCGCAAGTCCAGTTTCCATATCCCTCTCCCAGGTCGACATTGATCATCGCCTTATGCTTGATACGAGACATTGTGTCGGCCACGAGATTGGAGTTTCGCCTGTTAAAGACTGAGCTCACAACTGATAGCGTCCGAAGATATAAAGAGTAATCGTCTGGTCATATGAGCTTGACCGAAATCGAAGCATAGTCCAGGGGTCCCTTTGACCAACCTATTACCGGTTGTTGTAGTGGTGGGAGGCGATGAGAGCCACCGAGAAAAGCTCGGCAATCCGCGGACCGGCGAGCATATAAGACAAACAAATTGGTAATATTGAATACAAAGAGTACATGTGGATCTCTATATGACTTTGAGGATTCTTCCCGATTATGCAAGGTGCGTCGAAATGGGCAAATTGCAAGACAGAAGCCCCGCGGGGAAAGAGTGTGTCTTTATTAGGAAGAGATTTAGTAAATAGGACCCCCCAGTTCATACTCTAGAACAAATTCGTCGGAAAATTGAATGAGCTATCATTGCCGTTTCCCAAAGACACCTCGTGTAGAGACATCTCGGCTTCCACGGAGGGAATAGGTCCATATCGCGTATTTTGATCAACCGTCATGGCATCAACGGGACGCGTGATATCCCACCACATTGAGTATACGTCGAAGTTGGGTGCTGGTAATGCGGTGCTTATTCCATTAACATTGGTACGAAGATTGAAAGCGGGATCTGGATGACTTTGGTGTTGTGTGCGGCCACTCGTATTGGGTGTTTGAATCGATATTTCCGAAACTTCAGGCAGCCCTGAGACTCCAGTCCGATTTGCACCCAATTCCCCCCTCTGGAACTCGGATAGGCTCAAGTGTTGTTGGGAAAGCCGGGCCTGAAAGCTGTCCGTTAATCGAGCCAGAAGCACTCCCCACCGAGCGCTGAGGTGTGTATCGTCAACCACGCAGGTCTCAAGAGCAGCTGCAAGTTGCTTGATGTGGCTGAATGTTGCAGAGACATCGAGAACGTGCTTCATCTCTGATGCGCAAATCTAAATTTCCGTCAGGGTCTATAAAAGCCAAGTCAGATCAACGGGTAAGAGGATGTGCTCATACCTGTAGAAGCACCAGAGCTGCTCCCAGGATTCTTGAGTATGAGCGGACAGGTATATGCTTTACATCGTCATCAGGGAGAAGATCATCGACTACCACGGAGACGATGCTTCGAGCTGCTTTGGCTGTTCGACTTAGGTGCTCTTCGTCTAGGTTGAAATTCTGGCGTTTACCATTATCGGATCGGGGCTCATCGCTCACGGTTTGGCACTTTCGCAGCATCAACGCCTGCAGGCTCAGGCTGAAGATGCACAACTGAATATAGTTAAACTCGATCGATAATATTAGTCTCATTTGTCTGGATACTGGTAGTCATTAGCTCGACGGTCCGGGTGCCTGGAGAGATCAAGTTACATTTTGCATGATTGAATTTGATGACGAACTCTTGTAGCAGCGGTTGAAATGACTGCATGATCGAGATGTATTGGCCATTCCTGATAATCTTCTGGGTATGACGTTGAGACCTGAACAGTGCTTCATCCGCTCTTTTGACCAGTGTCGCCACGCGGACCCAGCACTCGGTCGTATTGTCCAATTGAGCTTCCATACGCAGTGCAGAAGGGGTTGGCGTGCTGATCCTCCAACCTGAGGACCCATGTCAGTACACACCCACAAGTGCAAGACTGGAGGCAAGGAGAGGGTGATAAATGAACGTACTCGGCGGGCCTGTTTGCTGCTGCGTAGCATATATCCAAATCAAATATTGCAGGGACTGCGCTCTCTGACGAGTCGATGGAGCTCTGTATAAACGCTCGCGGTACTCAGAATAGTATGTCGAAGGTCCTTCTTTCCCATCAAAGAATCCAAGTTCCGTGGCAAGCATGGACACGGTGGAAAGCATCGAACGACATAAGTGGCCGGAGCGAGCCAGCCACAGGTGACCTGCCCCTGTCTCATACTCACCGCTCGACATGCTCAAATCTCGAGTGTTTGGTGTTTCTGCAATCACAATGGACGTTGTATCATCATCAATCGGCGGAAAGTGGAGGGCGCTAGGATGCCAGTCCAGCACCAACAAGAGAGCTTCGCAAGTGCCCAAAGTGCGAAACCGGATGGACCGCACCGAATCTTGACCTCGTTTCTGCATACTACTCGACGGATCACTCAGTGAGGTAAACTCGCCAACAAAGTTGTCTTCAAACCAGAAGAGACGCGAAATCATCCCTTGCAAATACCTCCAGAGTCGGTCGTGAATGACGCGGGATCTCGATATCGCTGCTGGCCCAGTCCATTTCCGGTATCGAGAGCCGATCATCAATATCGTTATGGTCAGGATGGGCTCTTCCTCGATGAGGAGGTGATGCTTGCTATGATGTGCATAATACTCTGGGGTGGCCGGAGAAAAGGGTGCCTGGTACGTGTAGAAATGGTCAACCATATCCATTGCTTCTTCAGCCGTAAACAGCCCACCACGTACGAAGCGGAGATTCGACCAGGCTCGCAATGCAGCTTTGGTGTCCGGTGAGACGGTGCTCCCAATGAAGGGGAAAGAAGCAGGTCCGGCTTGTCTCATGCTTGCCTGCCCTTCTGGAGACAGTAACTGTCCCTCGGCGTCATTCGTTTCCGTCCCATCTTCGTCGCAGACTCTCGCAAGTAATGTAAGAGCGTCGTGCCAGGTTCGGGAATGCCCGTTCAGTAGAACTGCCTCAGCGCTTCTGCCTTGAGTTTCATCCAGCGTCTGCCCTTCTAACGGTGGAAATGAAGCGGGGGGAGATCCTGCTTCAGATGTGGACGATGCGGGCTCGTTTTCTCCATGATCATATTCAGTCCGCTGCCTCTTTGCAGGAGGCATGCGAGACTCATGGCCCTGACCCTCGATCGTACTCGCTGGAAATTTTCTGGTCCGAGTTGCAGCAAAGGAACAGTCTCTATTCTCCCTGCGACAGCGTGCACAAGGCCCTTTCTTGGGTTGGTCCACGGATCCCAGTTCGCAACGAACCTTCTTCAGCCTGCAAGGCTCGCATGCCTAGGAACCTTGATCAGCGCACGATTCCCATGTGGACGACAGACTTAGCGAGTCATACCTGATAGACTCGCCTATGCTCACGAGGAGCTGGAGTGGTCAACACCATCGAACCAAGCGAGCCGATTCTCTGCAAACCTGGGAAGCATCCCCCTCGTGTTGATAATTTTGAACCGATGCCCATGCGCTGATATCCGATGTTGTGGCCGACGGCCGTTTTCTGAGGTCGTCCGTACCCACCGTTCTAGGCCTTCCAAGGTTATCGGATGTCATATATATGTTGTCCTGTTACGTCTAGGATTCTACTAGGCGGCGCCCAGAGATAACGGCTTACTGGGCATCATCTCAAATAACAATAGCCGTCGCAACACCACGACTAACCCCCCAGCCTTGCCGGATACTTTCCACGATAAGAGCCTGGGATTTCCGTGGGGACAAACTGCTGAGTGCCTAAGCGAAACCCGGTTGGACCCCCGCGGCGAACTCCCTTTGCGCTGGATACGCACTAAAATCATTAGCACTGTCGAGACTCGAAGTTTGTTGTTCACCACACTGAATCCCCCAGAGGCGTCACTCCCTCCTTTAGTGTCTTCCCGCCAGAGAACAATCACAGAATCGAATCCGGTGACATACCATGGACGCATCATTGAAGGAGCTGACCATTGCTCGTGCACAGAAGGGTTATCGCGATGGCACGTTCAACGCTCGACAAGTAGTCGAATACTACCTGCAGCGGATCAAGACTATCGACCAGGCCAACGATGGACCCAAGTTGAACAGTATATTGGCAATCTCATCAACAGCTATCGAAGACGCGGATGCGTTAGATGCGCATCTCAAATCTACTTCGGAACTGAAAGGACCCCTTCATGGTATCCCCGTGGTCGTTAAAGACCAGGCCAGCACAAAGGGCCTCGCTACGACGTACGGGTCGATTCTCGCCAAAGACTATATACCTGAGCAGGATGCAACTTTGGTCACAAGGTTGAAGGCGGCAGGAGCGATAATTTTGGCGAAGACTACTATGCCAGGTAGGACTAAACACCAGTGATCAGATGATGTATGACTGAAGAATTTCTTGAAGATTTCGCAACGTCCTGGCACTCGACGTCATCCCTATCGGGGACGACGAAGAATCCATATGATACGAAAAGAGATCCTGGAGGCTCAAGCTCTGGCACAGGTGCCGCTATAGCAGCTGACCTTGCTCTCCTAGGCGTGGGCGAGGATACTGGGGGCTCCATTCGAGTACCTTCTTCATTCTGCGGGCTCGTTGGTATTCGGTGTACCCCTGGTATTATCAGCCGAAGTGGTTTGTCGCCTCTCCTGGTTCCTCAAGATACACCAGGGCCTATGTGCCGAACCGTTACAGATGCCGCGTTAATGCTCGATGTAGTTGCCGGCTTCGACGAGCAGGATTCCTATACAGCAGCAGCAGTTATCGCGGGGCCCCCTACTGGAGGAAGTTATGGAGCGAACCTGTCCGTGGACAAGATCAAATCGGCACGAATTGGTGTACTCCGGGGTGTATTTGGACCGGACTCCAGTCCAGATAGCCAATCTGTGAACAAGGTCATTACTACGGCGCTGCAAACGCTCCAAGATAACGGCACGGTCCTCCTTGACGTCGACATCCCGAACTTGACGAAACTCCTCGAGATCACCTTCACATATCATCAGCGCTCTCGATCCGACCTTGATGATTTCTTCAGTCGCCATCCATTCCTCAAAACCAATACTCAGGAGATCTACGAGTCGAAGAAATATCATCCGGCGCTTGATTTGTTCGAGGGTATTGCTACAGGCGTTGGCTCTCCCCAGAAAGATCCCGATTTCACCGCTCGCCTTCTTGCCCGAGAGGAGCTCCAACGGGCCATTACTGTCACTCTAGCTAAGCATAACCTCGATGCACTGGCTTTCCCCGATGTCCAGATCCCGGCTCCATTACTTGAAGATGTACTTTCTCGGAGGTGGCCTGCGGCGGACTTCCCTACAAATACGCTGGTATCGTCACAGTCGCTTTTCCCCTCTATCACTGTCCCCGCTGGCTTGACCCAGGGTCAGAGTGGCTTACCCGTGGGTTTGGAATTGGTCTCTCTGCCATATCGGGAGCAGAAACTGCTGGAATTGGCATACGGAGTGGAGCAACTCGTCCAGGGTCGGAAACCTCCCGTTCTGTGAACGCATGCTGCTGACAGGAGATCCCGGTGTCGAAATATACAAATACCCGATCCTGATCTTTAAAATCCTACAACCCTCTTACCATGAACTCCAACCTGGGCAATTACATTCTTATGATGACTGTAGGACTTTCTCAATCAGCTAGATAATTCCAAAAGTCGCTCGATCTCTTTCATCACCCCAATGCACTTTTCCTCTCGCAGTCGTTGACAAATGACCTGTACGCCTACAGGCGCGCTCCGGAACACGTCTGCGCTGGTAACTATGCACGATTAGACAAGGTGTCATTCCTGGGAGAGTGAGCGGTAGACTTACACAACTCTTTCATCTCTTTATCCCCTAGGTCGTAAGGGAACCTCATAGTTTCGATGCGTGGGTACGGAGTATGGTCCAGCCACTCTCTCTCTGGCGCATCGTCCGTGGTGACGGTGGTCACAGGGATACTTCCGGTCGTGTAGTCCAACATGTTGTATATGGTCGCATATGAATTGCTGATGTACTTTCCATGTGGCGGAGCTGGATGCGCGACAGCGGGGGCCAAGATGGCATCCATTCCATACTCTTGCCACAGAGTAGCATAATCGTAGGCAATCTGGCCCCGCTCCATATGGTTTGCGAACACCTCCTCGGTCGTCAACAACGAGGCCAACGATCCAGTGGCTGTGCGCGGAATGACTGGTTCCCCTGAGGCCTGAATATGCTTCATGACCCCTCGGCCGCCATTCTGCACGTTGGATTTCATCACGCATGCGGTTCCCCGTCGATGCAAAGTCTTCAGTCTTTCGGCCGGCAACTCTACAACCCTGTGGCCACCGACCTCTAGTGCAGAGGTTACCTTTGCCAAAGCTCTCTGCGCATGATTAGCATGATTCTGCGGTATCGTCTCCGATGGTTCTCAGAGTCATTCCTCACCCGCACAGGCTTGGTCGGTGCGACCACTCCATCATCCTGGAGCACCGCAATCACCAGTTTTGAAGTCGGACGACGTGCTTCCCGTACGCTCCAGGCCATCGGGACACAACCAGGATCGACCTTCCATGGCTCGGTTGCCAGTTGTATCTGCATCCACAACTCCAGGCCAGACACGGTTTTTCCAAGTGGTCCAAGCCCAGCATTGACTGATTCGTTGCCATCAACCATCAACCCAAGTCCTCGGCATGACAGCCGACCTTTGGAGCATTTCAAGGCCCACAGACCGCAGAACATGGCCGGGAAGCGAAGACTGCCTCCCCCATCGGTTCCGGAGCCGATTATACTCCCTTTGGATGCGATCAAGGCTCCCTCTCCTCCGGTGGAGCCTCCTACGCTCAAAGTCAGGTTGTATGGATTTCGAATGGCTCCGAAAATGTTGTTGATGCTCTCTACCATCAGGCAAGCTTGGGAACAACCCGTCTTGGCATAAAGGATCCCGCCAGCCGCCAGGACAGCGTCGGCGACGTCCGAGTTCTTCGCGGCAATATTTGGGAGCCAGGAAACCAGTCCGAGAGTGGTTGGTTGCCCGGCAATGTCAAACAAGTCTTTGAGCGAGACGGGGACGCCGTGCAAGGGACCTGTCACGGTTCCAAATTGTTCACGATGCGCGTCCAAGTCTCGAGCCCCCTGTATCGCCAGCTCGGGAAAGAAGCAGGTAAGGCATGCGGTGCATTGATGTGCAATGGCTGCCCGCTTGCAGAAGGCAGTGGTAACTTGTACGGCAGTATATTTCCCGCTGGCTAGTGATGACCGCAGTTGCCCAACATCTCGAATGGACGTTATCTCCAGGTCGATGCCGTCCAGTATGCCACAACGAAGGACTCTCGGATCTTCAGGGGCAAGTTTTCCATCTTCTGCCTCGCTCTTCAAATCCAACGGCAGACGCCACGCTTCGGGGATGGAAGTCTCAAGAATACGCCGGGGATCGGCTACTGCTTGACGCCAATTACTGATGTGGAAAGGAGGCGGCATCGAAGCAGCAGGTTAGCTATAAAAGAAAGTGTTTATGAGTCTTGCGGAGACTGTTTTTGCAGATTCTGGCTGTCTTCGAGCAGCGATGGCATGCATATTTAAGGGTATTCGACAAGGGGAACTAGAATCGCCCCGCGGGCAATTTGTTGTTGGTGAAAGAAATTATCCACCTCTCAGATGTCTGAGAAGGTCTCCAGATCTTTCCACGGTTCGCTCGGCTTCAAGTTGAAGTCGCTAGAGTTTGGAATGGGCTTTTCCTGGAGATGCATCCGCGACCTTGGTTGCAATGGCTGTCTGTGCTTTACGGGCCCAGTTACAGGCGCATGTACACGTCAGTACCACTCCCCAGAACATGGACCAAAGGATTCACCGGAGTTTGTTTGTTCTCCTGCGTTTTGTTGAGAGGATGAAGCGGACGAAATGTTTCAAGTTTTAACTTTTTAAGTCTGGATTTTTGAAATCGTTAACCCCAATACCTCGTAATCCTTGTACTTGTATGAATTTGGAAAAAGACTCAGAGGCCTCCTTCGCAGTAGTCAACAAATATACTGGGCACCCTATTTCAGAGGTCGTTGCAGTTGCTCCTCATAGTGCTTTTGGCTTTTGGGTCTCTTCAAACTCAACAGTCTCGACAACCTGCCCCTGTTCAATAGCCTTGCCATGGAGCGCAGCGTTCTCGATCTGGGTGATCCTGGCCCCAATACCAGTGCCGATATAGCTTCTGCTCCTCCAGGCGGGCACTTTTGCGTGGAAAAGTTCGTCGAGCTCCTCCAAGCTTCTGCCTCTCATCTCTGGGACTACAAGATAGACAAAAGCCATCGTCAAGATGGAACATGCGCCGTAGACCATACCAATTTTGGACCCAAGATTTCCCGGACTCCCCTGGACATAAGGATTGACGTAGGTGATCAACACGCTGCTCGAGAAACCGATCATGGTGGCAAGAGCAATGGTACGCTCTCGAAGCTGAGTGGTGCCCACTTCCGCTGCGGCGCTCGTCAGCTCACGAAGGCAGCATTCTTTAGAAGCGAGGTGACTTACCTGTCACGGTCCACATAACTGATCCCCAACAGGCGACGGAAACGAATTCCTGTGTCAAGTTCAGCGCCCGTTGTTCGCCTGAGGTCGGGAGAACTGCTGCTGTACTCACATAAAGCATGATGGCTGTCACGCATCCCTGCGCAGTTGCTCCTTTCACACCTCGGGACTGCCATGATGCAAGACCACTAACCGTCCACATGAGGGCAGTCATCAAGAAAGCACCACCGATCAAGAGTGGACGCCGACCTATTCTATCGCTCAGAACAAAGGCGACCAGGGTTCCGGCAAAACCACAGCATATACTGGCCAGCTGGATAGTGAGAGGATCTTGTACACCGATCTGTTCCAGAAAGATAACAAGGTAAGTCATCATGAACGAGTTTCCTTGAGCCTGTTGTAAGACCTGGACGCCGACTGCAACCAAGGTGCGTCGGCCGTTCGTCCCCTTGAAACAGTCAATGTAACTCGTTGCTTGATGAGCCTCTTTCTCTTGATGCATAGCCTGGTCAAGCAAATCCAGTTCCTCAGTGACTTGCTCATCGGTCAGCGTGCCATGGCGCACATAGGCCAAAGCTTTCCATGCCTCGTCTCTTCTGCCCTTGGAAAGAAGCCAACGGGGAGATTCGGGAATGAACCAGACCGCGCAGAGGAGCAGACAGGGAAGTACGAACTGCACAACGATTACTGCGATTCTGATGTTAGCTTCTTTGTCAAAGGGCGGATTTACTGCAGGAACTCGCCTGTTAAGTACTCCCACCTGCCACTCAAATGCTTTGACGAACCAACAACCACGCCTGAAGCGATAATTGCGCCGAGGAACAGCCAGCTTTGGTAGAAGTTGATGAGGTTGCCTCGAATCGATGGAGGTGCAAGTTCAGCCATGTACATTGGAATGCAGTTGGCCTCGATACCTAGCACGAGTCAGTAACACATCCATGTCACAAGTCAGGATCTTATGACTTACCCATGGAGACACCGTTGACCATTCTTCCGACCATGAGACCCCAGTAGTTGCGTACCGAGCTTTGGATTACCATCCCCACAAGGGCAATGATGCACAGAACGACGATGGTCTTTCTCCTCCCCAGCTTGTTGGCGAGCAGTCCCGCAATGCCGCAACCAAGGATCCAGCTGGCGACTGGTGTACCGCTCGCAGCGGACAACCAGGACGATGGAAGAGTCCTTGGCTCGCCTGGACCATTCTTACGTCCATAAGCTGCCACAAAACTCGGAAGACCAATGATTCCACCCCACCAGGTATTGTCGTAGCCAAAGTTCTGTACCAGCGTGAACTGTCAGCGAGCCATTACGGCGACATCACCTAGAAAGGTCATTGCCCAGCGCTCGCACGTACCATAGCACCAATCTGGAGATCAATAGTCAGCGGTAACATCTCATGAAGTAAGATGCCTCACTCACCGAGCAGAAGAGAAAGATGCGTAGCAGCCGTGGCGTCACTACGGAGCTTTTTATCAACTTCATCTTGAATTTGTAGTTGAGTGATCAATGACACAATGTGCAAGCCCAGAATGAAGCCAGTGTTGCCGGTTCTTTAGGATACAGAGTTGGAGTTGTTGAGATCCTCGGGCGTGCAAGTGCAGGCCGTCGACGGCATTTGATACCATCACAGAAGGCATCAACCTCTCTTTCTTGAAGCCAAAGGTGTACGGAGTACCTCCCATGAGTATAGGTTTGATAAGACGGTCTGGCTCGCTAGGCTGCAGGTCGCCCCGCGGGCAACTCTAGTCAGCTTTAGTCCGATATTTTCTGTGCTCTTATGCGGGTCTGGAGATTTCGTGATGAAGGTGGATACTTGTCACACCCTTGACGAGAGTTGCTTTGCTTGGGTTGGGGGTGTGGAGAGCTCGGAAGGCTTGAAAGTGCCTTACTCCGGCTTTGGCTTCAGTTGCTCTCTGTTCCCTCCTTTCCGACGACAGCTTTTGCACTAAAGCCCCCCGCGGGCGACTTTCTTCGCCTTCACATCTCAGCGACTTCGACTGTTCGAGACCACCTCTGTGGTTCAGATGCGCAGGGCACACGACATCGCATAAGCATCCACACCCAAGATACCACCAGCACGGTATTGTCTTCCCAAGTCGGACAGAATACAGCTCGCGTAGGTAAGACCTCAAAAGATCAAGCGACTGCCTATTCTAATGTGAGCTAGGCTTTGTTGGTGAGGCTGCCTCGTCGTCCATCATCTATTGAAGTGAGACCAGCCTCGCCCAGATCAAGTATGACTCGACGAATAACAAGGAGCTATTGCCAGGAACCATTGACCTCACAGTAGTGGCAGTCTGCGCTACATGGCTGGCCGAGCCCCGCGGGGAAATACTAGTCCACCAGCCCAGGCCCAAGGGCAGACCAGTGATGCCAGCCATCGACGTTACAGATCCAAGAAGCAACGTCCGTAAGGGATCTCCTCTATCACCTTACCTGCAGATATGCTCTCCGAGTTAGTTATCAATGACTGATCCGGTTCCTTTGCAGCTGTGACGGATGTCGGCGCCGCCGGGTCGGATGTTTCCAAGAACAAGGTCAGACTGCCTGCACATTGTGTCGCCACCGAGGCGTACAGTGTACCTTCGAATCAGCCCCACCAGTGAAGAAGAAGCGAGCACCTACACCCCAGGACAAGAGCCCTGCCGTGACAGCCGCCCGGCCTAGCCATGAAGAGGTTACACATGCTAGGGATCCGCTCCACGTATTCGACATTCCTTGGACTCACTCTCCGTCAACGTCAAGCGATGCCACAGCATCAAAGTCTCTACCAAACTATAGAACGTACGTGCCGGGCCGGACAGTTCTGTACGCAGGATTCAGTAGCGATCAAGATGTCAATTTGCTACGGCATTTGCCCTTCGACGAGACTCAATCCTTCGGCACCGACAACTGGCGTGTGTGGAAGGCTTTTCCCCACGAGACTGCCCCTGCCTATTTCACGGTTCGTGCTACCCGGCCAGCCGTTGTCGTTGAAGTGCTCGTGGCTTTTGGAAAACTGATCTCCATTTCAGTCCTATCCAGATTTCCTTCTCGACTGTCGCGGTGGAATCTACGACCTTGAGAGCGTGGAGCGAATGGTCCGCCCACACCAAGCTTCACTGATGGACCTGTACTATTCGTATGTGCATCCTCAATACCCTATCCTGGAGAGCCGGGAAACTCTGGAAAGAGCAATCAAGGCCCGCTCGGTTCCGTCTTCACTCCTTGCTGGCATATACGTCGCAGCCACATCATTTCTCGACTGTCCCCCCGAGTTTTCTGTCCCACTCGAGGACATGTACACCTTCATCTTCAGATCGGTGACTTTTGAAGGGAGGACCCCTTCATTACGGACGATCCAGGCCATCCTCCTTTACATGCAATTACCACCGCTGAGGGTTCGGGAGCCCAATCATCCTGGATTTTGGGCGTTAACAAGCCAGGTAAGCAGATCATTTCTTCAGTCTGTAATAGTTCTGAAAATCCTCACGCTTGCAAGGCTGTGGCTCTCGCGCAAGACATTGGTCTACACGTCGACCCCGGGAATTGGAACATATCTCCATCCGAGCGTAAAATACGCCGGGTGTTGTGGTGGGCTACGTATATGCAGGACAAATGGTTGGCTACCAACCGGAACGGGTTTCTCATCTCGCTAACCATATTAACAGGCTCGCACATTGGCTCGGGATGCCCAGCCATATCAAAAACGACCAATTCAATGTTGAACCGCTCAATATGGACGATTTCAGCGAACAGTTGCAGATTGAGCCTGCTTTAAGCCCATCCGTCGAAGGGTTTGTGGAACTGACCTACTTGACCACCATTTTATCAAATGTTCTCGATAGCCTCTACACAGTAAGGCGTGGACCAGGCGCCATGACACCAGCAGAAGTACTTTCGCATGCAGGGAATTGCCAATCTCAACTACGTGAATGGCAGTCGCAGCATCATGCTCTTCTGACACGGCCGAACAAAGTTATCACTGGTATGTTTGACAATTTCAGACAATCCTATTTCAATACTGACCCACTGTTTGACTAGACTACGTTCTTTTGCTGGCTTATTATGGCATCGTTATCTCCATACAGCGAGCTCTGTTCTCATGCGTAGGAGGGACCTCGTACTACGACATCCAACGGGAAGGTCTGCTCTTCCACCAACTATTTGCAGTCTTCGAAGAACTCCTTAAGCAAGAATTCGAGGGTCTTTGGCTCAGTTGTAAGTGCACCATCCTTGCGTGGGGACTATAACTAAAGACTATGTGGGCGTAGATTGTAAGCCAAACATTGCTATACTGGGTACTTTTATGATCACGGCTCTTCTTTCCAGCACGGATGATGAGGTCTATCTCGCCCGCCGATCAGCTTTGGACGAGTATCGCGGCTTACTTGATCTAATGGCGGAGAGGTTGGATTTTGCGGCACTCCCTCGTCTGCGCCTCAATCTCCTCGTGGAACGCTTCTCCAGCAGTGACTCTGGAATAGATCCTGCATTGAGGCAGAATTGATCTTGTTCTAAGGCCTATGAAAGTGTCGGTTATATGATAATCGTATGCTGTTGGGTAAAAAGAGCTACTAGATATCCTAGCAACGGAAAATAACACGCAACACAGGGCAGAGTTTTCCATGCTGACAGACGATCCATCCATTGTCTCCCATTACCTCACGGCGTTCTGGTAGTAAAGCAAAGTCCGGTGCAGCTCTTATCAGCGCGCACTTAGTAACACATGTAAATGACAAACAAGTTGAGTGGATCTGTTCAGGGACTATGTAGGTAGGCGATAGACGCTGACCGGCCTCGGGCGACGCTTCGACTATCTATGCACTACCAGCATTTGATCGCCCCGCGGCCGACGTGCAGCAAGCATGAACAGCATCGAAGCGGGCGGACTAATACAGTGGTACTCAAATAACTGTACGTACCGTGATGGCCTGATGTGGCTTTCCGGAGTAGAATCTCAAGACCCCAGGATAGGCCTAGAGTATCTGTTTTTAAATCTGTTGTATCCTTTCCCATCTCTTTTCTTTCGTTAGTCTCGCGGGCAACGGTGCCAAACCTATACCATCCTGTCTCCAACCATGGGCATTACCACTACCATTACGCAGGTCCAAGCCTTGACACAGTATCCGTAAGTGAGTGTTTCTTTGATACGGTCTGGTACTCACGAATGGCAATAGTTGTCCGCTGCTGGAGGAACGGTTCTCGGTCTTGAAGCAGTCGATCGTCAAATCACAGGACAGGAAGCAGGTTATCGATTCCTATCATCGTCTCACCTCGGCTCTAGAGGTGGAAGCCGAGCGAATATGCAAGCAAGGCCCGAAAGCGATTCCCGAGATCGACTTTGCAACGGTTGAGGAGAACGGTGGTCGACTGCCAGAAGGCCTGAGTGAGACGGTACGCCGGACGGGATGTGTCATCATCCGGAATGTCGTCTCCAAGCAGCAAGCCACCGCTTGGGAGCAGGAATTGAAGAGTTACGTGAAAAGGCACCCTGGAATAGGAGGGTTTCCCACGCACGACCCCCAAACCTTCAGCTTGTTCTGGACGCCGCCGCAAATGCAGATCCGGAGTCACCCCAAAGTCCTCCAAGCGATGGACGCGGTCAGTCAACTGTGGCACTTGACCCGAGACGACACCTTGTTCGACATGTCGAGTCAAGTTGTGTATGCCGACAGGTTTCGCATCCGACATCCTTCCAAAGGTGTGCTAAACTCCTCCTTGGCTGCATAGCCACCCCCCACTCACCGTCAAGCAGACTCTGAGTTCACCCTCAATGCTCACCAGGATACTGGCTCTATCGAACGATGGGAGGACCCCACGTATCGCTCTTGCTACGAGCCGATCTTCAGAGGCCGTTGGGAGGAATATGACCCATGGAACGCCGACCATCGTGCGGAAGCAAAAAGTGATTTGTATCAAACAGGAAGTAAGAGCCCAGTATACACTCCCAGCAGCCCTGAAATTGTGAAGGTTCAAGGGCTAACGATTGGGCGCCGTACTGAACAGCTTCGTGCTCGGTATTCCGATCGCTGCAAGGTTGGCTCAGTATGTCTCATACCAATACCGGCGAAGGGACATTACGACTTCTGCCCGAGCTCAAACTTTCGACGGCGTACCAATTGCTGCGACCGTATTTCATCCTCGACGAGACGTTCGACGACGTAACACCGTTGTTTCCGGGCGCAACGCCGGGAGCGACGCAGTTTCTGCCCACGCGGGAACTGCATCCGCATTTGCTGATGGAAAAGAGTATGGTGGGCATTCCGCCGGTGAGGCCAGGTGACTATGTCTTCTGGCACTGCGACCTCGTGCACGAGGTGGACAAGTTCCACCCCGGCACGCGCGACTCATCGGTCTGCTACAACGGCTGCGTGCCACTCTGTCCGTACAACCTGGAGAGCCTCGTGAGCATGCGACAGAGCTTCCTTGACGTCCTGCCACCAAAAGACCACACCAACTACCCGCACAACGAGCTGGAGCGCGACCACGCCGACCACGGTGCCCGACGCGAGAATATTCTGTCACTGCCGGGGCTGCGCGCCATTGGCCTGGAACCGTTCGACGCGGATGAGGAGGGGTTGTCATCGGGAGAGCGACGGATGCGTCAGCTGGCGAACGAGAGGTTAGGGTTCAGCCAAACCTCAAGTGGCTTTGCCGAGTGATACTCGTTGGTACATAGAACTAGAGTCACAAAGAACCACTCAACGCCAACAGAGAGATCTGAAAACTCGCTCAGGTCGTTCGTTTGAATTTGTCCATCGTGAGAAGCACGACGGCCGCTGGATTCTCATGTGAAGTTTCATACATTATAACCTACTTGTAGGTACATAGATGAGTTCTACTAAGTTGCCAGTCGGTGTTAAAAACACGTCTGTTGGTAGCTCTATCAAGCCTAGTCAATTTTAGCGTGTCTGCGATGCTATTAGGGGAAGGTAAAGCACAGCTTGGCTGGCGGACGAGGAACACGAGTTAAAGCGGCCGAATCTTGGCACAATGTCGACTGCGCGCCCGAGCTTTTTCATTCTCAATGCGTGCATCAATGAAAGCGATGCTCTGTGACCTGTAAACAAGTATAACCCTTGATCTTGTCATCGCATTTACTGCGCCCGAGTCAAGCACAACTTCTCCCTCAATCCCACTGGGCGCTGTATAAGGTGTACTTTGGATCCACGAATCGACCAGCGCCGAAAAAATGGCTGCGCAGCCTACCGGCCCATCTTGTATGAGAGCTCTCTGTCCGTCCGTTTGATGTCTGTTTTCAAGACTGACAGCGTCTCAGTTGCCTGCCTGCGATACCTACAAATAAAGGCAATCTTCTCAAATTACCCGAGAACGGCACCTACGAGATCGAGCTGGATACACTGCCCTCACCTCACCAACCGCGCGATCCGAGCTCCGTCAAGATGCGACCGCTCGTTCTCCACCACGACAGCACGTCAAGATTGGCTGACACCCAAACGGCCGGAAGTGAGAAAGTCTCATGTAGGACGTCCTCGAATGCCCACGGGTGGTTCCATGCGTGGCACGACCGTTGTCTGGGGTGATTACGGCCTGCGGATGAAGGACCACGATCGACGCGTCTCGGCGAAACAGCTCAAGAATGCCGAGGAAACCATCAATAGAAGACTGCGGGGCGAACGCTTCAGGTTGTACAAGAGAGTTAGCGCAAATATCGGCGTCTACACGAAAGGCAGCGACGTGCGGATGGGGAAAGGCAAGGGGAAATTCGACTACTGGGCCGCGCGTATCCCAGTCAGCAGGGTAGTGTTCGAGATCAAGAGCAACCTCCATGAGCAGGTGGTAAGAGATGCTTTTAGATTGGCAGGAAACAAACTACCTGGGTTATGGGAGTTTGTCAAGAAGGGAGACCCGCCAATGGTTGGCATCACAAAACTTGGCAATGGAGTGACGCTGGAGAAGCTCAAAGAGGCCCGAAGAGAGGTGGAACCCAAGGACAAGAAAAGCCCACAACCCATCATATCCTCTGCGATGGAAGTGCCGCCTCAGACGATCGCGACTGAATTAGATCCTCCGCCGACGACTGTTCACGTTTCACCCTGAGCCATCGGACGAGGAGATATCCAGGGACACACTCGAAAACTCTCGACCTCTATGCCCCGATCCCACTTCCTCCCCCGTATCTTTGCTGCGGCCTGGTGTCCTTCTGTCCCTCGGCCTGATCTTGTGTTCCTCCATAGCCACCTTCCTGGCCGGCTTGGCCGTCCTGCGCCGCTGTCTTGCCACCCATTCCGGACTCTAAGATATTCTGACCATATCTTATGTTGTCAGCTGTCTGCCTCCCCCGATCTTCGGACACGAAGAGGCTTTCTGAGATATTGGGGCCGCCTAAGGAACATGGTCAGTTGCAGAGAGGAGAGGGACAAGATGTCAATGGCGTACCGCCCAATTGACCTCTTTGCTTCGAGGTGGGAACAGTCTCGGTCTTGATGGACTCATATCTGCGGACGACGACTATCAGCTGGCGCTCGGAGACTGACATGAGAGAGAGCAATAACCACATACTGGGGGGTCTCGCCTCCCGGAACTGTATCCATAGTTTTATCTTGGCCCTGGTTGCCATCCATCTTGAATACCTTGAACGAATCGTACCAGTCGCAAGTCAAGACTTGATCAATGGTTTGAGTGACGGTGTTGAAAAGATCCATTTAAAACATCAGACAACAATATTGGGCCACATGTTAGCAGCCCATCTATTTGCTTGTTGAGTGAGGGTTGCTGAGCTGTTCCTTTGGCGCCTTCGCTCCACTCCATGTTGAGAATGAGCGCCCGGTTTGACGTCACGGGGATGCATATTGAGATCAGATCGAGCAAGAGCCTCCGATGAGTGACGACGGTAACGCTGGAAATGTGCCAGCAGCGGCTTATGTAACGTCATGCCCGCCATTTCCACGTGACTGGTACCTATCCCTGGCGTGCCCTGGGTATCCTTTAGACGAACCTCCTCGCCTTTGCCAGCAAGTCTCATGTTCACAGGAAGCATTGTGGCCCAGCTCGTCCAGAGACTCTACCATTTTGTTCTTGAAAAATTGAATGCTACGCGTTCGTCTTGAAACCACAAGATTGTTGATGCCGTAGTTGGCAACCTGGGCCGAATGCTTGGCCCTATAGCGGACTATGCAATAATGTCGAGGAGCCCTCCATTCAGTGATATAATCCTCTCTCACTGACTTCACCCTATGTGTTCTACGCTGTATGTGGATGCAGTGTTGTGTACTCGTACAACGAGTGTGGAAAGTACTGCAGGGCGGATTGGTCTTTTACTCACACAGTGGGCACCGCGCATATTGTAAGCATCTATCCATCCAAGCAGTTCCGTCGCAAGCTACTCCTGCTGATTGCTCGATAATGGCGAGGTTCCAGGACCACAGCCTCGTGTGGGACGCCTTAGGCATTGGTGCTCCACCATAGCTGGACTAATGCCGATGCGACTAGTTTCCCGATGTAAATGACGTGACGGATACGGGTATTCGGTATTTTGAGGCCTCCCTGTCAATAATCTTGACCGTTGAACATCTGTTTTGCGCGTACACGAAATATGAACTCGGTACCCACATGTCTATCCTGTTCAGTGCTTTCAGACGCCTAAGCGGCTACTCAGGATCCAGATACCACCTGTCGACAGCTAGACTTTAGTCCTAGCTTCTGGATCTACAACCAAACGTAGATCCCAGCTTGGCTCTGAGCCCCATGGCCTGGTCTGCGATTCAGCCCCCAGCAAGCTACCTATGTAGCACATCAGACTCGTCTTTGTGGTTTCAACTTCTTCTGGGCGAATCGCTTGGTGCCATCCAAGTTCGGCCGCAGAAGATCAATAGGTGGAGCCATGGAAGTTGAAGCTAGGTCACCGCTGTCCATTTCTTTAAGAAGAGTGAAACGCGAAACTGCCGCTGAGTCTTCCTGTGACCTATAACCTATATCTTCTCATACGATAACGCTTGCCAACGTGGGAAAAGGACACCATCAAGTCTGAACAAAAACCGCCGCAGAAACGGTCAATATGCCTGGCGCTAGGAGCAAAGGCTGTCGGACATGCAAGCAACGACGCATAAAAGTAAGCCACCTCGAAGATCAGATCTCTGTTTTCGATTCTTCTCGCCATACGAGCGCCCCTCCATATCGCAAATCTAACCGAGATCTCACCTAGTGTGATGAGCGCACGCCGATATGCTTCCAATGCGAGAAAAGCAAACGTCATTGTACAGGCCCAGACTCCCCGTTTCGATATCAGTACGGCTCGGTGGAACAGCGCGCACAGCTTCTTCAAGCCTTGGATGCGATTACCGTTGACGACAATGGTGGCAGCACCTCTGCCAGTAGCTTAAAATGGAACAGGATCGCCCAGCTTGAGGAAACGATAGATCCTGTGGCAACTGTCGTCCCACTGACCCAATCCGAGCGCCTTGCTACCACCCTGATCTCGGCGCTCGAAATACCCTCTGCGTTCGGTGCACGCCTGCAGCAAATGGGCTTCCACTTCGGAAAACTCCCACCTCGTCTGGGCCGAAGCCGGGCACTTGACGCCGCAGTCAACTGTTTCCTGTACTCTTTTACCGCTGTCAGCATGGGCCGGCCGCGCAACCAGTCCCTTGAGTTGGCCCGCTACTGTACGGCGATCTCTTGCCTTCGACAAGAGCTGGCCCAGTACGACGGCGATGGCTTGCTCTCCACGCCGTCCGAGACACTCTGTGCATCGCTACTTCTCGCTCAGTATGAGATCCTGAAACCTGGCCCGGCCTACTCTTTCGTCACGCTTTCAGGTGGCGTCTCTGCGATCCTCAGAGGCTGTGGCCCGAGCCGCGCGCAGTCGTCCGAGTTCGAAGCCGCAATCTTCATGTCGCAGTATCCGACAATCATCACGCAGTGCATGCTGCGCGGCGAGGATTGCTTTCTCAGTGGACGGGAATGGGCCAACGCGATGCGCAGGACTGGCGGAGCAGACTCCGAAAGCCCCGTCACCGCAGAGCTATGGACGATCCTCGCAAACCTGCCAGGAGTTCTGGTGCGTGCTAGAGAACTGAGCCCGCCATCTCCGTCTGCGGCGTCATCACCTCTCTATGCGGAGCTGCTCTCGCAGATATACAAAATCCGCGCATCGATTGTCGTCCAGTCTGAGACTGTCACGCGCAACCTCTCCACACCGGGCGTCCATGCCACCTACCCACGAGCCTACCGCGGCCCAATCCCGGCCCCCGGTTTCCACCCGGAGAGCAAGCTCGAGTCGCTGCAGCCGTCACGATACATCAAGCAAGCCACCTTCTACCACGGCTGCGTCATCCTGATCAACACCGTTCTCCAAAACTTTCTCTCGGGCCCCAACGCTGCCCTCTCCCTGCAAACGTCGCAATCCTCGACCTACATCCTGGAGACGCTCGACTTTGCCCAGACGACCAAGCCCTTTGGCGCGTTCTACATGACTTTCGCGGGACCGCTGTGCTATGGGGTGCTCGCCGACCCGGTCCGGAAGGAGATGCTGCTTGCCGGGATGAAATCCATCTTTGACGACATTGGGATTTTTTGGACCCACCTGTCGATGCAAGAGGTCTTTTATGCCTTGACCAAGGGCGGCTGGCGGACAAACGTCTGTTTGACGGCAACAAAACCTCGGTGAAGTTGAAGTTGAAGTTGAAGTGAAGGTGACCTGGAACGAAAGAGACCAGCCATCAAATGATTGAGAAGAGCCTTGAGGGGTTGTTGTGGCAGAAGGCTGTCAGACCACTCCTCAACGAGCTGGAATATCTCGGTCCGGTGAACAGAGTAAACAGGCTGCCTCGGACCGTTTGGGTATTGGTGGATGTCAAGTGGCTCCGCACTACAACAATCTGCGGCTGATACCATCACGGAAAGTATCTAATCTACTCTAATCGTATGCTCCAGTGCTCAAAGCTTTGTTCCACAGACTCGGAGCTGTTGAAGCATCGCTGACGTAACAAGAGTTACACAGACTCGCGGGCGGTATGGAGGTACTTGGATACCAATGTAACTGGGAAGGACTTTGCAAAACGCTTAAATCGTCTTGATCCAGATCCACGGAGTCTAGCAAGTGTTTGGTCATCTTTTCTATCGACTCTGCAGACTCTTTGCCGATGTCTGGTCGAGTCATGGAGGTTCAGGGCGGCAATGTTACACCGTGCGGACAGACATCCTCCCGAACTGTTTCTGATCTCGAGAATGACGCCATATCGAAAGTAGACTGGCGGCTTCCCCTACCTAATACCAATCGAATATTCCGCAGTATCCAATGTGAACAAGAGAGTGATAGCCAGTTCTTGCTCGCCAGTCTCTGGACCCCTCGTGGCCTATTGTACAACCTGACGACCTTCCTAACTCCGTGGCTAGCCTAGCGCAAGACGTATCCCCAGGTCTCCAACCATCGGTCGTCTTCTAATCAGCCTGGCTGCTTCGGCCAGTCCTTGCACAGTCCAAACAATGTCCGACAGACCTTTCCGAATTCAACCTTGGCGTTGAAGGTGTGCCAAGACCCTTGCGCCCGGTGCCAAACTCGCGCTGAAGGGTCTGTTACCGGCTTCGAGCCCATGTTGCCGTATCTGCCTCGTCCGGGGCTGTTTTCAATGTCAGAATCCGAGTGGCGTAGACAGCGTGAGGAAGAACACCAACCTAAATCCAGTGATTGGCAAGATCAGAACATCTTCCACTAGCTTGCTTTGACCGCCATCGAGCAATCCAGTCAAAGCGTTCCACCGCAACCCGGTGCGTTCCTCTAGCCAAGTCTTCGCTGCGACGGTCACAGCAACTGGTCCCGTCAAAGACACTGGTCCAATTTGTCGTAGTTCCCTGACTGCCTCCGGAACGCTGATATCTCCCCTGTTGCGCCTCGCAATATCTTCCAGCCTTCGTTGAAGGGTGTCCATGAAGCGTAGAAGAATGGCGTGGCCGGAACTTGAAGCTAAAGCCCATTGCGTGAGTTGGACAGGGTATGAATACCCCATACGCCAATAGTCATTCTTGTGAGGCACACAATCAGCTTCAATCCCAAGAATGCTGCTTACGGGGTTGTCGAAGGAAAAGTTCATTTCCGTCACGGAGTCCGTCCAGGGAGCAAGGTCAGAAGCGGCCACCCAGGAGGCAGGCCGGCGAAGCGGTCGAGTATCCACGTCTGCATACTAGGAAGATGTCAATCGGCTTGAGATGCAGACAGGGCTTCATATGAGCAGGACACACTTACAATTCCACCAAACCATTTCAAAACCAAGATGCGGAAGACATCAGCCCGTTCCACATTCGATGGCAAGGCCACGAAGCGATGAACAAAATCAGGTTCAAACTCGGCTAACATTCGTACAATGCCATCGTCTTCCCAGAAGAAATAAGCCATGTCGTCGGACACTACATAGTTCAACCATTTCTCCACACTGGCGCGGAGCAGATCCGACCATGTGTCCACACATCGATTTTTCCAAGTCTGGTGAAGTACTAATGGAATGGAAGAACGGTCGATGAATCGGCGCTTGTTGCTGTTGGCAGCTTGCGAAGCCAGAAGCGCCGCATCGACTATTGTCTCCGGCTGGAAATCGGCTGACGACAGCCACGAGGGCGGAATATACCATGCTGGAACTCGTCAGTGGGAAGTCAAAGAGAAAAGGGGGATTGCGCCAAGGGTATCTGGTTGATTTGTCGGCCGATCCCTAGCAAAAGGTGACAACGCACCTCCTCCAGTACCGTTGAACGTATGCACGTGCCGCCAAAGTAAGGGGTATTGTCGCTCCAGCTCGGCTGGCTGTACACCATGTTTTGGACTTGGTGGAAGTAGACACCAAATGGCAAGGACGGACAGAATGAGAGATATTAGGAGACGGCGTTGAAATTGGCGAGAAAAAAGCCAGGCCACTCTCATACTCGAGAAGTTGAAAGAGGTGCGGCAAGGCGCGTGTGCAAAGGAGATGAAGGAGTTGCCAAAATGACACGAGTGATTGACGTGGAACGACACTCAAAGGAAAGTCGGAGACAAGAGCGCAATGTAAATGAATGTAGCTTGGTTCAAGGTTTGGCTTGGAAGCATACTTTAACACGCAGGTATGGGCATTGTTCGAGGAAGGAGGGTGAGAATGAGTGGTTATGGTTGCTGCTATGGTAAAAATTCCAGACGAGTCGCCGCAAGCCCAAAGCCACACGGTAGCACGAAGCTCGGACAGGATCTGCGAGGGGAAAAGTTGGTCATTGCCAGGGGATTCCAGGGAGCCAACAAGCTAGGAACACGAACAACGGTACGGGACCACGTGCGGGTAGTGGTGAGGGCGATGCAAAAGGGCGCCGCTGTGTCTGTGTATCGGGACGCCAGAGACCATCGACAATGCCAGTGATTTCCCCAACGTGCCACAAAACGATCGACGTGATTGGTGTCGGCGTGTCACTCGCGCATTCTGGATGGACGATGAACGAGGCGGAGCTGTTTGGTGTTGTCGTGCGCCTCCACTTGCCGGAACAACTTAATACCGGCCCTGCGGCTGTTCTCCTGGTGGAAAGATGTCGTTGCGAGGCGGAGGCAAGAATGGGTTTAACTTAGCTAAAGGGCTGACTTTTTGCCGTTGCAGGGGAGGACAGGTTATTGATGTGGCTTCAGATGTGCCGCAGCTGATGAGACGTCCAGATTGAGTTGTGAAAAACAACATGCGGCAGCCAGCAAGAGCAGTGGGAAGGTCTGCCCTAAACACCTATGCGGCAACATGTCCGACCACAAGGCTGAATGCTAACAAGGCTGACAATTAGAGTGGTATGACTCGCCGTAAATGGACTGCCCAGAACTACGGCAGCCCATGCGCAGCCTACGCGTAATAACCACCACCGCGGAAAGTTTGTAGCTTCGTTGAACTCGTATCAGTCCACCCATTATTTACTCTGTTCATTGCAGCCCTCACCATGATTTCTCTCTGTTGTGTGTCTGGTCGAGTGATTTCTGGCTGTTGTAGGTCTCTACGTCGCCTTCAGCTCCATGATATCCCCCACCGGCCCCTTCACCCCGCCAAACAAACCCGTCCACTTTCACAGTCAACCAAAAGCTCTCAATATGCCAACGGTTTCGAGGCTGCCAGAGCTCAAGCTCGAGAGAAGAACCGGACGACTCTGTGTGTAATCTGAATGGAGAGTGCAAAAGCCTGCAGGCAGCTGACTATAAGCCTAGGTATTATGGATTGAGTGCGGGAATCCTACTTCTAGCTCTTTCCTATGCTTCGGTTCCTTTATACAAAATGGTCAGGGCCCTCGCATGCGAACACGCAAGAGCATGAACGTCTTGCTAAATCTTTTCTAGATCTGTCAACAAACAGGATGGTCCGGACAACCTGTCAAGGCACACGATTCCACCGGAGATCCTGCTCTCCGCCTCAAACCCGTCGAAGACCACCGTCGTTTGCGAGTCACCTTCAACGGATCCGTTTCCGACATTCTCCCTTGGAAGTTCACGCCGCAGCAACGCGAAGTCCGGGTCCTTCCTGGCGAGACCGCTCTGGCTTTCTACACGGCCACAAATAAAGGAGATGCAGATATCATCGGCGTGGCTACATATTCCGTGACACCTGCGCAGGTGGCGCCGTACTTTAGCAAGATTCAGTGTTTTTGCTTTGAAGAGCAGCGGTTGAATGCAGGCGAGACAGTCGACATGCCTGTATTCTTCTTCATCGATCCCGAGTTTGCCAAGGATCCACAAATGAAGGGAATCGATACCATCACGCTGAGCTATACCTTTTTCAAGGCAAGATATGACAAGAACGGAATTTTGACTACTATACCTATGGCAATGGCCGGGGTGTAAAAAAAGAACCAAAAGCTTCTGGCGAAAGGTAAAAGGACGAATTCACCACCAACGCTCTCCCCTCTTGTCGAGCTCGCACGCCCTGCGCAGATATGGACCGCAACCGTCCCTATCGACTCTTCAACCACTCAATCAAGTCGTCCACGCCCCGGTCCGGGGGAAAAACAGGATACCACCATTTCACCACCTTGCCATCCTGTAGCGCAATCATTGAACGCCTGAGGACCTTCTGACCTTCCCAGTCGAATGTCGGTAGATTCAATCCTCTCTGGAATTCCAGCTCCTCATCACTCAGAAGATCGTAGGGAAGGTGCAGCCGCTCGTGCACCTCCGCTTGGTACGAGGGTGATTGGGTGGAGATGCCGTAAATGTGGGAGACTCCCAACGAGCGCAGTTCGGGCAGATTGTCCCGGAAGGAGCAGGCTTGCGGCGTGCATCCTCTTGCGCCTGGGATGGAGTTCCATGAGTCGGGGACGGTCTCGTTGGGTGCGCCTGGTCAAGAACCTCTCCTCAGTATCGCGCCAAAGGGATTCCGAGTGGCCAGGGCGAAAAAAGGAGGGCGCAGAGGAGGGTGGACAAATACCTGTCCGCGGATAACAAAACACCACCGTCAAGCCCTTCAAGTCGGCGAGATTCACCCGCTGCGTCGGGACTCGTGCAACAGAGAGGCTGAGGGTGGAAGGGATCATGAATCCGCTCAGATGGTTGTATGCACCGTCGTCCTTGGGGACGGGAAGGTCGGCTGGGAATGTAGTGTCTGTGCAAAGAGGTCAGAGGTTGTCAGACGTTGGGTTCTGTACGGGAAGGGCGCAAGATGCTGTGAGCGTCCTCGAAGGGAAATCAAGGCGTTGGAACAACCACAATGAGCGACACAGCGGTCCGCCCGGCAGACAAGCCTGACCGGATGGCTGGACAGCTGTCATTCGTGCGAGACTATATCATGAGGTCCCTGCACCAGGACAACGTGGGAAGTGTCAATATACATACGAGCCATGTCTCGATCTCTCCGCTCAATGCTACTGTTCGTATTGTTCTAACTCCAGCCGCGCATCAGACGCACATCCTTTTTGATTCAGGCGTAGATCCGGATTCGCTGGTGGGAATGAACAAACCAGATTCAAACTCGTTCTGGAGAGAATAACGTAGTGTCAGGTTCGAGGGCGGGCGTAGTTTGTGGTCAGTCCACTTGATTTATTATGTAGCTGGCGATTGCTTGGGGCGATGGTCCACACCGGAGGTTCCAAGACAGTGTGGAATGGAAAAGGCACAATTGAATCTGGAGTGTTTTCTCGGACTGAGACGAACGTACGCAGAAGATGAAGATTCAAGGTTGGAACCAGCACCCGCGGTCCCAAGTACCAAAGCAGTTGACAGCGGGGAATCTGCGCGGAGAATGAATCTTCTGGCCGCTTTGGCGGAGGCAGCATCACTTGTCATCACATCTTGCATTTGGGTTGGTCAGTCAATATCTCAATAATGTTTGGAGAGCTACGGATCTATAGTCCCCGTTCGGCCAGCTCCAGCATCCGCCTCAGTATCATTCACTTGTTCTTCAAGAATGCAAGTGTCCCAGAACTTCATTGCCTGACCAGATACCTCATTTACCATCAATTCGGCCGTTGCAATTGCAGGATTCACTCTGGCTCGTCACGTCGTAGGTGTTTGGCTGTGCCGGATTCTGGCCAAGTTGGTCATCGGCCTCATCTCCAATTAATTTTATCATTATCTCAGGTGCTCAAATCACGAAATTTCTGTGCCTTGAGCATAACCTTTGACTCTCCGGGCTCCGTAGGATGGGGTTCGTCACAAGAGACGAGAAGCCACATCAAGATCTCTGGATACAAATATAGAATGTTTTCATCGAGGATTGAAGACGAACGACCATTCAAGGGCCCCCAATTCCTAGCACGTCCAAGATTTTCTCAAAGTCTGGAGTGCCGAAGCCGCTCGCAACGTCCCATCCCTGGGAAGCACTGAATCCAGGCCCATCGCAGCCTACACTGCTGCCATTGACAACATCAGTGAATGCCGCGAAGCCTTTGTTGTAGAGCCAGGGATTGAGCCAGCCCATAGGGGGTTTTCCCGCTGCCGCAAGTGCATCATTCACCAGGGAGAAGATGCTGGCCATGGTTGGGGCGGAGCAGCTCGTGCCATCAACGCTTCTGACGGTTTCGCCCAGAAAAATGAGGTACTTGTAACCCTGAGCCGCTATGTCGGGATAGGCGCGACCAGAACGGTTGTACAGCCCTTTGAATTTGTCCCCAATCGTATCGAGATATCGCTCCACGGCGGTACCTTGCCATTTCGGTCGAGCAAAGTAATTGCTGAAACCCGCTCCAGAGGCAAACGAATTTTGCTTGTCGTAGGCGACAACTTCGGGATAGTTCATTGTTCCGCCGACGGTAGTGACATATGGGCAAGAGGCCGGGAAAACAGGGATAAATGTGGTTCGATTTCTCCCGTCATTGGTGATGCAGCTAGAGTTCTCACCCACACCAGAATCCCCAGAGCTAAAGAACAGCGAGATCCCCTGAGCACCCAAGGCGGCAAACTGATTGCACACGGTCTTAGCGTAGCTTTGGGGCACGGTTTGTTCATGGTCACCATAGGAGGTGGAAATCACTTTGGGAATGGTCTTGATGTCTTGGTCGCGCAGAAAGAGGAGCCATGTAAGGTAGGGTTCATTCGTATTGGTGCCGATGAAGTCATCGGGTTGAAAAGGAGGCTTGCCGCCCGTAGAGTACAAGGTGACAGGCGTGGGATAGACGATTCCCAGTATGGTTTGGAGGTCGAGATTGCCTTCTAAGCCAGCCTCCGATGTGCCATTGTCAACGGCTCCACCATTTACAGAGATCTGGGTGACGGCGAAGGCGGAGTCAACGGCGTCAGAACGAAAGTTTCGCAGAAATGTCTGGGCGTCGGTTCGATTAGAAACTTGGCCCAGGTAATTAGTGAAGGCGACTGAATTATTGTGGGGAGCTTTCGGCTTGTAATCGATGGTGTTGTACAGGGTTCGCAGGCATTTGGGCGTCATGCCGGCGAAATTGCATGAGCTTTTGATGGTGGTAGCATTGGCGGTGGCAGTGAGCTGGGTAATGTCAACGTCGACTGGAACATCAATGAGGGTGCTGGATTTGGGATTGGTTCGAAGGAAAGCAGTGGTGGGTTGAATGGTCGTGACATGGTCATGGAGGGAGCGTGGGAGAGACCAGCTGGTGGTTCGGATGAGTTTGGTGCCGTCCTGATGCTGGTAGACGGCGTATTTGGTGTCGAGCAGCTCTTCAGCTTTGCTGACAGGAAGAGTGACAGTGACCCAATCTCGGGCAGAGTTGATGTCGCAGCGAGACGGGTCGATGCCGTTGTCGGTCAGCCAGTCCTGAACTAGTTGATACGTCTCATCAGAGGGCCTCAGAAGGTCGTGGACCTCTTGTTGGGACAGATGTTGGCCGTAGCGATCGTGTGATGGGTCGGAGACTAGAGCATGGTTAGAGCAAGGCTTGCAGAAGTGACGTGGGGGACCCAACTCACCTTGGTGGAGGTGCTGCTCGAGGAGATCGAAATTACTGGGCTCCAAGCCGATGTTGAGGGTCAAGAGATGTAGAGGATGAGGGTTGCCAATATTGGACCACGCAGGAGGGACGTTGTTCGATTCCTTGACATTGTAGTCGGAACGAGGGTGCAGTGGCGATGCGGGGACCCAAGGCAGGGCGGCTAGAGCGGCCAAGAGGACGGAAGAGATTGACATAACGAGTGTGATTGAGAGAAGACAGGCAGACGAGAACAAGCGAACAGAGTAACGAGCGGAGGGGAGAACGAGAGCAGCGAGGAAAGAGGGCGAGGAGGAGAAGGAGAGGTAGAGGAAGAGGGAGGAAAAGAAGAAGGCAGGATGGACGATGGACTCAGTAAGTAGGAGCAGTGCGAGGCACAAAGGAGGAGGGAGGTGCCTATTTGAAAGAGGTCTGAAGTGGAAAGTGAGTGAAGGTGAAAGGTGAAAGGTGAAAGGTGATGCACAAGAATGACTAAGGCATCTAGGTACAGAGTACACGGTACGAGATACAGGACCTGCAGTAACATGCACCCGCTAGACCACTACTTGTGCATTGGTGCTGCCTAGGTATTACCGCCAGTACCGAGTACAATTCACAGAACAACCGGCATGCAGCATCTGGCGCGGAAGGCACAGCAAGGAAGGCGCAGCTTCGCCCCTCAATTGGCTCAGCTCCCGTGGCTCCTTCCCGCCGAGCCGCCTTCATCTCCGAACCCAAGTTGCTGTGTTACGGAAAATACGTCACCGGAGCAGCCAATGACGATCAGCCCACCGAGCTGAGGGCTGCTAATACCTTAGTCCCTGGTGTCTAGCATGATGTAGCATCAACTAGCGTCTTGGCAGACTTTGGATCATCTTCACGTGTCACTTCTTGAGGCTGAACCGAGGCCCCTTACAATCAAAGCCAAACCCATCCCATCATCCCCTCCATCCCTTGACCTATCCAACGTGCAGACCGAACGCAACATCTCCTTCTTCATGGCAATCGCAATCAATCCCTGTAGATGACAGGACCGGGAACTACAATGCACCGCGAAACACGCGCCCATCTCAACACCCTCAAGCCCCTCATTCGAGCCTATGCCTTGGGATATCTCACGGTCACCGCGCCCAGGCTCTTTGGCTTCCTGAGGACCCTTGGGCGCACCCGTTTGCACTTCCGAGAGATTTTCTCTATTCTCCGCAAGATTCTCATCACATCGACCCAGCTTAATCGCCTCCCCACCGCCGCAGCCGTCATTGTGGGCGGAGCAACTGCCCTCCCGCGTTTATTCCAGGAACTTCTCGAATGTGTCCTGTCGTCACTCCGCAGGGGCCCATCTGTGCGTCTCGACAGGAGACTCATGGCATGCATCCGCTTCCTGTGTTCCTTTTGTTCCGCATGGCTAGCCTTTGCTTTACTCAACCGTGATGAAACTTGGGTTCGAAAGCGCGCGATATCTCGAACCAATCCGACTACCAATACCAGTGGTCTAAACACATCGAGTCTGCATCAACTGCCTCCGCCATCATATCATCCTCACTATGCTGGCAAAACAATTGATTTTACAGCATTTGCCTTCTGTCGAGCGCTGGATGTCATGGTGATATCTCTTTGGACCCGGACTCGAACTCGATCATGGCACGCAGAGCAACGGAACCCCCGACTCTCAAACTTCATTCGCAAGATCGCCGATCCGTCAGTGTTCGCGGGCTCCGCTGCAATCATCATGTGGTCATGGTTCTACTCGCCCGAGCGACTCCCTCGCTCGTACAATCACTGGATCTCGAAAGCGGCAGACATAGACCCCCGTCTGATTCAAGCACTGCGGCTAGCTCGACAAGGCAATTTCGTCTACGGCGAGGATACAGGGCAAGCGCCGCTCCTTATCGGTCTCTGTCGGGACCTGAACTTACCTGAAGAATTGGCCGATCCCTCCAAGACCATCCCAATCCCCTGTGAGTTGTATCATTGCGGAACGGGCAAGAGCTGTGAAATCCATGCACTTTCCAGGTTCTGGAGAAGTTGGAAATTTGCAATGGGGATATACCTGCCCCTTCAGCTGCTGACAATCTTGCGCACGCCGAGACTCAGGTCCCTTCTGAAGGCTTTTCCGGCAGCAGCAAGGTCCTCCTCTTTCCTGGCCGGCTTTGTTGCTTCATTCTACTACGCAGTCTGCTTGGCTCGAACTCGACTAGGCCCCAAGATCTTTTCGCGGAAGACAGTAACGCCCCAGATGTGGGATTCGGGACTCTGTGTCCTGGCAGGCTGTCTTGCCTGTGGGTGGTCCGTTCTCCTAGAGAAGCCTAGTCGACGACAGGAGATTGCCTTCTTTGTGGCGCCGAGAGCCCTGGCAACGATTCTGCCTCGTGTCTACGATCAGCGGTACCGCCACAGGGAACAAGCAATTTTTGCCACCAGCGTCGCAATCGTTTTGACCGCTCTGAACTCGAGCAACGAGCGGAATGTCCGAGGGGTGCTTGGGAGAATTTTGGCTGGCATTCTACAAGACTGAAACGTTGAACGAGGCGCGGTCAGCGTGGCTCAACAGCAATTCATATCGGACAGCCATATCGATCAATAGTTCCATATCGACTCCATGACGAAGACCTTTGCCAGTTCGTGGTTTGGATTTGACCAAAGCGATGGCCAGGGCCGGTCCTCCCTCTCATCCTCGAGCATTTTCTCTGCGCTGAGGAATTGTAATCTCTGTCGCGTTGCGACAGAGACAGTTCGCCAGAAGTATTTCGAACATGATGGACACAACAGGTTTCCATTGTAATCATCGCGGACAGTTGGTCGACATGAAAGCACAGTCTCAGGTAGTATTTCTTCGGGTTGCTACTGGTTCTTCTCAACCCGCGGGCGATGTGCAATACCAAAGTGTAGTCGACGATGTTTGATATGCTCATTTCAGCTATCTTCCCTCCCTGAGCACATAAAAGTGAGACATACAGGGGTTAAGCCTCGCAGGAATTATGTCAGCAGCTTCCCGTCTGCATTCTGCATGCACGCCCTGAATCGGCACGCTGGGTTCGGTTGCAACCTTCCATTACGAATTTCTTCTAGGCTGCTCATTTACGACTGCACAGTGAATTAAATAACAAGAAGATATGTCAAGATTTAGACAGTTGCAGATACAGTCCAAATGAACAGTCAAAAGAAGTCCAAATTGGCATCATGACTTTGTCACACCGCTCGCGAGGCTTCCACCTTCCATTCGCGGCGCCATCTATTCTGATCAGCACACCTCCTTGTCTCATGCGCTCACCACGACCTGCGATAACCCTATCCACGTGAGTGGAGCTCACGTAGACGATCTCGTTGGCGATCCTCCTGTGGATCTCGCTGATCACTGTTTCACAACCGCCAATCACAGCGATCCCAACGTCATACACGGGGGTATTGCAAGAAGGCGACGCTGGTAGCTGGAAATAGGAGAGATCTCCTTTTCACAAGGCTGTTTGTACATCCGCGATCAGTTCGATGAGTTGAGCCGCTTCTCATGCGGTGCTTTCGGAGTCTGTGATGCTCCAGGGTAGTGTATCCAGGCAATTTTGATTTCTACCAGGGATGACAGACATAAAATCGCCCACTCATACTACTGATCCGTGACCAGGAAATTGGAGCCCTCATAGTGTACAATGCATGTGTAGAAGGTCGATTACAGAAGCTAGTTGAAAGCACAGCGATGCCTAATGCGTGTGGCAACTTCATCGAATCCGTGGCCTTGGCCCGAGAACATAAGGTGTAGTAGGCACCAACCATCAAAATCAACACTAATGAATCCGAAACATCTGAAAGTCCGAGATCAGGGTGTTCACTTGTTGCATGCTGGTCTCGTCGTACTTGTCGAGGAGAGGGCTGATGGTCTCGTTGCCTGACGCACTCAAGGGACTCTGTGCCTGTTTCGAAGTCTCCACGGCCGTCTCGGCGGCCTCTGCGGGTGGCGGCGCGGAGAGACGCTCTACCATGAGATTGGCGAGGTACCAGTATTCGTGTGCGTGGCGCATGAAGCCCACGCGTCTCCACATGTCGTCGGGCGCGAGATGGTCAATGTCGCACTTGACGGTCGAATGGCGTGAGTCCCGCGAAAACCGGCCGAGATAAACGTGCCACACTTTCCTCCAGGACTGCAGAGCGCTGTGGATCGGGTCGAGCGAGCCCTGGCAGCTGAAAGAGCTCTGGTGGTGGAAGATCAAAGAGTGCAGCGCCGACGTCATGGCGAAGAGGTTGAGAGGACCAAGGTCAGCCAGCGCCACGCTGAGACTCTCGTCCAAATCTGTGCGGTAGAGCAGCTCGAAGGCGGAGGTGAAGTCGTCTGCCACCTTTGGCCCCAGGCCCAAGTCGGCTTGTTGCTGATGCTGTAGAGTCTTGAAGCATTCTTCAGCCGTCGTGGCCTGAAAACAGGCTTCGGAGCAAGCGGCGTTCATCCTCATCTCCCGGATGACCATTCGTGGTGGCAAGTTGTTGAAGATGACGAACGCCGTGTCGAGAAGAAAAACCCACAATAGCACTCGGATCAACTCCTCAATGACCGCGAAAGCGTCGAACGAAAAGTCGCAAAGGTTCATCTGACAGTAATCGGGGTGCCGGGCGTTGTGAATTCCAACGTCCCTCGCCGCCGCGATGACCATGCTGAAGCGTTGCCGCCGAATCCGCCGCTTGCTGGAAGTCGTGCCCTCCCAGTTCTGGAAGAGACAGACCATGTACGAGGCCTGGAGAGCCCTGATCTTTCGCCGACGCCACCGCACGTCACCCGCTCCGTGGGGAAGGACGTTCGGCGGGTCGTCGCAGAAGTCCTCATCGTCGAATACCATTTCTTCGACACAGTTGAACCACCTCTTCGCGTTCTCAAGGTCAGCCGGGTCGGGAGAGACGCAAGCTCCAATCAGAGACATGGCGGCCAGAACCTCGGCTTTGGAATGGGTCAGGTCGAACGTCGACTTGTGGACAATGTTCACATTGGGATGCCAGACCGCCCAATATAACTGCACAAACCGCCGGACGTTTGCTGGGGAGAAGAACTGGGCGCACGTCTCATGTATGGTGGGAGACCAAGAGAGTGTAATGTAGCTCTTCCTCGACTTGTGCAGCACAATGTTTCGGATGGAGGTGACTATTTCATGACACTTGAAAGACAGCGGGTCGGACAGCCAGCGACTCAAGGTGGTCCCAGCGGGGTGTTCCTCATCAGTTTCATAACAGCTTGAATCATCCATATACAAGCCGGAGGGGTCTGCCGATGCAGCCTGTACCGTCGAGGACCTCTCCAAACTAGCCAGCTTTGTCGCATCAGAAAAGTAGGCGTTGACCCGCCGACGTTGCTCGAGTGTCCCACAGTCGAACGAAGACACGAAACCTGTCGTGCTCGTGAAGGTATCCAGAAAGCACAAAGAGCCAATGTCTTCTTCCGGCCCCTCGAGGCCTGCGCGGGGAGTCTGCGTCCCAGAGTTGAAGTTCAAAAAATCCTGCCAGATGTCGGATCGGTCATCGAATCCGTGGTTCGGCGACAGGCCACAGGAGATCCATCCAGCTATATGTTCGAAAGAGTCAGCGGGGACGTCAACAGGGGATGTTTCTCGGTCTTTATCGACAAGAAGCTGGGACTGCGCGGCTGGCGGGCATGGGAACGAGAGCACGGCGTCTTCCACCGGGGAGGATTGAGACAGCGCCACTCTCTTGGGGTGGGGCTCTGACGACTCAGATGCGGTATCAGCTGTAGTATCGCAGGTCTTGAGGTGCCTCTTGAGCACATCGGAGCGCTGGAAGGTGCTGCGACAGAGAACACACACGTAGGGCCGTTCACTGCCGTGCGAGAGTTGGTGGCGACGCAGATGCTCGGGTCGTTTGTATGACTTGGAGCAAGTCGGACATACGTTCGGGACCAAATGGTCTGCCATGTGCGTTTTGCACAAGAGTATGTCCGGTAGAGTAGTAGATACAGGGTGGCAAGTACGAAGACATTGCCATCAGATCCTTAGAACTCGGACGGATTAAAATTTCCAGCATCAGTTCTGGCATTTGATCTCGGCAAATGCGTCGGTTCCCCGGAAAGGCGGAGCCCCGCGCCTTACTATTGGTCCGCCGCCAGATTCTTCCGCTGCGGGGCACGACAGAGATAAAGAGAGTATTCCAACACACCATTCAAGTCTAAAGAATCTGCAATTACCACCACCCCATCTGGATATTGGAATGACACGCCGCCATGGACCCATACTCACATACAACTTGGAACAGACCAGGACTCGCCTCAAGCCCTAAGGCTGCGCATGGCTCAACCACTGTTTGGTCTGTGGATCCAGGCACTCGCTCTCGGCCTTATGCCATTCTTCCCTAACAGCCTTCTCTCGTTCTGGCGATCTCGGTGTTATCTTTGCCTGGAACTCTTCCGGCATGCACACGAAACCCTGCGTCAGCTTCTCCTGATCCGGCAAGATCTTGTTACCTTTTGCATCCACGACTGGCTCAACGTCAAATGCCCACAGGATCCGCGATATGCCCAGAAACAAGCTGCGTTCAGCCACATGCATGCCTGGGCAGATGCGTCGCCCTGCTCCGAAGGTGAAGACATCGCGCTTGCTAGCATCGGAGTTGGCAGCTGAGTCGTAGAGACTTTGTGTATCGTGAATGTACCGCTCGGGTACGAACTGCCGGGGGTTGGGATGGCGTTTGGGGTCCATTTGAATAGCCCAGACATTGTTCATGACGCCGGCACCTTTGGGGATAAGGTACCCCATGTACTCGTCATCCTTAGTCACTGCATGTGGCACGGCTCCCAAGATCGTCGTCGGCATCCAACGGAGGGTCTCCTTAATACAAGCACGGACGTATTGGAGGCTCGATTCGTCGTCCATCGTCGGCAGGCGGTTGCCAACGACCTTGTCGATCTCCTCCTGAGCTTTCTTCTGTACTTCCGGATACAGGAGCATGGCCTGAATGAAGCCATATAATGTGCTTGAGGTTGTGTCCGAGCCTGCCTCAAGAAGGGTTCCAGATATGTAGGCCGCCTGGTCGTCACTGAACCCTTCGGCCTTCTGAGCCTCCGCCATGCCTACGCAAAAGCACGGCTTAATGCTCCCGTCCTTGATGTCGTTTTTTGCATTCAGCCAGTGTTTCAGATACAGGGCCTTCTCCTCTTTGTGAAGTGTCTTCGCCTTCTTTTGCGTTGGGAGCAGGAAGTCAGGTAATTTCCGGAGGATAGGGTAGAAATCAACTAGACCAGCAGCACCGGTCTGGTTGATTTCGGCGAACTCGGAGAATCCTTCGAAGAGCTGCTTCATATTGGCGTCTTCGTACGTGGGCGTCCTCCAACCGAAGACCATCGTGGTCGTTAGAGCATTCGAATACCGCCTGATGTGCTTGAGGAAATCGTCGGGCTGATCTAGGAGTTGGTACAGCATCTGTTTGTTCTCGAGCATCTGATACGCAATGTAAGATTTGGATGTATTGACGTTGAGAAGCCCGTGGATCATTTTGCGGAACTGGTGAACAGTGTGTTAGCAAATGTGGGCTTCTAACACAGTCTTTAGCCACTTACAGCTCTCCACACTGGTCCGTATCCCTTCACGCGCAGTTAGCAACGAACGGAACATAAAGCACCGCTAATCTTACCATCATCAGCAACCTCAATCCTCCACTGCACAAGGTCTGACCGATGTACATGTCCAGTCTGTCCGAGTAGATACCACTTCGTCTGTCGAGAAGCTCCTTCACAGCCTCGTCACTTGACAGCACTATTAACACCTTGGTGCCAAGCATCAAGCTGTATACTGGACCATATTCACGCGCCCATTTTTCAAATTGTAAGTGTGCATCTCGCGTTGGCATCTAGGGAATCAACGCTAGTCAGTTCAGTGACTTTGCGCGTCCTCGTGGCCAAGAGAGACAAGTACCTGGTGAAGGTTGCCTAAAACTGGCAATGTAGGGGGGCCTGGTGGGTAACCCTTTGGTCTCCGGCCTATGGAGAGTAGACGAACAGTTCCCACCAGCAGGGCCACCACGGCCAACAGAAAGTACATGCCCGGCATGCCGTCTGAGGTCTGAAGGAGCAGTCGACACGGCGAAAAGACTTGGTTGTTGATTATTCATGGTCCTCAGGAAACGCGCTGCTCAACTATAAATCCTCCCGCCAAGCAAAGGGCAAGTTGTTCTGGCAATGTCTTTCGGGTAGGTTTCCATTGGTTGGTCTGTAAATTCTAGGAACCGGATCGGGATTCGCTAAAGTGTGGAGGTGGGATGACAGCACCCTCTGCCCACAACGAGAATGCGGGGGTGGGGGTGGGATGAACTAACTTGTCTGGAAGTTGGATTTACGTATGCTTACATAGAGTTCCCCTGGTTCCTTCACTCTCGGCGTGCTTCGGTGTCTTATTCGGTCCGTGCAGCGGTCGATCAGCCAGATACATGCTTGGGATATGTTTGTTCACAATGCCCGGCAGAGGGCTCGGAGAATCAGCGTCCAAGCTGTGGGTCTTGTTCTTGTGAAAAATGGCGAGAATATTGGGTGCTGGGAATATTGTGGAATTAGTGGCCTGTGAGGGTCCAACTGCCGATTTTCTATTCTTTCAGCGCCTCTATATCGGCTAGTCACGGTCCCCAGCGAGAATAACTTCGGTGGTCATTATGACCATTCTCTTCTGCGTGGGATTCTGGGTTCCCAGCATCTCCAGCCTGGAGTTTCCAATTGAAAGAGTCGAACCTACCATGATATCATGCCGTTACAATCTTGACGACATTGTTGGAAACAGAACGTCTAGGCTTCGAGATTGTGCAGTTCTGAGTCGTTTGTGGCTGGGTCTTGTCTTTGGTCTCCAGACCTTGGTCTCCCAGAGCCGGCCTGATGGAATAGGGGATGCGATCTCAAGAATCTTAACAACCAGTAGCGCCATCCATCCGCCCGTTGCCCATGACGAGCAGTTGCTGCCAACTTTACTTTGTGTCCAATCCGGGTGAGTTTTACCAACAGTTTCAGGGTAGCCTTGCGTAAAGCCATTCCGTGTTCGTGGGCCTCCTTGATACAGAAGCTCAAAAGACAAATGAATCCGAGAACTGACAGGGCCACCCAAAATCCGATCCAATTGATATTGGTGTAGTTTCCGTCCCGAAACAGAATTCTTCCACACAGAGAAAACTTGTCGAGGAATTCCTCCAATCTTTGGGGTCTTTGAACATGGCAGAATAATCGTTCAAATGGAACCGTGCGCCGTGGCGCACTGTAAGAATGGCGTTGAGGATGGCTTTCCTGAACCAAGTTTCGACTTCAATGACCCACTGTTCGTTGTTATCGTCGAGCGGGGAAAACATACTTGGCTTCACACCAACTTGTTTTAATGGCATCATTCCATGCCATTCAATCAGCTCTGTGAGGTAACTGAATACCGAGAAGTAGTCTGGCAGAAGTCTCAACAGGGCAATAACTTCAGCGAGTGAGTCAAGGCCCAAACCGGGATATTTGATCACCTTGTATGCTTGCGTAGAGCCTCGACCCCAGGGAGTGCAGAGTCCCGAATCTGACACACAGTACTGGGAAGTCTCGAAACAAGCTAACGCGGTGGCCTCGTGGTCTGCGTAATAGTGGTCGGTGATGTTTGACCAGTCCTTCTGGTGGGCGGCGAAGAATGGGTCATCGACGGAACCATAGTAGCCTGTAGCCCCGGCTCGATAGATGATAAGATACGCCAGTCCATCGTCTCTCTGGATGCTTTTGTGCAGTGTATCTGGCGCAAACATGACACCTTCAGCACCAGCCCAGTGCCTAGGCAATACCGTGAGGTCGTAAGGACCCTGCTGGTGCGCCATACGAAGTCCAGAACTCTCTTCAGAGACCAGATTTGGACCGTTCATGGTATTCAGCGTCATTGTAAAGTTCGGCCATAAAGCTTTCCCATTGTGGAGATCGAAATTTCTGGTAGATATCCAGGTCTCAATCGGCGGGTTTCTTGTGAAGAGAAGAAAGGGTGTGAGGTCAGCCGGTGCACAAGTGAGCCGATGGTTAAATGAAATTTTCGATTTTGAATTGACTCCGACCTGATGAGCGGTGACATTGGCATGTGTGATCTGAAAGGGGCGCGTCTGATTGTGACAGATGTTTCCAGGAAACGGGCAGTAGTCTAGACGCTTTTTTACCACTACAGGCTGTTGTAGATAAAACGGAGTGTCGCAGCCCCCATCCAAGCGATCAAGGCACTGTGAGAAGATAGCGTCCGATTTGGTCGTGGTAGACATCAGGGTGAACAGATTGGATATTTTGTCGGACTTTAAACAACTGTCGGTAGCCTTCGACTTGACTACTGGTGTTTCCACAGCCCCGAATGAGAGCAACCATGGTACAGCCACGCCCAGTGTGACAAACACTGCCACATTGAACAGTGCTATAATTCCAAACCAAGGCGAAATCGCAGGGTCATCTGATCTCAACACTTGGTCCGGTTGAGCGGTGTTGATTCGCAGAGCCGAGATAACCGTTCTCCAAATCTTGGAGATGCCCTTTGTAGCGAACGGGAGCACTTGGACGATTGCTTTGCTCTGCGAAAGGTGTTGAAGGGGTTCTGGAGATGTTTCATCGTGGAGCCTGACAGGCCGGACTTGGCTTCGGGTAAGGATGATATAGCGGGAGATCGCCCAGGCGCGTGTCTGTGCAATTGCGATGAAAAGGGTGAGACTAGCCAGGATCAACAACGCATTCGAGTCCTTGACCGTCCAGGTCCATCTCAGAATAGCCGGCTCGCCATGTCTCTCCCACACGCCCTCGTACACGTATCCGGAAAGTTCATTATAATCTCCGTCTGTGTCTTTGACTAACATGGTTGTGGGATCCAGAAGGGAAGCCGGATTACAACCTCGTCAGAGTCCGTTTGAGGCACCGGTCACCATGAGTTAGAGAGCCGCCTTATATGCTGCTGTCTTGATATCTTACCATGTAATCAGCCTCATCGTAGATAGGCCCGGAAAGAATGGGTGCCTGTGCCACGCTAGCTTTCTCGGCGGGCAGTGTCATGGGGCAGTGTCTGCAGCCTTAGCTAATTACCTCGTGTTCATGCTTGGTCAGGCAACTCTTGGCTTTCTGGGCTTGGACTAATCGGAGTCCCAAGGCAGACGGAGGAACAGGGCTAATCGTGGCTTGCTCAAGCGCGCCGTCTTTGCGAGCACTGTGTCTGGATGGGGACCATCACTTGGCAGAGAACCGCTATGGAGAAACAAGGAAATATACGAACAAGGCGGATATTTGGTCAAGTGCAAACAAGGCACAGCCTGCAGGACTAAAAATATTGGAAATAGAAATGTTGTGCCCGACGCTCAGGAGCAAAGAGAGCTAAGCCTTTGCATTTATCATCTAGAGAAGCGGAAGATTCAAGATAAGAGGAGCTGGAAAGGAGGTGGGTGAAGTTGTGCTGCCAGGACGAGGAAACTCTGCGCGACCGCTGGGGACGAAGGTGACGCTGCCCTGTGGACATGCATGAGGCGGCATCTCTGAATTACCCTATGTATGCTAGCCCCGTACGGAGTATTGCTTTGCGAATGATTGGTTTGGGGAGGACCTTGCTCGGTGGCCTGTGATTGGTGGTAGATCTAGTGTAAGACAGATAACGCCGGGTAAGACGGAGGAATTTTAACTACTTAGTGCAGCCTCACAGCCTTGTCGCATCTTCCTCGCCAGCTTCAACATCAACTCTCTGCTTGGGAAGCTAGAATTGTGAGATCGTCTTGTCATTTTTCTAGGCTGCTTTGTCTTTCTGTAAAGTCCCGCTTTCAGCCTACTACTACAGAGGTTCCCCACATCGGCTTCACCAGCCCGAGAAGGTAACAGCTTCCATCCACGTCTCCTTGCTCCTTTCGGCGTTTCCCTCCTCTGAAGCTTTTTTCCGCCAGCCGTCTGGCTACATATATCTATTCAGGTGTACACGCTCAAGAATCCCTTGGGAAAGTCCAACAATGGCTTACTCCACGGCTTGCCACTCGCGCACGACTCCGGATCGTACCCCTCCTGCGCGAAGATCTTTTGGATCTGGCGACGCCGAACCCCCGTGTTGGAACCCTCGAACAAGGGCAGGCACAGAGCGTCGTCCATCATGCGGCCGTACGGCTGCGATGTAGCATAGGCGGTGACCCCAACGGCCTGCATGGCCTCGAGGACGCACTGGATGGCGTTCTCAGAGCCCCAGACCTTGGCCTGGTAGGCCATCTCAGCCTCGCCCGTGGTCTCGAGGTAGTGGCACGCCTTCCAGGTAAAGTAGCGGGTGGTCTCTTCACGCATCTTCATGCTGATGAGGAAATCGGCGACGGATTGGTAGTTGATGGTCGGGACGCTGCCGCCGCGCTTCTCCGTGGTGACAATCTTATGCGTGTGCGCGAAGCAGCTCCGCATCAGCCCGGCGGACCCGGCACCCACCAGAGCTGCCGACTCGGTGAAGGCCGCCACATTGACCATGCCCCCCTTGCCCGGCGGGGCGAGGATGTTCTTGACGGGCACGCGGAAGTTGGTGAACTTGGTGCGCGGGCCTGAATGCGCGCGGAACCCGTGCGTTTCGATGTCGTAGGGCACCTCGAATGCCCCTTTGTTCTTGTCGGCTTCAAAGTCGGCGCGGGTCAGGACCACCATGGACAGTGTCTCCTTGGGGTCCCCCTTGTCGCTAAACCGGCACAGCAAGGTCAAGATCTCCGGACCCTGGAAATCCCACCCAGCGCTATTGGAAGCGAACTGCTTGCCGCCATTGATGATGACTTCGTCGCCCTCGATCTTGGCAATGGTCTGGACACCCAAGCCGCCCTCATTCTGAAGGTAGTTGGCGCTGCCAGTTGGCTCGGTGAAACCCAATGCCGCCAACGCGTCCCCCTTACCGCTGATGAAGGGGGCCAAGAACCTCTTCTTCTGCTCCTCGTTACCATACATGAAGATCGGGGCCAAGCCCAAACCCGTCACAAGCCAGGTGATGGGAAAGCTCGAGTCTGCGGCGAAGAACTCCTCAGTGACCAGGGCTAGGTCAACCAGGCTCTTGCGCGAGCCTCCTTCACTCTCTGGGATTTGGATTTTGATCCATCCCTCTGCAACGCATTTGGCATACGCTTCCCTGGTGGCCTTGAAGCGCTCCTCTTGCGTAGGCAGTTTCAGGTAGGCTTCACGCGTTGGGGCCAAGACCTCTTGCGCAAACTTCCTTGCGTCAGCCTTGAGCTTCTCCTGGTAAGGGGACAGGGTGAAATCAATCGCCATTCTCAGGTCGTTTAGGATGGCACAACGGTACTAGATCAAGGATGGATGAGGACACAGATGCTTCGGCAACAATTGTAGGACCGTTGGCGCGAAGTAGAAGAAGCGAAAGCGATTTTTTTCTGATTGAAGGATTACTGGAGTCTTCAAACTCATCAAGGACGTGTTGAACATGGTCTCCTTTTATATGCAGCCCTTTCCTTGGGCTATTCAATCTCGAGCCCTCTTCCATATGTGCCAATGTTCAACTAAACGCGTAATCAAAGATTTCGATATCGCATACCATCGATAAACCCCCACTCCGTTTGGCTGTTATCTGTGTTCTCATGTCCAAGGTCGTCGCTTTGGGGGAATTCTTTTGGATGCAGACGCCCCCTTAACCAGAGATGATAGATCGTCCTGGATTGTGCCGTACGCACGGCATTGCGGATCCGCATGCTGGTTGGTTGGCAGGTCCACTACCCGTGCCGTAGAAATTCGGGAGGAGCTAGAGAGTTCGACGGCAGAGGACTGTCGATAAGGAAACACATATACACCCGCCTTTGACATTGTTGGAATGCACAACGTCATCCCTCCAAGGTCTAAGAGAGAATCGGCGTCTGCCACGATTTTCGCCAGTCGGCCGATATGCGAGTTTCTCGCTTCCAATCTTTCATTGGACTGATATACCGTCAACTCGGTCTATTTAGCGTCAGGCCTCCCGCGAAACTATCCAATGGGGCTTATGTTTGGTAGACACGGGGTCGTTATCATCTAGTTTTCTGTGTCTCGCGTCCTGGAGAATGGGTATGCACTTGTATGCACATGGCATAATCTTTATAGTTTGGACCAGAACTAGAATGCTTTCAGCTAGCAACACATACCTGACTCGTCGACTTTCTTTGATATGCCGCTGTGTGAATAGCTCACGACCGAACCCAAACTAGAGGTCGGCTGTGGGGATTGGTCTCAATGCGTCGATGCCTTCCAATATCTTGACCAATCAACTCTCACGCTTCCAGACGTCCGAGGAGATGAACCTGTTCTTCGTGGACCTCTGCTTCGCGCTCGAAAGTTTATTTGCTCTACCTTCTCCATTAACGGAAGACCAAAGCCGATCGATGCGCAATCACCAACTCCGTATACTCGGTCTTTGGTGGCCCCAGGCCGGTTGGTCAATCTGTTCTGTTTAATACCAACAATTTCGAGTTCATGTCTTATCGCCATTTGCCAATTCGGTCGAACAGACAGTCAGCGGGCTGCCTCTCCTTTTGGCGCCCGCGGAGATGTAGGGAGATGATGAACAAGCAGGACCGTGGGTTTGGATCCTCAGAGACCCCTGCCCATGTCCTCCCCGGCCCACACTCCCCGTCTCTACCAGGTGAGTGTGGAGGCTGACTTCGATGATCAAATCAGCGGTTCGTGTGCCTGCATGAACGAAATGAGCGCACATCTCGTCCTCAAAATGCTTCTCTCTAATCCCCCCTAGTCGACAGTTGTGGCTAGTCAAGAGTGGTGTTGTGGACCGGACTCTGCTCCAACTTTCCACTTGTGCCAGCCTTGTCTGTGTGAGGTTACCACCTTCATGCTTCCTCCCTGCTAACTTAATTTGGTATCTTGGATCGAGACTTGACTGACAGCCTCTCAATTATTGAAACAAAGATGGCGACGCAACGGCAACAACTCAACGCTGGACTCTCCGGAGTCAGCTTGAAGTCGAAGTAATTGACATTTGCCTCCACTATGCATCGAGCCGAGATAAGACAACAGACATGTGTGTCCTCCTGCCGAGGCACAGTAAAGAAGTATTCGAGATCCTTCAATTTCTTGTCAGTTTCAGGGAGTTAGTTTGATGCCAATGCTCTCCGAATGGCGCCAGTTTACGGCCACAGCTGCGACACACCCGTTACCATATATGGCAAGCTCATCTCGGAAGCACGCCGGCTGCAAGCACTCCACATCCCTTTTGGCAGCTGTGAGCATCTGGATCTCGCCAAGTCTACCAGATCTCTGTTGGATCCCCCATGTCCAGTGAGACAATACTGCAGAATTTGCATAGGTTCTGCGACAGGTTTGTCGACGTACATCGAAACACTGTCGAAGAAGTATCGATCATGAGATCTCCGTTCCGCAAGCTTGAAATTTCCCTGCACATGACAAAGAGTCTACGCGGGAGCCCACAGTCGGCACTCTCTGTTCGCTGCTGGAATGCATATCAGTCTAGCTAAGGTATTTCCCAATGTGGTATATTGGCAGCGAGCTGCGCTTGTTGGCACGGTCTTCCTGAACCCTCATTGTTATCTCCTTCAACATCCTTTGCGGCCCACTCTTGACGAGAATCTGGTCTCGTCTATTCTTTCAGGAGAAGCTAGTGATCTCGAAGATCATGAAGGTATGTCCGCGGACGTCGTCGCCGTTGCTGTGGGTTAAAGGGGAGATTCTGGCAGCTGCAGGGGCGGAGGTCATGATAACAGGTTCTTCGACAGCTCCGCGGCTCTCGAGTCTATTGTCTGTGATATCAGTGGGTATCAAGATTGCGGACGCACTGGCGTTGTCATGAGGAATTCCACACTCGGTCGACGAAGGACACAGTGGATGTTGTGTTCAGAAAAAGGGGGGA